GCCCCGTTCTTCGCCCGCCGCGCCTTCCACCACGACCTCATCCATAAGCGACCGCGCTGCGTCAACGACGACGTCTGGACCTTCAACTCGCAGTCCTCCTCGCAGTGGGACGGGCTGCGGCACTTTGGCTACCAGAAGGAGGAGAAGTTCTACAACGGCGTCTCCATGGACGACATCCACGCAGTTGACGACGAGGGACGGCCGTCGACGGTCAACGGTATACAGGGTCAGTCCGGCCTGTCCCCCGTCCCCCGACCCGTTCTGGGGGGGGCTGACGAGTCGAGTAGCATGGCAGACGCACGGCATCGTCGGCAGAGGCGTACTCGTGGACTACCACAGCTGGCGCCTCGAGCAGGGCACCGCCCCCTACGATCCCTTCGCCCGCGACTCCATCCCCGTCTCGGACCTGAAGGCATGCCTTGAGGCACAGGGGACCGAGGTCAGGTTCGGCGACATCCTCTTCACGCGAACAGGTAACCCCCGCCCTCTCCATCCTTCTGAAGGAAACGAGAAAAGAAAGAAATGAGACGTCTAACACAGCACTCCCGCCCCGGCAGGCTTCATGGCCGCCCACGCCGCCAAGTCGCCCACTGACCTCGAAAGCTACCGGACCGCCGTGCCGCAGACCTTCAGCGGCGTCGCCCAGTCCGAGGAGACGCTGCGCTGGGTCTGGGACAACTTCTCGGCCGTCGCCGGGGACCAGCCGACCTTTGAGTGTTGGCCCCACCGTGACCCGGAGCACTGGATGCACGAGGTCCTGCTTGCCGGCTGGGGTATGCCCATCGGCGAGCTCTTCGACCTCGAGGCCCTTGCCGAGCGGTGCCGTGAGGAGAAGCGATGGAGCTTCTTCGTCGCCAGCGAGCCGTGCAACGTCCCCGGCGGGGTCGCAAGGTGAGCAAGACCCGCCCCGATGTTGGCAATGCTTCTGGGTACGAGTTGGTGAGCTCCGTTTCGCTGACATGACGCCGAGTCCGCCCAACATTCTGGCCATCTTCTAAGACCTCCCACGGTACCTGAGCAGAGACACTACGTTTGTGACAACACATGTGGTAGCGGGAGATATTTGTAGAACATGACTCCTAGAGATGACATGCCGCCCTGCTGGCCATTTCTCAGGCGCATAGGAGCGGGAAACCAAAGTGCTTGGGCGAGATGGTCAAAATGGTCCCCTGCTTTAGTGGCATCCCGAAGAAGGGAGAAAAGAAAGAGGAAAGAAAAGGAAAGAAAAAACCACCGAAAAACCAGATTGACGGAATCATTGCTTGAATCATTGGCTACTACAACCAAACCCCCTTAGATTCGAGCCATCCGCCTCATCGGCGCGTAATTATCAATTACAACTTGATGCCGCAAACCCGATGATTCATGGACCCAGTCGCATAAGACCTGAAGCAAAATGGCTTCAAAAGTATATTCGCGCATGTCAGCTTTCCTAGCTGAACTAAATTGTTGCAACAAACCAAGCCTGACGCCCTACTGTGCTTTCAACCACCGCGGGCCCTCTATCACAGATATTCTACCCAGTGACTGCTGGCTCATCCCCTATGACTCTTGCGATCGCTGGCATCTTGTTAGGGCTGCTGTTCGAGTCGGGAGGAATTGCCGACTTACGTGCTCAATCTCCTAGACAGCTGCTGCAACTTCTTATCGTTGGCCGCGTCTTCGGCTGCCTTCTCGAACGCCTGCTTCCTCTCCTCCTCCTGGTGCTTGACAACCTCATCGTGGCTGGGGGGCAGCCTTTCGTTCTGAATGTCGACCTTGCGAGCGTCCTCAAATGTGTTGATGGCATTCTTGATACCTTCAGCACCCAGCATGAGGGTACCAGCGGGCAGCCTGCCGCCAGAGACGGTCTTCAGCTCGGTGACGCGCTCCGACTCCTCACGCAGTACTTGGAAAACACGCGAAAGACGACCAATGGCCAGAATCTTGTTCTTGATCGCTCGTCTCTTATACTCGATCGACTCGGGATCTTGCGAGGCGCCCGAGAGGGGTGGCGACATGGGGCCAGGCGACGTAGAAGAGGGCGTGGCGTCCTCCTTTAGCTCCTCCTCGGAGCACGTGCTGAGGATGCCGATAAGCATGTCGGTAATCTTCTCGCCCACAAAGGGCAGAGACCAGGTGAAGACGTCCATGAAGTTTGGTAGCCAGTACGGGTGGGGCGTGCAGTTGAACTGTCGAATGTTCATCACGTTGTTCTCGTACTTGAGAACGGCAGCCTTGTTGTTGTAGACGTCGAGGTAGTTCGGCGCCGAGAAGATGGTCATGACACTGGGGAAACCCGTGGTGCGAGTCTTACGGTACATGCGGTATCCAGCATCTTGTGCCTCGTGGGCTCGAATGACAGAGAGGAGGTTGTTCTTCTCGAGGAACGCACAGGCTGCCGGGTACGAGAAGAAGTAGGAGCATCCGCGGACGTGGTTATGAAGAAAGTAGTCGCTCGTCTTCTCTTGCCCAAAGTCTTCCAAGGGATCGGCCCAGAGGATGTCGCACATCAGGCCCTGGGTGGGCGGCTCGCGGAAACGGTCAATCTGTACGTGTCAGCTGGTGCGCTTCGGGGGGGGGGGGGGGGGGGGGGGGCAGGGGACGAGAGCTCGACTCACGCTTCGCAAGTCGTCGAGGGTGTGAAGCTCGGGGCTAAGGCCGCCGTGGATGCACAAAAACTGCTTGTTCATGACAGCAGCCAGGGGCAGGCAGCAGAACGACTCCATGCAGGCCTCGTAGATGGCCTCGGAGTACTTGTGCTTGCACTCGAGCTTGAAGGTGAAGTAGTCAGTCAAGTGGCGACACTCGTGGTTGCCACGGAGCAGCCACAGGGTCTTGGGGTAATGGATCTTCAAGCACCAGAGGTACAGGACGCATTCGATACTGAAGTATCCTCTGTCGACGTAGTCGCCGAGGAAGAGGTAGCGCGTCTCGGACGGGTCGCCTCCGACTTCGAACAGCTTCATGAGGTCGTAGTACTGGCCATGGACGTCACCACAGACGGTGATGGGCGCATCCATTTCGAGCAGGTTGGGCTCGGCACGGAGCAGCTCCGTGCAGGTTTTGAGGATCCACAGGGCCTGCTCCTCGGTCAAGCGGCCCTCGCGATAGAAATGCTGCTTGAGGAAGTTGATGTCGGGCTTGGTATGAGTCTCGTCCTCAAAGAACTGCTCGTCGGAGGGCGTGAACATGGCTGGGGCCTGCACATCTGTAACGATAATCAGGTTAGCGGCTCGAGGGCGGTACGACGAGGGCAAACACGGCAGCTGCCACGGTGGCGGCGTCGATGAGGATCGAGGCCGTGGCCCAGGGGCCTTGCGTACCTTTGCAGACCCGCTCCATGGTGTTCACTTGGGTGCCATCCTCCATGGTGTGGATAGTGAAGTCGATCTCGGGCAGCGGCTTCTTCTCGCGAATGGCGCGAATGGCATTGTCGACCTGTTGCTGGGTGCGACGCTCTTCGCCGGGCGCGCTGGGTCCTTCGGGATCCATGCTGGCTGGCTGGCTGGCTGGTGAGTTGGGGCGAAGACGATGGTGACGGCGATCTAAGGGTGGCGGTGGTGGTCGAGGGGCTCGGTCGGGGTATCGATGATGGATACGAAGGAAAGTCGTTTGTCTCTGGAATGATCAGAGCGGTGAGGAACGGCTAGGCGAGAACCAGCTCAGGGTCGTGTCGCGATGGGGGCCTACAAAGAGGCGAGCTGGGATGCGGCAAGTCGTTGATCACGAGACAAGACCAAGCGAGAAGGGCAATGCGAGACGAGGTGAGGCGAGGGGTAAAATTTGAGGTGAGGAAAGATAGGGCTGAGAACAGATTGCGGGTGAAGGGGAATGGGATGGGATGCACTCGGCCAGAGAGAGGTCTTGTGCTATAAGACCGACCGGTCCAGTTCCCAGTTCCCAGTTTATCGCTACGCTACCTACTTTACCTGGGTATGGGTACCTTGCGCTGTCTGTCTGCCTGCCCAGGGCTGGGGCGTTTTCTCTCTCTCTCTCTCTCTCTCTCTTTTTTTTTAACATCTTTTTTCCCCCCCAGGCTGGGCACCTCGCTAGGGGTGGTCAGCCGCTGACACCATCAAACTGTACTCTTCTGTCAAGGACTCAACGATCTCAGTGTGTCCCTCCTGATGCCAGGCCCTAGGGTGCTTGCTGTGCTTGCTACCTATACTCGCTGTGCTGCTGCTATCGCTGGTGTGGCGGCGGTTTGCTAGCGTTTGGTAAGCCCAAAGCCGGGAAAACACACCTCGGACGAATTGGCAGGTGGCAGACGCCAAATGCCCGCGGACGGTGGATGTGATGGAAAGTCGGTATACATTGCTGTCGTGGAAGATAACACTGATGGCAATGTACCTCGACTTGGCCCCCTTCCCTCTGCCCCTCGCATCAGCCTGTCAAAGACGTCCGATTGCCTCCTTTGCCCCCACCTCGGTCCCTAGAGGGGACTGGTACGTACCCCTCGACCTTCCCCTCCCCCTCATCGGGTGGCACTTTTTCCACTTTGATTCATCTCCCCTCCCCTCCCCTCCTCTCCCTTCCTTCCCTCCACAGCTCGGTTCGGACTTTGCTGGATGGCCGACAATGAATATTGCGACGCACGCGCATTGGACACGATCCCCATCATCATCAACAACGTATATAAGAGAATGCGGTAAGATAAAAGTGTTCCGGCCGGTTTCGATCATCTATCTTGTCCTCTCTATCGTCCACATCTAGCCTCTACAGTTGTGTGGTTCGTTGCTTGCCCGCTGCTGCCATGCCATCTGCAGCTCGCCTTAAGTTACCTTGTGTCCAAGGTCAACCTCGATCTGCCTTATGCTGAGCGGAACTGAGTTGTCGCTTCAGCGCTTGCCCAAACATCCCGACCAACAGTCAACCCCCCCCCCCCCCCCCCCCCCCCCCGCCTCGGTCTTTCGACCCATCATCAGGCATCCAAGCTTCGCGCATGCCGCCCAAGGGCCTTGCAGATTCGCTGTGACGTTCTCCGCTCCATGTTGAGGGGTTTATTATTCTTCGTTTATTCATGGCAAGCAGTAGCCTCCGTCGATGACAATATCGCAACCGGTGGTGTAAGAAGCGGCGTCCGAGGCGAGATACAGATACGCGCCCTTGAGCTCGCCAGCTTCACCCTCGCGTCTGCTCCATGTTAGCACAAAACTCGTCATCAAAGCCGTCACGTTCACTCACCCCATGGGGGTCTTGTTCTTCCACTGCTTCTTGGTCTCGGCCCCAGCGAAAGCAGAAATCTCCGTCTTGATGTAGCCGGGCGAGATGGAGTTGACGCGGGCGAAACCAACCCATTCGACGGCCAAACTCTTGCCTGATTGACCTGTTAGCCGAGATTACCGGGTAAACCGAGTGCATCACTTACACATGTGGATGACGGCCGCCTTGGACGCGTTGTACACCGTCTGCATCTGCGGCACGTTGACGATATGACCACTCATGCTGGCGGTTGCAATGAAGCTACCGTAGGTGAAGCCCTCGAGCTTCTGACCGTCGAGCGTGGTGCCCTCCTTCTTCTGCCGACGGAAGTGCTCGCCGGCAACCTGGGCGCAGTAGATGGGGCCGTTGACATTGACGGCCAAGACTCTGTCGGCGACATCCATGGGACCGTCAATCAAGGGGCCCTCCTCCCACGCAATGCCCGAGTTGGCAACGAATATGTCGAGGCGGCCGTTGAATTCGGCCACGATCTGCTGGACAGACTCTTTGATCGCTTGGTGAGAGGTCACGTTGACCTGGTACGCCTTGCCTACGCTATGTCAGCGACCGAGCAGCACCGCGTTCCTGGACGGGCGACATGTACACTTGACACCATACTCCTTCTCGATCTCGGCGGCGCGTTCAAGGGCCGCCTTGTTGCTGTTGTACCAAATGGCAACGTTGGCACCAGCTTCGGCGTATGCGTGGGCGATTTGCAGGCCAATACCGGCGCCGGCACCAGAAACGATGGCCGTCTTGCCCTTGAGGGAGAACAGGGGCAGCACACGGTTGCTGGGTGGGGGCACGGTGGCATCGTGCTTGAAAGCACCGTCTTTCATGTCTGTCATGTTTCCGAGGGTCGTGGAGAAGGGCTGGAATCTGGCGGTTCTGCAGGCGGCTGCGACACGAGGAATGCAGAGGACTCGAGGCCGCGAGGCTGCAGTACGGAGGACAGAGCCGAACATTATATCGACGGGCGACAAGTAGAATATGCCGCAAAAGGCCCTCTTCTTTTGGAACCAACGTGGCAGGGTACCAGGGGTAAATCTTCACCGCACCCTACGATATTGAGGGTCCTACTCGACGATTCGAGTTCGACGATTCGAGGAGGGGGTCGAGGGGCGCCGAGGGGTCGAGGGAGGAGCTAACACTGGTACCAGCATAGCCGTACCAAGTATTACGGCTATGAGTACCCCTGGCTCATGCACCGGAACAGTCTCGAGCGAGGTGATATGGTGGAGCTCAGGGAATGGGAAGAGAGCGAGCTCTGCCTACGTGGTACCTATGCCGTGCCGCCATACGCGAGGCCGGGTGGAGGGTCGGTGGCAGCGACAGCCGCCTGCGCGTCTCATGAGAATCGTGACCGTCATCAACCCTGAAGACGGCACTAGGGAGATCCCTTAGGGTGGGGGGCCACAATATCACTCGTTGGGCGCCGCCGGGGCATGTGGGGTGTGACATACCAAGCCAAGGTGCATCAGGTTTCGGGGCTACTCGGGTCGCATTACTCCAGATTACGCTGTTTGAAAGTCTATTCTACCGCAAGATACCGGTGTCAGGGACCCTGGAGGGCCTGAATCGCGGGGCCATGGGGGGGAAACGGATCGATCTCCGCCTTGACTCGACTGGCGCGCTTCTACGTACACACACGTACTTACAACCGCCTAAATACCTACAGGGACATGCAGGCACCACGAGAACTGCCAAAACCAGCCAACACGACGGCGCGATGCAAAAAAATTCAATGTTTAGTGCCTTTCATCTTGAACACGTCGATGGTTTTTTTTTTTAACACAACACCACATGACAGACGCGACCCTCTCTCAAACCTATCGACAACTTGCCTTTTCAGCCGACAACCTGATTTAGGATATGCTCGCGGGGGAAGTTTGTGTTTCTCCAGCGTGAGATGAAGTCGTCTCGGTTAACTGGTGTCTCGTCAGATGCCAACTCACTCGACGGGGCTGCTCAGAGGACTCACTGTAGGCACCGGCGATGCGCCTTCTTCCCTCGAATGCGCTTCGGCCGTGCATCACTCGCCAATTGTCAAAGACTGAGACTCGTTAGCTATTGATGGGTGGGTGTACGCAGAGGGACGCCTGCACTCACTCAGAACCTGGCCGGGCTCCAACTGCACCCAATACTCGACATCACGCCTTCGGAGGATGGCATTCCACTTGCGAGCTGCCGCATACCACTCGGTCGGGGAAGCATGCTTGGTGAAGGGCACAACGCCCCGGTCGTCGTTATTCCACCGCACCCGTTGCAGCTCGCCCGTCTCCTCGTCGACCTCGAGTACGGGATACCGCTTGTCCGGGGATATCGTGATGCCCTGGTTGCCGCTTGCATGCCACGGCAGGCGCACCTTTGAAAGAATTTCATACGCCTTGGGGTCCTCTTTCAGCAAGATCCGTGCCGCATGGAAAGAGTCGACGAGCAGCGACTCTCCTCCCAGCTTGCCGTCCTTGGGCAGTGCTTGTCCTGGCGGGGCCTCGTGGGAGAGCATGTGGAAGGCCTGCAACCCGGCCGGGTCTGTGAAGTAAGTCGTATCTGTGTGGGCCGGGAGGGCGATGTTGGTGTATGCCGTGTCGGCCATAGCGAGGTCGGGGATGAAGTCGTAAAATCCGCCGTAGTGCGTCTCACGGATGAAGGCAATCCTTTCCAGCACGCGCTGCGTCGACTCAGGAGTGCGGAATGGGGTCTTGTCGACGAAGGCGAACCCGTATTCTCGCTGCAAGGGTCAGCCTCTGTTTTTTCCTTGTCATCGACGGGCATGGCATGTTTCCCTACGATGAGGTTCGTCAACTTTGCGATTCCCGATTCATCCTCCGAGGCCATGAGCTGGTTGTAGTCTACGACGGGGCGCCTGCTGCCAATGTCGGAGCCCCAGAGTTGGTAGCTATGCATGTCAGCGATGGCAAGACCTGGGACTGACGGCGGTCCCTTACTTGACCTTTTCCGGACAACGGTGGTCATTCTGCAAGTAATGTTTGACGAAGTGCCAGGGATAGAAGCTCTGATGGCCGTCTTGCTCCCCTATTCTTGTCGTCAGTGTATCCCCACGCGCCCCAAGGCATATAGACGACTCACATGTCACGGTGATGCCTTGCTCTTCTGATTTGATATCCGATGGACGAACGTCTTCACTAATCTTCAGTCCAAGCTGTTGTAAGAAATTGAGATTGTCAGAGATTGCAGCACGATGGGGTCGCATACCGAGTATGTGTCGAAGTTTCTTTGGGTAGTGTCTTGGTTCACACAGTGGCTGCAACGGCAGTTATCTCTGGATGCGGTGTGTCAACTGGGCGGTCTCTGCGTGGGACAGATATACCGCATCACGTACCTCAACCAGAAGTGCGGGCTACATCGGGCGCGCGTGTCAGCAAATATGTCTTGGGAGATGCCATGATGCGAGGTTATCCCGACGGAAAACAGACACCCGGAGCCGACCCGGCGGGGGGGTGGAAGTCAATCAAACGACTTACAGCGTCGATCTACGGGCAGGGCCATCGAATTGGATTCCATCCTCGACGATTTTCGCATTCAAATGCTGAAAACGGGTAACAGCGGATGCGGAGAGATGCCTCGCAAGCCGGAAAGTAGCCGTGATACGGGGTGCTCCAAACACAGCGGCACGCCTAAACCGGGAGAAAGGATAGAGTGTGAGACCTCCGTGCGCCACTTTGGGACAGTCGACTTTGACTGATAGATTACACACCTCGCGGCTCGGGGGCCGATGTTCCTCAGTGGGAGCATTGTTGCGACGGTCTACTGAATTCGTGTGTACGCCGGTCAACTATCGTTGGAAAAAGCAAAAAGGGAAAAGAAAAAAACCACGCTCTGGGAGAAAAAAGGACTGGACCAAAGTGGCTTTTGGAAGGTTCCGGTTTGTTCATTTGAGGAGGTCGAAGGTCTGGTGTTGGAATTGGGGATGGACGGACAGATAATTAGAGGGCAATCTGGAAGGCCGCGGGGGCTCCGTCCCACTATGCCCCTCCTCTACCGACCTAGAGCTCGCCGAAGATGCTATACTTCTTCTGCACTGACAGTCTGACACAGACACCAGCCGATGATGGTCCGTTATCGCATCCCTGCAACTCCTTTCTCTTTGTCGGGTTGCTGCATCGACCTTTGGGGATAACAAGCCTCGGCTTGTTGGCCTCGTGTCAAGTCGGCTTTTCTTTTGAGACCTGAAAGGACTGAACAAAGACCGGCGGCCGGGCGGAGCCATTTCGCCATGACAGGTGGACACGCCCTATTTCACTCTATTCCACTCCACTGCGATCGACCGACTCTCTTGGCTAGAGAGACTCTCAATCGGACTTCGGAGCCGCCAGAGTCCCAGCCAAGCTTCAAATCGCATATGTTTGGTGTCTACGGCCGCTCACCAAGCCTTGTACGGGCCCTGGCGATGAGGGCATCATGAACATGCCCATGGATGGGCCCCGCGAGCCTTCGCTTGGTCGGTATACTGACTGGATCGGACGCAGGATCCAATTGTCATGTCCAGCACCGGCTCTGGCAAAGAGCCTGGGCTGTCCGCCTCCGCCTCCGCATCGCCAAGGGGAATACACGTTCGAACCTATCCCACATCGTCAAGCAAACAAGCATAAGCAACTCAGGCGGCCAAAGCGCCTCACGCGCAGAAGATCTCGGTCCATGGCGAGAGTACGCCAACATCTTATCCAGGCCATACCACTGCGAGTTGCACCGGAACATCCCCGACTTCCTTTGCCCCTTCGTCGGCCCATCCAATATGTCACACCCTTGGCGTCGCTTGAAAGCCTGCCACGTCTTCGAATGTGCCTCGCTTCGCCCGCTGTGTCTGATCGTCTCCGCCCAGGCCCCTCTCCGCGGCCTTTTCACTATCTCCAAACCGAACAGGCGGGTTTTCCCAGCGAGAATAGCCGCCGTGCCATTCTCTCGGGTCTGCGATTGCCTCTCCTGCCTCGTCCAAGGCCACTCAGACCCTTGGATCTGCATGGTGGCAACAGGTACCAAGCTGTGCAGACCTTGTATAGACAAGCGCCGGAAGTGCAGCCTCATCGCTCGGATTTCTATCGAAATAGCCCAACGGGGCGAGGCAGGCAAGCCCTCTCTTTTCTCTTGCTCGTCCACTCACATGACCCAGATGGCACCGACACAACGGTTCAGGACCCTGTCCGCTCTCCTGTTTGCTGTCTCGTCTTCTGCGGCTTGGTGTTAGCGTTGGGCGTAGGTTGCGGGTGCCGCGCGTAGACGAATCCTCTGATTGGCCGCGCTTGGCGACGAGCAGGACATTGAACGTCGAACCCATCGTCGCGGCACCCCCTGGCCTGCGGTTGGTCCAACGAAGCTTTGAACCAACGGTAAGGATTTCGTCCTTGCATTAGATGACTGCCGGAGACAAGACGTTGATATACCATGATGACCGCTGGACTTCATCTCGCCGAGTGGCGTTGTCTCAAAAGTTGAAGGTCCTGGTCTCACTTGGAATTTTCTTTTCTGTTGTGCTCTCTTTATTCCCGATATTTTTTGCCTAATTACCATCAACGATATGGTCTCAGAACCGGGCTGGCGCAGGCTGTGCGTCGTTGCATGGCTCCTTTGCCATAGACACGTTGTCTGGGGAGTTGAAGTTACACCGCAATCACCGACAACGCTGGAGACCCACGAAACGCGCCGACTTATACCCAGGGCGATACGGCCCAACGCCAGCTGCCCAATCAAGGGGTACAACTCGTGCGGAAACGGCATGGCCGACTACTTTTGCTGCCCCAGCGACACGACATGCCTGGTCCTGGCGGAGAATACGACGGCCCTCTGCTGCCCGAAGGGAGCGTCATGCGATGTTATCTCGCCCATCATCTGCGATATCACCGCGCAGAATGTCATAGAAAACCCGACAAGCCCGATTCATACCACGAAACTCAAAGAGTCTCTACCATCCTGTGGTAGTAGGTGCTGTCCTTTTGGCTACATCTGTCAAGGCGGTTCTGCCTGCGTTTTGGATCAGACACAGAAGTCTCACACCAGCACGCCAGTCTCGCCCACAACGAGCACAAAGACCACGACGTTGGGAACGCAAACGGCAACCCAGGCAACGACGTCGACACCTTCCGAGAGCGTTCCAGGGGCATCGAGACCATCAGCCAGCCTGGGCCGGGAGCCTTCAACACCCCCGGCCACGGTGCAAACAGAAACGCCCGTCACAACCGCCTCGGCTGGGCACTCAACTCCAGGGGGCATCATCGCCGGGACCACCGTTGCAGCAGTCGCTTCGGCCGCCTTGTTGACGTGTCTCCTCTGGCTCAAGCGACGCTCCATCTCTGAAAAGGTCGGCTCCGTGCGGTGGTTCCCACGGCCCTGGCAGCAGCTCCGCGAACGGGGCTCGGAGCAGGACGTCTCCCTGCCGCGGTACAACTCCCCACCACCGGCGTACACGATTGAAATGAAACCCCCGTTCAAGCACACGGCGTTCAGGCACTACAGCCCGGACTCGGTGGGGGATATCGTGCCTGTCGAGTTGCCCGCCACGCCCGTTTCCTTTAGCGTGTGGTACGTTCGCGAGGAGGGGGAGGTGAGGAGGCCGCGGACTCATTATGAGCCCTACCGACGTCCCTCAGGGGAGTGAGTCGTGGTAGGGGCCCGGTTTCTTCATAGACAGCTGTTTCATTACAGCCTTTGTGTGCGTGTGTGTGTTCACGCATGCCATCGTACATGTCTTTTTATGAGAGATGAGACACGTCCTGTACATTATTATCACGAGAATTAGAGGCTTACAACGGGATCAGGATTTCGCCTGCCTGCTACTACTTACCAGTGTCTTCTCGCTTCTTCATGGTTACGTCACCCGGGTTCGTTTGCAATGAGGCATCTGTGGCCCTGTGCATCTATATGAACGGCTCGGAGGCCTTCAGGGCCAAAACATCTCCATCTCTCCAGTCGAGCCGTCCCTATCCTTTCGAACGGCTCTTCGACATTTGACCTTGGCTACAGCTCGAAGCGGCCTCGCAAGATGCCCCGCCCTTCGCCGGACCGTGTCATCCACGACTGGACGTTCGCCATCCTCCCCGTGGCCGCGGGATTCGTCCTCATCATCCTCACAGTCGTCGCCCTTGTCTACAGTATCGGCGTGAAGACGGCCATCCCCGAAGGCCTGGCCATCGCCTTCGCCGGCCTTTCTTACGGCCTCTTCGGGCTCTGGATGGGGGGTCACCTCGTACGCTACTGCAGGGGACATTACACGCGGGGGGGCATTGCCGAGGCGGTGACGCCCCCTTCGCTGCCCCTGACGGGCATCGCAACTGGAGCAGATGGCGCAACGATGGCGGCGGGCCCCTCTATCGTGCTTCCCATCAGCTACCAGCAACTGCAGCAGCAGGGCCGACAGAATCACCAGGAGGACCACCGACAACAGCAGAGGCAGTATACCCAGCAGTATCAATCCCGGCAGAACCAAGAGCAACACCACCAGCAGCAATGCCAACAAGGGCCTTCGCCGCGGCCTCACATGCAGTCGCCACCGTCACCGTCACCACAGGGCCAGTTTCGACAGCAGCAGCAGCAGCAGCAGCAGCAGCAGCAGCGTTACCATCCGCAACGAGACCAACAGCCACCCCCACCTCACCAAATCGCGCGGAGACCAAGCGATCCCAGAAATACACTCCTTAATCAAGTGCCGACCGTCTTACAACCAGGACCGAGGCAGAGGCAGTCGCCGTCGGAACCCAATTCGAGGACGGATCAGCAACGCACATCTAGCGTGCAGCTGACCCCCGTCGAGGCGTATAGTGGTTGTCGGAGTCACAGTCTCGACGTCCCACGCACTCTGCACCGCGAGAATCGACAGGTCTCGAGAGAAACCCCCGCGCAAGGAGCGTCGTCCGCCGACGTTACGGGACCACATCCCCAGGGAAACCAGAGCCGTGTGACGCCGCATCACAGAGACGTGGAGCGAGACCCTCGCCGCGCTTCGGTGCGGTCGGCGAGCTTGGATTCCGGCACCCGGCAATCTTTACAGGCGAGAGACTCCCAGCTGCCGGTGGTAATACCGTTCGGCTCGGGGTGGGCTAATACTGGCCAGCACAACTCTCTAGCGGTCGCCCCTCTGAGAATACGGAAAGAAGGGGATCAGAGCCAGGCGCCCAGTCCCGAGGAACCATACCCCAGTGCCTGGGCTCCCGCAGGTCAGCAAATGCAGATGAGCCAACAAGCAGGGCGGGTGAATCCGAATCTGCATGGCCCGAGACCGCAACCGCAAAGCAACCCCAGAGCCAACGGGTCTCACGCCATTCGAGTGGTTTCCGAATCGCCTCCCGGCAACGACATCGCTGCCACGCAGCCCGTCCAGGCCGAGGTACGTGGTCGCCATCTCGCTCCAGCCCCCGCTCCCTCTTCCCGCTCTCATTCTCCTGCAATGAGGTTTGAGGATATCGACCATCCCGGGGTGCAAAGGACGTCACAGACAAGCAATGCTCTCAGAGCCGTGGCTGACGGAATTCTCGAGCACGTCTCGAGGGGGAGAACCAACGCCAACCATGCCACAAACTTTGTCTTTGTGCCGACGTGTATCTTCACACACAACCATGCGGTGGATCTGGAGCGAAGCAACGCAAGAATCTTTGGGGTCCTCTACGAGGATGCGGGTGATGAGAAACCTCGGGGTCTCGGGAGCGAGCTCCGGTACAAGCATGACAGTGGCATCATAGTGGAGGGCCCAAACGACGCAGAGCGGAGCAGTACGCCATCTAGCTGTTGGAGCTCCTGGAGTAGTCGACCAGGGGCCACTTCTACATCCGGTCGGTCGGAGTGATATAGAGACTTGCGTCTTTCCGGTGTGGTGTGATAAGGTACTAGTCCTCGGATACAAAAATCTACTTCTTTTCACTTTCCAAGCACTGCCCAGCTTTGAACCAACGGAATGAACTCCCGGAACTTTTGCCCCGCATGATTCTCCGCTTCATCTGAACAGCTCTCTGACGAGGGTGCTCCATGCGCAGACGGATTGGTTATCGGTAGCAATTGTACAAGTGATGTTGCCGGTGAGGGGGCTGAGGTTGGAGCATCTTACCGTATCACTATGCAACCTCGTCTTATTCAATTGGTAGGCTCATGGAATCAGTTGTTCGAGAGGCCAAGGATCATGCATGAAGGTGAAAAAGTAATGGGCCAGCGAGCCAGGTGAAGGTTGTGGCATTGTCTGACCACCTCATCTTGTTCTACCTACATGGCATAGAGTTCAGCCGATATGTATAAGTAGAACGCACCGAGCTCTGGGGGCTTTCGGAGCGCCCTTGAAGTATTCGCCGCGCAACACTCTTTTTGGGCTCATGATATTGGCGAGATCGCAGCGGACGACATGACCGAGCCCGCCTCCAACGGCATGGCCTCCTGGACCAGCACAATCTACAACCTCAACCGCGGCAGCATCGAGGATGAGCTTGAGCGCCTCGCCTACAACCACTTCAACATTTGGACCCCCCTCACCGGCGGCCTGCTTCCTGCCCACATCCTCTCGTCCCTGCAGTCCCAGGACCGCCCAAGGATCGCAGACATCGCGACAGGGAGCGGTGTCTGGCTGACCACCCTCGCTGACGATGTTCCGCCACGCTCCGAGCTCATCGGATTTGACCTCGACAGGCTGAAGCTCCCGCCACGCCCACCGACGCCGCCAATCCCTCCGCCGCCCGTGTCCCCTCCCCTACGGCCGGAGCAGCCGACACTGGATTTCCGGGAGCAGGACGTGCTGGAGCCGTTCCCCGCGGAGCTGCGGGGTACGTTCGATCTCGTGCACGTGCGACTGCTGGCACTGGGGCTGAAGGCTGGGGACTGGGATGGCGTGCTGAGAAGGTTGTACGATCTGCTGAAGCCTGGAGGGTGGCTGTTGTGGGAGGACACAGGTGACCTGTTCATGGGGGCGTTCCCACCTAGTCGAGTGTACGATGAGTTCTGGTGGGCTCGCATGAAGCACGATGCGAGGTTAGGGAGAGACAATTTGTGAGTCGACCCGCCACTTATCATGTTGCAGAGCCTCGCTGACACCAGCACAGAATGCCCGCGGCCCTGCTGAAGAAGCTTCGGAAGCTCAGCTTCCAGAATTGTGAGCAAAAGGTCTGGAGCACATGGGCGGCGGACGATTCGATCCAGGAAAAGGTCTCGGTGGCAATGCTCCAGCTACTCAAGCCAGGGTTGACAGCCGTGGTTGAAGACGGTGGTGAAGAGACGGTCCGTACGATGGAAGATATCAGCCGCATCGAAAGGGGCTTGGTGCGGGATATGGAACAAAATGGCGTCCGTCTTGGGCTTGATTACTTTTGGAATTGGGGCCAGCGGTCTTTGTGAAGTTTGCGCCCTTCGAGGAAACTCGTGCATGGCTTGTAGCACGATGTAGGCAAACCAAACAGTAGGCTTTCCGAGGTGGAAGCGCTCTTCTCAGAGGGGATCATTTCAAGTGAGCGGACCGAGGTGTAAAGTGGAAGGAGAAAGGAACCATAGCTTGGGAGTCGAGCTTGACGAGATAGTGATTGAAGATGTGGTCGCCGTGTCTCTACAATCGCGCTAGCCAGCTCGGTGTGTCTTGGGGACAAACAAACATTGTTTGGTTCTGGGAGCCCCCCCCATTGTATTTATTGAGCCTGTACTCGGCCCCCTGCTTGATACTGCTCCTGGACCCAAGTCACCTGCACATAAATCATCCTATCCCTCCGGACACTGGCGGATTCTAGCTTTCCTCTTCGGGATGGCTCTTGCTCATACGTGCGTGAATAAACAGTCGTCCCACATCAGCTCCCTAGCAAAACTTCGTCACTTACAGCATTGCGAAAACATTGTGTCAAATGGCGATCGAGGCAAGCGGGTTGACAAATCGCACAAAGCTGCAGACGACTGTGTAGTGCTCATCTGCATCGCAAGAGGGGAAGCTCAAAGGGACAATCCCTCGTGCGTTGTCAAGTCTCGCAAAAAAAGTTTATCAATTGTTATTTGCCCGAAAGGCAGCACTCACTTCCATTTCTAGGTCCTGTATGTCTAATTTCCCTTCAACTTGTCCCAAAATGAAGCCGAGGTTTTCTCACCGCTGACCGGGGGCGGCGACAAAATTATGGTGTTCCAAGTAACCTCGCCATCGACGTAGAGATTGTATTTGAGACTGCTCTGTTCTCCCTCAGCCAAATTTTCAATGGTGAGAGAGCCAAACTTGGAATTGCCAGAATGGATGTACCTTTAAAAAAAGTCAGTTATCGACATGACGTAACAATTCAGTCTCACTTACTTCAGAGCAACGTCCTCGTCGTCGCTCTGCCTATAGCTAGGCAGAGGCGAGGCGAACTGGTTAAGAGGGCTGCAAGAAAACTCATAGGCGGCAGCAGTTTGAGGCCATCTCCCGTCTGCAGGCGGAGGAAACTTAGTAGCCGCGAACTCGTGGCGGTCACCCGAAACAACAACAACACCGATGCCTCTCGCACCAGCATCCCACATAGCCTCGAGGACCTTTCGTCTCTCAACCAAGAATCCGCCCCAAGTGTCTTTGCGGTTGATGGGCCAGTTTTTGGTCAATGGAATAGACGACGCCACAATCTTCCACTTGACACCCTTTGGCTCGGGTCTGTTGAGCCAGTCAAGGAAGTCCTCAAGTTGCTGAGCGCCTAGCATGGTCTTCTCTGGGCTATCGAAAGGAAGGTCGTTATCGGATCGGTATGAGCGGGTGTCTAGCATGAAGAAGCTTGCGGGTCCTTGAACAAACTCAAAGTAAGTCGCACCGTCTCTTCGGAGGTTACTGGTTCCCGCAATGCGCGCGGGAGGGGGATTCGCATGCTCCTGGTAATGACGCCACGGCTCGATAGCAGCTCGGTAGACGCCCGTTGTGTTGGAAGACCAGTCGTTGGCAATCTCGTGATCGTCAAGCACGTGGATCCAGCTAAGGTTCTGCCCAACGGGAGCCCAGTCCGGAGAGGCGTAGACGTGGCGATACTTTTGACGATAGTCCTCCTCGTGCTTGCCCTGGCGCTTGGGCACATCAATGTAGATGAAATCGCCCAAGAACAACATGAACTGTGCCTGAAGCTTCGGCAGCACACTAGCTAGGTGTCGCATGCCTGGGATGGCAAGGGGATGTTCGAACGGGTTGTAAGGGAACCGCGGGAGGATACACGACGTCGAAAGGAAGGTAAACTTGTTATCCGCAAAGACCGACATCTGACCTGCCCTTGGAGGCGCGATGAACTCGCCACTGTGATTGTTTGAAGTGCGCCATTCGTAGATCCTCTGCTGTGAATGCTTCAGAGGGATTGCGATCGTTGTGGTGAAGTCGGTCGTGTTGTCCGTGTACCTGGTTCCTCCAGCAAGCTGCCAGAGGGGATTGTCAAATGGCGGCTGCGGATCTTTGATGCGAATATCAATGGAGACAGGCATCTTAGTTTGATCAGGCTCGCGCAAGACGAACTTGGCCTCACTGGATGAGACATATCCTAGGCGCACAAAGGACAAGTCGTCGACAGGATGGTAGTGGCGAACGCGGAGGAGAAAGTCGGCGGCCATTGCAACCAAGACGACATTGATCAGCAAGGTGAGGGCCGAGAGGATAGGACTGGTCGAGCTGGGCGTGCCAGCAAGTAGGGTTTTCCACGGGCTGGACTTCCCTTTCACAGTAATGGTTTCTTCGATCCGAATCTCTTCAGCGACGACGTGGCCGTTGATGAATCCATCTCCGTCGTCGCCTCCCGCAATCGTCTCCTTGACAGTGACGTCAATGTCGTCATCGACAACGTCGTATTTCGGTTCATTGATGTATCCGGAGACGAAGGAAGGTACAAAGACAGCAAAAAGTGCAAATATACTCAAGGGTACTGCAGCCTACACCATCATCAGTAGATGCGCCAAGCCCAACGTTTGAAGGTTCGGAAATGATTGGGTTGGACTTACTGGGCCCGGAAACTAGAGTTACATGAGACGATTAATGAGAGGTTCTTAGCAGTGACATATGGAAAAACTTACCCATCTCAGAAAGACGTATGAGAGCGCGCGCAAGGCGATCGAAGAAGTGGTTGCTATATGCGTTTGAATCGTCATAACGGCGGAGACTCCGTTGGAGTGGGTAGAAGCAAAACCAATAATGCCGGTCGGTTGCAGATGATACTTATTTAGAAAGGCTTAGTAGATGAGCTTCTATATCATGCAGGGATCGTTGAAGGAAAGTCAAGAAGAAGCTGCTCCCGTTGCAGTCAATTGATCAGCGAGAGGGCAAGAAAGAGAGTTTGATGGAAGGAACGAACAGTCCGAGAACCTGCCCGGAAGGAGGTGGAAGCTCTGCTGTAGACCTTCGGGAGGGATGAGGTCACTGATTAATTGAAGGCCCCATACGCGTTGAAACACTAATGCGCGAGAACAAGCCACCTCTGAGGGACAGAGCGTGGCTAGTGATGATGGAGCTTCCTTATAGAAAGCTCGAATGGGCCTAGGTGCCTATGTATTAACCTGTAAGGTGCCACTCTCCGGGGAGCTTCGCTGGACTACCTACTCGCGCCGACTGGTCCGTGCACGATTTCAAGGGGCTTACCTCTAAGCGGGCACCAATTTTCCGCGCGCCGAACTTTCAATCGTGGCCCGTTCTAAGTGACACTTTGGCGACAGCTTGTCCACAATCCTCGGCATCAAGAGTCGACGATCGACACCCTCACGCGCGCCCCCCTCCCCCTCGAGACTCCCACACAAGACATCATGAGGGTATCTGCCATTGCCTGCGGGCTTCTCGCCTGCTTCGTTTCCCAGGTTGCCGCTACGGCATTGACCTACAAGCTCCACGCCAACGAGAAGGCCTGCTTCTACGCCAAGACCCAGAAAGAGAACGAAAAGATTGCTTTCTACTTCGCTGTACGTTGGCAATGACATTCGACTCATCGAAACTGGGCTAATTCAATGTGCGCAGGTCCAATCTGGTGGCTCTTTCGATGTCGACTACATCGTGACCGGACCGGGCAACAAGATCATCCTGGAGGGAGCTAAGGAGCGCCAGGGTGACTTTGTCTTCACTGCGCAACAGATGGGCGACTACGAGTTCTGCTTCAACAACGAGATGAGTACCTTTGCTGAGAAGTTTGTTGACTTTGAGATTGCCGTACGTCGCTCCGATTCCCGCTGCCGTACACGATGCTAACTGCACATCCCCGCAGGTCGAGAACGAAGTTCGCGCCCAGCTCCCCGCCAAGCAGGGCGCCTCCCCCGAACAGCACACCACTCTTGAAGAAACCATTTTCAAGCTCTCTGGCCAGCTCTCGACCATTTCCAGAGGCCAAAAGTACTTCCGCACTAGAGAGAACCGAAACTTCAGCACCGTCCGCAGCACGGAGGGCCGTATCATCAACTTTAGCATGATCCAGTGCGCTCTGATCGTGCTTATGGGAGCTCTGCAAGTGTTTATTGTCCGCTTCTTCTTTCAGGGAGCTCGCAAGGGCTACGTATAAAGCAATGGTCACAAAATCTGGTCTTGGATTTCTTGCGGTGCAAGCAGAGAGGAGTCACTAGGGGCTCGTGTATATCACAAGTAAAAGAGGTATGATGTGGTTTACGCTATGAGATATCAACGACGATCAGAATTCCAGCGCTATTCACATGAGGTCTGAGAGATTATGAAACGGCTGGCGAGGACCCTCACCAAGGCCAGTATCACTGGCTGTAGGATACATATCAAGTGTTTAACCGAGCGTCGATGTTATTTTAATTTCATGGTCCACATGGGCATAGGTGCCTGGCTGTTGCTGCTAGTATGTTTTATGCCTTGGAGTATGTTTAGCAGGTAGTTTGGAGGGGAAAGCAGCATAGCTGTTTTTCAGCCCGCATATGCTGAACAGGTAGGTAATCACCCAAGGTAGATGCGTGAGTCGCGACTTCCAGTCGCAACTTGATACAGTTACCTAAAGCACAACTGGTCCTTCCTCCATGTACCCGAGTAAACGAAGGTGCTCCAAGTGCGGCCCATCATTGTGGTGCGATATGATTGGTTCATTCCGTGAAAGGTGGATCCAAGCCACAGCAGGCTGTAAGTGGAGCCACCTTCAATCCATCTCCGAGCGGCTTGAGCTCTGAGCTTCGACAGCAACGGCAGCCTCGCCTGCGACCCGGGTAGGTAGGTCCTCTCAGCGACCGATTCACCCACTTCACGATCTGAGACGCATTTCACGAAGCAGTGCGACAAACGAAAACTTATTTGCGGCCCAATGCCGACGCGCTAACCGGGGTACATTCCAGCACAACACCACCTCCTAGGAGGTGGGCAACTCTTGTCAATGCCGAGTGGTTCACGCCATAGTTCAAAACAGCCGAAGAAGCCCAAAGAGCAACCCAAGGAGAAGTGGTTTACGATCAGGGATATTCTACAAGAAAGGAATCGCGGCAAAGGTATCGAGTACTTAGTGGACTGGGACGACGACCCCGACACTGGCGAACGGTATCGTCCTACTTGGGTAAGTCACTTGCTAATCCTTGTCATGCGGTGAATGGCCCTAACACTACTTAGACCCCGAGTAAGGACGTCACGTCAAAGGCGATATTCGACTGGAGGAAGAAACGCAACGCGATCCATCAGGGCGGCAACGCGACGTACAGAGAGTCGTCGGAAGCGCAAAGCGTTGGAGGACTACAACCTGAGGGCACATATACGCATACTTCAGCGGCAGACTCGCTTGACAGTAGTCAACCCGTCCAACCGCCACGCAGACGGAAGAGAAATCAGGGGGAACAGCTTGATGACTTGGAAGACGAACTCAATCAGTCCAAGCGAAGAAGGCACCATAGCGAGGCTCCTTCCTCACTGTCATCAGGCTCCGAGGCCGACACGGATGCCGCGTCGGATGTTTTATACAACCACTCGAGTTTCTTTGTGGCAATTCCCTCCAAGTTAGAGAACGATTTCTCTGAGTATATCAGTGTATCTGGTTCTCAGGGCCCAACTTCAATCGGCTCACAGCCTGTCTCAGCCCTCGAGGACGAGGATAGCCAAATTGTGCTTACTGATAACCTCAGTCAAAGGACCGTTCCCGACTCACAGGACTACTCGGCATTTGATACACAGGACTCACAGGAGTCTAGCAAACAGCTAGCATCGTCTACCAGAAATAAGGAGGGTACCGTTACAGACCGTGAAATCCCTGATTCTCAAAATCATTCGTCGTTGAGCAAGAGCACAGCGTCTCAGGCTCCCCTTCTTAGTGCGTCAGATCACCATTCACCATTCTTTATACGCCAAACACCCTTGCCTTCAGTATCTTCTCAAAACTGCCAGCAGGAGCTGTCCTCGACAGGCTACATTCAGAATAGTCCTGAGCAAAGCCGATTGCCAATCCTTGGCGATAACTTACCCACTTTCCCTGAGCCTCGGCAAACAACTGAAAGCCCAGTGCCATCGCAGACGGTGCAGTCACCATCTCAGGTGGTATCTCACTCAACCACTCGAGCCTTGAACCAGCAGCCCATACAGGACCGCGACTCCTTTCCAGCTTCCATCGCCGACAAATCAATTCCATCGCATCAGGTTGACGACTTGACCCCAATATACCAAGCCGAACATTCAGCAAGCCGTTCGGCTGGCGGAGACTTCCACCAAGAATCGCAGTCAGCCAGGACACCAATCTTTCTGACGCAACCTGCTTTCGACTTTGATATTCCTTGCTCGCAAGCATCTTCGTCGCCCAGGAGTGCTGCTGCGGATTCTTCGACTGCACTGTCAGCCAGCAAGAGCGAGAGTGCAGCCGAGCAAATCATTGCTTGCTCGGACACGCAGAACAGTCGCAGCCAGAACACTCAACTTGCACAAGTCGTCCCACCGCTACCCAATATCTCTGCAAGCCAAATTGGACCGAGCAGAAACAGCGCCGAAGACCCCGTGGTCCCCGACACCGTTCGCCGTAGCGCTTCGCGAAAGCTGTATTTCAACACCGGACCTACCCATTCGGATTCCTCTGAACCTGGATTTCCCAACAGGAATTCCAGCCAATCGACAAACGAATCACCTGTAACGTACAGACGAGGCGAGGACGTGGCCTCAGAAGCCGACAGCTTTCAAACGTGCATTGAAGGACGGTCACCACTTTCACCCACTTCGCCCGACAACTCACAAGACCAAGGCCATTGTGGCCAATTCACCGAGCTATCTCAAATCATGGACGCACCCGGCGGCGATCCGCTCTCGGCCATCGAGGAGCTAATGAGAATCCAGGAGGCTGCTTTGCAGGGCACATTAACCGAGGACGGCCTGCCCAGTCCTACAACCGCCACGGCACATCGTCGCGAAGATGGCCCCTCAGTAACAGACGCCGTTGATCACGCGTTCTCGGCCTCTATGGCCGATCCGTCCATGCACATCAACTCTCAACCTCCCATCGGAAGCGACTGGCACATGGGAGAGCCGATCACATCATCTACAGAGATGCCCGTTCTATCCAGCGCCCCTCCTGGTCCAATACTTGAGGCACCTGTCGATGACACACCCCGGACAGCGAACATGGGAGACATCTTCCCTGGCAATCTCATGCCCCCCGAGGCCACCAGTCAACTTCCAATTACTATCTCTCCCTCCGACATCAGTAGATCAATCGATCCAGATGACGCTTTGTCTGGCCTCCCTCATCACGATGAAAATCCATTGGAGATGCTGCCGGAGGACGACACCACGGCGGGGGGGAAGAGTACCGCGACGTCGCCCGACATCGAAGAGCCGTATCTTTCAGGCCCCCCAACAGCGGTAGACCAGAGCGAGTATTTGGTCACTGTGTCGTTTCCGGCGAACATCCGCCCTTTGTATTTGAGCACATTGACGGCATACAAGCGCGAAATCGAAAAGTTCAACCAGGCTTTGCAGTCCGATGAGGGCTTTCCGGACCAAGCCACTGTGGATTCCATCGGAAGACTCTTCAACCAGCTTCGGGACATCTGCGACATGCCCGCATCTCTCGATGGTCCTTCGATCGACGCCTTGTCGGCAATTGATCTCAAGAAGCACGCCATGGGCACTAACAGCAAGTTCTTCTTCGTCGGTCGGTTCCTCGAGCGACTGCAGACGAGCCACAAGAAGGTCCTTATTATTGTTCGCGACACAAACATCATTGGCTATCTCGAAGCTGTTGCCGGAACCGGAGACATGGCCTACTCTCTCAAGGGCCTGCATGAGCTCGAGAACCAGGACGAGCACTCCTTGCTTATCGTGCTTGTCCATACCGAGCAGCCTCTTGTCGACGATTTGAGCGACTTTGACGTCGTCATTGGCTTTGATAGCGGCATCATGCGAACCAATGTCTTGAGTCAGTGGGCTGAGATGAGCGGTAAGAAGCCGATGCTGATCAGACTCATGACAACCTGCTCCATTGAGCACCTCGAATTGATGATGCCGACGGAGCTTGAGGGCCTGGAGAGGCAGAATGCTCTGCTTATTGCCTTGTTTCAGGCAAGAGCTTTTGTCGCCAACGACGAGCAGGGCGAAATGATTGATCAGTTCACCTCTCTGTTCGCCAACCAAGCAATCGACCCTGACCCCGGATTTGGATGGGAACCTGAGCCGATTCCTTCATCTGTCCTTGACTTTTACTCCAGCACCCAGCCTCAGACCCAGATACCGCCTACTGCGGAGGAGCTGACCACCCGCAAGCGAAAAGCTGTGAGTTGTCTTTCTCTATAAGGCGGTAGTCAACTAATGCGTGGATCTAGGATGAGGGGTCGCAACAAGTCACTAAGCGTTTGCGCGTGAGCGATTCACCAGGACGAGCTGTGGGTGACATTGATGCGGCAGTCCATAACCATCTCAACCCAGACCCGTCCCGTGTGCATGTCGAGACCACTCAGAGTCACTTAGACTCGTTAACAACCAAGGTGCGTCGCATATATCTCCAAGTCCTGCTAAAGCTAACCCCATCGAAGGTCTCCGAGCTTGAGTATCAGTTGGAGGAGAAGACGGCCTTGGAGATGAACCTTCGCAAGCACGTCACCAATCTTTCGAAGAGAGTCAAGAGTCATGACAAGACCATAAATCTCATACAGGAGAGACACATGGCCGCACTCCGGGAGCGAAGCCAATATGAAGCCCAGCGGGATGAAGCGCAGAAAAACGAGGGTAAAGCCTGGGAGGAGAGCTGGCACTGGCAGAACAAGGCAAAGACCTTGGAACAAGAGCTCAAGCAGAAAAACACCACTCTCGAAGAGGCTCTCGTCAATGCCGGCACCGTCGCTACTGAGACTTTTAGAGAAAAGACGGAAGAACTCAATAGGGCTCTGGCGAAGATTGCGGAGCTGGAGAAGAAGCTCGAGAGCCGCGATGGTGAACTAGGATACGCCAGAGACGCGTACCAGACGGCCAACCATGCAAATAGCGAGCTAGCCCGGGAGAACCGCGATCTCAAAGAACAGGTTGATCTGCTGCAAAAATCAGCGGTGGGCAACCTGGCGCAGGTTCAGAACGTGAACGCCGGAGAACAGGTCAAGGAGATGCAGCGGCAAATCGCCGAAACTCAGGCCATCTCCAAGGACCGCGAGAAGGAGCTCGCTCGCGTCGAAAAGGAGCTGAGAGCGCTCAAGAACGGACGACGGGAGACGAGGCAGCAGAGCGTACCCCGGAGCCCAAGACTGGGCATGATGAGCCCGAGGACGGGACGCGCTGCAGGAGGTTCTGCTAGTAGGGGCACTTCACCCACGCCGCACGAGTCGGCTGGTGGCACGCCGGTTCCTGGTCTGCAATTCTTTAATACACCGGCCAACGGCCGATGGGGTCACCTCCGAGACTAAGGGGATGCTGGTTCAAGCCTCGGGGAAGGTGGAGAGGACTATATTGTGTTTACCTGTACTGTTAGTGATGGGGTCGGATGTTTACCCCGTGAGAGATACCATGGAGGAAACGGTGTGACGATTGGCTCTGGTTGTTTTCATCAGCTAGACCTAAAATAAGCAATGCACGTTGCAGAAAGACGTAGTTACCATGTCCACATACAACCTGTACCTGTGATGCGTGGAAACCGCCATTCATTGCAACTGCGGCTGAAAGCAATCTTACGTTCCAGAACCTCCGTGCAGGATCCATAGTGTAGGCCGCATAAAATTGTCTCAATTGCCTGGTGCATGTTGCGACCACCTGTCTACCCATGAATGCCGTCGATGATCGCGGTTGTTTGCCGGATGAGCAGGGAGTTGAACAAAAGAGATTGAGAAGCGTGGTAAGATGGTACATGGGACTTGATTGAGATCACACTACCAGAAAACTCCCCCCCCCCCGTTCTATCGACTTCACAGACGCACACAGCAAGCAGACTCTTGAAGGGTTATCCTTTGCCTTCTCTCTTCTTTCGTTCTCCTGTAGAATATACAAGTTTGATTCGTGGTTAATTCTGGATTGGCCAGGCGTCACGCCCCAGCCTCATCCAAGGACTTCGATGTAGTGGTCGTATGGCCCTGCTTTTGATTTCTCCCGCGGTTGCAGATGGCGAGAACGCTTAGTTCTTCTCCTCGGGGTAGATGTCCTCCTTCAGAGAGACACCCAGCTCTTCCCTCAGAGGCTTGAGCTCCTCGAGGTACTGCTCGTACTGGCCCTTGTTCTCGACCTTGGCCTTGACGCCTGTATTGGAAAGAGATAAGGTCAGCCCATGTTACATTTTCCACTATGCACGGTTTGGGGCCGCAGGTTCGCAGCATTAGGGCAGGTTGCTCTGGCCTGCGGAAGAAATGCACGGATGCAACAGGGGGGATGAAATGGCGTACCCTCGAAAATGCGGACGGCAGTGGCAAAGTCGTTAACGCGACGGGCAGCCTTGAGGGCGGCAGCGACGACGGAGGGAGAGGGAACCAGGTCGTAGGCGAAAGCGTTGTTGAGGTTGCGCTATCATGCGAAGAAAAACAAAAGTCAGCCTCGTTTACATCAGACCACTTTTGCCGGAACTGGAGTCAGATCCCGAGGCCCACTGCGTACCTGAAGCTCGAAAACGTCCTGGACGCCATCAAATTCCTTCTCGAATCTAATGCCAAAAGTCAGCAGTGCCAATTGGAAGTCGAATTGATTAGTCGAGGGGCCTCAATGGTTTCGTCGCGTGGAGGGAGGCGAAGGTGGCACAATCGTCAGGGTCGGTTCGTCCGACATCCCTATCTTCACTCTCGGTCTCATCAAGACCCCCCTCCAACCCCAACCCGACCGAGAATCCGGGGTAACTTTCGAACTCACCTCGCGCTGAACTCCTCAAAGGTCTCCTCGGCGTGGTCGCCAGAGCGGAGGCGGGCGCTGGTGCTGAAGGTGTTGGCGGCCGGGACACCGGCAACAACAGGCAGGAGCATGCCGGAGCGGGCGACGAGAGGCTGGCGGATGGGGTTCGCACGGAAGAAGGTGGTCGAACCGCGAGCGGCAACGCGGAGGATGGAGGCAGACATTTTCGGAGACGGCGAGGTTTCGATTACAAGAGGCGGGACGACCGTAGGGGAGCAAGGGGCCGATGCGGACTTTGGGGTGTCGCGGGCGGGCTGGTGTGACGTGGAAGAGGGTTTTTTTTTATTTTTTTGCGCGCGAAGCTATGGGCGTTTCGTTCGGGATTGAGTCGGATGATGAGTGTTGGCATTGGTAGGCACGAAAAAGGATTGGATTCTGCGAGATTTTGAATGGATGACTAAGCGGTAGCGTTAGGTGCTGTTGCTTTTGGGGGGTTGAGCAGGAGCTGAGCTCCAGGCCGTGCGAATTGTAATTGAGTCGGGCTAGTCTCCTGTACCAAAGGCTGTGTGAGCACAGTAGATGGACCTTTTCGCACGAGGGCACCGAACAGTTAGTTCACTGTAGACGGTTCTCCCCGGGATCCGGAAATGGTCATACTCATGCGCCTCTCACTGGTCCCTCATGCAGTAAAACCCCTTAGGTAAAGGATGTGGTATTTCCTCACTCTGTGTAACCGCTTATCGGGATACTCCACGGGGATTTGCTTGGGTCCCCCGGGAGATGGACAAGCATATGTGATCCCAGCTGCAACCCGTTCAGAGGCTCCCTCGGGTCCCGGTTGAGGCTGTCAGGTCAGTCGGGCACCTTCTCGAGAGGGAGTAGAGCTGATTGGGAAGGGGAAAAGAAAACACGGGGCCGGGCCGGCCGGGGCTACGATGCCGGAGATTGTGACAACATGCGTGAGCTGCGCTCTTTGTATGGAAGGTGTCGGTTCGTCTCCAGGTCAATTGGTCGGAGCCGAGGCACAATTTTTTCCATCGACCCTCTTCTCGCATCGGGACGACAGGAAGCGACTCTCGTCGCCAGACTTCGTCACTCTTGCAAGTAAGTGGGCAGCGTAGAATTGCGAAGCTGCATCACGATCCTCGAGGTACCCGGTACCTGCGGCCGTGAGGGTTGTTTTGGGGCTAGGCTGAGTTGGCAGTGTGGGTTGGCCCGACCTGCCAACTGGGCCTTATCCAGAGAGCGCCAGGCCAAGCCTGCAACGGCCCGCGTCATTTTTTTCAGCAAACCACAGAGGCAATGCTGTCCTCTTCTTACAGGCACCGACCGAGGCACAGCCAACATCACGCCTAGCGTGGCCCATCGTCAGCACACACCCTGTAAGGGTTCTTTACCAGCGCGCATGCTGGCCGGTGACATCGACAAGATCACGTGCAATGCGCATTGAGCCTTGGAACCTTGAATAGTGACCAGGAGCCCAAATGAGCATAGGCTCAGGCACGGGCCTTGATTGGCTGCCCCCAGTCCTGACAGCGAATCACATGCTGCACGATCAAATGAGGCCCGCGAAAATGGCTGCGCGTCCAAGTACAGGGTACCTGGACCATCTGGATAGGAATTTTCCCCTTTTGACCATCTCAACAACTTTTCGCATTGCTGCTGCCACCGGTCCTCTCCCGTCCTTTCTCTCCCTCCTCATAAATCAAGTTGTGTGCCCGTGGCGTTTGACAGTATCTTGTTGTCTGACCACCTCCATCCCTCCCTTCCTCCCCTCCTCAACCTTCAGACTTGTCTGTGCTCGGGTGTCCTCTGGCGGGTAGAGTGTTTGCTGCAACTTGCCTTTTTTCTTTCTTTCTCGTTGCTTCTCGTCCCTCATTAGGCTCTGCTGCCTCTGTCTGCTGCCGCGCTACGTGCCCGTCCATCAGTACACCCGCATCGTCCGCGTCGAGTCCACCAGGGCAACCCGCAACGACCCACGGTCATAAATCTTCTTAAGGAGATCATCCGATTCTTGACTTGAACCCATCGAGCTCGAAGAAGAAGAAAAACAACCATCAAGATGGCGACCCAGGCCCCCTCGTCGTTTTACGAGCAATTGCCTCTCCCCACGCTCGACCGCCCCTTTGGTATTCACCTATGGCCTCTGCTCGACAAGGTTTGGACTCCCATCGTGGGTTACCCCGTGAGCGAGTTCAAATTCGTCCCTGGTGTCACGCCCATGTCCACCATCAAGCAGGCTGGCATCTTTGTCGTCATCTACTACACCATCATCTTTGGCGGTCGCGAGTGGATGCGCAACCGTGAGCCCTACAAGCTTAAGGGTCTCTTCCTCGCCCACAACCTTTTCCTCACCCTCATCAGCGCCGGCCTTCTCGCCCTCTACATCGAGGAGCTCCTGCCAACTGTCGTGCGCAAAGGCATCTTCCATGCCATCTGCCACGCTGAGGGCGGTTGGACTCAGCCTCTCGTTGTCCTCTACTACGTGAGTTCATCGTTCTGCGCACTTGTTTTTCTTTTCTTTCCAGCAGCTGACCATCCCAGATGACATACCTCACCAAGTACCTCGAGTTGCTGGACACCGTCTTCCTCTTCCTCAAGAAGAAGCCCCTGAGTATGCCCATCGAGACCCCAGCCTTGCGAGACCAAGAACTAACAAACAACTCGCAGCTTTCCTCCATTGCTACCACCACGGCGCGACCGCTCTCCTCTGCTATACCCAGCTGATTGGCTCCACCGCCGTCTCGTGGGTTCCCATCACTCTCAACCTCGGCGTTCACGTCGTCATGTACTGGTACTACTTCCAGAGCGCGCGCGGTGTCCGCATCTGGTGGAAGGAGTGGGTCACTCGTTTCCAGATCATCCAGTTCATCATCGATCTTGGTAGGTCTCAATTGATACTCCACGACCCACGGCCACGTGCTGACAATTGCAGGCTTCGTTTACTTCGCGTCCTACACATACTTCACCTCGACCTACTTTCCCTGGATGCCCAACGCAGGCGAGTGTGCTGGTGAGGAATTTGCTGCTTTCGCTGGTATCGGCATCCTCAGCTCCTACCTCGTCCTGTTCATCTCCTTCTACCTTGCGACCTACAAGAAGGGCGGCAAGTCGCAGACCCGCAAGTCTCTCCGCCGCATGAGCCAGGCTCCCCTCCCCGACCCCCACCACGTTGCCTCGGCCGTCACCGGCAGCGCCAAAGCCAGCGGAGCCAAGACCAACGGTTCTACGCCCCGTTCCCGCAAGGCTTAAGACGCTGGCATCTCGGATGCCGTCCACAGTGTGGAATGTATATATGCGGACGATCGTACAAGAATCTGGAGGTTTCTGTGCCGAATATCTTGACGGATTACACGTTTGGATGTGGAGAAAAATCATTCTTGGCTTGGCGGGTTGCCCTGGCCGCGCGACGACCACCATCTGCGGCGCGGCCTCTTTTTTCACAACTGTGTATTACTGCATCGTTCCCGCACAACCGGCGAGGGACGCTTTGAAACCAAAAAAAAGAGCCTGCTGTGGTGAGCAGCGGGCTCACTGTTGGACGTGTATGACGACCTGGGAGGCTGATGACGTTTGCTTGTTTGTGTGCCTTTGGCGAACTGGGGGGGTTGGCTTCGGTTCGGTGGGCATCATTTGCGAAGGACGAAACGATCTCCGAGTGGGCAGCAAGGGCCACGCTCCCACCTGGACGAAAATAACCTTATAACATTTGTAATTTTCCTTGTGTTTCTCGTGTCATAGATGAAGCGGTAGCCGCCTCGGGCTGGAGGTTGACGCTACTTGATACTAATACTCTTTCACTACGATGCATCCGACCTTCTCTGGCGGGTGACAATTCAATGGGGTCACATGCACCTTGCTCGAGGTCCATGGTCAGGCTGGATCTTTTGGCTGCCCCTAATGGTATGTTACTGCATTTTCTTACACACCTCTTCCCGTCCCAAATGATGAGCAACTCGCGTTATACCCAGCTCACTCAGACGCACAATCTGTGCGGGTGCTGAGAACACGTTTGATCACGTCTGATTCATTGGGCAATTCATATTCCTCTGGGGAAAAAGTCATTGGACCTGTCAAGATGGCTAACTATCTTCAGATGTTTGTTGAACTCGACGATTTTAGATGCCCGAAGGAGGTGAACAAATAAGTAGAAGAATACGATGACTCTGGACATACAGCTATATAGTCTTTGTTTGTCGACACCAGGCCGATAGTGATTTGCTGGTTTTGTTGGCCACGAGACGAGATGACCCCTGAACTTAGGTCTTCAGTTCCAGGGCAGGGCGGAAGGCAAGACGACCGGACACGCCCGAGTGTGCTGCCCCCTGTGCCCGCTCGATGCGCCATCCTGCCGCATCCACGATGGTACTGCCAGTTTATCTTCGTGTGGTGCTGAGCTCGAGACTCGGCTGTCACTCGCGTTCGTTGCAATGTTGTTCCAGGGATGTTTTCTTCCAAGGATATTCACGTCATTGTCTTCCGATGCTTCCTGCCCAATGTTTAAATGCTAGATCTTTGTGCTGTTCATCAACCCCTTCACTCCAACGGTATTCGGTCCGCAAACCAGCCTTTCAATGCACTCGCTATCCAGACTTGCTTCCCCTTCCAGCAACCGTCTTCGCAAGCCGTTTTCATACATGAACGCCAGCGAATGGAGGCTTGTCCCCGCTTGCCCTGCTCGCACCCATGTTGGGGAAACCAGCACCCGGACTAGTGAGATCTACACGCGAGCCCCCCCCCGCCAGCCTCGCCGGCTGCCACCGGTCTTAATGGGGCGTATGAGGGCCGTCATGTTGCTGGGTTTGCCCAGCATCTCTTTCTTGGTACGGAGTACTCCCTACACTAATGAGCCCCGTCTTCGGAATTCCGATCCCCGGGCGGTTCGTGGACGGGTGTTCGCGATGCCACGCGCTATACCGTCGCCTGCGATGCCGACTGCTATCCGGGAACTCTCAAGGCTGTCGGGGCAACCGGGGGCAATGAGTGCCTAAACCTGAACACCGTCCGGCCTGCCGGCGCGACGTTGTCCTCGAAGCTCACCGTCGCGGCCCAGATGCATCATGGCGGCTTCGTCGTCGGCTACGACGGCGACAACGACGAAGGCAGCAGCCGGCTCGCTTGACACCTCAGTGGAAACCGATGCCGACGCCGCGTACTTGTTCAGTCCCCCGTGCGCAAACGTGTCGTCGCACCCGACGCTTTCGAGGAACATTGTCGACAAGTCGATTGCGTACTTCTCCACGAGCGACTACAACCCGTCCTCAGTCATGTTTAGTGTGGAGATGGTGTGGAAGACGGAAGCCGCTGTAGGTAGAGCTCGGCTCCAACAGTAGCCGGCCACCCGGCGTCCTTGATGGGTTGTTGTCTTGGAGACCGTATAACGCAATCTGCAGCTTGAGTCGCCGCCTTCCAGGTATCTTATTGAGTTGCGGCCGTACTCGGCCACAGTTCACACAGGCGTTTACAGGGTATACGGCCAGTCAAATGACACAACAGATTGGCAAACTTGCCCCTGATTATAGCAATGCCGAGAAATCTGCAAACCTGAGCTTCAGGCGTCTTCTTGGCCGTCTTTTTTGCTTACATCCTTGATTCAAAATTTGCCATGAGCCTCTCATTAAGACGTTTCTTACATTCATTCATGAATGTTAGAGTCAGTTATGCTGAAGGGGCACGAAAGGGGCAGGAAGAAAGTCTCTCAAACGGCATCTCGTATTCGTTTTTGTGGCCCACCTCGACGGCGAAGGCCCTCACAATACTTCTTACATACTCTATCCCCTCCGCTGCACAGTCTCGAGCCATCTAAAGGCCGCCGTCTGTATTCCCTTTTGGTAGGGCTAGTCTTGTGAGAGAAAAAGAAAAAGAAAAAAAAAGTGGTCAAAGTAATAGACACGCGTAGGTGAGTTACTTGTTACATGGTGGCGGTCTCTTTCTTTCTTGTATCAGGTCTTCCGCCTCCTGCTTTCAGAGGGACCCTCTAGGAATAAACAACAACTAGGTGGTTGGTTGGTTTAGTAGTGTCAGGGGAAAAAACAACCAAAAAAAGAAAAGAAAATGAGGCTGAAAAAGCAAGTTTTGCTGCCCAAAAATATCTCTTCCGGGACAGTTTCGCAGCGGCCGTTACGCCCAGAAACAAGACGGTGGCCTCCTCTCATCATCCATTCCCAAGCTCACACTGCGAGAAAACTCATGGGATCAGGCTGGTCGAGGAGGGCCCGCCAACTATGGTCCCAAAATGCATCTTATCCCGCCTCCAACCAAACCGCCGTTTCCCTACCAATCTTGAGAAGAAAAGCTTAAGAGATGTGCAACGCCGTTTGCAATCAAGAAGGGAGAGAGAAAAATGTGTGTGATGTGGTGTGTGCACAGTTACCAAACTAGTGACACTAGAAGCGCTGGAATTGGGCCCTTGCGGCGGCCATGATGATGACAAATGAAAAAGGAATGAGTCGAATTATTTTGGGGCTTGAGCTGCGCCCAGAAAACAGAGCTGTGTGGTGGTGCTCTTTTGCAGGCTGACTGTCGCGCACTCGAGGCTTGTGCAGTGACAACTGCCGACCGGTGCCGGACGAGGGAACTTCAGCAACTCGGCTGATGAGATTAGCTGGATATCGAACGTCGTAAGTACGTAATGGGTCATGATCCATTATATATGGGCGACAGTCAAGTGAGATGCGGTTGACGCGAAAGCGTCAACTCAAGAAGCCAGCACGGGCTGACCGGTAGGGATTGACGGGCAGGGCTCAGCAGGACTGATACAGCAGTAGCGGCTCTCCCACGTTTTCGATTTCGGGAATCGTGCACTTCAGGTCGAAAGCCTTGGACAGCACAATCTTGAAGATCTGCGAAGGGGTTAGTCTCGGGCCACGAAATACTAGTTGGAGACTCACCTTTTGCACGTTGATACTATGGCTCGTGCTGGAGAAGATCAACGCAGCGCGCATTGCCTTTGCGAAACGACGGGCCTAACGTTGTCAGTTACCGAAGAATATCAGCAGACTCTCTACATACCTGGTTAGAGATTTCCTCTTGGTCCTCCCTTGGGAAGTTGACAAAGTGGTCGTACTTGGTACCCACGAGAATGGGGATGGCAGTCTTGTTGAAGCCCCTGCCCTGCCGGTACCATTCCTTGATGCTGTTGAGCGTGCTCTTCCGTGTTAGGTCGAACATGAAGAGGATGGCAACAGCATCGTTGCAGACCAGGGGGAGCATGTTGACGAACTCGCGCTGGCCGCCCAAATCCCAGATTGAAAATGTGATCTCGGTATTTCGGATGGAAATGGTCTTCTCCATGAAGTTGACGCCCAGTGTCTGGATGTAGTCCTCGTCCCAGCTTCCCTCAACATACTTGACCATCAGACTCGTCTTGCCGATTTGCGCATCTCCCACCATGCCAACCTTGATGACGACATGGTTGCGGCCGTTGCTGGCGGCGGCTTCTGCGCCGGCGCTGCTGCGCGAAGCATGGTCGGCGTAGCCTTGTTGCGCGCCGGCGCCGGATAGACCGGAGGCAGGCCTTGAGATAGAGGGGGCATTCATAGGCAGAGGCGGTGTGTTGTAGCGATCCGCTTGTTGGTCTTCCATCCGCGGGGATTGTGGGAGGCCCTGGTCGAGGGACTGACTGGGTTGATGGCGCTGCTTCTCGGAGTAGTCATAGCCATTGTTCTGGATAACCTGCGGAGAGGCATCGAAACCACCGAGGGCGTCGTCGGGATGCGGCGGGGCGGCACCGTGATCGTGCTCCATGTCGTCGACGTTGTCGTGGACCTGGGCCAGGGACCCCGCGGATAGTGTTGAGGAATCCAGCGTGGAGGTTCGGGGGTGGGGGACGGGAGGCTCTGTCTCGAGCGAGGAGACGAGGAGATGATGATGTTCGACGCAGCCCTTCTGGAAGAGGAAAGGAGAAGCGGCAGTTGGCGCCGAGCTGGAGGAGACAGCGAGGGTCGGGAAGTAGGCGGCAGGTTTTAGTTTGGGCCCGACGATGGCTTCATGGGCACTGCCAAGGGTGGCGCGGCGATCGATCGGGAGCAGAGGGCTGAGTCGAACTCCAGCTGCTGAAGTTGGAATCTGTTACCGATTAGGACTGGCGACGTCGACGCGGCTCACAGGAGGTGAATCGTGAGGCAGGACAGAGAGGAATGAGTGTTAGGCAAAGGTGTCTCACCTAGCCTGTCCACAAACGAAAGCAGAGGGGGAGAGAGGGACAGAAGTGCGTGGTGTGGTGTGGTGTGTCCAGGCAGTACAGCGCGGAAACAAGAGACGGGATTGGACGCCGGGCTGAAGCAGGGGGTAGGGCACCTCGAGCTGGAATCGAACGGAGCAATGAGAAGAAAGGGATTGTGTTGGATGTAATTAATAAACGTACCGCTAGTAGAGTAAGGTAGGGTGGCAGTCGTTTACTGGACCAGGTAGACAGTCGTCAAGGCTGAGCCAGACAACAACGAGGACGACGACGTTTATGTGCCTTGGTTGCAAACTGAGCAAGCAAAGTCTAGACTGAAGAGAGGTGATTAGGAGGAGCCAGGCGATCGTCGGTAGACGGTAAAATAGAACGAGGCGAGGTGAAGCGGGAGGACGGTGAGGTATCGACGGGACGGGATGTCGATGAGATGCGGCGGTGCGGTGCGCAGTGGCAGAACTCAGTGACGGTCATGGAATGTACCGAAGCGGGCCAAGGCAAAACGGGGGGATGGGGATGGATTGGCGGAGATGGAGTCAAGCAGCGTGGGTGTCAATGTCAAGCGACAAGGCAGACGAGTTGTGAATGTGCAAGGGCAGTGGAATGGATACTGGATGGATAAGACGGGGATGAGGAGATGCTTGTGCGACGGTGTGCTATGCTGGTTGCTATGTTTTGGTGCAGGACAAGAGGGGGAAACGGACTAGGAGGGGCCGCTCCCCATCTCTCGGTGCACCTGTACAACATCAGTGCAGCGCAGCGTCCGGCGGGTTTTTATTTTTATTTTTATTTTTATTTTTCATTTTTATTTTAACCAAGGTACACCACCTATCACTCCCTAGGTGCATAGTACCTACCTAGTGACCCAGCCGTGGCGCGCGCTGATGGCAGATCGAGCGAGGTGCGACGGGGGGGGCGAAGCAGCGACCGGTCAGAGGCCACGGATGGGCGCTGGGGAACCGGTGATGACGCCGAAAATTCATAATTCGGCCATGACTGTGAGGGGGAGAACGCGAGAGGGACGCGTTTTGTGTGTATTGTGTTATACAGGCAGGTTGCATGTTATTCAGCTGCCCCAGGGATTAGCGGCATTAGTGCTAATGCTTCCGAGGATAATGGATGCTGGGCGAGGGGTCAGGCGGCATTGATGGATTGGCTCAACAAGATGCGCTCATGCCACGACCTACCATTCTCCCTTCTTGTTCCTTTTTTCCTTCCCTTCTCTTGACCACAAGTTTGTCATCACAACTCGGCGGTCCACTGGCATCCCCTGCTTGTCCTGCTCTCTGGCATTCAGGCGAAGCGAAAAGAAGCCTGGAAGCCCACCGGACAGCGGGGACTAGACCGTGAGCGGCATGACGGGACCGCCACTGAGCCAGAACGATCAAGCAGACCATGGCAACCTTGGAGGGCGGTGAGATCATGTCGTAATCAATGCGAACAGAGGAATATAGGCCACTTTCCAATGGATGTTGGCATGAACCATTGGACAGTTGAACAATCGATAGTGTTGTTTCCGACAGCTGACAATTGGTTGCCATTTTTGCTCCCGTAGCTGCCTGCAGCTTGTTGTCTGGTAAAGCCGCGGCTTTCAATGTCAACAAAACACCCCCAATGTCAACAACCGATGCGCCCAACCTTTTCAACGCGACATGGGACGATGCACAGCGGGAGGGGCAACAAAACAGACGTCAGACCGCATTTCCATCACGAAGCAACGAACAACTGACCGCTGTCCTAGAACGGAGGTGCTGAAGTGAGCGATGCCACGAAAAGGGGCGTGTAAAAAAAGAAAAGAGAAAAAAAGAAGCAAAAAAAAGGACTCGAGGAAGCCAGCATGCGATTTTGCTTGCACGAAATGCCCAAAGTCATGCAAAACGGCATGAAGCCGTTTAATAGCACCCGCAATATTTGCACGCCAAACGTACGGGACACTCCCGGCTGGCCTGACGACGTGTCCCTGGCCCGCTCCTTTTTGTCCCCAAGCCATTGGGTTCATGCCAGCCTACCTACTAGGAAGAACGCAGTATCCGTACAAGTGAGCACGACGGTACGTACCTATGCACTTATGTAATACAACCTTCCTTGATACCTTAGGTAAGCGCACGACCGCGGGGCTCTCTGCGGTCCTCGGCTTCCTCTCCTATCGCCCTTCCTGCGCGGTCCCTTATCGCAACCGACTCCGGACCGATGGTGATCCGTTTCATTGAATGACTAAGGTGCTTGAAACAGTGACGTCCGTTCTGATTGGCTCGGCGGTCCCATGGGCTTAAGTGGCCGGCTTCGGTAGGTACTGTACGTACCAATAACCTATCAAAATTCCCCAGAGCTCTCCAAAAGTCGCCTGTTCTGACCTCATTATCTCCCATCCCACCTCCAACGAACCGGCATACCTCCACGCCCTTACCACCGCAACAATGGCCTCAATTGCTCGCAGCATGAGGGCAGTTCGCCCCTCCGCCCTCTCCCAGATCGCAAAGGCCGCCCCCCGCGCTGCTTTCCCCCGTCCCGCGCAGCGCGCCTTCTCTACAACCCCCATCAGTGAGCTCCGGTCCATCTCGGCTACCTTCCCGAAGCACCAAGACTGACTCTCGGATCTCCTCCGAACCACCCTCCAGGCTTGATACGCAAGTACACAAAGGACCACGAGTGGGTTGACCTCAACGCCGACAAGAAGACGGGCGTCGTTGGCATTTCTGAGTACGCTGCCGAGCAGCTGGGCGACGTCGTCTACGTCGAGCTGCCCGAGGAGGGCGCCCAGGTCACCCAGGGCGACGCCATCGGTGCCGTCGAATCCGTCAAGAGCGCCGCCGACATCAATGCCCCCATCAGCTGCAAGGTCACCCAGGTCAACGTCGGCCTCGAGGAGAAGCCCAGCACCATCAACAAGGTCCCAGAGGACGACTCCCACGGCGGTGGCTGGATTGCCAAGATCGAGGTCGACGAGACCGGTGTCAAGGAGCTCGATGCTCTCATGAGCGAGGAGGAGTACAAGGCTTTCACCGCCTCCGACGACCACTAGATTGGGAAAGAGGCGAGGGAACGACACGGTAAAACGAAAGAGGCCCATACAGAGGGAGGGAGGGAGAGCTTGGAACATGGTCTGCATACAGCGTTAGGGTTTACACCAGGCCAGTTTTCACCTAGGGTTGCGGTTCAAATCACGTAGATCAATGAGATGATGGTTACCAGGCCCCATTCAGGGCGAGAGTCTATTCCGGCATCATTATTGCCAATGCCTTTATGATGAGGGGATAGTCGCTTCCGTCGCCGTCTGGTTGCCCGGCCGTACCTGGTTGATGTCGTCTAGGATCTGCTGTGCGCCTCTGTCCACGAGGGCCTGTGCCACCACCTTGCCAAAGTCGTCGGCCTCCTCCGCGGTGGTGATGACCTCGACCATCTCCGTGTCCACCCCGCGCGTGCCGTCGGCGTGCACCACCGTCGCCTTGAGCCGCAACTTCTTGCCGTCCTCGACCCAGGTCGTCTCAACGCCGATGGGCACGCTGCATCCTCCCTCGAGCGTGCGCATGACGCTCCGCTCCGCGAAGCAGGCCAGCATCGTCGGCTTGTCCTCGAGCTCCTTTATCACGGCGAGCACCCGCTCGTCGCCCGTCCGCGCCTCGATGCCCAACGCTCCCTGTCCGACAGCGTGCAGGGTGCCGCTGTTCTCCGACTCAAGGAACTGCGAGATGCGCGCGCCGTAGTCCATGCGCAGCAGGCCGGCGGCCGCGAGGATGATGGCCGAGAAGGGGCCCTCGGGGTCGTCGCACTTTCGGAGGCGTGTCTCGATGTTCCCGCGCACGTCGGCGAACTTCAGGCCCGGATAGCGGCGCTTCAGCTGTGCTATGCGGCGCACGCTGCTGGTGCCGATGACGCTGCCCTCGGGCAGGTCCGCGAGGGTCTTCCAGCCGTGCTTCTCGGCGAGGCCGGCCTTGAAGACGACGACGTCGCGCGGGTCCTCGCGCTTGGTCACGCATCCGAGGGTGCAGCCGTCCGGGAGAGTGGTCGGCATATCCTTGAGGGAGTGGACGATGATGTCGATTTCCTTAGCCGCGAGCTTGGCCTCGAGCTCCGACGTCCACAGGCCCTTGCCACCAAAGTTGTACAGCGCCGTGATCTGGTCCTTGTCGCCCAGGGTCTGCATGCCGTGGATCTCAAACGACACATCAGGCCGCGCCTTGGAGAGGCCCTCGACGACGATCTCGGCCTGCTTCATCGCCAGCGCTGACTTGCGCGTGCCGACATGGATGACGCCGCTTTCGGCGGTGGACGGAACGGCGGCCATTGTTGGTGAGCTAGGTGACGGGTATGTCGTATGAAGGCACTCGACAGAAGTTTGTTCGATATCGGCCGAGGTCAGTCAATCGCACCCGGTTTGTTGTCTGCCGTGCGGTGCGTCGAGGAGGTTGTACGAATTTTGGGACGGGAATGGCGGGGATGGAGGGGTAGCACAGGTAGGTAGGTAGATTATACCGGCACCGTCAAGAGACTGTAGACAGCACTGTGCATGTCGGAGTTTCAGGGTCCACCCCGCGCCCCATCTCCGAGCTCTTGGCTGCATCGTCAAGCCGAAGTTTACGGTAACATCGTCCTCAGTCGTGTCCAGGCTCATGCTCCTGATCCTCTAAGAGGTCTTCGTGGGCGAGTCAAAGCGCACATGCATTCGACTGCGATGGATACTCGGCTTCGGCCTTGCGGGGCGACTTCGGCTTCGGGTCTCGCTAACCTGCTTTCTAGTCACCTGGCTGGACACTCTAGACCTCTCTTCCACTTACATCACAACTGGAGTCGGAATGGTGTATCAGAACATCCGGCATGGTGAAGAGCAAACAATGTCTGACGTGTCAAGACACAGGATACGCCACGAAACAACACGACAGCCGTGAAATAATCCTATTCTCCTAATCCCCTTGAGACAGTGGCACGAGGGTCAAGTGCCTGAGGTTCAACGCTCAGGGGAAGGTCTCACGGATACTCAAGTACGAGGGCATCACGCTACACCAGTCTCGGTCTCGTTGAGATGGCAGTCCGTTGCTTTGGTGGTCAGCTTGCTCCCTCACCCTCGTCAAGTCCCGTTGCACCCGCATCATGGACCGGTTACTTTATGGTCCTCGAGGTCGGACTTGGACAAGCGTCGGGGGACCGATGACGCTGTATCATGCAGCTCTCGAGTTGCGCGGCGAACATGGTCTTGCACAGTGATGGCACGTACATTCTCGGGGCAGTCTGATATACTGTTCCGGAGACGCCCAGCGAACTAGCATGATGCATACACGCTCATGTTGTCGCGGACTTGGGTGGTTTGAGAAGAGACCGGGGAAGTTGCAAGGACAACCGAAGACACATCACCCTCGAGGCCGCGAGCATATCAACCACGTCCCACCTTCACATTCTGCCTCCGTCCCGCTTAGTGCGACTCTCCTCACGGGTGGAACAGACGACGTGTATGCGACCTCATGTCGAGCCCTCGAAGACATCATTCGAAGCTCAACTGGGCTCTGCAGGTCAAATCAATATATTGCCCGCGAAATCTGTGCATACCGTTCACAAGCTATAAAGACGGCCAACGCGTCGTGCCCTTCCACGGATCACGCCATTCTTGTCCTTATCTTCAACTACTAGATCACACAGCAATCCATCATACCTCAAACCCTACGACATTCAACCTTCTCGCAGCCATGAAGCACACCTTCTTCACGCTTACCACCCTCCTGGCATGGGCCTTTGCGGCGCCCCAGGACCCCCAAGTACCCCTTTCAACCTCCGTCATGACCCTTATTGTGACCGGCCCACCGGCCCCAGTGTCCACGGAGCCCATCCCGAACAACCCCGAGCCCCTCCCCGAGCCCCTCCCCGCGCCCGTGTCGTCTGCACCGGTCCCCTCCGACCCGTCTCAGCCCGCGCCCCCTTCCGATGGTCCTCACTGCGTCTGCGGCGCGACCTACTGCGGCAAGATCCTCGTCGGCTTCCAAGGTATGTGGTCCGGGATCATGACCCGCCATCATTCATAACCCGGCGAGAAGCATACCTCTCTGACACCAGACCAGGCTACACAACCGAGCAGGTCGGGCAAGGCTACTGCTCCACGAACGGAACGAACTGCGCCTCCGCTGCTCCGGCCCCGGAGTCCCTCCAGAACACCCTGTTCGTCTGCATCTGCCCGGCGGGCCAGAAAGAGGGCTCGACCATCGAGCTCATTTGCCCCTGCCAGGGCGTCTGCAAGAATGATAAGCCCGACTTTATCGCCCGCTGTGACAGCCCCTGCGGTCTCGGGTGCGCTCCCACGGCCCCGGCTCCGTCTTCGTCTCCGGTCCCAGTTCCGCTCCCCGTCCCCGTGTCGGTCGATCCTGCTCCCGTCCAGAACCAGCCCATCCCGCCTGCCGCGCTTCTTGCAAAGAAACGGGCATAATGGCTTGCCTGGTCTGGGAACTCGACACCGTCTCCGTTCTTCATGTTGCTACTTCTTGTTGCGGGCCAATGGGAGTTGAGATGGATGTTTCGGTCGGTTCCCCATGAAGGGTCCGACTTCCACACTCTTTATACGATTGATGAGCATAACGAAAGGGCACATCTTTGGCACATGTGCCGTCCATTGGGCAGACCACACACTCTCTAGGGTTAGATACCAGCAGTCCTTCATTGACTTTTGCTTGCCACTACCTGTGCGATACGTGCGAGCGGCGGCCCATGTTTGCGTCAAAACACCCAAGCGCGAGGGTCGGTCAAATGCCCGTTGATTGCTGTGTAATACAAACTCCAAGCTGTAACTAAATCACTGTTCGGTATGTGCAACACTCAAAATACCAAACACGCATTTTCGACTTTGGAAAGAAGAAGAAGAAAAAGAAAAAGGAAAAAGAAGTAAAAAGCCATCCTGCTAGAGAGCTCCCTGCAGATGCAGCACTTCTAAAGATGCTCCCCGAGTCAAGATTTTCCCCACCGAGATGATGCTCTTTGACGTTGCGCAAAGGAGATCTCTCTAGAATCTATGTTGCTCGGGCTTCGACGGCTGCTTTGATCGCTGCGAGGAAGTCAGCGAGGGGAGGGTTTTCTCCGACGGGTAATGTGAAGGGGGGATACACACCGTCGCAAGTCACTTTGGCGTCTCCAAACAGCATGCGCGTTCCGGTCATGTAGAACATGGGGTTCGGTACGTCGGCTGCCTTGGTCAGCATGTTACATCGCACACAACTCGCTCGGCGAGGACTCACCATAGCCGCTCGCCATGCCTCTCTTCATTACAATGACCTGTTTGCTCTTCCAAGCCTGTAGCACCGGCATGCCCGCAATCGGGCTGCCCGGCTCCAGCGCGATGGGGTTGACGGTGTCATTGGCGCCAATGACTAGCGTGACGTCCGTTTCAGAAAAGTCATCGTTGATCTCGTCCATCTCCAGGACGATATCGTACGGCACGCTCGCTTCGGCCAGGAGCACGTTGCACTGCCCGGGCATGCGGCCGGCCACGGGGTGGATCGCGAAGCGGACGTTGATGCCCTTGGCGCGAAGCATGGCCGTGATCTCGCTGATGGCGTATTGCGCTTTGGCGACGGCCATGCCGTAGCCAACGACGATGATGACGTTCTCGGCGTTGACAAGCGCCTCGGCCGTGTCCTCCACGTTGGTCTGCGTCACGGCGCCCTCCATCTTGTAGTCCGTCTGCGCCGGCGCCGAAATGCCGCCGAAGAGAACGTTCGTAAGCGACCGGTTCATCGCCACGCACATGATGTACGAGAGGATGGAGCCCGACACGCCAATGAGCGCGCCAACCGTGGTGAGAAGCGGGTTTTCCAGCATGAAGCCCTCCGCTACGAGCGCGAAGCCCGAATAGGCGTTGAGCACGGTTATGACAACGGGCATGTCTGCGCCACCGATGGCCGCCGTCGTGGTGAACCCCTTGGCGAAGGAAAGGATCGTGTTGGCGGAGAGGGCCGCCGCGGCGATCATGGGCGAGCCGGGGGCCATGGTCACGAAGGCGCCCATCGTGGCCATGTTGGCCGTCAACATACCCGTATTGATGAGGTGCTTGCCCGGGAGGGCGATCGGGCGAGACGACATCCGTCCCGCGAGCTTAAGGAAGGCAACTATGGAGCCCGTGAAGGTGATGCCACCGATCAGGACGCCCAGGTAGCCCGTAACCAGGTGCAGCGTCGAGATGTCGTCGATGTGTGCCATGACGCTTCCGATAGAGGTCAAGACGGCCGCCAGACCGACGACTGAGTGGAGTGCCGCAACGGTCTGTGGAAGGTCTGTGGGCGTGATGCGCTTTCCAATCAGTATACCGGCGATGCTACCCAGCGCCGCGAGGCCACCGAACTGCGTAAGCACCTCCGGAGAGAAGCCGACGGCTAGCAGAGACGCCAGCACGCCGGAACCCACTCCGAGCATGCCAAGCATGTTGCCCATGCGGGCTGTCGCTTGCGAAGCCAGGCTGGAGAGGGAACTGATACACAACACGGAGCTGACAGCGTAACCTGCTTGGACGAGACCCGCGGCCCCCGTAGCGGCTGCGGCGATGTAGCCTCCACCAAAGAGGGCCGCCGGAATGGCGTACAGCCACGGGTATTCCGGCGGGTCCGTCGGTCGCTTGAACATGTCCAGCATGCGCTTTGTGATGACGAAGCCGCCAGACACGTTCACGAAGGCAAGGAGAACGGAAGCAGCGCCGAGAGCCTGAGGGAAGGTTTGCGGGACGTAGCCGCCGCCCAGAATGAAGAGACCGCCGATTCCGACCATGCCTGGGCCATGTTAGTCTCCGGCCACGAAAACTTCAGGCCGCCAAACGTACCTGAGATGGCGTTGGTGACACTCATGAGAGGTGAATGAAGGGCTGGCGTCACTCCCCACACCACCCTGTATCCGATCAAAGACGCTAGGGCGAAGGTGAAGGCATTGCCCATGAACAGGGGGCTGGTCATCTTGCCCAAAACGAGAGCGGCTCCCATTCCCGCCGTCACAGTCGCGACTTCGCGGGACGTCTTCTGGAAAGGGGTCAGGGCCACGACCTCGGCTTCTTTCGTCACGGGCGGTGCTTGGGCCGGTGCTGGCGGCGGGGCTTTCCGGGGAGGCGGGGGAATGATATCGCCCTTCAAGGTGACAATGGCGCCTCGCACGACCTCGTCATCGAGGTCTATGCCGAACTGCTTCTCCTTGGGTGTCATGGAGAGGAGGAACTTGGTGACGTTGTTGGAGTACAGGGTCGAGGATTGCGTAGGGAGCCTTGAAGGGAGGTCGGTGTAACCTAGTAGACTGTAAGCCGATATCTTTGAAAGCTTCCTATTGAGACTTGCCAATGATCTTAACGTCCTTGTAGGTGTAAAGCTCGCCAGGCTTCGTCTTTTCGCAGTTGCCGCCAGCCTCAGCCGCGAGGTCCACCACCACGGAGCCAGGCTTCATGGCCTCGAGCATAGACTTGGTGATGAGCTTCGGGGCGGGCTTTCCGGGGATCAAGGCGGTGGTGATGACGATGTCTACCTCGCGCGCTTGCTCGTAGAAAAGCTTCATCTCGGCCTCAATAAACTCTTTGGACATCTCCTTTGCGTATCCGCCAGCACCAGAGCCGTCTTCCTTGATGTCGACCTCGATGAACTCGGCGCCAAGGGACTCCACCTGTTCCCGAGCTACCGGGCGTGTGTCAAAGCCTCGCACAATGGCCCCAAGTCTCCTCGCAGTCGCAATCGCACTGAGACCGGCGACGCCGGCACCAATGACGAGCACTTTGCAAGGCGGGATCTTGCCGGCGGCTGTCACCTGTCCGGTCAGAAACCTGCCAAAGTTGTTGGAAGCCTCGAGGACCGCCTTGTAGCCTGCAATGTTGGCCATTGAGCTTAGCGCGTCAAACACCTGGGCGCGGGAGATGCGAGGGATAAGGTCCATGGCAAAAGAGGTCGCCTTCTGCGCTGCGAACTTCTCAACCAGCGCTTTGTTCTGGGCGGGCTGTAAGAAGGATATAATGGTTTGGTTCTCCCTCATGAGCTCAATTTCAGAGGGGATCGGGCTGCGGACTTTGAGCACCACGTCGGAGCCGGACCAGACCTGGGCGGCGGTGTCAACGAGTGTCGCACCGGCCTGATCATAGGCCTCGTCGGGGAAGTCAGCCTGGGCGCCGGCGCTGCGCTCGACCAAGACCTTGGAGAAGCCCTTTTTTAGGAGGAGGGCCACGTTCTGAGGGGTCAACGCGACACGGCGCTCGTTTATAAAGATCTCCTTGGGCACGCCGACAGTGAGCTGGGAGTAAGGCACTGAAGGCGGTCCTACGACGGTGGAGTACGCCGCTGTAGCTACAGTGCCCGGGCTAGAGACAACCGAAGCGTGCCGGACGAGCTGCAGAGGGCGAGAGACGGCCGGCACGAGAGCCTGGGTCTGGCGCCCTCGCGCATGGCTGGAATGCCATTTGCGTTGGGCGTCAACGACAAAAACAGTCGGCGCGGCATCTTGTGCAGGACATCAGTATCGGAAGGGGTTTGAAGGCGATTTCATTCCACGGCGTGCCAGACATTCGACTCACCTAGGCTGTTCAGCCACGCACGAGGAACGAGCAGGGCAGATGCGCGAGGGGAGCATAGGCTGTAGACCAGAGCTGGCCGCAGGGCGCAGAGGTTCACCATCGTTGCGGGGCTCCGAGCATCTAGGCTAACGGGGCCGCCGAGACGAAGCGGGATGGCGGCGGTATCTCATCGGCTCTCAGCTACTGCCAGGAGGCGGGAGGTATGAATTCTTAGAGACTCAAGTGCTATTTTCGATCGTGATCAAAAGGCGACAAATGGCGGTGCGAAGAGGGAGAAACCACAAGGAAGGGAGAAGGGAGAAGAAGGGAGGAAGAGAGTTCGGATTGACTTTGAGACCGACGACTTTGTACTGTGTCACATTCTCTGGCCGCGTCTTGCTCCATCCTCCTCCTCCTTGTTCTCTCCCACACCCACATTCAGTGTGTTCCCCGGACGGGAAGTGCAGAATCGGCTCGAGCCAAGCGTGTCGCAGATGCCGCAATAAAAGCTCCAAACCCGTCCAATCATTATGCGACCCGAGCGTGCTTGGGTAGGCGCCAAGGGATCCCCCGCCCGAAGCTCCTTCTGCCTGATTTTTCCCCTCATGTGGAATAGCCGGGTACGAGCACGGTGCGGTACTTCAGCGAGCGCATGCTTGACAAACAGCTGGAGGAAACAAGAATAGGGAAAGAGGTACGTCGCAGACGTTGGATGGTGGTGTGTGATGGCGCCAGCTTTGGACGGACGGGTGTGGTGTGAGGTGTTGGTGGAGATGGCTTGGGGCATGCTTCCGTGCAGGGAAGAAGCTGCAGGCAGGTGTTCTTGCCCCTCTCTTCTCCAGTCCTTCGAGTGTGGGGTATGGGGTTGTGGACGCTAAACACGGCGCTAAGACGAGGGCAGCACAGACTTGCCCCTCCCTCTACGGATACTAGGTACCTACACTAGGTAGGTGGTAGGTAGTATCCTAGTATCTCTCCCGGCTGTTCTACCCATTGCCTCGCCTCGCTGTAGTAGAACTGTGAGAATGTTGGCATTTCACAGTCGTTGAGAGTGCAGGAAGTAACCAAGAGCCCGTCGGACGACACACGGAGGGTAGAGATATGGATGGACGACTCTTTCCATATTCGTCGTTGTTCAAATGTCAGAACATCCCACGTAGTACTAGACGGACTCGTCACGTTCTCGTGGCAATCAGTCCGCATATCCGTCGGCTGCATGCATGTACGTAGGTACAGAAAAGGGAAAAAAGCAAGCATGCATCGGGTAGCTCGGGGAAGATGAACATTAGCAATATCGATGCGGTAGACGAACGGCCAATGGGGATTGATAAAGCAGCAGGAGGATGTGGACAGACTTTGGCCAAATTTGTGTCGATTGATTGGGTGCAATGCAACAAACAACACTCGAGTGCATAGGTACCTTAGCTTTGCATGGCTTGGAATGGGTTCTATTCAGGCATCTCGCCTGGCGTTCGCTGACACGACTCATCCGAAACTTTCTCTCAAATGAACCCTCTGCCTCTCTTTTAGTTATTCGATGGGGGTACGCCTGGAACCTGGACCCTTTCGTCATGTGCCAACTTGATTGGCGCCTTACGTGCTTCCGGTTGGTGCTCAGCGGATTCACTACAGAAATGAGTCGTCATCCTTGACAAGTACCACTGTCTGCTGGTTAATGTAAAACCAATCATTCAGATGTCACGCGTTCCCCATCACGTCGCCTGGCAAGGAGGCGCCGGCCCGGCGGGGTTCATTCCCTCATCACCGCCACCGCCCCCGCTGTCTACTGGTAGCTGCTCCGATCCGCCCGGCCCCACATCGGACAGCGGCCCCGCCGACGGGAACCCAAGTGCTGGAAGGTACCTGTCCATCTTCTAGCTGGCCTGTGGCTCCACCACCTGCTGTGCGTATCTCGACGATCTCAACGTAACGATATGCGACGTTATAGAGGATCGGGAAGAGCCGATGGAGCCTTGCTAATGCCCCCGGTGAACTCTGACACCCTGGATCGATGCGACAAAGCCTTGTAAGCGGCCCAGGTCTGCAGTGTCGCTGGTTTACAGGACTTGGCAGGATATCACGGCGAAAGCTGCGAAAGGCGCCAAGGGGATGGTCCTGAGCCCGTCAGTTGCCGTCCATCTTCTCAATGGGCAGGTAGGCATCGAGGTCAGAGACAGAATACATGTATGCTTGGTATCGGGGAGTAATGAGAATTTGAGTTCTGGCATGTTCTTACACTTGATACCGGCATGTTGTAGGTGTTCGCAGGGTGTCTCACTGCCACAGCGGATCCGAGGCAACAATATCAGCCCTACACGGCCAACCCCCCAGCACTCTACACCGGGATGATGTGTAGATGGGATACGTCGTCCTATATCTTGCGAGCACAACAGGCATCACACCGCACAACTGATAAAAATGACGAACTCAACTTGCCGCTCGTTTGAACAGGATGCCAGTCTGGACGGGGCACAGAAGAAGTGGTGAGATGGCCAAGACGAGCGCCGGAGGCTGGTATAGCCGGGCCCCAGGGCAAATAGAATTGAAAGAACAGGCGGAACAGTCCAGAGCCCGAGAACAACGGGCGGCGGAGCGCTCGGGGCCCGCGTTCGAAGCACCTTTTACCGAGTAGGCTCTACGCCAAGGCAGTCGAGCTTCTATAGCTGTATCCCCGAAGCCGTTGTTAGCACTTGGATCTGACGGCCTGCATTAAAAAGAAGAAGAGCAACGTTATGGGGACGATGGACGTTGATGAAAAAATCTTGACCCATTTGAATGATCGACTTACAGGGCCGGACAGGGATACTTTTTGCAATTACAGGACGAAGTATAGGTTATAGGTCAGGTAGGTAGGCAGGCAGGCAGCACGATAAGCTTCAAGGGTCCAACAGGCCGCTGTAATTCACACACTGCATTGCGAAACACTACCTACATTATAAAGGAGTAAAGTCAAGATCCCCGGACTCGTCTGATACTAGCATAGTCACATGAATCCTAGAAAGGTGATTCGTCGTTATCCAGAAAAACTAGCTGCTTCGTCCAAGTCCCAATTGCGGCTGCTTGGCGCTACTGTATAAGATACCTACCGGCACGATGAACCGAGATACAGTGTTGCTCACGTCGGATCCTCCCGTCGTACTAGTCGCTCGACTACTAAGTTGCAGGTACGGGCGATAAAAGGCGGTGACTCTGAACAAGGCCCGAAGCTATTTGGAAGATGGCCTCACATTATGGCCTGGGTTTTGCTAAGAGGTAACGGCGGGGGGGGTCCACCTCTGCATGGCTGGCGTTGCTATGTAGTGTGTGATGCATGCATGCCTTTGTATGTAGTAGCGCCACTACAACTCTGAAGCCTGCCTCCTGTAACTCCCGCGTCCCGAAAGCACCGCTCTCCGCATGTAGAGAGACCGGTCAAAGCACCCGCGGGCCCCGGTGGTCGCCCTTCAAGATGGACTCGGCCAATCAGCTTCGAAGCTTGGCTGACGTTTTTGGTCTATGACGGCGGCTCGCGGGAGGAGCTGACCGTGCTTCATTTCATCTTCATTGACAACGCTCAGTCGACCACTTCGCAAAAGCGTCACAGCCGCGGCGGAACCCATTGTGCTATTCAAACGTCGGTCGCAAAGATGCACGTCATCCCTGGCACCGCACCTGGGTCCTTAAAACTTGGCTTTCGCGTGTTTGTCTTGAGGCAGGCAAACCAGGTTTCTGGTGTAAGGGTTTATTAGTCGGGCTGCTCCATCCCATCTCGGGTTCCAAAAAAAAAAAAAAAATTGATGTTCTGGGAAGGGAACCTTGACACTGCGGCTCTCTAATTCTCACTTTCTCTCCCCAAACAACACCATCCGCCCGCAACGATGGGGGTAGAAACCGAAAAAAAAGAGCAAGCTCCGTCCAAGGACGCTCTTGCCGCAGCGAGCTCGCCGGACGAGGCCGTCGAAGATGAGGGAGGCGCATTCAAGGCCTACTGTGTATGCTTTTAAACACATTACATTACACTACACATACCCACCACTTCCCCTTTCTGCTACAGATGCGCTAACTACTGACGGCTGCAGCGTATCTTCACGTTCGGGGGACCGTTTGAAAAGACTCTGCAGGTCGTTGCGCTGACTTGTGCCGTGGCCTCCGGTACCGCTATGGCCCTCCAGACCGTAATCTTTGGCACCTTCGTCACCACCATGCAAGACTTTGCCACGGGTCAGTCCTCGCCTGCTCACTTCCGCGGTGAATCCGCAAAGCTCGCGTAAGTTTGTTGCTCGTAATATCAAACATCTCACGCTTACAAGCCAAGCCTCTACTTCCTCTACCTGGGCATCGGTAGATTCGTCCTTTCCTATCTCTACATCTCTCTGACGACGCTCTGTGCCTATCGAATCACGAGGAATATCCGCCACAGCTACCTGCACGCTGCGCTCCGACAGGAAATCGCTTTTTACGACATTGGCTCTGGTGGCTCCATCGCGACCCAAGCCATCTCCAACGGACGCCTGATTCAAGTTGGAATCGCCGAGAAGCTTGCCCTGACGTTCCAGGGCTTGTCCGCCTTCGTCACCGCATTCATCATCGCCTTCGTCACGCAATGGAAACTCACCCTCATCGTCTGCTGCGTCGCGCCATTGATCCTAATTGTCACTGGTGTGGTGTCGGCGATCGAGGCCGCCATTGAGACCAAGATACTCAACATCTATGCACAGGCTGGGTCCTTTGCCGAGGGCATTCTTTCGAGTGCCCGCACCGTTCACGCCTTCGAGATCCGGATGAGGCTGGTCCAGAAATTTGACAGGTTCCTCGAGGATGCTCATCGTCTAGGAAAGAAGAAATCTCCCCTTTTCGGCATACTCTTCTCCGTCGAGTACTTCATCATCCACGCCGGCTTCGCCCTGGCTTTTTGGCAGGGCGTTCACATGCTGGATCGTGGCGAGATTACAGACTCTGGAGACATCTTTACGTATGTCTTCTTTGCCGTCGGTCCAGGTCCTGGCTAACTTCCCCAGCGTCCTCTTGTCAGTGGTCATTGGTGCTACCAGTCTGACCATGTTGGCACCGTACTTTATCGAGTTCACCCGCGCTGCGTCGGCCGCCGCTCAGCTCTTCAAACTCATTGACCGAAAATCAGAGATAGATGCCTTGGACAAGTCTGGTGAGAAGCCCACAGAGACCACCGGTGTTGTGGACTTGGAGAACATCACCTTCGAGTATCCCACCCGTCCTGGCGTTACGGTGCTGAATAACTACTCTCTACATGTGCCTGCGGGCAAGGTGACGGCGCTCGTGGTAGGGTTGTTCGAGTAACAGCTTAGTTCAATTCCTCTGACAGTTTCTAGGGGACCAGTGGCTCTGGCAAGAGCACAATTATTGGCCTGATCGAGCGATGGTACAACCCCAAAGCCGGCACCATCAAGCTTGACGGCGTGCCCATCGAGAAACTCAATCTCAACTGGCTGAGAAAGAATATTCGCCTGGTTCAGCAGGTACGTGTGATTGACCCGGCGGCACTCAGCCGCGCTGACTTCCCTTCTCCAGGAACCCGTCCTGTTTCAGGGAACTGTGTTTGAAAATATTGCCAACGGGCTTGTTGGAACCCCATGGGAGAATGCACCTCGTGAGGAGCAGCTGCGGCGTGTGCAAGAAGCCGCCAAGATCGCGTTCGCTCACGACTTTGTCTCGCAACTCCCCGAGGGCTACGAAACCATGATTGGTGAACGCGGAGGTCTCCTGTCAGGTGGGCAAAAACAGCGTGTTGCCATCGCTCGCAGTATCGTTTCAGAACCGAAAGTGCTCCTCCTGGATGAAGCCACCAGTGCACTGGACCCCCATGCTGAAGGGGTAGTGCAACAGGCTCTGGACAAGGCATCCGAAGGCCGTACGACGATCGTTATCGCCCACAAGCTGGCGACAATCCGTAGGGCAGACAACATCGTGGTTATGAGCAAGGGCGCCATCGTCGAGCAGGGTACCCACGATGGACTGCTTCAGCAGGACGGGGCCTACACTCGTCTTGTGAAGGCGCAGAACCTGCATATCTCCGACGAAGGGTCCATCACCGAGACAGAGGAAGAGGGGGAAACCGCTCCGAAAGGGCACATTGAACTCACCAAGACCATGAGCCGCTATCGAACCACAGATCAAGCACGTATCGATGCCCAGAAGGAGCGAGACAACTACGACCTCCACAAGCCGAAGGGCCTGATCGGCGTCGTCATCCGCATGGTACGCGAGACTCCAGAGCTGAAGTGGGCCTATATTTGGACCCTCATTGCCATAGTTGTCTCCGGTAAGTCTGCTGGGAGGTCTGGCTGGTATGCTTGCTAACATCACGTAGTCGGCGCATTCCCTGGCCAGTCTTTGATTATCGCGAACTTGGTCAACGTATTCACTCTCACGGGCTCCGAGATGGTAACTAAAGGAAACTTCTACTCCTTGATGTTCTTTGTCGTGGCCCTCGGCGTACTTGTCTCCTACTTCACCATGGGTCTGAATACAAATGCGATCGCCCAGGGGTTGAATCACAAGCTCCGGAAGCAATGTCTCAACAATTTCCTTCGGCAAGATCTCCAATTCTTCGACCGCAGAGAAAACAATACCGGAGCGTTGGCGAGCAAACTCGATTCCAACCCCCAAGCCATTTTGGAGCTCATGGGATTCAATATTGGCTTGATCTTAATCTCGACCTTCAATGTCGTTGCTTGCGCTATCCTGGCCATCGTCACAACCTGGAAACTTGGCGTGGTTGTTGTTTTCGCTGGTCTACCGCCGCTCGTCAGTGCTGGTTACGTCAAGGTTCGCCTTGAAACCAAGCTCGACGGCAGAACATCTAAGCTCTACTCTTCGAGCGCCGCTGTTGCGTCGGAGTCGGTCTTGGCCATCAGGACGGTGTCTTCCTTGGCCATTGAAGAGGCTGTCTTGAAAAAGTATACCGATGAGCTTGACCGCGCTGTCAGGTCCTCAACTGCGCCGCTCTTCACTATGACGATTGCCTTCGCCCTGACACAGTGCATCGAGTACTTTTTTATGGCCCTCGGTTTCTGGTGCGTATTCCTCATCTTTTCCCGGCACCACAACAACTGACTCACGATCCAGGTATGGGTGTCGGCTGCTCTCCTTCCAGGAGATTAACATGTACCAATTCTTCGTGGCGTTTATGGGGACTTTCTTCTCCGGGCAGGCTGCTTCCCAGCTATTCCAGTATTCGAGCAGTAAGCGATGCCCACCGGCACCCCCTTTTGCTTGTTCTAACCATCCTTAGGTATGACCAAGGGCATCAACAGTGCAAACTACCTGTTCTGGTTGGACGACCTGCAGCCCACTATCCAGGAGACGCCTCAAAACCGTGACGCGGCGCCCAAGGCTGGTGCCACGCTCGGTTTTGAGCAGCTTCGCTTCTCGTACCCGTTGCGACCTGAGGCGCATGTCCTTCGTGGTATCGATCTCGAGGCAAGTAGCATCACGAATGTCCCAGCTGTGCTTGAGCTAACCCGGACCAGATCAAGAAGGGCCAGTTCGTTGCTCTTGTGGGGGCCTCTGGTTGCGGCAAGTCCACAATGATTGCCATGCTCGAACGCTACTACGATCCGACGACGGGCACGATCCGTGTTGATGGCGACGCCCTCTCAGAGCTCAATCCTCGCCTGTACCGTCGTATGGTGGCACTAGTCCAACAGGAGCCGACCCTGTTTCAGGGCAGTATTCGCGAGAACATTGCGTTGGGTATCGACGCCAACTCCATTACCGATGTGCCGGACGCGCAGATCGAGATGGCCTGCCGTGCAGCCAACGCCTGGGACTTTGTCTCTTCGCTTCCCGAGGGCCTCGCGACCCCCTGCGGGAGCAGCGGTATGCAGTTGTCGGGTGGCCAGAGGCAGCGGATTGCCATTGCGAGAGCACTCATTCGCAACCCGAGGATCCTGTTGCTTGACGAGGCGACGAGCGCCCTTGACACGGAGTCGGAGAAGATTGTGCAGCGTGCCCTCAACGACGCCGCTCGCGACAGTGAGCGAATTACGATCGCTGTCGCCCATCGACTGTCAACTATCAAGGACGCGGACATGATCTGCGTGTTTTATGGAGGGAGGATCGTGGAGAGGGGCACGCATTCGCAGCTTGTTACCAAGGGTGGCATGTACGCGCAGATGTGCGAGGCCCAGAATCTCGAATAGCTGCACTCATTCTCAAGGCTCTCGGATCGGATGAGCATTCATCTTACCTTTGCTTAGACTTGGTATGAGCGACGGCATGGTGTTCGGAAAAAGTTGTACAACATTTGTGATGCACTGTACATATTAGCCTTGAGTAGATGTCAGATTACTAATGTAATGTTGAGAAAAGAGGTTACTTTCATACTTGCACGACACTGTCTGCGTGCAGTCGTCCCGGGACTGGCCGTGCCATTAACTTCTTGTGAAAGAGTGTTCAACCGATCCCCTCTACGTAACCTCGACCGTTATCAAACGACAGACTGATGAAGATTGGCGCTTTAAGCTAGATTTATTCGAGGTCCGCCCTGCAGTTGAAGTGAGACACTTTGCGCGCCTTCAGGACCGCGGCATGATGCATGTGTTAGCTAACCTTTCGGATCCTCCCTCCCCCCCCCCCCAGCTCGTCGCTGGACAAAAGGACCACCACTGCTTTGAGTTGTCGCCAGCCTCGCCAAAGCACCAGTCTTGACCACCGGCTCGTTCCACGAATGGATCTCGAATCGTTGACCTTGTGCTGCTGCTTGTCTTATCAATAGAAGCCTAGAACATACCTCACATCCATGGAGGCAGACAATGCCATGAAGCTTTTCTAGGGCGGACCATGTGTTGCCCAGAGGCTTTAGCCAATGACTGTCCCCCGAAAAGACCAAGTAAACTCGAATCCTGGTGAGGTCTGGCTCCGGGAAAACGTTCGGGCTTGGCCGCTTTGTTCCTCGGCGTTTTGTCTGAAGACAGTCCCTCGAGCAAACACTTCTGCGTCGCATCTGCCCTTTGGTCCGCTCTCCATGGCATCTTGATTTATGCAAACATACTCGAACGATTTTAACTATGATTCAATAAAGTTTCCCAAACGAGATGGTGAACTTATGCCCTTGATGCTCGCACCACCTACCCTACCCAGTCTCCGACTTACATGGCAAGCAGCCAATCAGAGATCGCGTTCAGCCCACGAGGTCTATGCGAATAAACATGACCGGCCCTTTTGTTCTACGGTATCGGGACTCCATCTCTCGATGATCTAGCGGCAGCCCCACTAGCGGACAGAAATGAGGGCATTGACAAATCACCGTTCTCTTTCTAAGGTATCGAATTCCTTCCGAGCTCGCGACCCTTGACCTGCAGCGCCAAGTAGACGCCACATGACGCCGTGCATCTCTTCCAACCTTGATATCCCATGCTTCTAAGCTTCATCCCCAATCCGCCGACCGACGATGCAGCTTCCTCTTGCTATCCCTGGCATAATATCCGCCTCCTGTCGTTGACAAGAGCCTTGGCGTTGGATGCCCCAATATGCACAGCTTTCAAGTCGCGCAACACGTGCCTCTTCCGCTCACAACGAGCCGTGAAGTTGCAGAAGGGTCCCTTCGTCCCAACACCTCGTCTCCAACGTCGTCATGACATCGGCCCTCCTGCCTCTCTACGAGCCAATGGCATGTCGACGTTGGGACTCAGGCGACGGAATCACACCCAACGCGTTGGTCCAAAGTTCCTCCAGCTGGGATTGCCAAGGGACAATCTGCAGTTATCACCCGGGCTCCAGCGATCCTTGACCCGCGAATGCGAGGATCCGCGAACTCTCGGCGGGGTTTAGAATTCACTCACATGGGACGACTTTTTTCTACTCGCTGTAGTATATAAGCTCTCGGTCACCAGAAAGCTTCTCCCCAGCTCGGAAGCTCTCTCCTCACGCCTCCCTATTCACTCCGACTCCATTGACAGCCAGTTCATCGCGGTGGGATCAACATGATGACAAAGCTCAGCCCTATTGCAGTCCTTGCTGTGTCGCTGTCTCTCGTGTCAGCGCAGACCTACCAGCGGCTCGGAACCTGTCCAGACCTTGGCTGCGTCCTGCCGCCCGACCAGTCGGACTTCCTCCCCGGTCAGCTCTTCGACCTCCGTGTCGAGGTCCATGCGCCCGTAAACGGCTCTGAGGCCTTCAACAACGGCGTCCCCGATGAGTCCTTCACGGTCAGCATCGCAAAGGAGGGCGCCGAGGCCAAGAGCCTGGCCGACTTCTTCGGTGTCGAGGAGCCCGAGCTCGAGAAGTGGTCTTTCGGTTGGTACGAGGACCTCTTCGCCGAGGACGCGAAGCAGAAAAGCATGGTCAATGTGGCCTCCAAGATATGGCGCCACATCAGTCTGTACGAGCCCGGCAACTACGAGGTCATTCTCAAGTACTACGATGGCAGGACCACCACCGCCAACTGGGTTGTGCGACCTTTGGCGACGGAGAAGAAGGCCAAGAACGTCATCTTCTTCATCGGTGACGGCATGACCACAAACATGGTTCTTGTACCCATACACACTCGTCCAAACCGCTTCTAACACGCCACAGGTCACTGCCGCCCGTCTCCTCGGTCACAAGAGTGTCAACGGAAAGTACCAGACCACCCTGGCTCTGGACAAGTTCCCTGTCCTCGGCCACCAGATGACGCATTCCATCGACAGCTACATCACCGACTCTGCCAACTCTGCGTCTGCGCTGTACTCTGGCCACAAGAGCACCGTTAACGCCATGGGGTGAGCCCGGTCATGGATGCTATCTGACGGCTTTTGCTGACTGTGCTAGTGTCTACGCCGACTCTTCTCCCGACGCCTTCGACGACCCCAAGGTCGAGACCATTGTTGAGCTGATTCACCGTATCTGGGTATGTTGGTCAAAGACTTGCAAATCGAGGGGGTGATGTACTGACTTCGTAGGGTTCCGCCTGGGGTGCCGTCTCTACCGCTTTCATTGCCGACGCCACTCCCATTGCCCTGACCGCGCACACCCGATCCCGCTCCCTGTACGGACCCCTGATTGATCAGGCCCTTAACGGTCTCACCAACTACACTTGGACCAAAATGAACGGTCCCGATGTCTACCTTGGCGGCGGTGCCGAGCAGTTCTACCCCGGCACGGGCTCTTACCAGGGCAAGAACTACTATGAGGAGTTCGCCAACAAGGGCTATACCGTCGCCCTTAACAAGACCTCCCTCGAGGCTGCCAGCGCCAACGAGAAGCTCCTCGGGATCTTCACCCAGGGCAACCTTCCCGTCTGGCTCGACCGCAACGTTCTCACCGAGAATCTGGGGGAGCTCACCAATGATCCCAGTGGCAACGAGAGCGCTGCCCTTGACATCCCCGGCCTCAAGGAGATGACCCTTAAGGCTGTCGAGACCCTCCATAACCGTGGCGGTGACAAGGGTTTCTTCTTGATGTCCGAGGCTGCCTCCATCGACAAGCAGATGCACGCCCTCGACTATGACCGCGCTCTCGGTGACCTTCTGGAGCTCGACGACACCGTCAAGGCCACTATTGAGAAGCTTGAGGAGCTCGGTATTCTCGAGGACACTCTGGTCGTTGTCTCCTCCGACCATGGCCACGGATTCGAGTGAGTTGCCCTGCCCATGTTGCACTGCTGCCAAGCTAATCTTTCAAAGTGTCTTTGGAAACGCCGACACAAAGTACCTCGCCGAGCAGGAGGACGACCGCACCAAGCGCAGGGCCGTCGGTGTCTACGCCAACTCTGGTCTGTCCCAGTACACCGTCGAGCAGCCCGGCGTCAGCTACAACACCGGCCCCAACTTCCCCCTGAACTGGAACCCCCGCTACGCCATCGCCGCCGGTGTCGGTGCCAACCCTGACCGCCGCGAGGACTACAAGTTACACGAGTCCTCCCGTACCCCCGCCGTCCCCGCCACCGACACCTCTGACTACTACGCCAACCCCAAGGATGCCGTCGATGGCTTCGTCGTTAACGGCACTCTCCCCACGAACGAGGCCCAGGGCGTCCACTCGCTCACCGACGTCGCCGTCTGGGCCCGCGGCCCCTGCCAGGAGACCTTTGGCGGCACCTACAACAACATTGACATCTTTTATAAGATGGCCAACTGCCTCGGTCTCGCGCAGCCGCGCAACGGCACGTCTCCCAGCGGCACCAGGCACAGAAGAGCCCTCGAAGCATAGGGTGAATGGACCCCCCTCTCTCTTTTTCTTCTTCTTCAAGACTAAAAAGCATGGCGGGTGGTGTTGAGTGACGAGTTTTTGATGATGCACATAATCTCTTAGGGGTTAGAGATTTGGCCACAATGGCCCTTCTAGTATTTCTAGTTATAACTTTTGAAACATAATGCCATCACATTAAATACATCTGTACCTTGACTCAAATGCGAACGCTGTTAAAGGATTGGGTTTCGTGATCTGCAGGGACGAAACCCCAACATATATATCTGGATAAGTACTTGCCTAGGCCAAATCCGTCTCCGTGACTTGATCTGAACACCGCGTCTCTAGCCAGTCGGCTTCTACCCTATTAGGTAGCTGCCCTCTTGATTGAACCCGCTGCATCATTGCGATACTGATCAACCTGATGGCCTGACCGGTGAAAGCCCCGATGGAGGAACTGAAAGAAGTTTAGTGTGTGGCGTTGCCTTGCTGGTACGTGACCTGGGATTTGATAGGGCCAAGATCGTGCCACGACAATTGCATCCAGAACGAGTTATATACAGGTCAAGCGCGTCCGCGAGGGGAATCATCTATATTGTGTACTGTTTCCTCGTTTGCAAATTGCGGCCCCTCGAATCCCATCTCGGGGACGGTTGCTCCATACGTGTGCCATGGTCGGTCTCCTCCTGACTTCATGCAGCCTTGGTGCAGGATAATTTACATCATACGTCAGGGCCCAAACTGCGCTCATCGCCCAAGAGACCATCTTTTGAGGATCATGTGTAGACCACGTCGACCTCACAACCCAGCCTGAATGTGGTAAACTCCCATCGAAGCATTCAGCCCCGTTCTGATCACTCGCCGGTCCCATGAGAGAGCACTGGGCCCCGAGGCCATCTCGGCCGATAGCCCACCCAGCTGATTCAAGCTGGTCGGGAGGAAACAGGAGTTACCTCCCGGAAAGTCTCTCCAAGATTCCCATGACCTCCTCGTCGTCAATCTGCCCCTCCTCGCACTTGGCCGTGTAGCAGCTCGAGTGCGCCCACACACCGTCTCCGAACCCGTCAACCACGTCCCCGACGTTCTCCTTCCTCACGCCGCCGCCGACGATGACCTCCAGCTTCCTCCCGCCCGCGCCCGCCTCACGCACGACCATCTCCAGCACCGCCCGGTTCGTCGCGGCTGTCCCGGGCCCGCCCGAGGTGAGGACCCCTTCGAACCCGCATGCCACCAGGTCCTTCACCGCCTTTTCGACGTCCCGGCCCTCCCCGGACCGGACGGCCTCGTCAAAGGCTCGGTGGAAGGAGCAGGCCAGCCCGCCGGCGGCCTCGACGAGCTGCCGGCTCCTCTCGACGTCCACCACCAGGGCCTCGCCGTCCCTCCGTAGCACCCCGAACACGAACCCGTCGCCCCGCTCCGCCCGCAACGCCCCGCGGAGGGCCCCGATGTCGACCGCCATGGCCGCGAGCTCGTCGCCCGTGTAGACAAAGTCGACGTCGTCGCCGGGCTTCCCCCGCGGCCGGATCATGACCCGCACGGGCACCGTGAGCCGCTCCGTCATGCCCTCGAGGTCCGCCGCCGCCGGCGTCGTGCCGCCGACGGGGTAGCTCCCCCGTGCGTTGAGCTCGATGCGCTGCGCGCCGAGCGCCTGAGCGTGCAGGGCCGAGGCGGGCGAGAAGACTGGTATTTCCAGGTTGATTGGCATTTCGGTTTTTTTGATGGGGGATGGTTGGTGGAAACTGGAGTTGGTTGCGTGGGTGAAGATAAGATTGAGATAAGGTGCATGCATGCATACATACATACAGTAGCGGGATACCCCAAGCATGACCCAGTACTAGGAACTGTTTGCTGAACGTCTCGGTTGGAGTGTCATGAAGCAGGCGGACAAGCTACTTTCGTTGGAAGAAACAGCCATTAAGAGCCTTCAATATTTTAAAGATAGTCAAACTCCTACTTTGCATTCTTTTTGTTCCCCTTGGTTTCCTCGATCCCTCATGCTCTGGCAGCAACTCCGACACCAGATCATGTTATTTTCTACTGTATATGCTTCTACTCGTTTTAGTATCCACCAAAGGACATGGGAATTCGGAGTGGTTCAAACTCATACGCAAGTCTAGTCATGGTGCATATGCTACCACGTCGGAGATGTTGAAGAAAGGGGAGACGATACAACCTCTTCTGTCAATGATACTCTATTTTCCACGTGCCTGAATACTGTTGGGTCCTGGGTAACTAGAGTCCTTGTGGGTATGTACACGTCCAAAAAGAAATAAAAAATAATGATGATGAGGAGCTCTGCGGCCCCAACGCCAATTAACCTCATCCAACCGTCAAACCCCAGTCTCATCTAGCCTGGCTAATGGGCCTCAGAGCATAGGCTCAAAATACTAATTTGATTCCTCCGAGAATTTGTTTCCGTTCTGTTCTACGCGCGTAGATCGCTCTTCTTCAGCGGGCCATCGGGGAATGACGATGTGGCCAATATAAGAGTTGCAAAATACTTGTGCACGCTCAGACAAACACCGACAAGTACCATTCAATGTCTTTGCCGGACTACTACGCCTGGCGCCAGTCGGAGGTCTTGGGAGGCTCAAACTCTTTGTCGCGTGTAGCCACCAATTGTCTCTTGGGCTCCTCCGCTGGCAACTGGGGGCTCTCCGTGTAGCTGCCGCTGTGTCTGGCCTGGTAACGAGCTTGAAGTACAGGCGACTGACTATCAGAAGCAGAAGACGCAGGCCGCTGAATGTTCCCCGGGGTAAAAGAGTCGTGATCGCGGGCAGTGGAAGAGCGACTCTTGGGGCTTGGATACTCGCCCTCCATCAAGCCATAACTGCGATCGTTGTAGCTGGTCCACGAGAAATCACGACTCTCTGGGATTTCATAGTTGGCTTCCATGGCAGAAGAGTTGCGGCCGGGAAACTTCCAATCCCGGGAGTCGCCAAATCCATGAAGTGTTGGATGACAAGGCTCATAGCCGTATGGGCCGTGAAAATGGCCAGGAGCTTGGTCGTAGAAGACCATCGGATGGCTTGGAGCGTGCTGCGGATTTTTGTGATACTCAGAATGTGGATGGAAATTTTCGCCATGGTACCCGTAGTCATAGTACTCCATCGGAGGGACATGACAGCCAAACCCAGTCGGGGTATAGTAACCAGGAGACGAACAGTAAGAGCTCGGTGCTGCGTAGTAGGCGTTGTTCCCTTGGAGAGCCTGAGAATGAACACGGCCGTGACCCTTCTTTGCGTTTCGGCCATGTCGCTGAGGTCTAACATCTGCGTACGGGTGGGCCCGGTGGTTATTTCGGTGCTTCAGAGCCCTTGAGGGAGCACTCTCGTAAGGCGAGTACTCGACGGGCGACCGAATCTGCATTTCAGATACCTCATTGTACGAGTTCATATTGGCAGCGAGACCCCGATCGTGAGGCTGTCGGATTTCCTCGAGAATTAAACGCTCGACGGGCGGAGATGTCCGGACCGGTATGCCTTGACCATACTCATTGTCAAGACCCATGTCAGCCTCGGGGGCAGGACGGTATTGGGGCGGAGCTTGGTAACGGACACGCTCGCCTGGGGATCCATCGAGAGGCCGGTTCTCCTTGTCACCCTCCTCATCCTCAAAGTCATCTGCGCACTGGTGTACGCCATCAGCCACCTCGCTAGGGCAATAGCTGAGGTTGGTTCCATCTTGGCAGTCGTTTTCCTGGTACACGTTAACCATAGACGCTGCGTCATCCCCTTGGCCGTCGACCTTAGCCTTGTCAGCCCTCTCTTCCTCCGTGGCCTTCAGGTTTCTATTGACAGCCTGTTGGTACTCGCGCACAAAAACGCCAGCGTTAGGCGAGACTCGGGCCTTGTCGATGTTCTGGAAAAAATGCTCGACTTGGTGTATGTTAGCACAGTGAAGCGGACGAGTTATGGGCGACTTACATAGACCGAGGTGGGTGTAGGTGCGTTTGGCATTGACGCCCATCAAGGACTGCATCAGTGGGGCGAGTTCCTCCCAAGTCTTGGTATGCGCAGGGCCAGTAGCGATACGTTTCTGAGACTGGGGCACAATGATACGCCAGAAAACACGTTCCTCATTGTCAGACCAAACCTTTCCACCCATCTTGGCTATTGATTGTTTCGTGAGTGGGTATATATGTAATGATACCCGAAAGTCAGAGTAAGGATGTCGCAGCCAAAAATTGAATGTAACCGTGATAAAAAGAGGGAAACCCAAATTACAGGGCTTTGATGCTGCAGATATAGTGATTCAGGTCCGAATCGAAGGTTTCTTCCGAAGGATTCTGGATGAAGAAGAGTTGAAAGCGAGCCCAATATAGATTGTGTTGATGCTCAAGGAAGGAGCTAGTGAGTAGTCGAATGTATAAGTGTGACCGAACTCTTGAGAGTTGATGTTATACGACGAACTGATATAATAGGGTGAGAGGGAAGAAGTGTGTCGTGGAATCGAGTGCGACTTTATTTGTTTGAAGGAAGGTCACTGCCGTCAGGTTGAAGTTTTATTCCTGGGATATATATCGACTGAAGGTCGCTGACGGCGGTGTGAAATGGGTCCAGTGAATCGCGGGGGCGGGTGTTAGTGAATAATCGGGTCACCAGATTATTGGTTGTTTTGGGAAGGAAACGGGATGAAAAGGTAAACGAAAAAGTGTTTCCAGATGAGACCCTGGAGTTCCAAGTCCAGGTATTGATTTTTAGTCTGGATATGTTTGAGAAAGAGCAGTTTCCTTTGAATGCCAAATCCCTGGGCATTTGAGAACCGAGGAAGGTGAGGCTGAAATGGCTGCTTTAAGTGACGACCGAGGGTGGTGGCCTCCTCCCGAACCGCTAGCATGTTGTTTCATATGGAGAAACATGTATACAGGCAATGGGCGTTTTGACCAGCAAATGTAACGAACGAGCATTTGTGAGGCATACCCATTGTAGATATGGATTCATGTTTCCGCGCTTGAAAGATTGTATTACTATATGCTAGATTTGTAAGTATGGATGGGCAGTCTGGGTCTGGGCAGATCAATTACTGCGCGATGGTAATATAGAACATTGCAGCGATCCGAATGTAGCAATACAAAAGTACAAAAGTACAAAGGAAACAAAGAGGAGTAGTTAAAGGGGTAGAATAGGGCGAGACGGAAAGCCCGAAGAGGACTTGAGAGTTAAGGGGTAATTTGAGAGGTTGACAGCGGCAAGGCTCAAAAGTGAGGGGATGGTTCAGCAGGTGAGGTGACAAAGGCAAGGATCACACAGCCAAATAGGTGAACCAAGTAACAGAAAGACATGTAGCTGAGAGAAGGGGATACATGATGATGGAACGAAAAGCGATGAGCTAGGCAGTTGAAGCTAGGGCCTTGCGCTCAGTAAAGTCAGGGGTTTCGCCTAGGTAAGATGTAGAACCGGAACCCCCCGGAAAACAGTCGAAACGCAGGGCTTAACAAATAAAAAAGAACCATCAAATAACTTGCGTGGCATATTACCTCTTACCGAGGTTTCTTAAGCCAAAGTGTGCAGGCAGTATACATCTAGGCTAGTGCTAGTGTTTACGATTGCTACTCGAAGGGACTATGCGGCTCTGGAGCCTGGTAGCCCCTGGCTACCAATGCTGCAGCCAAACGCCATTCAAGTCTCGATAACTAGTGCTGTCAGTAGAAAGCCTTCCAATTGAAGATAAGACCGCTTACAATACTCTTCTTCTCAGGTGGGACTACCCCATCTCTAATCCAGAAGCCCCAACCACCCATCATGTTGGCTAGCATCATGTCAGTGGTCAGGCGGTCGCCAACGACGGCGACCTGGGATGGATGGGAGACACCCGTCTCGGGATGATTGCGAAAGTACTCCATGATCTCAGAGCCGCACCCAGGCTTCTTGGTTTTGTGAGGGAGAACAGTGATGCCAGTTTCTTCCTCCAGCTCCTTCGCCAGCTTCAGCGAGGTGTCGTAGGATGTCGCTCCAGCCGTGTTAGACACGATGACCAGTCGGCGGCCAGGATACGTGGCCTTGAGCTTCTCGAAGCGTTCCTGGAGATTGTCAAGAGAGCGAAAAGAGAATTCGGGTCCCATTCGACGTACCTTGTAAGGTTTGTGGACTTCATTCGTGTGGGGAATCGCGAAGCAGTCGTCCTTATCGAGCACTACCGCCCGTATGTCACATTTTCGATCCTGACCCTCGAAGGCTTTGTGCAATGGTATGGGCAAGTCGTTGAATGTGGCGACAGTGTGTTGTGGTAGACATAAAGCCGGTCTAGAAAATAACTTGAAAATATTCACCGTGCCTGAGAGGTTGAGATTCATCTTGAACGACGCCCACGATGTGAGATTGTGGAGAGATGACGTCTGTGTGGTTGGACTGGAGAGACGATAGAAATTTGGCTTGCGGGAAGGAGCTTGGACCCCTGCCAGATAAGTGACAGCTACCCCTGGAGATGGATAAGATAAGCTTAGTCGCGTATTTGTGCAGATAACCCCTTTTGAAGAGTATTTAGCAGTGAATGATCTTGCCATTGACTTGGCCCGTTTGAACCAAGCTGGTTTTTTTTCTTCTTTTCTTTCTTTCTGTCCTTTTTTGAGCATAATACACGAGCTAACTGGTAGTTGATTTTTTTTTTCTGATTTTTTATTCTATTTTGTGAGTTGGAGCCAGTATAAATTACCCCTATCCCAAAATTATATTAGGAGCAAGACCTGGTGAACTGGAAAGCAGCAGTTGACTGGCACGACGTTACCTGCATCCGCTCTCTCGGCTCATGCATTTTTTTTTCAAACCCTGTGAAACCCCGCGACAGCGGTATACCTAGCCTACTCGACAGGATTGCAGCGAGGCTAACTATAATGCTCCTTCAACAAGCTTTGGTGATGATATCAGCGTGAGACTGCCAGTGGTTTAGAAAGACACGCTTGATCAATGACACCTCTGCTACTTCAATGGGTGCAGGCAAAAGTCGCCCATTCAGATGCCTTGCAACCGATGACTATTTCGCCCAAGTACATCTCTCCAGGGAACGCTACGAAAACCCGCATGGAGTCCATTCCATCCCACAACAACCAGTGACATGGAATCAACATCCCAATCTGGTGCTTGGTTAGATTTCGTACAGCGTTGGAAACATGGCATGAACTGTAGGTTAATGGTTGGGTTGTAGTAGTACGGAGTACTTGCGCCTGTGCTGTGAGTTAGGCACGCTAGCGTCCTCAACTCAATTAGAGCCATGGACCCACACAGAAACCTCCCCTCGACTTCACGTTTTCGCGTCTGCGCGTCTTCCGTTGCCGTGCCGTCAGAAACCGCAATATTTACAACAGCCTGCCATTGGACCCCTCACGTCACCAAACCCGGACAGGCAACGACCCGACTTCGATCATGGCGCGCAACAGAACAACCGAGCCCGGCGTAAGTGACTCTCCAAGCGGGAGACTGAGCCAAAAACGCTCCCGCCAGCAAGTGCAGGACGAAACCAACGAGGAGCCTGTGAACGGCACTCCCTCGAAGCGGAGACGTCAAGCTGCACCAGTCGACCCGTACGAAATACCCTCTGACAACGATGATGACGACGACGGAGAGGAGGAGGAAGAGGAGGAGGGGAAGAAGGACAAGCACCCCGAACCAGAAACCGAGAACCAAACCCCAAAGAAACGACGGGGCCGCCCGCCCAAACCCGCGACCCCTTTAGCCAACGGCACCGTTACACCCTCGAAACGGCGGCAGGTGAACGCCCTAGTGACGCCGTCAAAGGCCATAACACCGAGGAGGAGACAGGCGGCAGACCGCTCTGCACGGCGGAAGAGCGCTCGGTCCCTCATTCAGAGCGTCATCGCCGACGATAGCGAAGACGACGACGAGGGCCTGGCCCGGAAGATCTACGAATCCAGCGAAGACGAAGACGAGGGGACAGATGGACAAGACGCGCTGCCCGCAGAGGCTATCACGCAACCCTCCGAACCAGACACACCTTCCGCAACGCCCTCACGCCGCCGAGGCCGCCCGCGCAAGCAACCAGCGCCGAAATCCCCGACCCCGCCCCGCGACCTTCCTCCTCACGAGCTCTACTTCGAGCACAACAAGCCCGGCCGCCCAAAGACGTCGCACAACACCCTCGCATCCCTGGAGTTCCTCACGCACGACGAGTACTTTGACCTTCTCCGCGCTCGAGATGAGCCCCACACCGAGGACCTTGCCTACCTGCAGTCGCTCCACGAGGCCTCGTTCGAGCAGTGGCGCTTCGAGCTTGCTCAGGGGTTCAGTCTGTGTCTCTACGGCCAGGGCTCGAAGCGCGACCTCGCGAGAAAGCTGGCGGAGCACCTGCACGCCGTGGACCCGAAGGCGTCCATCGTGGTGGTCAACGGCTACGTCCGCACCATCACGGCGCGCGACGTCTTCACCACGTTGGCCTCGGCACTCAGTCCGTCCCTCAAACTGCCCGCTCAGCCGACAGCAATGGTCCAGACCCTCTCGTCCGCCCTTGCCGCATCGCCCACCCACCTGACGATCATCCTAAACTCTATCGACGCCGTACCCCTGCGCAAGCCGGCGACGCAGCAGCTCCTCTCCCAACTCGCCGCCCACCCGCGCATCCGCCTCGTCGCGACGGCCGACACGCCCTCCTTCCCGCTGCTGTGGGACGCCGCCCAGCGCACGTCGTTCAACTTCCTCTTCCACGACTGCACCACCCTCCAACCGCTGGACGTCGAGCTGGACCCAGTCGACGACGTGCACGAGCTGCTCGGCCGCAAGGCTCGCCGCGTCAACGGCAAGGACGGCGTCGTCTTCGTCCTGCGCTCGCTGCCCGAGAACGGCAAAAAATTGTTCCAGCTGCTCGTCATCGAGGTCCTGTCCGCCATGGACGACGGCGACCAGCAGCCCGGAGCGGAGAACCCGGGCGTGGAGTACCGCATGGTGTACAACAAGGCCGTCGAGGAATTCATCTGTAGTTCCGAGATGGCCTTCCGCACCTTGTTGAAGGAGTACGTATACGTCCCTCACCCGATCCGTGTGGCCTTGATTGACAAGTTGCAGATTCCACGATCACCAGATCGTCACCAGCAGGAAGGATGCGCTCGGTACGGAACTGCTGGGCATCCCGTTCCGGCGGGAGGAACTCGAGGCCATCCTTGAGGAGTTGATGTCATGATCCAAGACGGGACGGAAGCTGGGGGGCTTGTTTTATTTTACCCAATTTACCGAAATATTTTAAAAGGGGGCACAGCGTGATATTTCGTCAAGTGCGGACGGGGGAGTAACAAAATTAGCATAGGCCACGGCCCACTTCAATCACATGGCAGCGTTATGGCAAGATATACAAGAACAAAGACATTGCATTCGTAATGGTCATGATCCCCTCGGGGATAGTCTAGGAGTGTTTTCAAGCCCAACCGATCCCATGAAACCGTGAAACGCCCCCCCCCGTAGCCCCTCTACATCCCGACACTTTTAACACACGTCCAGAGCACCACCGGCACAATAACGTTATCGTTTCCGCCGGTCAAGACGGCCTCTGTCAAGCTCGCCATGCTCGCGCAGAAGCCTGCGTTGCGGGCAGCCGCCGGCCAAGCGACCTGCTGCTCCTCAGCGACGGGCCAGCCTCCGGCCCTCAGCCATGTTGTCGCCGCCATGAGACCGATAAACACAGCAGCGGCAAAGGCCAAGCTGCCCTCCAGGCTCTTGCCGCCACCCCATACCCACTTCCTGTGTCCGTAACGACGGCCGATGAGGGAGGCGGCTGCGTCGCCCAAGCCGACACAGACCACGCCCGCCACCATGCTCACTTCGCGCGTTGGCACCTCCCAGCCGGTAAGGTAGCCGCTGCCGGTGCGCGGGAGGGTCGCCAGTGACAGCCACAGCGGGATGGCGCAGCCGATCAACAGGAATATGTGGGAAATAACGACAGGGCCTTTATGGTCTCTTCCGTCAACGTAAGGTGTGAGGAAAGAGGCAATGGGTCTTGACAAAGGCGGTAGCTGACTCGCTCGCAGCAGATCAAGAATGAGGAATATCGAGAGGACCAGGGATAGTGCCAGAGCCGCAAAAACGGGGTCAACATACGTTGCTGGTAGGAACATGCCGACCATCATGAAGTGGAATACTTTTCGCCTCGTGTCTACTTCGTACTTGGGGTCTAAGCGGATGACCACAGCCAAGCCAACGACAACAATGGCAAGCCAGTAAGCACTCAGCAGCAGTCGCGTATTTGCCTCGCCAAAGTCGGAAAGCCGGATGCGCTGCACCCAGCCTAAGTGACAAGCCCCCTTTGCATCCTCGTCTTGGCGCGTGGGTAAACAAATCCATCTCTCAAGATTTGCCTCCACGACTTTGAATCGGAACCACGGCAGCTCGCCAAAGAGGTACCCCAGCGCCCACCCGACAGGCTCGCTACCTTTCAGGGCATACCTGCCGATGTACTCTCTCACGGGCACCAGGATGATGGCGAGGATGCAAACGTAAACATAGGTGGCGTAGCTCCACTTCCTCATCGTGGCTTGTGCCTCCGTCAGTTTGAAAAACGAGCGAACAGTTGTCGAAGCGGTACGCTTCCTACGGCCTGCCGATGTGTGGGTCAGGGACCTTCGAGGCCGCGGCCGTTGCACGGCGTGTGGGAAGGTATTGCGCCGCCCAACGGCGGTGCCATCTGGTGATTCTGGAGACTTGCCGTCCGAAAAGCCGTTTGGCTTGCGGTCTGCTTGAGATGACGTGTCGGCCGTGCCCAACGTTCTCACTCTCATCTGTCTTCCCAATGGCCCATTGACTATTTCGTCCTCAGAGTCGCCCAGCTCCGAGGCCGATTCCTCCAGCGACGAACCCAGCAGCTCATGCTTGAAGCGGCGTATAGACAAGCCCTCGGAGAGGAACCCAAAGACGGATGTCTTCTTCGAAGGCGTCGCAACCCGGCTAAAGCGCAGCCTTGGAACCCTAGCCAAGGCGATCCCCCTTGAAATCACCGGTCCGCAGATGACGAGGACACCCACGCCGCCTCCCCAGAGGAGTGCCTGGAGGATGGTGGCTTGGGGTGAGTGTGCAAGAAGCAATACGTTGATCAAGGCGATCGATAGTAGCTGTAGCTCGGCTGTAAGCAGGCTCGTCGTTGTAAGGTAATGCAGCACCGCGAGGAGTGTTTGGTGCAGCGGGTAGAGAAGAACAGCCGTCTCTGGGGAGATGGCTGGCCTTGCGTACGACGTGAGTGTCCACTGGTGTGACATCCAGATTGGTACGCAGGAGAGAACCCATTGAAAGGGGTTGATTGCTTCGTGGGCTCGCGCCGTAGGAATTAGATATTTCGGTATCGAAGAAATGCTTAGAACGACGTTTAAAGGTATGGCCGCCAAGTTGTCGGGGGATATTAACAGTGACACCAGCATCGTCACGGAAGGCGGATACAAAATAGGGGCGGGATCGAAAACGGCGGGCACGGCAACCGGCAACTTTTTGGATGTAGTCCTTTGCCGAAACGACCATGCAATCAGCCGAAGGGGGTAGAGCGCCATGAGCGACGTAATCAGCGTGGCCAGAAAGCGCAGTTCTACATATTGTGAGCTTAGAATGGATCGGCGAACCGAATATCACGTACCTTGAGTCCAGGCGGAGAAAATGGGCTTCACCTTTGGATTCGACCGAACTACGGCAAAGAGGGAGCCAACAATGATGAACTCGGACACGCGGCGAATGAGCTCCTTGCTGCGCCGGTAATTGCGATCGTTAAGAAACCTGCGAGCCTCTTTCCGGTCCTCTTTTTCCTTCTGTCGCTGGAGGGCATATTCTTCCTGGTCTGGAGAGAACAAGGGCGTGGATGCGCCCGAGAAGAGTTCATTACGGCCCCTCAGCCCCTTGTGCAAGCGCACCTTGGGCGCAGGAAGCCCCTTAAGGAAATGCTCATCGTCGGCTTCGGTGCCGCTATCGCTCCCCTGGGACGAGTCCTTTGTGAAGGAGGGGAAAGGAGACGGTGTTCGGCTCGAGTCTGTGGACGAGGTCCTCGGCGGCGTCGGTGTCGCATTAGACGGGTGGCAAGTCAGGCGATGAGCGGGGTGGGGGAGCTCTGTATTGAGGTGGTGGTAAGGATGGGGAGATCTACTGAGGGTTCGGATGTCATCGTTTTCTTCCTTGTCGTGGGCGAAGAGAGCGGTTGGGTCGAGGTGCTCGGGCATGACGAAGCTATGGCATTGGAGAGGGTTGCGCCAGCGTTCATCCACAAGTCATCAAAGGTACTGGGGGCGGATGTTGGCGCTGCTGAGCAACATGGGATTGGATAAGAGTAATGCCACAGGTGTGAGAGTGATTCGAATGTTGTTTTGTTGATGTTGTTTGGTCAAGTCAGACCATTGGGGGTTGGGGATGGGGGGGAGAGACTGACGGCGGGAAAGAAAGCGGAAGTGGGGAGCTCCCATCACATGAAAGATACAAAAATGGTTGCGAACCGCTACCTAGTTGGAGCTGTGCTGTCATCTGGGCCGGGCTAACCCATACACGTGTAGTGCAATACTGGAAGCATCGGTCTGTGTTGGGAAAGCGGACCATCAACCGCGCGGCGCCAGGGAGGGATGCGACTGGACGGGACGGCACAGTGACAACGACAGCAACAGCGGGCGATGGACAAGACGGCATCCCCACCGGATTTTCCAGGTGCACGAGCCACAAGACCAAACACAAACAGCACAGCCAGTGCCAGTGCCAGTGAGTGGCTAAGTCAAGGTCGCTCCTACCACCATGCTGCTGCGTGGGCGCGCTCGAGCTGAGGGTGAGGAAGGAAGGATGAGGTCAACATCCTTCCGCCGGGACCGAGGACGGGTCCTTCGCTCGCGAGACTGCCAGACGAGAAACCCCCGCAGTCAAGCACTCAACTCAAAACAGCACGCTCGCAATATGAAAGGCTGATTCATCAATGAAAGACAAGGCGCCGGTGACCTCATTCCCGGCATCCGGTGAGGCGATAGCCGATTACTTGTGCGGTATGCTGCTCATTTTTGCAAGCATCGCCCGGTGGTTGCCGCTCTTGCCAAGGACGGCAGCAATGTTGACTTTACTGTGTCATTTTTAACATTTTCAAACCACCGTAGGTGCGTAGGTACTCTCGACTCGACACAGGCCACGACAGAGCACACAACCAGTCTCCCGCCCTTTTGAAACGAAAAACTCAATTGAGCGGCCAGCCGGGTATCCGACCTACCCTGCGTTGCTTGGCATTGTTTGTTGGACCGGAACACATAACACGTTGGCCCCATCCCACAATGGCCAAGTAATCACAGTGCACCATCTAAACGGGGTACGTGTACTCTTCCTATTCAACCCTCACCTCACCTCATGATGATGTAGAATCGACAAAACTGTTTCCACTGTCGGCTTGCAAGAAGAGGTTGCCATGTTGCGAAACAGTGGGCTGCTGACGAAATGGCCAAGGGCCGACGTGGGTCGCTCCAGAGGATTAATTGGAGAAGGAGTCGACGCGTCCATTGTGCCCGTATAATCCAGCCGGAGTACGGATACGGATACTGCTTTTCGAATTCGTCAAACGGCGCCGCCAACAAAAAAGCCTTGCAAAAGATATCCGTCCATTGGATAGGTATTGCACTTACTAGGATCGTGGGGCGGCCGTGTCGGACGTTGACCGTCTCCCAATCTCGGATGGAGACTACCATCTACGGATACTGTTAGTAGCAGGTATCCTCACGTCCAGAGCCTCAGCCTCTTTTTCTCCAATCCGCTACGCTAGTACCCGGAAGCTCTAGCGGGCCACGAAGCCTGCATCGGCATCGCGATTACCATAATGGTCGGAGCCCGGCATTCGGCTGTCTCGTGAGAGAGGGCCGCATCTCGTATCACCTGGTCCCTGCAGCGACCCAGGGATTGGTTGGTAGTGTAGTGGACTGGGGGTATGCTGGAGAAACGACAGCACAGGGCCGCTCACCCCAAACCCGAACGAGAGAATGGGTAAAGGAAAGTCAAAATACGAGAGGCTCTGTCAGCCCCATCATGGCGGTTCCGAGAGAGAGTGGCTGCCTCTTGGTAATTGGTTTGATACATAGGGTGACGACACACCCTCTGATGGGCCGGGTCTCTGTTTCACACGCACGTAAACAGGAGGTCAAATGGGGCTGAGATATCGTACAGCGGCTTCAGGTGCACAACGCTTCAAACGGGCAACCATCACAGCCACCTCCATTGAGGGCAAAACCGGGTGTCCAGACCAGATGGGTACACCTTGTACGGAGTACAGGTATACCCGAAGTGTAGTCGCACTCACCGTTTAGTGTTGCACGTCGGATTCAGGTACACGGGCAGGGAGCGTTCGCTTCGTAAAATCATCTATCGAAGCCCAAACGGGGCATATGTCTGCAAACGCGAACTAGAGGGAGCGATATTGAGGCTCTATCGATCGGGTGGTAGGGAAACTGAGGCCGAAAAACGAAAAAAGAAAAATACGGGAGTTATCAGCCATCTCCCTTGGGAGCCGCGGGCGGTGGGTTCGTAATCGACCTACCTGCATGCAGCGCCAGCATGGTGGATGTCGCAAAAGCTGCAGCACCAAGACCACCCCCCCCCCCCGGGGCACTCGCTCGCTAGGGCGGCTGGGTGCAGGCCCCGAGAGTCAGCGACTGCGCAGAGTATTCATGCAACCAAAAGTGACGACGATGCGAAGGTTGAAACCAATTGGACGGCAAAGCTCCGTGATCCTACTGATCAGCATATGTCTGCATGAGCATTGGCTGGGTCACCAACTGCGCCGTCGCAAGTCATCAAGACTAATGTTGACACAGACTAGGTGGGCTCGTATCATCTTTGAAGGCACCCCATGCTCAACCAGATTGTACAAATGTGTAGGACATTGAATCAGACGGACAATGCTTTCTATGCCCTACCTCCGGAGACGATATCCGTATATGGCACGGATATCTGGAGGCCTACTGTGATGTCACCGCTCACATGATCATGACAGAGAACCAAAACAGCAGGTAAACAAGCAAGCGGCGTCAGACAGTGCTCTGGACGGGGATCTCACGGACGGAGAGACATGCCTTTCGTAGAGGACGCGCCGGGGAGGTGTAAACGGGCATTCGACATCATTCTTGACCCATATTGGGAGATGACGGGAGAAGGGGGGAGAAAATCCAGCTGGAACCGAGGATTAACGGTGACGGTAGCTAGTGGGAACCTGCCTGTCGATCCCTGTGCGGCGGCCCTTGTCAGCACCAGCTGCCTGGCCCCCCGGCAAGACACAAAGAGAGAGAGAGAGAGAGAGCGCGCGCGTGTGTGTGTATGTGTGTGTGTGTGATGGAAGAGTGGATGGATTAGTGGAAACTGGTATCCGTAGTTCGGTTCTTTACGTACTATGTACACTTACTTGGAAGGTAGTCCGCGGGGGCGCATTGCACTGGGCAACTGGGAACTTTTTCCCCCATTCGTTTTTGAAGGGGGACCGCCGTCCGGATCTACCAGGTGTGGCTACGTAACTCGCCAAAGAAAAGAAAGGAAATAGAGCTACCTACTGTACATAGCGTGATGGGTATGATGGGATGAATAGGTAGGTCGACCTGAGTTGGGCCGATAAGACAGGGGGTACGCGTAGATGCGTCGCCGGAGCGGCGAAACAGGGAATTTTCTATGTATAGTGTAGGTGATGTACCTATATGCACAAAGATGGGTGTCCAAGACTTGCTCCCACCCCCAGTCGGCTGGAGGGGCCGCCGGTGTGTGCAGTTCTGTCTGCCTGGCCTAGGATCATCTTCGACAGGTTTAAACGCCAATCCCTCCCCCCTCGCCCTGATGACTTCTTGTTCTCTCGTCCGATCATCCGTCTTGTCTCTCGCCATCCATTCTCTCGTTCGACTCGGAAACAAAACAAGAAAAAAAAACCTACTCGGTGGTTTTGTTTAAGACGCTCGCTCACAGCGCCTCATCGCCACCTCGTACCTGATTCTCACCACCAACTGTTGCGACTCACATTCCTCGGCGTGCACTCTGTGAGATTGGCGGACTTCGCATCAATCTGCGCTCATACCCGTCGAAAGGCTCAAACATTGATCAACAGGCTCGACCTGTCTGGGTATAGTTGCGTTCTTCTCAAAACGATAAACAACCACCTGGGAAGGTTTTCCGTTCCTTCTGGCTTCTTCTGACAGCGGAACCCTGGGCTCGAAGCACACGCCGTCTTACACTACGCTAGCCTGCCCGGGTCTCACCTCAACACGCCAGCCACCAACAAAGAGTTTCGGCCGGCCAGGTCCCACGCCGTATCATTCTCTTGGATCGTCCATTTGCCCCATTCCCGTCACATTAGACGCGGCCGTTGCTGGCGACCTTTACAAATAACCAAACCTCTCTCCAGTGTTTGCCGCTCGGGCGTCCGTCCCCCTCTTCTCCTACACTCGCTCTTGCGTGTTTTTTTTTACCCTCTTCTCGCCGCCGCCTTTGCTGCAGCTAAGACGCTAAGTTGAGGCCTGCATATCGTCGCTGGCCTTAACCTGCATAGGTATCCGTACTTCGGACGCTATTGGGCCCTATCACGCAGTTGTTCCCCTCCTGCCGCCTTGGACAATAAGCCGACTGACTATAACAACCTCACACGCCCGGCCTTGGGTCCCGTTCGCCACCATGGCCTCCGATACCAAGTTTGACCAACGCCTAGAAGAGGGATTGCTGCCTGCCGCTGCCAACGAAAAGGGGATTTCAACCTTGAGACCAACCAGGACCTCAAACAACACCAAGATGACTGCCGCCCGCCGTGTCCTGCTTACCGTTCTGGTGTGCGGCCTCGTGACCCTCGGTCTCGCGTCCGCCATCGGTCACCGGGTGAAGCCCTGCACGAGAGATCACCAGAGGCAGGTCCTCCTTGATGGGGGAGAAGCCCAGGATCCCGCCCAAGTGGATCTCATTCACCGGTTGCTTCATGCCTACTTCCCTGAGCGCTACCAGGATGGGGTCTATCCCTCGGACAAGGACGCCATCGCTGCTTTCGAAGCGGATGATGTCGAGCTAGCCTCTGCTCTGGACCAGCTGGCGAAGCGTCAGGATAATGGCACAACCACTGCTCCGTCTGCCACCGTAGCGCCTTCGGACACTGTTGCTGCATCTCCGTCTGTCTCGTCAGCACCGCTTACGAGCGAGACCCCAGCCCCGACCCCGACTCCTACGCCGTCGCCATCGCCGTCGCCATCGCCATCGCCGTCGCCGTCCACTCCGGCAACTAGCCCCACCCCTGCCCCGGACACCAGAGTCTCTTCCACCCCGGTGCAGTCCAACACTGAGCAACAACCCACTACTCAATCACCCGAACCCGCACCTACCACCCCTTCGACTCCGGCAACGTCAGCAGCAGCACCTCCTACTTCTGGTACGTCTCAAACGGAGCAAGCCGAGGCTCCCTCTTCTACTGTTGGGCCGTCCCCTGCCTCTACTGGGTCTCCGACGACGACCAGTGGGTCTCCTTCCTCTTCTTCTCCCCCTCCCTCTTCTACTGCCCTCTCGTCTGCTCCTACTACGGCCTCTCCGGGGTCCTCGAGTGCGTCCACGCAGGGTACGTCTACTCCCCTTTCTGTCGAGACTACTGCGGTTGTGACGACCTCGTCCCCAACGATCTCCTCCCCGCCTGTATCGACCGTCTTGCCCACCAGTGTGTCTGTGTCTGTATCCGGTATGTTGTATCCGCGGTTTTGTAGCCCATCTGGGATGTTTCGCGGGCTCCGGATGGCCGTAGTGGGGGTTGTTCATGATTGATACATGGATTCTTAAGAAAAAGACCTGGACCTGATCACTCAATCCATCAGCCCAATCCGTCACCAGTTTCTTAATGCAGATTGCTAACCGACTCACAACAGACACCCCTCAGTCATCTACCGTCACTCGTGCCACTCCCCGGACGACCTCCTTCAGCGAGGTCCTGGCCACTTTTACGTCGACCGCCTCCGACGGCGACGTTGTGCTCTACACAATGACGTCTTTTGTCGCCGTGAACCCGGAAGCGACCAGCGAGCCTACCGGATCTGGCAGCAGCGGTGGCGGCGGCCTGCAGAACGCTGCCTCCCCAATCGGCGGTGTTTCGTTCTATTTGCCCTTTTCTTTGGCCGGTATCGTCGCCGGCGCCATGCTCCTGCTATAAAGCAGTCGAGCGTCATTTCTGGCACTGCCATCCCCATTTTATATAACATAACCATTCATTCCTTTTGCGCTGGTATTCTCGGCACACGGCGGCAGGCAGCGGCACATACATATCCACACATCAGCATCACTTACTCACGACATTCACGGTCTTTTTCACTCCTTGCATCAACTGGTGGACGGCACAGCACACATGACACAGCACATAGACTTTGCGCGGCAACGTGCCGCACTTTTGCGAATAATAGACATTGGAGGCATCACAAAAGAAATAGTAGCATGGCCTCGGAGCGGCAGAAGGGAGGAAACAGGTATCACGGTAGCAATTGAAGCAATTGTTGGCAGACGAAAGCAAGCAGACAAACAAATAATGATAAATCATATTTGAGACTTTTAAGATTCGAGACAGCGCGCGTGCCAGTGAAAATGAGGCCGGCATCCATGACCTTATCCCCGGGATTGTCGCATTCCAGGCGATCTCGGCAGTGAGTGTTTTTGTTTCACTGTTCAGGGGCGACGTATCCCGTGTCTGCTGTTGTGCGGAAAGAATGCTCTGACACGGGTTCCGTAAACATTTTGTTTCCTAAAGGACTTCTGGAGGGTATACACCACGAAACGCCAGGGCCCAAAATAACGCCATTCCCAAGATGCACACACATGACGCGCCCTGACGACGCCTTACCCCCCCCCCCCCCCCCCCCTTTTCTCCGTTTTTAGCCGGGTCCTATCTTGGGCATGTCGTGGTGCTCGCTCAGCTTGGATAGATACGTATTGAGTTCCTCGACACGCTCCTTGTGCGTCTTGAGCAGCTCGGGCCGGGAGCTGGACGACTCGGCGAGTTCGAGGAGCTGTGCGAGTGAGTAAGCGAACGTTCTGGACACCGAACAGCGGGCGAGGCTGGCAGAAAAGAAAAAAGATGGAAATAAAAACAAACAAAAAAAGGAGTGCGAAACGTACCCTCTTGCGCTTCCTTTCCTCGTACCGTCGCTCCGCCTCCGTCTTCCGCACGACCCGGCCGTCGTCGTTATCATCTCGATCCTCGTCGGCACCGGCCTCGGCCTCGGCTTCCAGGTCCTGGCTCACTCCGCCCTTCTTGGAATTCTTCTTCTTCCTGTCGTCGTCGTCCCCGCCAGCGGCCTCGTCGCGGTGCTTCACCAACGCGCCGCTGGTGCCGCCTTCGTCGCCCGTCTCGAGGTTCTTCTCCAGGTCGCTCTTTTCCCTTCTCTTCTTCTTCTTGGGCTTGCCGACCTTGGCGCCCTTCAGTTTGAGACCGCCGCCGACGGCCGACGCGTACTCGTCCAACGGCATCGTGTGTGGTGGTGGTCGGTAGCCTTTTCCGCGTATTGGCGTCGAGACGGGTCCGAGGTCGTGCGGTCGTCTCTCTTTCGGGTCAAGTTGTTGCGCGGTGGCGACGGGTCGCCAAGGTTATTTGTTAGCAACACAGCTTCGGCTTGTCAGGGGCTCCCCACCTCCCCCCCCCCCCCCCCCCCCCAGTCTCGATTGTCATTGCGCTCCACACTCTTAAGCCGGTGGCAGGCGCCAAGCTCCAACTTGCGGGTTCCCGTGCCGGCAAGACAACAAGGCCAATCATCGTTTGGTCCGATCGACTTTTTGAGGGTCCGAGCGGGCACGAAACTGCTGCGCAACTCGGGCTGCCTTTGCAGCAGCAGAGACAGCAAGAGTGTCGGTCTAATTTAGTGCTTCTAGCGGTCCCGTCCACCACTGCTGCCACAGTTCTTCACAGGGGGGATACACGCAAACGAGGGGCTACTATTACTACCTACCTACCTTACACATTGAGGGCTACCATACTCTCTACTCTGTGCTTTTGTCTGTCCTGAACCCGCCTTGTTCAAACCACCCCAACCTTGAACGACAAATTACCATCCCCCAAACATTAATTGTCTCCCTCTTCGTACTACCGTGTTCGTTTGCCAATCTTATTCCGACAACAGGCTCTGATCGCGCAACAAAAATATTACATTCTCCCACCCCTCTCTTCTTGCGAACATTGGCTTGCTTCGATTTTCACGTTCAAAAAGAACTCTTCTAGTGGGCATAGCTACCTACCTACCTTGGGAGAGGAGAGACGGACCCCGGCGCAACTTTATCACGACTTTTAGACGAAACGTATATGTAAAACGACGTCACAATTATCTCCAGAGACACCGCTACTCTAATATCCAATTTCGCACACACTCACTTCAGGACGCGAGAGAATCCTCTACAAGCACACCGTCACATCACACCTCGTCGGCGCAACATGCAATAGCCCCGGCACCCTCTTCCCCCAAGCTGAACTGATTCAAACGGGTCGAGAGTCGCTCACTCATCGCGATCCTCGTCACCTCGACATCCAAGCGCATCCACCATGCCGCCTTACGCTAATGTCCATTCCCACCGCGACTCCCTCGAGCTCGCCTCTCTCGCCTCCTCCTCACGCGCCGACTCCGTCGCCTCGGACATCCCATCCTCACGGCCCTCCATCTCCTCCCAAAAACTCTCCTTCGACGCCGAAGACCCCCTAGACGCCGCCAACCCGGCCTCCAACGCCAGTAGGCCCAACCGTCATGACCGCTCATACTCCGTCTCCTCGGGCTTCGACTTCGCCGCCAATCTTTTCCCCCTTAGCTCCACCGCCGGCGCGGGCGGCGGCGGCTATGCTCCCATCGGCGCGCCGACCTCGACGGCGATACAAAACGGCGGCCTGGGCGGCGGCAGCTTGGAGAAGCACAAGACGCTCACGTACCTCAACGGCTTAAGTCTGATCGTGGGGCTCATCATCGGGAGCGGCATCTTCTCCAGTCCCAGCCAGGTGAGCTCCAAGGTCGGCTCGCCCGGCGCAGCGCTGGTGGTGTGGGTGATTGCGGGCGTGCTGGCATGGACCGGCGCAGCGAGCTACGCCGAGCTGGGCGGCGCGATACCGCTGAACGGCGGTGCGCAGGTCTACCTCGCAAAGATCATGGGCGAGATGGCCGGATTTTTGTTCACATGGGTGGCAGTCTTGGTCTTGAAACCCGGTAGCGCCGCCATCGTTGCCATCATCATGGGGGAGTACCTCGTCAGGGCGGTCATCGGCGCCGAGGCGGAGAGCCTCAGTCCGTGGGTGAACAAGGCGGTGGCCATGGTGGCGCTGATCACAGTGACGCTGCTCAATTGTTTGTCGACAAAGCTGGGCACCAAGGTAAATGACTGGCTCATGTTCCTCAAGTTCATCGCGCTGCTGGGCGTAACTGTAACGGGCATCGTGGTCGCAATCACTGGCGAGACCCTGACGGGCAAGGCCAGCTTGGAGTGGAAAACCCACGAGTGGTTCGCCGGCACGTCGTCGGATCTCTCCGCTTGGGCAGTGGCACTGTATGCGGGCCTATGGGCTTACGACGGCTGGGACAACGTAAGGACCTCTCGCTGCTCGACTTAAGCATGTACTGACCTTTGGCAGACAAACTACGTCGTCGGCGAGTTTCGCAACCCGAGCCGCGACCTCCCCCGCGTCATCCACACGGCCATGCCCCTCGTGATTCTGTCTTACGTCCTGGCCAACGTCGCCTATTTCCTCGTTCTCCCCCTCGCCGCCATCAACGCCACCAACACGGTAGCGGTGCAGTTCGGGGCAAAGGTTTTTGGTTCCGTCGGCTCCCTCGTGCTTGCGCTGATCGTCTCGGCGTCTTGCTTCGGCGCTCTGAACTCGTCAACATTTACATCCTCGCGTCTCGTCTACGTTTCGGGTAAAGAGGGGTACATCCCTTCCATCTTCGGTAGCATCGGCCTGTCCCGGTCAGAAGGTCGCTCGGTGACGGTCTCCCGCACCTCGCGCGGGCGCGTATCAAATCTCCTCATTCGCGCCCTAGGCGACGACGATATGGGTCTCTTCTATACCCCCGTCTGGGCGCTCGTGCTCAACGGCCTGCTGACGGCCGCCTACATCATTGTGGGCGAGTTTGGTACTCTGCTGACCTTTTACGGAGTCGCGGGGTACACTTTTTATTTTATCACAGTCCTGGGGCTGATTATCCTTCGTGTGCGCGAGCCGCAGCTAGACCGCCCGTACAAGACGTGGATCACCACGCCCATCATCTTCTGCTGCGTCTCCCTGTTCTTGCTGAGCCGCGCCGTGTTTGCGCAGCCGCTACAGACTGTGACGGTTGTGCTGTTTGTCGTTGCCGGCGTGCCCGTCTACTTTTGGCGCATCCGCGGACGGGACCAGCAGGTCATCAAGCGTGAAACGAGGCATCGTTCGGAGAACCACGAGCGTTCATGGTGGCAGTTTTGGAAGAGGTCATGAAGAAGAGAAGCGGTTGCATAGTGTTTGCTTTCGGCTACGGGAGTGGCCTTGCTTTAAGCGGCTTTGGGTATCATTCAGCGGCATTGCCTCTTTGCGCATCACCTTTCATGAGCATTAGGATCCCAACCTCGGGATTTCGGGAGTAAGCTTTTTTTTTTCTTGGAAAACTTCGGACTAGACCCAGCGATGCTTGACGATGGCATCTGGACCGGGCAGACCGGCGTCGGAGCCAGACACGGACGAGCAGGCATAATGGACTGCAAGGCTAGCACTGCGGCCAAGAAGAAGAAGGAGGAGGAGGAGGAGGAGAAGGGGAAGAATAAGCAAGCCCGCATCAATGACAGCGGCGATGAGACCCGTGTGGGGGGGGTGTCAACGACGGCGCTCACAAAGACGTCGAATAAGCCAGATGGCTCCGGGGATGACAGATGACGATAACAGCGTGTAAACAGAACAACTTGTGGTACTTTACCCCCTTGTAATAGAAGAAATGCATACGTCTATGTGTCTGGCCTATGCTCCTCGGCAACTCATGACTCTGCTCTTCGAAGCAGCGTTGACTTGAGCCTCGATTGAGGCCGGACGAACACTCCCGAGGGTGGTGGGACAGAACAACATTTTGCATGACTCCCAGAGTGCAGCAAACCTGTCACGGCCGTCATATAACACAGTTCACCGAGGTCGCAAGTGTAGAATGTTTGCATCGCATCCGGTAACATTTCTATGTACAGTAACCTAGACTTGACTTCGGATACCCCAGAAGTGCAAATGCAGATGCCAATGCTCGGAAGCAACCATCCAAAAAAAAACAAAAAACCGTCAACGCTAAATCGTCACATATACTAAACATCCCAGATGCCACCCTTTCTCCGGGGTATTATATCATCCGTCGCTTATTTCTTCTCGCGCTGGCCGTAGGCCTTGGTGGCGTAGTCACCCTTGTGGACGATGAGGTCCTCGGGCTTGTAGTCCTCACGGCCGCTCAGGTAGCTATCGATGATAGCCTTGGTACCGTCGGCGTAGCGCTTCTGGGCGTCGAGGGAGGTGCCGGACATGTGGGGAACCATGGCGTTGCCGCCGCCGAAGGGGTTCTTGGCGGTGCGCAGAGGGTGGTCGGCAGGGGCGGGCTGGGGGAACCAAACGTCACCACCGTAGCCGGCGAGGTGGCCGGACTTGAGGGCTTCTGCGACATCCTCCTTGACGACAATGGCGCCACGGGCGGTGTTGATGAGGTAAGAGCCCTTCTTCATCTTGGAGATGAGCTCCTTGTTGAAGAGGCCGCGCGTCTTCTCGTGCAGGGGAGCGTTGATGGTGACGACGTCGCACTGAGCGAGCATCTCCTCGAGGTCCTCGACACGGCGGCAACCAATCTCCTTCTCCTTCTCGGGAGACAGGGGCTGGTAGTCGTAGTAGAGAAGCTCTTTGCAGTCAAAGGCCTTGAGGCGACGCAAGACACGCTCACCAATTCGGCCGATGGCGACGGTGCCGACAGTCTTTCCCTCGAGATCGTACTCCTGCTTGGCAACGGCAGCGACGTTCCAGTCACCGCGCTCAATCTGCTCATGTGCGGGGACGAAGTTGCGGATGAGGACAAGGATGGTCATTACAACGTGCTCGGCGACGGAGACGACGTTGGAGCCGGTGACCTCGGCAACGGTGACACCACCGTTAGTCTTGTTGGCTGCGTTCAGGTCGACATGGTCGGAGCCGATACCAGCAGTGACGGCAAGCTTCAGCTTCTTGGCCTTGGCGAGACGCTCGGCGGTGAGGTAACCGGGGTGGAAGCTTGGGATGGGTAAGTCTGTGCTGGCGCCTCGAAACCTCGGGCAGGCCAACTTACGGAGTCGTAATGATGATCTCGGCGTCGACGAGCTCCTGGTCGAACTTTGAGTTCTCACCTTCTTTGTCGGAAGTGGTCACCAGGGTGTGGCCCTGGTCCTCAAGCCACTTTCGGATACCAAGCTCGTTCTCGGTGGTGCCCAAGAGGCCGGGGACCTGTTTTGGATTCGACAGTTAGCCCAGACCAGCTCCAAAGATGTGATGCCATGCACCCCGCATTTGGCAATTTCGGAGGCGTATCGCCAAGGGTTGGGGGGGGAAGATGCCGATGTATCAGCGATGGACCTCCGAACCCCGCACCTTCCCGTCACCCCCGCACTAGCTCTCCATAGTTGGGTCGGGGCGGGGCATAGCTGTGCGGGAGCTATCATAGTGACGTTCTAGGGTGGGGTACCCAAGGGCGCGACGGCTGTGGGTGAATTGGAACAGGGAATAGATAGAATAGACACTTACGTCTTTGGCGTGCTGGCCGCCGTCATAGAGTACTGCGAGGACCTTGACCTGGTTTTGGCGAGTAGTTGTTAGTGTGCGAATTGAATTGAGTTGGCCAGGCATCCTGCGAGGCAGAGTCGAAGACACAACAGCTCGACTAAATGCAGGTCTTGCGAGGAACGATGCCTTGGAGGACGTGTGAAGTCCTCGAGAGACCAAAGAACCAACGGAACGAATGTTGCGGGAAATCAATACCATTGTGACGTTTTCTTTTTGTAAAACCAAAGTTATCGAGAGAAAGAGGGCCGATCTGGGACGGAGGGAGGTTGTTATATAGATGATAGAGATCTGTGACAGACGAAAGACCAGGTACTTCGGATCTAGGTATGAGATTGCTGAGGCGATTGAGTGTATGAGATCAGAATGAGGACAGGACAATAAAAAACCTGATGGGGCGCGATGTATTTATGTTTGCAAGCATGGCCAGCAATCCGGGATATAGAAGCGGGAAACGAAACCCAGGCAAGTAAGTGGTGGGTACCAGAAAGAGGCAAGAGAATCCGACAAGCCTCATCGGTGCATGCTACGGTTTGGTTTGGTCTGGTCTGTGCCGTACTGGCTCGACGGATGGACGTGGAGCAGTCACCTCTCTCTCCCCTCCTCTCATGCCTCGTCCCCGCAGCCGTTTGCCTTCATCCTCCATCTCCACCTCCCCGAGATACCAGGTGCCCGTGCCCCTCCTTTCCAGAGTATCTCCTAGACCAGTCAGCCATCGGAAGTTTCGAGAGAAGAGCGACAGTGGTTGGCAGTGTAAGATCGACCCCTGCAGAGCACGCAGCTACGAGAGGGAGAACATGGTACGTTCACATCAACATCAGTTATACAAATTGGCGGCATCGATGTGCGGTTGCTACGACTCGGCATTTCCAAGTTAGGTAGGACTCTATAGCCCGTGGGGGAAAGCTCCCGCGCGCGCCATCATTGGCTTATGGGGTCCCTCCCCCCATACCGCTTCCGTTGGTAGCGCACTCCTCATGACAGTGAAACGCCGCGACCTCCGGCAAATCTTCATCTCCAACGTTGTCTGCAGCTTACTACGCGACTAGCTGAACTGTCCTCCGCTTGGACAAGTCGGCTGGCCGACTTGCGTCCAACAGACCACGCAATGCAGCATCCGCCAACACTCCCATCTACCCGTATCCTATCAACATCGTCATCCGGAAAATGAGGGGTAATGCCTTGTAACATACGTGCGCTGTTCCACCCAATACACTTTGATCCCATCACCTAATCGTTTTCAGACTCCTCCAATCGCTATCCGCTGTTGTCCGCCCCATGGTCTTTTTCTTCCCTTGGATCAACCTGCGGAGAACGCATGTTTCGGCGCTTCAAACTGCGTGCTAGGACGGTACGCGAAGCAGCCCGCGTGCGTTGGTCCTAGTCAGTTCGGACGGAGATTTGTCGTCAAGCTCGATGCTGAGCCTCCCGCCCCGGTGATGCTTCGGCGTTCCGTCGGGTTTGGCGTGAGGGGTTCGCCTTTGACGACGCTTGCCTCGCACCACACATACTTGGAACCTTGGGCGCCACCTGGCAGGGCGGTGCATCGCCTGGGTCGTTCGTGGTCGCCCTCTGCACTGGGCACGAATCTCGGGGTTGCATTGCTCTTTGAGGTACTCACGAACCCGGAAACCCGTCGATGGGGTCGACTGTCGTCGATGACAGTGGGATCCGACATTGGATCACACAGCATCAATGTGACGGAGTGAACGTGCCGGAGCTTCTGGATTCCGTCATCGAAACGATATTACGGGCCACCGCGATCCTTGTGCTTGCGGCCCCGTCGGGTGGTCCTCGATCCACAGTTGCAGACGACGTGGCCCATCGCGGGGTGAGTCTGTCGAATAAGAGCAAAACTAAGAACCGGCTTCTACCACTGGGCGCTTGGTCTAGGGGTATGATTTTCGCTTCGCACTTCCGCCAGGAACGCGATATCACTGTGAAAGGTCGTGAGTTCAATTCTCACAGCGTCCATCCGATGCTTTTGCTCAAATGCATTAGACCTGTTTTTGCGGCGAGGAGACCGAGCCCACCTGTTACTGCTATCCTGGCCGCGGTTAGGTGATTCTCGCAGTGTCCTTCCTTTATGTCTTTTTTAAATATAGATTGCTTTTGTATTCTTCTTACACTGTAGTATTATTCTTTAATGGTGTGCGGTTTGCCATATAGGGGTCCAGACGCCCATGGCTTTACCATATAAATACTTAGTCAAGAGATAACATTCCTGTTGTCACACCATCATCAGCCGGTTCCACCTAATACTAAGTGGTGCGCGATCTCTTGGACAGCTGTGTGCTGCTTGCTGTTCACAAGTTACCCGTAATCAAGAGTTGAAAGGACAAGGAACAGAATTGGACCGAAGACACCAAAAAAGCATACCGCCAAGTCCCTCAAGCTCCAGGTGTAGATGTGCTGTAGACCTGCTTTAGAAGTGGTCCTTTTGGTCTGCATAGATTATTAGAGATTAGAACCGCAGAATCGAAAGCACTTCTAGCTCCAGGCTGTATCTTGCAAGTAGACTGACGTCTTTTGTAAATCTTTCGTACATCTATGTCCATCACGAGTCGCATATTCAACCAGATGAATAAACGCACGTTCTTAGACGTAATAAACCAAAATGACGGGTGACACCGGAGATCACTTCACCTATTTGTATATTCAGTGGCAAAAATAACAACCAGGTCAACAGGATGGGCTGGTTGGCTTTTGCACAGATGTAGTCAAACCAAGGCTGCGAAAACACGGGTAGGCTTTGAGGAGCCAAGGAAATATTCCCTGTTATGGCATCCTTCTGGGCATTCCAGAGGGTTCTGATAGCCAACATCATCTACATGGTAAATACAATATCATTACCTACACAGCGGGGCAGGCTCTCACCCCATACCGTCTTATAAGGGATTCCCAGCAACCGACGAGCTGACTTTTTATTCCTGAACTGCCAACCGTCTCCTCCAAGACCTTGACTCCAAGCTGGCTATAGTTGTAGTTCCCAAGCGTCAAGGTTTGGTTCGTCCAGGTTAAGAAAGTTGAGTCGGGGACGTTGACAGGTATCCTCATCCAGACGCAAGTCCCATGTTATGGTGATAACACGGCGGTGCTTCCCGTCCTTGCCCGAGTTTCTCGTGCGAACGTTCTCCTAATGCTTCCGTATGAGGGTTGTCAACTGACCTCCTTGAAGGATCTGCTGTATTCAAACGCGAACCCATATGGAAGTGTTTTGTGCTTCCATGGCGCCTCCTTCCTGCAGTTCCCAGCGTCATGGTTGTTACACTCATCAATAATGCAACGATCCGATTTGATGTCACCGAAAGAAGCCACGGTCTCCGGTTTGAATGGAAAGTGTAGAAGAGCCAAGGGCAGCAGATATCCCTGAGAAATACCCTGAGGGAGCCTCCGATGTCGTGGCCGACGGACGCTAAATGAACGGGATCTGAAGAGATCGCATCCCACAATCAGAGAATGGGTTATTAGCAACCTCGACCAAAGTTTCAGTCAAGGAATCAGGTCCAGACAGATACGGTAATGCTGCTTCTTGGATCGGCCTGTGCCTGGTGAGAAAAAACAGCCATCCTAGCCTTTCCGAGTGTTCTTCTCACTACTCCCGGTGCTGAACTGCTGATTTTCTCCGTGGCTAACTGATCATGTTACGAGAAGGAGGTCTGAAAGCGGCATGGTGGCATTCTGGTTTGGCCTGTTTCCACATTTACCAAAGCTTCGAGTTGCATATCGACCTATTCTACGCCACATGAGCGCCTGGGAGCCCTATTCGGAAGTCACGGAAATCCTTCGCTCATGTCCACCGCCATGGGCGCATCAGGGGACATTAGTTGAATCATCAGAGACTCTGGCCGAAGATGTCATAGGCCAAGAAGATTGCTGCAACATGCCATAGTCTGGATTACATGACGCAGATAGGCCCTTCAAGGTAAGCTCATGACGCCTTGTTGCTGTCATGCACTTATTAAACTTCGATATTCATCAAGGTGCATTGTGTGTGTCTGCAGTCGAGTAAAAGACATAATAGAGTCTCTTGCAGACTAGCAAAGAACACATTGCTTCAAAATCACATCGCCATCCTTCCCTCTGTTGTGTCCAAGTTCCCACAAGTTGACCATGGTGCTCATCAAGTCTCTCCTGACGGCCATCGTCTTGGCAGCCCGTATCGCCAACGCTGAAGAAGCTGTCTCGGAGGTCCAGCTTCCTCAGAGCCCTCCCAGGACCGTCACCGCAGAGCAGGGGTGCTACACCGACTTCGCAGAGCGGCAACGCGATAGTGTCCCAACGTACTCTCGCCTGTACTCGTATACCTTTCCCGTCACCGAATACACCTACACCACGCCGACGACAAGCACCGTGACCATCACCCCCACCATATCCACCAGGGGCGTTGGCACAATCACATCAACCGTCACCACAACTACGCACGTCTCCTCGTTCAGTACCGTCACTGTCGAGGCGCCAGCGGGTTTCACGCCCATCGCCGCCGCCAGCAACAGAACTGGCGGCGCCTATGGCCGCTTGGGGTCTTTAGACGAAGCTCCCATCTCACCGGCAGATGCGGATCGCAGCTTCGGCAACAGCCTGAGCGGCGACGAGGAAGGCAGACGCACAGCCAGGCCTTTCCTCTGGCCGCAGGCAGTTGTCTGCGAGAAAGTCGTTCGTGTCTTCACGACCACCACTTCCACGATCACGGCAACCCGGGCCGCGACTACGACGACAACCCTCCTGGGCCCGACCCAACAGACTGTCGTGGCGACGACGACGCCGACGACGACGACGACGACGACGACGACTACTTCTACGATCACCGACGTCATCGCCAACCCGACGCGGACCGTCTACGAGGCCTGCCAGACCAACAATGTACAGGCGTCCCACGGCCAGCCGCTGTCGTTCTTCGTCGAGGCTCTCTACTACTGGCCCGTCACAAGTGAGGAGCGTCACACGGACACTCCAGAGAACTGCTGTGTCGCATGCCAAACGACGACTGATTGCAGCGGCAGCCTGTATCATTTCTTCTCCGGAACTTGCTACATCTTCAAGAACAGGGACAAACGGAGGCAATGTCAGTCCCGGCTTAAGCTGAGGTCTCAGACGAATATCACCACGAATGGCGTATTCTGGGCCAGCAACGGCAGGTGTGGATCGTGGAAGATTACGGATGAGGAGCCGGGCTCGTCTGCAGAGTGGTAGGTCGCGGGGAGGGACCGTGCCTTGCTGTTGAACAGATGCCGTGTGTTGGGTTGTACCGTCGTCAATGGCTTCTTTCTGTTTTGTCACCCGAAGCCAGTTTCAAGGCATGTAGCACAATACGAAGAAGTGAAGCATGGTATTTCCATGTCTGACCGTGGCGATTTCCTGATGTGGAAAGGGACTATTGGAAGCGAGTGCGAGGAGTCTTCGCTAGCATTGGGACATAAGAATGTCAGCGGTTGGGGTCTCAGCGCAGGACAGTTAGAAAGCCCGGTACTGATAAAGATTGATTGCATCTCTGCACATGTATAAGGTGCGGCTCGAGTTCGCCGATCCCGTACCCACCCCATCTGACTCCGTTACCTGTTGGGACCGAGGACCGGTCTCTCGGAGCGTACCCATGCCGGAGAGATAGAGTTCTTCACGTACCATTCGGCCTCCCGCTCTCTCCACTCTACACTCTAGGGTGATCGGCAGGTCTAAGCTTCCAAGAGCCGCGGAGACAGCACCGGCGACTACCTACATGCATACGGTGTATGGGCTTCGCCGTTCCGACACAGGAACGCATTGCAATGCTCGGCATTCGACGACATTCGGGCACATCCCCTCTTGCCCACCAAGCCCCTTGATGTAAGTAAGCGCCAAGTCAGCCCGGTGGTACACCAAGGAGCCCAATGGATACCTCCCACACGCGTGTGTGAGTGAGTAGAGCTGCGCGCGGCTGAGTTCTGGCGCGCGCGCATATATGGTCGCTCGACAGCGAATCGTCGTCCGCCCCGTCGAAGCAATCATCGAATGGGCTGTGAACCATCGAACCACTCTGGGGACACCAAGCCCCTGGATCCGGGCACCAGCCCCCCCTGTCGTGTGTGGTTTTTCTGTTATTGCACTGCCAGCCTAGCCCCCTCGCCACGCTCTTAGCAGCAGTAGCGACGTTGCATTTTCGGACACATGCACTGCTCTTGGCAGCCTCTTTACGCATTTCCAGTCCTTTTCTGCTCAGGAGGTCCCCACGCTGAGCGGCTTCTGGGCCCGCAGCGACCATTCGCACCCCTGCGATGTCATTTCTCTAGGATCCAAGGGCCAACCATGCGGTCGCGGACCAAAAAACATTCACCATCCTTTCTCTGCCGCGGACCTTGCCCCCCTTCCTCAGCCCTGTCGCCCGCCAACAACGACTCAGACTCGACGACGACGACGACGACGACGACAACAACCACGTCGACCACGAGGCCGCGACCGCATCCACGATGGCGGAACTGGACCCGAATGCGTGGTACCGCCTTTCGGAAACGCGCGTCGACAACAGCACCGGTCCATTCGCCCTCAACCTTATCCTCCGGGATGTCGGCCTGCGAGTCCATCCCATGACTGACGGCACCGCCGCCTGGCAGTTCCAACCCTTTGGCGACGTCAAAGGTCGCTACCTCATGCGCCTCGACCAGGCGGGCGTGAAGCAACAGCTGGGAGTGTGTTACGATGCGAGCGAGCCCGCTGTCGGGGCCACTGTGGCTTGCCTGCAGGAGTCATCCGTCAGCGACTCGCAGATTTGGGAAATATCACCATGGAGCGGAAGATCGGGGGAGTACAAGTTCGTCAACGTCGCCAACGGCACCAGCTACGTGCTCGACGTGCACCCCAAGGCCAATCTGTTCATGAACAAAGATGTCGAGGGCTCGGCGGGCGTTGCGGCGACGCAGCCTGCGCAGCACTGGGTCATCTCGAGCGTCAGCCCCGTCAACGATGGGGCCTATTCGACCATCTACTCCGCCAACGTCGCTGTGAGCACAGAGTCGGCGACACTCTCTACGGCTTCGAAGACGACCTCGGCCGCGGCAACTACATCTGCCCTGACGACCACAGCCGTATCGCAAACAGGCACAGCTACATGGACCGACGGAGCGAGCATGTCATCCGCAGCGGCGGTATCGACATCGAGGGGCATCTCCCCCGCTGCGGGAGCGGGAATAGGCGTTGGGGTTGCGATCGGGGTTGTGGGCTTGATCGGCGCTATCGCCTTCTTTTGGTGGCGGCGCCAGCAAGCCGCCACCACGCAGTACAGCGAGGTCGACGCAAAGAACCGTGGCAGCCCCGGCGCGGGATCTTCCTCGGCAACGGGGTCTCTGGAAGATGGAAGCTATGCACTGCCGTATGGGGTGCAACGGGCCGACGCGAGCTATCCGGGAAACTCCGGAGGCTCTCCTGCGACCTTGAGTTACCCGATACCGGTCAGAGGTGGAGCATCGCCGGCGACAATACCCGCCACCGCGGCATCTCCCTCGGAATCCCGCAGCTTGCGCTCTTGGTCACAGCATGCATCTGCGAGCGGGCTCGCTGTACCCCCGGCGGTGCCCCGTCACCAGTTCGATCATCCCGATATACATAACGAGTTTGCGCCGGCTCCCACAAACCCATCATTTGAATCAACATCGCACTTTGGCTTCTCGACAGCCGCTTCGTCACACGCCAACTCTACAACAAACCTCAACGACCCTGACCCCCTTCCAAGCGCACACGAGCTGGAAGTAGCTGTGCGAGATGTGCCTCGGCGCCAGCACGAACTCGGTGATTTCCATCACGGACCGGAAACATTTGATACCAGTGGTGAGGCGCAGCCGGCCCGGAATCCGGCTTCCCATGCCGAGCTGGGCGCCTTCCAGCACGGCCCCGACACATTTGCGCAAAGCCACGAGGCCAAGATGCTCGGGTTGCCCAAGGCGGAGCTCGGCTCGTACCACCATGGCCCCGATACCTTTGCGGACGGACACGAAGACAAAATGCTCGGTGCCTTTCCTCCGGGCGCCGAGAAATTCCAACGTGAACGGGAAGACAAGGTGTTGGGGAGCTTCCACGAAATAATGAACATGGCGCCGAACGGACGGACCGGTCGGCAACCCGGACCCTCCTCGGACGTCCCAGGGCGGCAGACATACGAGATGCAGTCGATTGGGCCACGGTAACACTACGGATTGGCTTTGGCAACATCCAACGTCTGAGAGAACAAAAACAATACATGAGAATCGACACGGCCCCTAGGCGGAGGAGCTGATGAACCCAATGATACCCACGCGAAGGTCCGCCTCCCTTTGCCTCACATCACATTTATATAAGTCGGGATATACAGTTGGTCCCGGCTGATGTTGCATTTTGTCTACATCACAAAACTTTATTTGCCAGCCCCATGACTCCGTTCGACACGCCCAAGACACGTTTTGCCGACAGCACCACTTTCCCCCTTTTGGGAACGACGAAATCAAGTTGAAACAATGCACCTCCAATGGAGGCCTTGCATAACGGCGAAGAGACCAGCACAGGTCTATTATTTGACACACACACACACACACACACACACCCGGGAAATAACCTGGAATGACAGTGGACGGCCGACTCTTACGACGAGGGGATCTCGCGAGTGCGCCCAATGGACAGCTGCTTGACGACCAAGGCACACAGAAATGTACTACAACCCATGTGGTTATGCGACTTCGACTTGACCATATCCTAGCATATAGGTATACATAGATTACTTCTAATCAGCGCACGAGTTTCGTGTCCACTAGTGCAGTCTAGAGGCTATATCATATTCCTGCTTGCTGCAGGCTCTTTCAGCTGAGTGTTCGTGTACTTATCCCGGCTTTTATCTGCAGTAACGAAACCGTGGCTCACCGCCTCTGAACCAACGACACAACCGACGGAAATAACCTTTGAGAAGCTTGCCAGCGGCTCGACTGCCGACACCCACCACATCGTGGGCAACAGCACAGTTAGACGGCCACCCAAAGACTAGGCCCCCCCCTCGGATCCCGCTCGAGCCACTCCGTAAAACCCCTCCGAGCCTCCACCTGAGTATTTACGTTTTGCGTGAAGGCCCGGCGTTGCCGCCGCAACCCCCCCCCCCCCCCCCCCCCCCCCGTCAGCGTGGACGGAGGTGTCGACTTCAGCGGGAATGCCCCGGGCCCGGCTCTTATTCCCGTGTGCGGCTTTGTTTGGCGGGGCCCCACCATGGACGGACCCGACACCTCTCCCTCTGTTGTTCCGATACGCCGGCCCAAGAACGAAACGATGGAGTGGCTCAATCGACGAGAACCTGGCACCAGAATGTCTCTTTTTCGGGACGGAGGCAGGATGACGACGGAGACTTGCCATCACTTCAACCGGGCCGGAGAGCGCTTCGGAACTATGTTGGCAGCACTTAATCCAAAACCTGGTCAGCCTATTGGTATCCGGCAATCACCTCTATGCGATCAGAACAGAACCCTATGTGCAGCTATCGGGGGGAGCCCCCTCGGCTACAAAAGAAAATCAAAAAAATCAAAATAAAAAAATAAATCAAGGCAATGTTGGAGAAACCAGGTAGCACAGATTAGAAGAAAGAAAAGTTGGGGGGACAGGGAGGGCCGTGTAAGTCCATTGGTTTCTCTTGCAGGACCGATATCGCACGCCGGACAAACCTAGCTTTCTCCCCACACCCTAAAATCTTCCGGCGGATCGACGAAGGGACACTTAGCGGCCATTGCGAACAGCACGGTCAGTTATCACGTCAAGGACTTATGGGACCTGATGCCCTCATAATAGTAGGCCACGACTCGCGACACTCTTCAAACCTGTCGACTTCGTCCGCGAGGAGCTCCATGACTAGCTCTGCTGTATCTATCGGAAGGACTCGGGGAGCACGTCAGACAGCTCTCCCCCGAGGCTTTATCACGAGGCTGGTTGTTGTGGTGATGAGGGGCGAATGTGGACGCACAAAACTCTAATCGTCACGATGGCCATCTGGCAATCCCATCGCGGAACCGGACAATGTCCGAAAATGTCCCCGAACATGAATTTGCAGCAGCAGAGAGACCCAATCAAGAGTAGCAATCCCAATTTGATCGTTGGTGCCCGAGAGATGTGGAGACTGGGAGAGTCAAAAGTCACTTTCTTCTTTTCGTTTATTGAAAAAATTTCCATCAAAAAAAGTTGGCCGGCGGGTACCAGTTAAATCAGGTCCGAGTTACGGAGACTAACGGAGCTTGTCGGAAGCACGACAGCTACAAATTGCATCGTGTGGGGTGTGACGTTCCCCGTGTCTAGCTTCATGCGGGGCCGGAGACGGTCTGAATCTCTGGTGTCTAGCTTGGAAGAGCCGCCGGTGCAGCCGGCTAGAGACGCATACGGGATGGCTGGCATTTACGCAACGCGACAATTATCTAAAGACCGACGTTTATCCGGGAGGTCCACAGATCCTAACAGGGGAATGTTGTTAGAGCAGCATATGAAACGCGGCGACGTTGCTAGCAATGCCTTCTTGCTGTGAGGAACGCGAGCAAGGAAATGTCATTAGGCAATTTGTATCGTAATTAGCGTCAGGCGCCTAGTCAGGTGGACGGCGGCGTGACCAAGGCGGTGAGACGGATCACAAAGTGTTGGGTTAAGGTTGACACGTCCGATCGTTGTTGACAAGAAGCTTGGCGGTATGGCCCGGATGCCAAGCTCGCCAAGGCCAGGAGGGATCGCGGGTGAAGAAGGTTGTCTCAGCACGTGTAGGAGTCTGGGGTGAATCACGATATGCTTGCCGCCGCTACCATGATGTCTCGGACGTAGCAGTCGATGGTATGGCGACCAGAAATCGGGCTCGTCCGCCAAGACCAATGACGAAGGTTGTATTTCATGAGTCCGCTGGCGGCCGTTGTCGCGACTCGCGAGCAATGGGATTGCGAATAAGGTTGAGCTCCGAGTCTCGGGTCAACCCCCTTTCTCCAACGAACCTTGACTCTCGCCTAGACGCGCAGCGGCCGAAGTTGGCACGGCGCCGAGACGAACGCCATGAGGGCGCTCAAGTACCGTGAACTTAGTCGAGCGATAACGGTGGATATAAGAACATGGTCGTCCATTTAACGTGGTTTCGTCTGAAGTCTTGATCTGAAATGCTGTCACCAATAGGCTCGTCTTGGCCAGTGGAGGTTGAGAGTGGCACTAGGGCATGATTTCCTGTGCGTGCTTCAGACTGGCCGAAACCGAGATTTGCGAGCGACTTGGTGTTTGAGATGGGAGGGGGAGGGTAGAGTCGAGACTGTAGAGGAGACTTTGAAAGCCTGCAAGTCCTTGTTTAAATCCGGGAAAGATGCTGATTGATACCAGGAGTGGGGGAACGGGGGAAAGGTACCTAGTCCGGTCAGGGAGGCCAGTGTCAGGGGGGGCATGAAAATTCTGGAGCCAGGGCCTGGCTTTCGGTATCGGTGGGGTCTTGTCGTCGGCGTGGGCTAGATGCAGGCTGCTGTGGCTTGCCGTTAGAGTGGAACCCATGTGGAGTGTGATCGGGCAAAGTCGGGAGCCCGTAGATTTTGCACCCTGGAGGAAGAGTCATGCCACCCTGCAGATGTCTCGTGCTTCCTTCTCAACTTGTTCCCCCTTTTTGCCATCTTTGATGAGTTGGAGATTCGGGGCCTCTGGTCCACCTCGCTCACGGCTTGGTGTGAAGATGATGGGCAGTGAACGGCGCCAAATCGTGTGTCGAACACGAGATGCCCAATGCTCACTCAACCTGCGGGATTCGGGATACCGGACGCTCTGACGTAGGGTATTATCATGGAATCGAATAACCGGTATGTATGGTGGGAACTGTAAATCACCCAACAGACTGTTGTCACGATATCCGGCCGAGCGTTTGTGGTGCTGAATCTGTATCCATTGAGGAATCGGTCTGGCGAGCGTCGTCTGTTCAGGCTCGGCTTGCAAATTGGTCAGCCAGATTCCAGAAGGTGTCGGGAGAATGTCAAGGGGCATGGTCACGCACCTGCAGGCATGCCGTCGCATTGCAAGACAGCAGCAGGGGTCAGATTTCCGACGGCCGACCTGGGCCCAACAGGCTGTCGGCCGGAGGCAACCCACCCTCTCCCAGCAGTACGACGCACTCCTACACTGCCCACGGACGCCCAGCTCTCGAGGACAACTGTTCGGGACGTAGGGACACAGACTAGCCTGAAGAGGGCATTGACCAACGGAATATCGTGGCCATTATTGGCTGGATATTGAAGACAAGATTTTTCCTGCTCTGCTCTCCGCGTTTCAATAATTGGCATTGAGACGTTTTGCCTTTCCCCAACGACATCAACCAGCGTGGATTGGTTTAACGCATTAGCTGTCGTCCATTATCCCTTGTCTGCGGGTAGAAAGTGCGACGCGAAAGGTATTGGCCAGGCATCAAGTCGCGTGCGCACGGAAATGGGGATTGGGTAGAGATGGCAGACTCAGCTCCGCGACCGTCCCGAGAGACCATCACCGGACGGCGGGTTGCAGGTCGAAGGAGGCCGGATGGGTCTCATATCTAGAAAGGGTTAGTGTTGTCATCGGCGAGATGTCCGGTCGGCGACGGACTAATAGTACATACTACTGTATCCGTACATCGAATGAACGAGGCGTTCCCACCTCACAGGAAAGGCCAAGAGTGGATATTTGCTGATGGAGTAGCTCAAGGATCGTTGTGATGGGGCGGGACGCTGCTGCAAGACGCGGCAGGGCCGAGGACGCGTAAGTACAAGGACAGTCAATGTATACGTGCACCGAGCTGCATGGCTTGCTGACTTTCTCTCTCGATGGTAAAGTGCCGAAAGTCTCAACTCACTCATTGTGCCGTGGTGTTTGTGCCGACGTCGCGCATCCTCACCGGTTTGAAGGCGCGGGCCCCTCAACAAAAGGGTGTGCCAGTGTCGGTGCCAGCACAAGCACAAGCACGCGGGATTTGGGGTAGGTATAGCTAGCCAGTGTTAGGTACAGGTGAGAGTAGGTAGGCAGTTAGGTGGGTAGATGATGACGGTACGCAAGGAGAGTCTGTCCACGGGTCCGATGCCGTATCGACGTCTTATGCGTATCTTGGTGCGACTTGTGAAGTTGCTGCTGGGCGGAGCCTAGAGGAGGACATGGCTGGAGAGACAAGTGGATAGGACAGGATACCTAGTTCGAATAGTGTACAGGGGCATTGGTGGAGTGACTAAAGCAAACAATTCGGTCGAGACAGGACCGATTGGCGTTGACGATGCCTGCTCGCTCTCCCAGATTGGACCTTTTGGAAGAAGCTTTCCCTTCCCTTGAGTCCCCTCACAGTTTGCACAGAATAAACCACCCAAAAGTAGGTAGATACTTTGTAGGGCAACAGCGACCCGGTCTGATTGATTGAGGCAAGATCGGTCCGGTTATCGGAGGAGGCGTCCGGTAATTACATACTAGGGCAGGAACGCCCTCGCTTCTCGACTAGAAATACAGGTATAGTAGGTATGTGTATCAGTCAGTCACGCACTTAGGGTTAATCCAACTTTGTCTTGCCGCCGCCAGTCTTGCAGGGTAACAAACATTGGAACCGACACAGCTGATTCATTTCGACCGCCTCGCGAGGAAAGAAAGAACAACAATCGACGGGCGTCTCTCTGATTTACACGGGTAGCACTACCCCACTCGCCCGCCCGCCGGACACGCCGGGCTGGGCCTGCTCGCCGTTAGTTGCCTTGGGCTGACATCCCACGCTCTTCTTAGGCCATGTTCGGGTTCTGTCAGCTCACCTCATCCGTCTAACCTGTCCAAGGTAATTACGATCTCCCCATCATGAACAGTCCGCCATATTGCATCGCTCGTCGTTTGTCGGCCAACCGCCCGTGCTCGCACCGCTGATGCCAATCAACATGGCATTGCCCATTCGTATGTTGTTACGAGCTGACAGAATCATACTTTTTGCTAGTGTACTTCGTACATCGTCTCCTGTCCTAGCCTTGCCGGATACACCGTCCCGGCGGTATCACGTACCTACTCCCTAGCCCCTGGTTCACGTTCGAGCACGCCCTGTCTTACCGCCTGAAGCTCGTCGTGGACCTCAGTGCCTTACTCCGAATTGAAAATTTTCCACTCGGTCTTCTCCAATTCAGCCGAAACTGGGCACGGAAAGCAGAGAAACAACCATCAAACAGAAAAAAAGAAATTACCAATTCCTAGGATCAGGTCTGGCTTCCGTCTTCTCCCATACTCCACACACAAACGCCCCCGGTTCAACTTCGACCCCTCCACCCTAGTCTCCCGGTCCCACGCTGCACACCCTGCTACACGCACATCCACACCCCCTGTCCGACCCCCCATCTCGGGTACGATACGGCCTGCACTCCCTTCTCCTGGACCATCGCGGACGCACATCACACAACGGCGATTCGATTCGAAGCTTGGAGCTTGCGCACGCTCTCTCCCACATCCCTTGCTCCCGCCATCCCATCTTGGGAGTGCGCCATCCCATCCCCAATTCTTGTTCCTCGTCCGCCCGTCTACGCTCCCCCCAAGTACCCGGTACCTCTGCGCTTGGCCTTGCTGCCATCCCTTCTTCTTGAAACCGCCTTGAAACCCCCCTCCTCCCTCTCATTTTCAGATCTTCGGCCCACATGGGGATAAGTCGAGGTACCTGGCTGCCGCCTCCATCGCGAACCGGACCAGTTCACAAGGTTTTAAACCGACATTTCCTCGTCAGCGGTTCATTTGCAGGGAACACATCGCCTTTCTTCTCTGCTGGTCCATCCAATGCCACAATTACTACCCCACGCCCTCACCACCCCCTAAATCACTTTCCTGCACCTTTACCGAAATCCGCTCCTTCGAGCCCTCAACGACTAATAACAACACGTCCAGGCCGGTCCCATTACACCACTATTCATACTCCTCATCACGCTCGTCTGCTTCGCCTCCGAGCTTCCACGACTACTAATTGCCTCACCCCGTCGCCCGTTTCCGCCTCCTCTTTCTTCTCTGCGTCTCTCCCACCAATACATGCGCCGGTAATGTCAATGGCGTCGTATCCTTTCAGCTCAGCCAGCTCCTCAGACATCTCTACGCCCCGGTCCCATTCGCCGTCGCCATCGTCCGTTATTTCTGCCCGCTCTTCGCGCTCGTCTATATCTAACAAGCGCATGTCCATCTCCAGTCGCAGGATGACTGACTTCAACCCCATGTCCGCTGTCGACATCTCCGCCATTGAGGAGAAGATGAGAATGGCCGCCCTTGATCAGCACCGCGGATACGCCCAGAACACCTTCGGCGAGGTCCAGCAATATCGTACCACTGAGTACGTGCCCAAGACCCAGGCCACCGCTTACCAGGTTCTGAGCGAGCCCCTCTGGAACAAAGGTGAGTTGATCGCAGCCAACTCCACTTACACCGCACAAAACCTACTGCACGCACTGGCTTCCCCAACCCAAACAAACACGCCGTATCCCTTCCTTTGCACCCGTCCGTTCACATCAGCCTTCCCTTTTTTCCCTTCCCAACACCATCTCGAGCACTTAAACCGCCATGGCTTCCCTACTCTTAAGACGCGGGAGTCGTCTCGCTCCCCAACTTGTCCATCGTTCCCCTATCCATACCTCCTCCAAGCTAACCGCCATGGTCGAATCAGGCCTGTCCTTCACCCCCGAAGAGCGTGTCAACAAGAACCTCACTGGCCTCATCCCCCACACCATGGAGAGCCTTCAGACGCAATGTCAGCGGGCCATGAAGATGATCAACACCCGCCAGACCGACGTCGACAAGTACCTCTACCTGTCGTCGATCAAGGCCCAGAACTTTGACCTCTTCTACCGCCTGCTCATCGACAACATCCGTGAACTCATGCCTCTCGTCTATACCCCCACCATCGGTGATGTCTGCCTGCAGTACTCGACCCTGTACACCCGCCCCGAGGCACTGTACATCTCCATCAAGCAGCGCAAGTCCATCCGCACCATGCTCCGTAACTGGCCCTACCCCAACCCCCAGATCTGCGTCGTCACAGACGGTTCCCGTATTCTGGGTCTCGGTGACCTTGGTGTCAACGGTGTTGGTATCTCTGTAAGTGTCTTTTCCTATTCTGTCACTGTGCACGGCTAACAACCTCAGATCGGCAAGCTTGCCCTGTACACTGGCGCCGCCGGCATCCACCCCGAGAACACCTTGCCCATTGTTCTCGATACCGGCACCAACAACGAGGGCAACCTGAAAGACCCCTTCTACCTGGGCATCCGCTCCAAGCGTGTGCCCGTGCCCGAGCAACAGGCCTTCATGGACGAGTTCATGGAGGCCGTCACCGAGGTGTACCCCAACATGACCGTTCAGTTCGAGGACTTCGAGTCTGAGAAGGCTTTCAACTACCTCGACCGCTACCGCAACAAGTACCGCTGCTTCAATGATGACATCCAGGGAACTGGCGCTGTCGTTCTCGCTGGTTACATCAATGCCGTCGAGCTTTCAGGCGTCCCCATTGAGGAGCAGCGCCTCGTCTTCATGGGTGCCGGCTCCGCTGGTGTCGGTGTTGCTAAGCAGCTCGTCGAGTACTATACCAAGCGCGGCATCAGTGAGCAGGCCGCCAAGGACAAGTTCTGGCTCGTCGACACCAAGGGTCTCGTCACCAAAGACCGTGGCGACAAGCTTGCCGAGCACAAGAAGTACTTTGCCCGCACCGACAACAACGGTCACCAGTTCCGCTCGCTCGAGGAGGTCATTGAGTATGTCAAGCCGACCGCCCTCATCGGTCTCACTGCCACCTTTGGCGTTTTCACCGAGTCCGTCGTCCGCGCCCTGAAAGCCTCGGTCGACTCTGGTGGTCTTGGTCGCCGCCCCGTCCTCTTCCCCCTCAGCAACCCTCTCACCAAGGCCGAGTGCACCTTCGAGCAGGCTGTGCAGTGGACCGACGGCACCGTCATTTTCGCCTCCGGCTCGCCCTTCTCCCCTTTCACCATGAAGACTCCCGACGGCCACGCTGTCACCTACCATCCCAACCAGGGCAACAACGTCTACGTCTTCCCCGGTTTGGGACTTGGCGCCATCCTGGCCAAGGCGTCCAAGATCACCGACGACATGGTTTACACCTCTGCAGCCGCCCTTGCCGCTGGCCTCACCGCCGACGAGATCCACAAGGGCCTCATCTACCCCCGCATCGAGCGTGTCCGCGATGCCAGCGTGCTCGTCGCCCGCGAGGTCATGAAGTCGGCCCGCCGTGACGGCGTCTCCACGTTGCCCGAGTCCCAGTGGATCGAGTGGGAGGAGTGGGGTGATGTCGCTCTCGATGCCTGGATCAAGGAACGTGTCTACGACCCTGTCAGCTTCTCCGAAAAGAGTCGTATCTAGAATTGTGCGATGAACAGATTGAGTTGCATTTACGGTCCAAAAGACCTGGACAGGGATACATGAGACGTTCTCAACGGACTGGGTTTCGGCGTTTGGGTAGGCACTTTAGGGCCTTGCTTTCATCATCCCGAGAAATGAGCGAAGGGATCACAATTTCATCATCACTAAAAGGATGACAATACTTTTACACAGGAACCCCCGCATGCCGCGGTTATCGAGCGCTTGGTCGCGTCGGTCTTTTATTCCCGGCATTATTGTTACAATTTTAGACATGGGGGAACGCGTAATTTAATAGTCATGGAAACGCGACATAGAAATACACTTATGCCTCCAATTTTCACCATCTATTTGTGCTTGTAATTTGTGATATAACCCAGCCTACGCGATTGTCCCCGACATGCATTCGTCAAGTAGGCGATGCGGCCTTGAAGAGGAATTGCCTTGGCAACGTACCTCAGTCAAGCAAGTGATGTTTTGCATCGTCCCCAATTCTGGCAGTGAAAGCTTCGCAGATCCCCCAAATTCTCTCCGCACCAGACGAACCCCACCCGGCGCGGCGTAGCTCTCCCCCAAAAGAGGGCTGCCCCAAGAATTCCGTCTCCAACTGGTGAACTGTCTGAAGTGTGTTGGGGGAAAGCTCGGAACCTGTTGGGAGGGGGGAGGGGAGGCTTCCAGCCGTCGTCTCTCGGGCTAGGCCGGACTGGGCAGGCGGGCGCATGCGCAGAGTTTTCGCCGTGAGGATCGATTTCCCCCCGACTCGCGGAGACTGACTGACTCTCCGCCGTGCATGAGACAAACGACGAACAAAAGCCGGGCCGGGAGCGGCGCTAGGGAATCGACCCCAAGACAGCGCAGCAAGGCACAGTGGGCGGGTGGGGCCGGTTGTTGTTGTTGCCATGCTGCGGAAGTACAGACGCTTTCCGGGAATGCAATTGATAATGTTTATGGTTTGAAAGGGGGGAGGGGTGTGTGGCTTCAGTCCGGCCCAGTCATACCCCCCTCCTCTCCTAATCACCCAAAGGATAAGCTCCGGGGCTGGCGGTGGTCCAACGGCTTCTTAACCTTCCTATCTTCCTGGACTCTGGACGTTGACAAGTAGCATCTACCTACAAGTCCATCACCTCCAACCGAAAGCGACAGGTCGCAATCTCACCCACCCCCCTCCTCCTCCTCCTCCTCAAGCAGGACATCGGATGGTTAAAAGTGTAAATGCTCCCCTCGTTTGAACCGTCCTTGGGCTTCATCAATAGACGCCGTACCCCCCCCCCCCCCCTCATTCCCACCGCCCTCCTGCTTTCCCCATGCCGGCCAGGCCTTGCACAGGCGTTGCGATTGTGAGTTGCGGGTTCTGTCATCACCGACTATCCTACTTCCCGTCGTGCCGTGATAATACTGTCCGTTCGGGGAAGCGTCATGCAGAGTGCATGCACGCTGATCGGTGGGTAGTAGATAGGTAGGGCGAACAGGGGTGCACGGAATGCTCCTAGTCCTCGGCGGGTGTGTCCGTCTGGGGTTTGTATTATTGGGATCTAAGCCAGAAAAGGGTAGGATGCGATGCTGGCCATGCTTGAGCCAGGATACCCCCCACGACGCAGCTGCCGGGAGTGGCTTTGAATTTACGTCAGTCGAGAGCTGCTTTATTATCGATGCATGTTGCTAGCGCGATGAGTGCGAATTTCTTCCATTTCAAGTATCTGGGACTAACTCGAGCAAGTATCGAGGGAGAAAGGGGGTATTCGTGCGAAGAGGAAAGCAAGGAAATAACTGCTGGCAATGCTGTGAAATGCCTTAGTAAGGAAATGTGAAAACAGGCCACTATGCCGTTGCGGCGAAGCGCCCCCCCCCCAAGCCCGAGTGACATAACGAAATGATGATCGTCCATGGTGATTTACGCCTCATGAGAGTCAAAGACACGTCCCCAACTCCATGTATCGCGTGAATACAGCTTGCCTCAGTTTCCCTGTCCATCATGTAAAATGGTCTCGTCTCGTCCGAGCAAATAGTCCAACTCCCTCCCGAAAAAAAAATTAATTGCACATTGCGCCTCATGCGTCGTTTTGCGCAAGCCCGTTGTTTTTTATTTTAACCCTTCCGGAAAAGCCGTTTCGTGCCTCCGACCTTACCCATGTCACCAAACTGAGAAGTATTGCGCGTCTCGCCGCTAGCAAGTCGTACCTTCTCCTTAACGCTCTCCACCCACGCTCGGCTCTCTTCGCTCATCTCGACTTTGCGGCCTGTGGGGCCCGCAAGACCGAGGAACGAGCTTTCTTCCTCCCAGCTGATGTGAGAGCTGGACCGCGACCGGTTGGAGTCCTCCGAGGACGGGGTATACTTGTCCGGAATTGGTGGGACTGCCGGCGTGTTGGGCAGGAGTCTTGGAACAGATGGGCCCAAGTTGTCCCCAGCGCCGAAAGACTTCCTAGACTTTCGGACGTTGAGTGGCGTCATGGGAGACATCTCCAGTGCCGATGCCGGTCGGCTCGGAGGGCTCGAGTTAGCGGCAAGGCTGCTAGCGCGCGGCACGTCCTGGACCTCGACCTTGGCTGTCTCCACGGGGCCGGCAGAACGACGGCCGTGGTGGGTGGCATACTCCTTGAGATACTCGCCAAGGTCGGCCCATCCGCCGCCGACACGCACCATGACCCGTTCGCCGTGCTCACCGACGCAACGGATGAAGAGCTTGATCGGGGCTTCGCCGGTGGAGCGGGATAGGTGGTAGACTCGGATGTCGTTTCTGCCCTGGGAACGCTTGGGCCTGGGGTTCTTGGCGTATGCCGGAGCGAGGGTCAGCCATGGCGTAGGTGCACGCGAGGACGCTCTTGACGCCATGGACATGCTGGAGCCTGTGCGTCGAATAGTCTCCCGCGAGGGCTTTCTAAGCCTCTTCGCGGGCAGGTCCGGCGGTGGTGGGTTCAGATCGACTTTGGGTGTGGCCTTGGCCAGCTTGATGTTGGCAGGGATGGACTCCAAGATATCGCTGATTTGTTGGCGAAGGTGGTCGTCGGATGCGTTGGACTCTCTTGGTGTTCCCACGCTGGTGAAGGAGTGGTCGTAGTCCTCTTCGATAAAAGACGACTCAAGAGGCAGCGCTGGCAGCAGTCCCTCCTCCTGAGGCCTCATCATTGGACTAACGCCATCATGCCGCATGCTAGGTTGAAACGGTGGCGAGCTTGGGGGACTGATGCTCATGAAACGGCCGGCAGCGGACTTCTGACCCAGGGTCTCACGACGATTCTGACGTGGCAGAGGTGGTGAAGCAGAGACTTCGGGCATGTCGCTGGAGCCGTCTGCTAGCATGCTAGTGTGGCCATGGATGACCGTCGACAACTCCGAAGCGTCGCTGCCGCGTCGGTCTGGACGGATCAAAGGGGGCAGTTGGACCTCGTCTTCGTCACCTGGTGTGTCGGACAAAATCTCCACGTCGTCGAGAAACGACTCTGATCTCGTTTTGCTCTCAAAAACCGCTCTAAGCTTCGATACGACAGATTGCTTGTTGCTTTCGGGTGGGCCGGTCTTTTGGGTGCTTTCATTTAGGACCTCGGCCAACGGGGTTCGTTTGGGCTTCGGCACCTCGTTGGAACCATCGAAGCCACTGGCAGGCGGCTGTATTGTTCTGTGAGCTTTCAACTGTGAAAGTGACGGCTCGATTGAGTCGTCCTCATCTGCGTCATTGGAATGTTCTGGCGTGGCCTCGTTGGAAGTGGCAGAGTGGCTCGTCTCCCTCATCATCTCTTCTTGTGGCGGATCAATGGTGATGGGCACCGGTAAGGTGACAGTGCTTGGATCCTCGTCGAAAGCTGGCAGAGCCAAGGAGGGCTCAACTTGAACTTTTGCCATTTGCCGCCACTCACCTTCTCTAATCTTTTGCTCGCCAGAGGCCACCCAGTCGGCGTACTTACGCTCAACGGCCTCCATGCGGTCAAGCCAGATTTCTGGCAGTGTGTCTTGCAACCCCTCGAGGTTGTCAAGCATGAAGTCAAGGCTGCGGCCGGATTTGGTTATTTGCTTTTCAAGCACTCCCTTGACCACGGCGAAGCCGTGCTTGAACCGCGAGAAGTCGTCTTGCGCTTGTTGTTCAAGGTTGTCCTCGATGGGCGTTCCTGCGGGAGATGACAGCACATTCCACGCGAACTGCAGGGCGAATTCCGCCTCTGCAATTCCAGTCAACAGCGCAGGAATGCGGCGAAGCACAGAAAGCCGAATGTGCCAGACTTTCAGCAGCCGACACAGCTTGGACAGATTCGGCAGTGCTTGGATAATGATTGCGGTTAGAAGGGCCGTCAAATCGTCCATCCGGTTGTAAGAGAGCGCCGCCGCAATGGATCGCGAATCCATATTGGGTGTCCCGGGTCTCGAAAGCGGAAGGATGTGTGTGTGCATGACATGAGCCTTGATGTCCTCGATACATAGCTGGTCCATGTCATGAGAGATTCCGTCCACGCGCTGCTCGTACTGGGCCACATCCTTAGCCGGAAGGCACCCCAAGTACTCTGTTTCGGAGGCAGCGGCATCGTCAAGTTTCATCCTTGGTGCATTTGGCATTTCGAAGCCGGCAGAGCCACTGGTGGCCGGCCAGGGCCAGTCTGAGAGCTCCTCGAGCCACTCGTAGATCTTGCGGCTGGCCATTGCGGCGCGCAAAGCGAATTCCTGTTCGCTAACGGTGGAGTTGTCGAGACAATGCTTCAGCTCGGCGTTGGGCATTTGAAGCATTTCAACCGCGGTCATGGGCGTAAGGCGGCTCAGCAGGTCGTCGGTATTTCGGGTACGGCTGGGTGAGTGCTCATCGGAGAGACGGTACTGGCGTCTGGGCGGCCGCAGGTGCTGGCCCGGCCCAGACGTAATGGGCGGAGGTAGGGGGTCGGTCATGATGTTGGTTGTGAATTCAAGTGTCGAGCGATCGGTTGATTTGTCGAGCAAGCAGGCATGGCTTGTTTCTATGAGCCTGGGAAGAAGACGTCTTCAATGAAGATGGCCATGTCGCGAATCATCGGTGGTGCTTGTTGACTTTGGTCATAAAGAGGCCGCAAGGGGTCCCTTCCTGGATCGTGTTTCTCTCTTTGTCTAGTGATCTTGACTGTCGAGAGATGGGAAAGAAGCAGGTTGTACGCAAAGTCGCCCCCGTCGGAAAGCGACACCGTTGTTCGTTCGGGTAGTCGCAAGAGAGGGTCGATGATGGCGGGAAAAGAGAACAGGGCGCGGCGCGGTTCGGGTTCCTGAAGATGTAAGATGCAAGGGAGCACAGGGATCCGGGGGAAGGTATTGTTGAACAAGGTAGAATACGTAGTAATGTTAGAGCGAGTGCCTGGATGGCGCAGATGTGTATATTCAAGGAAAGAAAGGGCGTGGTAGGTAAGATAGGTAGGGAGCGATAGTGAATGAAGAAAGAACAAGGTAACTGGGGATGTTTCGCGAGGGTTCGCAGGCACAACAACGACACCAGGAAGGGAAGGGAAGGGAAGAGTGAAGGGCTAGTAAAAAAGAGATTAGCAGTTTGGCGTGGTCGTAAGAGAGAGGAGTTTATTAATGAGATTTGACGGATATTGGTTGCAACAAGTACGGGGATGGGGGTGGGAGAGCCGGGTACCGAAACCCGGACGCAGCGGGCGTGGTACATGGGTGTGGGCTCATGTGCGTAAACAGGCCTGTCTCCAAAATCCATCCTCCCCCCTGTGCAAGCCAACCCAGCCCAGTCTGTCTTGGGAACCCAAGACGCGCCAAACCAGGTTTAATTATACCACAACTATCGAATAGCCCACCGGAATCCGTCCACGTCGTGTCCCCGCCGATCCTCTTCGCGGCACGCACCCTGACGTGTCGAGAGATTGATTCGCGTCGTTGGCCATTTGAGCGGATCTGACTGCGGTAGGTAGGCTCTGCTTGCTCCTTGCGCCTCGAGATGCGGCATCCTGCATAATTAGTGTTGAAAACCTCTAGGACCCCCATGCGGTACATGATGCTATCGCCGCATCTTCACGTCTTTCGCAATCATCATGCCGGTTCCGTGATGGGTGTCCCTGTCTGGTATCGATGCACCACCCACTGCCAGCCTCTGCGGCTTGGGCCGACAGGGTGTCAATTTCTGAACGCGACTTGGAATGTTCCGAAGGTGGTGTTTTTTCTTTCTGGTATGTCTCGCTACGCTACTGCACCGTCCATATATTTGTAGAGGAATTTGCAATACGTTCTTCTTCTTCTTCCGTTACTTTGCCGTGCAGCCTGTCATCTCAAGTTGCTCACTCACCTTATCATCGATGCTCGGATACATGGAGTTTCCCTGTCAGGCCTGCATGCTTCGTTCGACAAGGTGACACGGCCCGTCCGCAAACGGTGTCAAACGAAGCTCTGCAAGCTGTCACAAAAGTCTTTTCGGTAGCGGTCGTAAGTGGCGCGCGCGCGCGGGCTGGCGACGTGAGCTCCAACAGGGGACGACTTACTTACATCAGCACAGCCGCTTCCAGCGTTTCCGGCGATCATCATCCCCCACTACGGCGACCTTACCTTGCCAATAGTAGACTAGCTTGGTACCTACCTAGTCAGTTGGTAGCTACGCACCCAAGAACCCAAGAGACGAGGAGCAGAATGTCGACATGTCGCAGGCCATCCATTGCCATTGGTCGCCGATGCAGCTCTGCGATTGTTCTGGGACATCGTCTTTCGAACACATTCCAGAATCTAAACCCCAAACAGCCGCGTCACAACCAAGAAGATGCGATGGACTCCGAGACCTGGCTCAGCTCATTTCCTCTGATTGCTCAAGAAGAGAAGAAAAGAAAATGTTTCCCCTGCCATCGTTAAATTACCAATGGCTGGCCCGGAAACGCGCTCCGAACTATTTCGCCTAACAGCTCCCCCTGTCACGCTACTTCGGATTCGGCTACCTCCCCCTGGAGCTCTTAGATTGAACACGAGGGGTCGTGGAGCTTTGCTGGAGCTTTGCTGGAGCTCGGTAGACAAGCGTCCTGAAGTTCCGAGGCACGTCGCTCGAGGTGCAGCGTTTGGACATTGCGCGACCGTCTCACCACGATTGGCGAGCCTCGACTTTGCGCGTAGCTGATCGCATCTCGAAGCAAAAAGGTATAATTATAGACTCGCTTGATGGTCTGGACTCTATCGCTTGCTATCGACAACGGGATCCTACAGCTTCGGCCCCAAGTGCACCCACTTCCCCACTCCTGGATACACAAAACCAAGCTCTCGAAGCGTCGTCGCAGTCCCCCCTCGCTTCTCGAACTCTTGTTTGCTAGGCCAGTAGACCCCCCGCTCCCAAAACTGCTCGTCGTGCCAGTAAGGAGGTTCCTTGCCTTTCTTGGTCGACTGAGCCACCCAATCATGCAGCAAGTTGAGGTAGCGACCATCATCTCCGTTATCGAGCAATACATGCATGTTCTTGTCGCCACGTCTTTTGAAGAGGTCGAGCTCCCACTTCTCCTGGTCTTCGACCGGTGGTAACTTCAGCCCGTTCGACCAAACCGCCCCAAGGGCTGCAGCCTGGTTCTCAGCCACCGGCCAGGGCACCGTCCTGATGAGTAGCCCGGGAAACGCGAGGGTCGGGTGCTGTATGAGAAACAGGTGCTGGTACAAGCCTCGGATCCCTTTGCCAGATGTCAAAAGATTCGGCTTGAGCAGCTCGGGGAGGAACGGAAAGCTGAAGAAGAAGCCGGTGCAATAGATGACAGCGTCGACATCTTCCTCCGTCTCCCCCCCCTCAAAAACAACAGCCCTCTTTCCCGGTACAAACTCCACGATGCGCGGGACTTCCGTCACGCCAACATGATGGACCTTGTCCGGTGGGGTCGGGTGCCGGACAGACAGATACACCCTGTCTGCTACCGGGCTGATTTGACGGGCAATATCCAGGCCTGACGGTCCGTTGCCGACCACAATCACCTTTTTCCCCGTAAAGGGCTTGGGAACGCGGTAATTCTTGGAGTGCAGGATGGCTGAGGGGTGAGCCTTGTGGAATGCCTCGATACCCTCCACTTCAGGAATGAAAGGGACGTCGTAGTGTCCATTGGCGATTACAACCGCATCGTACGTGTCCGTGAACCTGCGACCACTGATGGTGCAAGCTGCATCGAGGTCCCATTGATCTCTGCCGTTCTCCTGTCGGAGGGCCAGCGACTTGACTTGATGGGAGAACTTGATGAGGTGGCGGATGTCTTTGGCGTACCCCACCAGGTACTTGTAAATGGACTGGCGAGACGGAAACACCCACGTGTCATCTGGGAAGGGCGCATTTTTGTAGTTCATTGTCGTTTTGACCGTGTTGGCGTGAAGTGACTCGTACATTGGGGTGGGGAACACGGGAGGCGCGCCGGGCTTGGACCGGAGCGGAGGGTCTTGCGGACAGAATGGATCGGTTTGAGGCACATGGAGAGATGTGGTTGGATGCTCGCTGTAGTTCCAGACACCACCTACTTCGGCCTGCTGCTCGAAGACAACCACAGTCTCAAAGATTCCCTGCGCTGAAAGGTACCTTGCGGCCGCCAAACCAGTCGGCCCGGCACCGATGACGGCGATCTTCTTGATATCGAACGGGGCAGTCATGTTGATGTGAGACACACAAGGTGTGCCTTTCTGTTTGTTTGCAGGAATGGACCGGTGCTTCTTAAGAAGCAATGCGACACACAACAGATCATGCCCCGCGGGGTGCAATGCGTTATATCGGCGGCAAATCACCTAATCGGACCCTTTCGGACGCATTTGTGGATACTGCCGGGCGACGGAAGTCCTCGACACGTCCACCATATCTCCTACAACTGAGTGGATGATCTGATTGGATAAAATGCACTCGAAATTGCAAGGCATGCCTATTTTGATCCGGATAGGTGAAAGTTAAGCTGCCTAGATAGGTAAGCAAAGTTCACCTGAGCTTTTCGTCATATGCTCGATGGAGATCCGGGAGGTAGCGGGAGGCGCGCGCTTATCGATAAAAATGCGGCTCCCGCTATCTGTATCCTGCGATGTATCCGTACACCGCCTGCCATTTCTATCTGCGACCTGGACCCACAGGCAATCGCGGCAGGTGAAGCTTGAGCTTCGTTCCACTTTTCACCACCAAATTGTTCACGACGATGCCGTACCGTAGAATCAACCTTTGCGGCCGGCCACGCTCGATCCCTTCCTAACAACAAGCAACCGAAGCACTGACGCTTTTCACATCCACCGCTGATGATCGATAGCCCAGAACGTCCTCCCTCTCAGCATAACCAGCTTCGCCGCGTCCCGAGACCCATGACGCGATGTCTGGGGTTCAGCTACCTGCGCAGCTCGAAGCTGCCGAAGGCATTCCGATTGCGCAATTGAGCCCCAATATACAGGATCCCAAAAAGCGTGTCGCGCGGGGTGTCGTTACCATCACATGGCCCTACAGTATTGTCAAGAAGACGATTGCTTTCCTCCTCGCCGAGCCTGATTATCGACTTCGTCGCGCCAAGGGCCAAGTGCGCGTCGAGTTTGATGGACCAAGCGCCAAGGCAATTTCCGAAGCAGCTCTTGGAAGTGGCGATGAAATTACACTGTCGTTGGATGGAGTCGAGTTCGTTGTGGACGACTCCAAGACGCGTGTTCCGGGGACAAGTCTGGATTGGCAGTTGAGGTTCACGGAGAGGGTGCTCCTTCAGGTATGTCGGGTATAGATTTGCTTGTTCTATGCTAACGTTCAAAGGCCAAAATCAGCGACTCTGACGACGTAAGGGTCATTAATGTCGATCACCCTGTCCAACCCGAACCAGAGCCCGAACTTGAGCTGTCACAGGCAGCCCTCGACCCGTTTACTGAGAAAGAGAAGACACCCGAGAGAATAACAACACCTATTTCGCACTCTAGCAAGAGACCCATCGATCAGAGCGTTGTGGCGGACGAATATGCTTCGCCTGCATTTCTCAAGCGCGCTCGGATGTCGTATGGGTCTTTGTTTGATGGCGGCATGGATATTTTTGACGAAGATGTCGCCGCAAGAGTGCGTTCCAAGAAGCGACCGAAATCTAGCCGATACAGCGAAGTCTGGAGATATGCTAGTCAATCGCCAAGCCCCGAGCCGGAGAACCCTGAAGAGGAGAAGAGCGAAGATACGCCAATGGTGGAGGAACAACCGGCGGAGCAACCGGCGGTAGCCACGCCTTCGCGGCCGAAGATGGTCGACGATGGCTGCCAGACAATCGAGCGGGATATGAGCCCCCTCATGGATGTTCAGGTTGCTGCGGAGGCTCGCGAGAACGCATCGTACTGGCAGACACCTTCAAAATCAACAATGGTCGACTCAGGGGTTCAGTCTGATCTACACCACAGTCCAGATGTTGAGCTACCTCCAGGTCTCTCGTTTGGACAGCATGCGCCAATGCCCATGTTTACCTCGGCTCACGAACAACATACGCCAGCTTTTGAGCAGCCATCCCTCGGCCCGGTGTTTGGCCATGATCTCCAGGGAGGCATGGAGCCACATTACGGCGCTGAAGGGCCATTCCATGAGCATCCGAGCGCATACCCCGAAGCTGGGCTCGATCACGGTCTTGATACACATAGCCATTACCCGGCATCTTTTCTCGATGGTCCCAACTTTGGACCTCATGCCGCACTCACGTCACAGCCTGTGCCTGAGTCAATAGCCGCGTATCAAGACCATCCGCAACAGCATAGCCTTGAAGGGGAACGCCACACAGTCGTCATAGACGCTGTTATCGAGCCTCAGCAAGTTCCATGGGGGCTTACATCCACACACTATTCCAGGCCGCCTGTGCGATCTGGAGATGCAGCAGCTGAGGGACAGGAGGCAGGGCAGCGATCTGAGACACAAGCCATGTCCAGCGATAGCTGGGCCGAAGAGCGCGAGATCCCCATCAAAGAAAATCCCGAGGATCCAGAAGGCGAGCAGGCGGCTTTGAAAGTGGAAGAAGACCATGCTTCGGAGGACGAAGATGGCCCCGAGCAGGAACTTCCTTCGGGGACGCACGCCGAGAGACCCTACGAGCATGCAGAGAACGAAGCTGTAGCAGGCGAGCAAGAAGGCAGCAACAGTAGTGGCAGCAGCAGCAGCAGCAGCGAAGACAGTGAAGATGAAGCCGAGCACGATGCCGACGATGCTGGCGGAGACTATGACATTACCAATTACCGCAATCTCAGCAACAACCAGGATGACGACGACGGTATAGATTTAGAGTCGGACTATGGTCAAGAGGAAGATGACAAAATTCTTGAGCCTGAACTTCAGGATAATGAGGAAGATGAGCTTGAAGAGAACGTCGAGAACTATGGAGAAGAATATGATGAATACGACGAGGAGGAGGAAGAAGACGAGGAGGACGAAGACGAGGAGGACGAGGACGAGGAGGGCGAAGACGAGGAAAATCAGCCACCGCCCACTGCACCACGAGGAGGAGCGCCGGAGATAATCAGTCTGCTTTCGGATTCCGAGGACGAGGAGGAGGACGAGGCTCCGCCTTCCCGACACACTCCCGCTCAACCGCGACAGATGCCACAGTACGACGGGTCCACTGACGAAATGGAAAAAGACGATCCGAGCGATACGGACGAGAGCGAAGCAAAGTCCGCCAGCAATGAAGATGACCAACAAATCTCCTCTGACTCGTCGGGCGAGGAGAGTGAGGAGGAGGCATCCCGTGAGGGCACGCCAACACCGATGTTCCGTTCAATGTCTTCGAGATCTGCTTTTGATGCACCGGAGTTGACATCAGCGACGCTTGGTGACGATCTCGAAACGATGAGTCCCATCAAGCTGCCACAGGCCACGAGCCTCCGCCGAAGCTCTTCCCGGCCCAGCTCAAGGCGTGACTCGGACGTACTTGCGGCAGACTTGGAGAAGGGATTGGAGGAGGACTTGGCCGCGGACGACCTCCAGGGTGACCGGAAAACTCCAGAGCGGACAGACATTGAAACAAACATGGGCTTGGACGATAGAGTTACGGAGACGGAATCTGTGCCTTTTGCAATAATCCCAGCCGACCTTAACACGGAACAACAGGCATCGTTGCGCGAAGATTTCGCCATTCAAGAGGAATCCGAGGCACAAGACCAAGAACCCCAGACTCAACCGCACCAGCCAGCCGTCGAGAGCAGACACACGCCGACGGATGGGACGGACGAGGGGACCAAAGATTCAGTGAATGAAGAATCAAGTATCCCAGCCGACGAAAACTCGCAAGTCCCTGTGGACAGCAATCAGACTCTTCTGTCCCACCCAGTTACAATGGAAACCGAAAGCGAACAGATACCGGTCTTGCCGGGATCCGAGACGAGCAAAAATACCGAATCCCAAGTTGGAGACACCCTCCCTTCCGACCATGCTGTGAACAAAATCGATGCTCAAAAATCGCCGGAAGAGTCAGTTATCAATTTCAAGGAGGCTCATGGTGTCCAAACTGAGAAGACATACGTCGACTCTGATAAGGGCATCCATGCCGTTACCGATGATCAACCGACGCGAGAGGTCGAAATGAAGGTGGCTGAGGCCGTTGAAGTACAAACGGAAAATACTCAATCCGAAAAAGTTGTTGGCCAAGAGGTGGTCGAAGAACCAACATCGGACATGCTCGAAGCCGAAGTAACCGACAGCAACGTTGAAATTTCAGAGGTTCAGTTGAAAGAGGGCGAACCCCTTGAGGACGACCGAGGCATTACTATGGAACAAGAATCCGCCATCGAGTCTGAGATCGATACAGGAGTCACAAATTTCCCCGACACTCCGGTCGAGGTAGATATGGAGTCTATCAGCGGGGACTCCCCTAGCCCTGCTGATGTGGACATGGCTGACACTGAAGCGATGTTCGTTGACGAGACGAGAGATGAAGACTCGGATGTGGATATGGATGAAATGACCGAGGAGCAGCTCATCCAAACCCAGCTCCAAGAGGAGTCAATGATATTTGAGGATCAAACAGTCACAACTATCACGACGCTGCAGACGGTTGAGGAGCGGTCAGTCTCACAAGACAGCGAGACAGCTGGCGACGCGAATTCTGCCTCAGAGACTGAGATTATTGAAATATCACGTGTGACGGTTGAGACCTCTGTCACCGAGCCCCAGGCTGCTACTGACGAGGGCTTGCCTGAGGCAGCATCTGAAGACGTAATGGATATGGATCGTCCGGATGATACCATATCAAACGAGATGGCGCCGTCTCCTGCAATGGAACATGGCGAGGTCGAGCTTGTTGAGACGCGAAGCCCGCAAAGCAGCGAGCAGCTCGACATGCAGGATGATGATGTGCAGCTGCCCACACTGGGTGGATCGCAACAAGCTGAAAACATCTCGCAGTCTTTCGTCGAGACCCAGGCCACAGAGACCACAGAGATCCCAGAGGCCAATACTCAGGTCACTGTGCCAGAGGTTGATGGTGAGGCTCCATCGCAGATTTGGGTCTCTATGTCAGAAGATGAGAGGCAGTTGCAGGCTCAGAAGAAACCGGAGAACCAAGCAGCAGCACCCACAGACCCGGCCCAATCTCGACAAACCATCGAGCCTTCCCTGGAGGCATCATATGAAGCCGATGTGACTTCACCTACTAACGACGAGTTATCACAAATCCGAGACTCGTCGGCACAACCGTCCGAGGCGCAGCCGTCTCTTATCGCCGAGGATGCCTCGGAGGAAGTCCACGCCGCGCAGCCATCTCCGAGGCGAGCCCGCGGACACCGAAGGGACGGGTCGGATACTACCAACAAGGATCAGGATCCTAGCGTCACATTAGCCCGTGCGTCCATTGCATCGCGACGGTCGACGCGCCTATCAGACCGCACGACCCCTGATAGCACGCGAGTTACCGGTGCAAGATCACAGAGTCTGGTATTGAAGAGCGATTCGCCAGATGGTGAAGACGATAGCGTGCAGCTCGCGAGGAGCGCCATCAAGTCACCATCGCGGGCTTCCAAGATGAAGGAGCCCAAGGAGAGGGATGTCGCTAAGTCGAAGCAGAGCAAACGAGAGGCAACACCGAAAGAGGCTGCCGAGCAGACGCCCGCTGCTGTCAAGGTGCAGCTCACGAGATCGCTGCGCGTCGACGTGCCAGACTGCATTTCGCTCAAGGTGCTCCGGAATCATCCGGGCAAGACCGTGGATGTGTTCGCGGTTACGACGACAGAACCGCCCGAGGCCAAGCGCGCCAAGGGAGGTCCACGGGGAATCATGCTGGCATTCAACATCACAGACCACTCGATCGCGCCCGCGCAGACGGTCGCGGTGCAGATTTTCCGACCGCACAAGGCAGCGCTGCCAGTGGTACACCCGGGCGACGTGATCCTGCTGCGCAATTTTAGCGTCATGGTGCTGACGGGCCGCGGGTTTGGGCTCCGGGCCAACGATGGGTCCAGCTGGGCCGTCTTCGAGCGCGAGGGCCAGGACGACCTACCGCAGATTCGGGGGCCGCCGGTGGAGCTGACGAAGGGGGAGGCGTCGTATGCGGCTCTGTTGAAGCAGTGGTACGCCGGCCTAGACGCGAAGTCGCTCGCGCGGTTGAATAAGGCTAACGAGGCGGCGCCGGCGGTTGGCCAGTAAAAGGGTGTCGCCATATCGTTCACTTGTTTTTTTTGTTTTGTATTTTTTATGCATGGATACTGGATGGAAGACATTGCGGCGATCGCAACGCAAAACTAGACAAATGATTGGCCCACATTGTTGATGAGGCAGCTGCCAGAAGACTAAAATAAAACGAAATTTAAATGGATAGCAATGAACATCCGGGCAACGTATCATCGGAAAAGCCAAGCATGGGGTTGAGGCGGCTTACCCCATGGAGAAGGCACGCACAACCGGTAACGGTAGCGGCGGCAGCAGTCGTAGCCCATATGGAGGCCAGCCACGGACAACTCCCCGCCCGCTCGAAGTCTTGGACCGCCCGCTTTCGAGAGTGTGCTGCTCGACACTAGCCCGCCCAACCATTGGTAAAGCAGGTATTGTAAGCAGTAAGCGGAGAACGACAACGGGCGGGGAGGAGGCGCGTCCGTCGGTTTGGCTTGTCGCAGCCAGCTGCCCCATCTGCCCCTCTTCCCGCTGTGCCTTGATTTGCAAAGGAGCCGTGGAGACGGTGCCGGGGTCCGTTGGGAGAGCAAACAAGACTGGAAGGAAAGAGAGGGGGGGGGGGGGCCAATGGAACTGCACGCAAGGGCAGATTCGGATATGAGAATCGGGGCAAGTCGGGGACCCACCCAGGCCCGGCCGGGTCCGACCCACATCGGCGTGCTATGTATATGGTGATTGGCGAGAGGGCTTATTCCCATGCGTTCCCTTCCTCCACTCGGTGTGTGGTGGTGGTGGTGGGGAGCTCGTGTACCGGCGCCAAGCTGAGGCGGCTTGTGTTAACCGGATGCCAGATTTTGACCCGGCTGTCTTAATGATGGTTCGTATTGGGGTATGCCAGTTTTGCGTTGAGATGGCATGGCCATGGGGAGGGGGGGTGCCGTTTTGGCTTTTGCGACACTCGGCTTCGCAGGCCTCGGGTGCGTGAAGCCAGCACGACACACTGCTGGCGGCAACGGTAGGCGTTTCCGGGGCGGATCCTGATGTTTGAAGAGCCTCTGCCCCCGATGTTGAGGCCGGAATGGACTGCCCCCGTGTGACGGTAGCAGTATGGAGGGCACGCGCGTCATACCAAGCGGCGCGCTCGCATTCACGGCAAGTTATATCGGAGAAAAGGGAGTGTGGATGGACCTGCGACGGCCGAGCGTGACAACGGTTGGCTGCGAAAGCCAGCAAGGAAAACGCCCCAAGGCAGCAAAACTCCAGTCTGTTGCATCATCCTCTCTCTCTCTCTCTCTCTCTGCCTCTGTCTCTCACTCCAAGGTTTAGACGGAGTCAGGATATGGGCCGGCATAGATCAACGGGAATTGCACGGCTGTACGTACCGCACGCACCGGGGACCTTCGCTAAAGTTTCGACAGGACGCAGGGGTGGTGGTTGACACTGGGCGAAGCACATCGCTGCCTCTCTCAGGGGGTCTGGGCTGCATTTGGATAGATACTCCACCAGTGTTTTCATTTTACCCAAACTCTTTTTTTTTTTTTTTTTTTTTTCATTCTTCTTCTTTTTTTGCCTGCTCTTTGTTGTCAAGACCTGAAGACGGGATCGTGATCGACAATTGAGAGTCGAGGTGGCCAAACAGGGGTTTGCCGGCCATGCCGGCTATTGCCGGATCCAGCTGGGCAAATGGAGGTATTTCCAGGTATGGAATGGGACGTGATTGGGGGGGTGACACCATGAATAGGGTAGCGACAGCGGATGAATTGGGAATTGTGCATTTTATCCTTCGGACCAAAGGGCATGGCATAGCGTATGTACATTGCAGTGTACGAGACGGCGACGACAACAACGATGACGAGGCGAAACCCTGATGGATCACTAGAGCAAAGGAGGAGGGGTTCGAGAAGCTGAGCTGTGAAGTAACAGCAGACTTTATTCAAATCTTGACGCCCAATTCTTACTGGACAACGATGAGCACCATAATGTGACGGGTGATTCATGACACTGCGGGACTGCACAACTATGGGGGTGTCCTCAAACACACAAGACACCAGACACTCCAGACTCCAGATTTGATGGGGATGGTCGAGACGCTTAACTGCCTTCGGACATGGTCCGTCGCAACACATCAGCTCGGTGACTAAGGACAGAAACAGTTGACCTGACCCAACAGCACGGGTAGTGTTTGAGACGAGGTGTAAAAATTGCACAGCGGCTCGTGATGCTTTAAAGTTGAGGGGCCACTGGGGTGGTTGATAGTTGCGATGGGCTAAGAATTATGTAGGCGTTTGTGGTTGGTTGGATGCCACGATGAGGGCTGGGGTGGACCGCAGCCTGAGCATGATCCTTGACGCCCACACCAGGGCTGACTCGATGGCTCCTGACTCGCGAGGCTAGCTAGCACTGGTGTACTCTGTAGTGTGTACTTGCACTATGTAGATTCTGGTCAATGATAAACCGGGCAGAAGAGCGAAAGGCAAAGCCCAGCCCCGGAGAGGGGTTGGCCAAGGCAGCGGCATGCCCAAAAGTCGTGATTGGCCGTCCCCACAAGGTGGGAGTGATGATGGGGAGAAACGGGGAGGGGTCGGGTTTCTGCCGCGTAGTGGATGTTGTGGAGGGGAGCCGGCGGGTGTTGGTGGCTTTCGGGGGTCGAATCTTGACGATGGGGATGCAGAAACGGATAGCGGAGAAGACGTCGGGGACGACAAGGTGTGTATTCCTTTTTGCGGTGAAGAAGACGGTCTGCCGGTTTGGGTTTGGGCGTGTTGTCGTGAGGTTGGTACTGGAGAAGCCGGGCTGGTGATGAAGTAAGAAAGATGCTGGATCGGGGGGGGGGCGTGGCAATGGCACTGGCACTGGCACAAGCTACGTACTGTACTAGCGTCGATACGGCAAGGTCGATTTGGTGCAGCTTTTTAAAACACGTCACGCCATATCAGACACGGCAAGCCGAGTTTTATGGGACTGGTGATAAGTAACAAAGAGAGCGCCTCTTGTGGAACGACATCTGTTGAGTGAAAGCAGGCGCGATGAGTAGTAGTGAGTGGTCTTGGGAGGGGAGGCAGCATCAGAGAAAGAGTAGGATCGGCCGGTATAGGCTACCTAGGGACGCAGGTATATGTGCAGCTGGTGTGCAGGTGCAGGTGCAGGTGCAGCAGGCGTGCGGAAACCCCCAGGTAGTAAGTAGGTAAGTAGGTAGGTAGGTTAGGTAGTTGGTTTATTATTGGTTGTCTCACCGGCCACGAGCACAATACACTACCCAAGAGTCCTGTTTGAAGACAATCGACGACAATGAGGACGGGCTTGCACGGCTGCGGCTAGTGTAGGTACAGATAAGCAGGACCCAAATCGTCGAGGTGCGGCGGAACAATCACCGCTCGATGCCCTCCCTGCCTTGCTAACTACTGCTACACAATTTACCAAGTAGGTAGTTTACGTATGTAGTTGCCTACGAACACAGCAACAAGATAGACAGACAGACGGTCATCCCCGCACGGAAAGCGCCCCTCATCTTCACCCCCTCCCCCCTCTTGTTCCCTTTCCCCCGACCAGGACTCGAGCTCCAATGCAGGCAAGCTTGGCTGGAAGAGGACAGGGGCTCGTGGACGTTTGATTACGACATCTGCAACATCTGCACGTCTGGTCATGATTGGCTTCACATGCAAACACGGCAGCCGTGGCGATTGGCAGATGTGGGGGATTGGCGCTGGTCGTCTGCTGATGAGTGAGGTAGGTATGAGATGCGGACCGAGATGAGGTCAGGTTGCGTCTCGAATGTGATAGAGTTGGAGCATCTCCGGATTGGTTCGACCGGATGGATGGAAGAGGGTTCGAAGGATATATGGGATGGGAGAACAGCATGGTGCACACGCGAGCGAGCCCGCGGTGGCGGACGGGGGAGGCGTAAATTCACGGTAAGATGGGTAGAGAAAGGGGTGTAGGTATTGTGTACACTCACTCACTACCTCATCACCGAGTCTTGTACAAGTAGTGTGTGTGTGTGTGTGTGTGTGTGTATTCATACAGAGTATTACCAGGTGGTTTAGGTAAAGAAGAGGGGGAAGCGGTTTGTCTTGTGTACAAACATACATGCGTACATACCTGCATACAACATACATGTACGTATGTACTGGCCAGTATCCGTACAGGCGAGCTGACTTGAAGAATGCTCGCGTATGTACGTGTAAAATATGCCTATCCACACAGAAGACATAATGTCGCATTCTGTACACCTACCTAGTCAGACATGTCATGCACGGATGCGACTTTTTTGTCATGGAAGAATCGGTTCCACGCTGGCTCCTGGCCAATGCTCGGCCGTGGCAGACGACGAGACGTCCCGTGGCCTCTGTGTACAGGTCACGGGTCATCGGACAGAAAAGAAAAAGAAAAAGATGACAGCTCGATATGTCAAGGCGGCGGCCGACGGTCGAAACACTCGAAGCTCAAAGTATTAGCCAACGGCCACTAAAGCGGACGAGCGCAGCAAGCAGACGGGCCCAAGGGGAGGAAGGGGCAAAGCAACCCGACCGTCGTTGTTTTGCATCGTGAAGTGACGGGACGCTCCGGTACGTGTTGTAATGAGAGCAGAGAGGCATATCGTCCGCCCGCAATACGTAGGTACTTGGTCTGGGTGGTAGCGGTACCTGTCTGTTCTAGGTCGTTTGGGTAGGTAGCTAAGTAGTGTGCACGTATCTCTCGATCGGAATTCCGTCTCATCCAGTATCCTTGTCCCATACCTGACTAACCTATCCACTCCGTCTCCATTCCTTACATTCTGCTCACGGTTAGCTTCGTTTCCCCATAATTCGGGTACGTAGCCAGGTACGTACGTTATTACAGGTATGTACGATGTAGATACTCGCAGGTAGGTACAATCGGTAGTCGCCGCTGCTGCGGCTGGGAATCCTGCTTTAATTATTACCCTCCCCTGCCCTGTGTCTGTCTACCTTGCCAGGTGCAGCGAGGTGCTGGCCTGGTCTGGCCTCCCTCGTTCCCTCGCCTGGACTAGTCTCGCTGATGGATCGGAGAGGAGTGAAAGGGCCCAGGAAGAAGAAGTGGAGGGACGGACAACAAGGAGGAGGGTGGGATGGGGCCGCCGTCTGGGGGGGGCGTGCCTCATAGGGAATTCAAGATGAAAGAGAGAAAGAGAGAGAAGGTGTGTGTGTGTGTGTGTGTGTCCGTTCCAAGCTCCTTGTGTCAAGCTCGGCGCTGGTGCGAAAGATTGATTCCATTTTGAATCATACAAGTATAATACCTCTCCCCTTTCCCCTCCGTACCCTTGGACCCCCACATTCCCGCTTCCCCTTCCACCAGCCCGTAGCTCCGGCTTTTTCAATACATACACTTCGAGCTTGAAGTTGCCTCCTCTCCTGAACTTGGACCCCCAAAAACAAATATTCCAATGCACACTGCGCTTGCCACGGGACACCCATTCTAGAGACACGCGAGTCTACTCATCCGCCGCAGCATTCCTCGCGGATCGACACCGCATAGCTTTTTCCTCTTCTTTTTTTAGTGCCGGCTCGGAAACATTCAATGCTCATCTCAACGCGCCCTCGTTCCGCTCCGTTCTGTTGTTTACGTTATTGTCTCACGCCTCGACGAGCCTTTGCTTTGACAACCAAGCCTTTGTCGCCCAAGGCCTGTATACACGAGCCCCTGTCATCTGATCGAAGCCATAGCTACTGAGCGGGTTCGGTGGTTGAGACCACGAACCGTGTCGTCTGACCTCGGCCGCTCCTGAGAGTCCCTATTCGACACCACTGTCAAAGCATCAAACATCGCCATTGACAAGCTTTCTTCGCTCCCACTACCAGCCCACACGCCAATTGGCATTGCAAGCGGTCTCCAAACAGGAGAGACTGTTCCAACACGCGGTGATGGCGACTGAAACGATCACCACGCCAGCCCTCGAGGCCACCCCCGCCGCCGACCCGGCCCCCGATCTATCGGAATTAACGACTACCACCGCAGAGGAGCTGGCGTCTTTGGACCAGCACGACCAGCACGACGACTCCAACGACACCTCGTCGGATCAGGAGCTGGGCAAGAAGCGCTCCTCGGAGGCCGCAGACCTAAAGGATGGCGCGCCCCCGGCCAAGGTGACAAAGCGCAGAGCCGCCCGCGCCTGTGTGAGCTGTCGCGCACGCAAAGTTCGCTGCGACGTCGTTGAAGGCGCTCCCTGCGGCAACTGCAGATGGGACAATGTCGAGTGCATTGTTCAGGAGAGCCGCCGACGAAAGTGAGTCCAGCTTTTGCCCGACCTCGTTCATGCCTTCCCCCCGTGTTGGGAATCTGCACGCCTCCCATACTCGGTTTCGGCCGAGGCGCGACGCGATGCAGGCTGGGCAATCGCAGCAATCATCAAGAAGGACTCGACTAACATGCTGCCCTAGGAAAACCCTCTTGACTGCCAGCACGGCGGGGCACTTGGGTGCTGAGGCTCAATTACGCTCCAAGGGCGCGAATCCAGTCAACATTCACAGCAGCGCGGAGCTGCGCCGACCCAGCAATGCCTCGGTAGCTTCGGTCAACGGATCAGTTGCAGCGAATCCCGTCTCGGCGCCTGCTTTGCCCCTGGGCGCGACTCCAACGATCGGTACCGGAGCTGCAGCTATGACTGGAGTTGGCCCAGGACTTCTTGGGGGACTCTCGGCTCCCAGCGGCCCTTCAAATGGGCTCGAGGGTCACGTCCCTCACATGATTTGTAGGTTTTTTCTTTGATGATTTTTTTTCCCCATCTTTTTGTCACGGAACTCTCTTGGCACAAGGTGTGTGTGACAGTTCCGCACTGCCCATGGGTCCAAATTACCGCTCGTGGTTTTTTTTTTTTTTTTGCTTTTCCGGGTGCTGGTCCACGTCCAGTGCTCCAAGTCCGGGGCTCGGACTGGGGAAGGGGGGCGCAACGGGGTAAAGTGTGGAGGGAGTGCCTTTTTCCTCCCGCGTGACCTGGACCTCTCCACGTCAGGACTTCGCCTCCTGATTCTTCAGCGTACCCCTCCCCCCCCCCCCCCCCATCTGCCTGGTAGTAAATGCATCCAAACAATATAAGCCCTAATGTTGAGACTAGAAGAGGACTTCTCGAGCAGATGACGGGTCGCCGACAGCCCCGAGACCCCTGACGGTAAGGGATAACCGGGATCAGCCTTTGCTATCTTCGCTGCAGGCAATAAACGGGCCCTGCTCGTAACGTTTTCCACCAGCATTGCATTACATGGGTGTCGGACTCGCGGTAGGTCTAAGAGGTACGTTCACAATTCCAATTACCTGCTTTTCGTCTCCGGCAGGTGTAGTTGTATTTAGGAGTGCACGCTATTTCGCAGTACCTGCGCCCTCTGTAGAGAAGTTCAGGAAGAGTAAAGCGTATGGTGATAATTTTATCTACCATAATCTATGAGCGCTTCATATTTTGAGGGTTCATCCGCACGGGAACTCCTCAGCAACGTTGGCGCGTATTCCCTGCACGGAAGGCGTGCGGTATCCCACATGGACAGGCAAGAGACCTAGCGCCCGTGGAGCTACAATGGAGAACAGGAGACTTTTCCCCCCCGGTTTTTTAGGGGTCCCCCCCCCCCCCCCCCCCCCCCCCCCTCCCCCCTTCCGTCCGCGGCCCCAGCTCCGTCCCTCCATGTTTGCGTATAATCCACATTCACATGTCACCCAACCGCCACCACCACCACAACGACTCAACTGACCACGAGACAGACCAACGTTCGGGGTACCGTCATGACAACGCAGCGCTGCTCACCAAGCTGCAATCGGCCGCAGCCGCAGCGTCAGCCGACAGTAATTCTCGCCGCCTGCTGTCGAACCTCCTTGCCCAGGCCTCCCTCTTCGGCGGCATAACCAACGGCGACGGGCGGACGAGTCAATTCCTTGCCTCCCTGGAGGAGCCCGACCTTCACGCCCAGCTCCCAGCTTTCGTGAAACCGCTCCCCGCCAAGATCGCCCAGGAGGATGTTACCTACTTGCATGCAAAGGGGGCACTTACTCTACCCGCCCTGCCACTGCAGAATGCCCTGTTGCAGGCATACATCGAATACGTTCATCCGTACATGCCTTTGCTTGAGCTGTACGACTTTCTGGCCGTCATCAATGCCCAGGATGGGCTGGCCGGTCAGATCAGCCTGTTTCTCTACCAGGCCGTCATGTTCGCCGCTACCGCATTTGTCGACATGAAGGTCCTCCGCGAGGCCGGCTATCCCACGCGTAAGGCCGCCAGGAAGGCCTTCTTCCAGAAGACGAGGGTAAGTGAACTCTAACAGGGGGGCCCGCATCACATGCTAAACGTTGCAGCTGCTCTACGACTTTGACTACGAGTCGGACCGCCTCATACTCGTCCAGGCCCTCTTGTTGATGACGTACTGGTACGAGACCCCTGACGACCAAAAAGATACATGGCATTGGATGGGCGTCGCCATCTCCCTGGCCCACACCATTGGCCTGCACCGCGACCCGGCCGCAACGAGCATGCCGGTCCAGAAGCAGAAGCTATGGAAGCGCATCTGGTGGTCGTGTTTCATGCGCGACCGCTTGATTGCCCTGGGCATGCGCCGGCCCACCCGCATCAAAGACGAGGACTTTGACGTACCCATGCTGCAGGAGTCCGACTTCGAGTTGGAGATCCTCCCCGAAGAGAACAAGATCGTTCCCGCCGAGTGCATGCTGCTCCGCGATGTCTCGATGCAGCGGGAGTTGGCTGCCTTGTGTATCTCCAAGGCCAGGCTCTGCATCTGCATCAGTCACATGCTCAAGGCGCAGTACTCCGTCCTCATCCGCGACAAGATGCGCCCCGAGAACACCGTCAACAGCACAATGATGCTGTTCCCCAACAAGAAGCTCGACAACGTCGAGAGCGTGGCCTCGGTCGACCTGGAGCTCATGGCCTGGGCGGACACGTTGCCTGCCATCTGCCAGTACCGCCCTCTGACGCCTCTCGATGTCAAGAATGGACGGTCGACGGTCGCCGTCCAGCGCACGCTGTTGCACATGGTCTACTACACCACGATCTCGGCGCTGCATCGGCCACAATTCCTGCCCTCATCTCCCGTCCACGCGCCGACGACCTCCAGGCAGGTGCAGGAGATGTCTCGTCTGAGGGTCCGCGACGCCGCGATGCACGTCACCCGAATGGCCGCTGAGCTCCACCAGCTGCGCCTGGAGCGGTACCTCCCCACCACCGGGGTCACGGTCATCCTGCCCGCGATGATCATCCATCTTCTGGAAATGAAGAACCCCGTGTCGCAGTCGAGAGACCGCGCCACCCGTGGCTTCCGCCAGTGCATGCGCGTCATGGAGAAGTTGCGCGAGATCTATGCTGCCGCCGACTACGCCACAGGCTTTCTGGATGCGGCCCTGCGCAAAGCCGCCATCGATATTAATCTTCAGCAGACCGCTGCGCCCATGACGCAGCAGAACCTCAAGCTCGCCGAGCCGACTTTCGGCGCCCAGACGCCCCCGCCCGACAACCTGCCGTACGTAACGACCGGCGAGGCCCTCTTCGCGACCAAACCGAATCCGCAGCGTGATTTCCTTCCACAGACCATCAACGCTGCGGCGCTCGACCTGTCGGCTGCGAGCCCGCCGCAAACCGAGAAAGATCACGAGTCGGCTCTGGGCGGCATGACGCCGAGTGCGAGTGGCAGCTCCGAGGAGCCCGGACCGCTCGACCTCGAGTTCATGCAGACTCAGGAAGAAATCGACTGGAACGCCATGACGGGGACGGAGTTCGACGTCGACCAGTGGTTGCAGTTTCCGCCTGAAGGTGTAAACAACTCGGACGAGGGGTTCATGTCCAACGTCTTCGGCGAGGAGAGCATGAACGATGCCATGAATTGGGCGGCATCGGGCATTAATACGAAAGAGGGTGACGGCACGGCAGAGGTTGCTACCCTTGCGTGATGTTCGCATTTGCTTTGATAGACTCCTTCGAGAGTAGACTTTTACAAACGGTTTTCTTGTTGGGGAAGCATGGTACACGGAGTCGGGATAAAGCAAAACATGGGAGGCCCAGGTTGTCATGATACGGCGTTTGCGGCTGAGGTTACTGGGGTAGGGTGTCTTTGGTATACCCTTGATGCGGCGCCCGGCTTGTTCAACTAGTTGCAATGATTTTGAATGAGAACACGAGTTGAAAAACAACGGGTCCAACGTGAATTGAGGAGAGTTGCCTGCAACAGCCATGACTCTCTGGACCATTGCCGTGAAGTGTGAAGTAGCGTCGATGGCGCCCAGAGGTCACGATTCGACTGCATGCTCCGGAGAGTCGTGTCTACCAAACGCAAAGCCTGCTGCTGCTGAGAGGGCTCGGTGGGGTGAATGTGATTATATACAACTAACTAGCTACTACTTCGCCTCAAGCCTGCCACCGCTCTGTAACCTCTTCGCAAATCGACCTCCACGCGGTACGGTACCTAAGGTTTCCTGACCCCTATGGCGGACTGGGGCTCCATCTCATCCCACCGGCGGGCGTTGGACTTACTTGTAGCATTTCCGGAGAAGTCCGGGCCAGTTGCGCACTCTCCCCGACATTCCGCGGATGTGGATATAATCGAAGCGCTTCGAGTGGATCCATTCGTTGTCGAGATCGTCTACTTCGAAGTGGACATTGGGCTAGACGCTGTGCAGTCAGCACGTCATCTTTTGACGACCAGGGAGGGGCTATAAACGTACAACTCGGGCTGCGTGGCCGACAGGTCGGAGTCGGAGCCGAGGACGTCCGCGCTGGGGTGATCGTCGCCAAAGTCGATGTACCAGACACCCGTGCCATTGCCGACGTCCAGCATGCGGGCCCCTTCCCGGCCGGGGTCGTTTGAGGGAGGCGAGCCCGAGCCGGTTGTCGAACATCAAGAAGAACAGGTGGTCCTGGAGGTCCAGCCTTTCGGTCTCGAGCGAGTCGTTGGGAGCAAGGTATTCTGTGGGCTGTCAATGATGTTCGATGACGACGAGGGCGTGCCCACCCACTGCCTTATATGTAGCGGGGGTACGTCCTAATATTCATGACGCGGTAGTTGATGATGGAGCCGTGCAGGCTCGTCATCGCCGAGAAGTCGTCTTGTGGCTGTGAGCATGCGATGTCGGGGGGGGGCGGTTGCGCTTCTTACGTGGCCAATTGCCAAGTCTGCGTCGTCCTGCTAACGGCAAGTTGTCACCTGAGGGCGGCCCAAGGGCCTCTCAAGACATCTTCAGGCACCATACGATTTTGCCGGTACGATGCGGCTTCGTGGTGTTGGCCGGCGTGCCGTCGACGGTTGGCACCTTTGTCTAGGTAGAGGGCCGTGTGGCCTCGGGTCCAGAAGTCACATGCGCCGTCGCAAGAAGACAAGGCACCCTAGCAGGGCGAACACGGGGCATCGTTAACCACGCCGCGAAATACTTGTGATAGCGGCTGGCGAGAGATCGCGATGCCGTCTATCTTCCGTTGTGGTGTTACTCTAAAGAAGTAGGGCAATTAGGGTATTTTACCAGTTGGAGCAGAATCATCACTTCCTTCTCCAAGTTCGAATAGTACCCTTTTATTGAGGACTTTGCTGGACTTTCTTCCCGGTGGTATCGCCGAGAACAACCAGTGAGGCCCTCTGCGATCGAACTGCGGTGCAATAGCCGTCGTTCTCGACTGGCAAGAGGGCATCGGCTAGCTGGGATGGAAGCATACTGTGTCTTTGGACGTGAACGAGGCGATGAGAACGACTACGATTGCAACCCCTACGACTTGCGACAAATCCAATCGACCGAAAACAACAACCTTCTTGATTCGAGAGTTGGCGACTGGGAAGACTTGGTAAGGTCATAAAGCTGTGCATCAACAAGGGTACGGCTTTGTTTGAATGGATGGGTCGTTGCCGGCGAATCCCAGCGATCGTGCCCAGTCGGATGGATCCCCTTTCATATTAATTACCTTTTTTGGACTCAAGCGGAGTGAAGTCACCAAAAGTATGGCGACCCCCTGCAAGTAGGCCTCACCTCCTATGCGTAGCTGAACGTTGTGCATGTACAGAGTAATGATGACACGTCCAAAAACGCTTGGAGCGGAATGCAGGCTCTGCGCCGTTCCCCTCTTATTAGTGTTTGGTCAATTGTTCAGGTCAAAACTTTGATGCGTTTCTGCCAAACCTACTCGACCTCCATCACCTCACATCACGACTCAATTCATCAACTGCAATCGCCCTAGACTCTAGAGAAGGTCGCACAACTGCGAACACGAGCAGGGCGACACAACGGGCACCCTCCTCGCAGTCTGACAGTTTGCCTGGTCTTCAGATGACCGACACGCTGTAAGCCCTCCATAACCACTAATGGTAGTATGATGATGGCTCACCACTGGTCTCAGCCCAGGTCAGCTCCCATCCCCCATGCTGGCTATAGTTTGAGCCACTACAGATAGAAAACGATTGCTACATGCTGATCATCAAGACGTGTGTGTTGATAAAATTTTCCAAGGATGGAACTACACAGCAAACAGAGAAGCTGGAACTGGTCTCTTCAAGCGTGGTCGCTATGTCCTTTACATAAACCCCGTGAGCCGAGCTGTTTCAGGCTAGTTTGTCCGGCTCTCTCATTTTCAATAGGTTGCCGAGTTCCAACTTCCCCTCATATTGGCTTTCAGACTGAGATGGTACGTAATTCCATGTTATCACTGGTGAGTTGCTCTTGCCCAAGCAATTTTGGCGGAAGGAAGCGTCGGCCGCTGCGAAGGAAATAAGCTATTGCAATCACTACAAGGAGAGATGCTTGCAGGAGGGGAATTGTATGCCAGTAACGCTTCGTTATGATATAGAGCATGAGCAGTGAAACAACACTAAGAGGCATGTAAGTAGTTGAAGGGGTCACCATAGGAGCACACCGAATGCAGGCGTGCTCGATGAGCTCCTGTTCAGTAGCTTCAGGAGGACGGATTTGCATTGTGTGCGATAGTCAACATTGTTCGGTCTCTGTGTCAAATCCACTTGTCCTCTTCTGTATCTCGTTAGAGACTGAGCTTGAATATCCGATATCCTCGTCCGGACTCTTGACGGGCCGTCCGCCGTCCGGACATGTTCCCCTCGGCTCATTAGCTCGGGCCGCTGACCCCGCACGCCCGGTGGTGCAGCCCGAGGCACGTTGGGGAAGCACCGTCAAATCCCCGGCCCCAAAAGCCCCAATCTCCCTCACGGACTCATCTCATCTGGTTTTCATCTCGTTCAAACCATCTTCCAACATCTTGGTAAACGCGCTTATCTTCATCCAAACCAAGGGCTTCAACCATGGACACCACGGAGATACCCCGCAAGCTCTGGGAGCATCCGGACCCCCGGAGCACGCAAATGTACCAATTCCTACAATCAGTGAACTCTGCCTTCAATCTCCAGCTCAAGGTCCGCCTCCCTACCCAGTTTTGGCGCTCCTCCACTTACACAAACGCAGACCTTTAATGACCTTCATAATTGGGCCGTAGCCAATCGCGCCAGCTTCTACGGCCACCTTTTCACCTACGCCAACTTTATTCATGAGGGGCATCCGTCATTGGTCGTGGACGAATCGCTCCCGATAGACGCTGTCCCCAAGTGGTTCCCGGGTGTGTATCTCAATTGGGCCGAGAACCTCCTCTTTTCTCGAAATGCATCCGACCCCATCGGCTACCATGGCACCACAGGCAAGGAAGACGACAAGGTCGCAGTCACCGAGATCCGGGAGGGCAACCGTGGCGATGTGCGAAATCTCACCTGGGGGCAGCTTCGCCGGGATGCGGGGAGTCTAGCGGCCGCCATGAAAGCGCGGGGCGTCACAGAGGGAGACCGCATTGTTCTTGTCGGTGCCAACTCCATTGAGACGCTCCTTGTCTTCACGGCAGCGACCTGGCTCGGCGCCATCTTCAGCAGCTCATCAACGGACATGGGTGTCAAGGGGATCTTGCAGAGAACTACCCAGGTGGACCCCAAGGTAAGCTACTTCTTCCTTGGTCCAAAGACGCTGCTGACTAGCCAGTTCATCTTCTTCGACGACGCCACGGTGTACAACGGTAAGACGGTCGACCTGAGAGGCAAGATGGCCGAAGTCGTCTCCGGGATGGGCTCCTGTCCCTCATTCTCCGGCGTCATCTCTATCCCGCGCTTCTCCAAGCCGTACGACGTGACTTCGTCCAAGACTGAGACGTGGTCCAGCTTCCTCGGCTCTCCGTCTGCACCGCCACCCTTCACCCGCATTCCGTTTCACGCGCCATTCCTCATCTATTACTCCTCCGGCACAACGGGTATCCCCAAAGCCATCGTCCATACCGTCGGCGGTGTCATGCTCAACTGCTTCAAAGAGGGGCGTCTGCACGAGGAGATGTCATCAGAGTCTGTGTGTCTGCAGTACACAACCACTGGCTGGATCATGTACCTCAGCAACGTGGCGGCGTTGCTGGCCGGAGCCCGCGCCGTCATGTACGACGGCTCACCCTTTGTTCCCGACTTGGCATCTTTCATCCGGATTCTCGGGGAACAACGCGTGACGAAGCTGGGTATCAGCCCGAGGTGGATGTTTGAGGTGGCCAAAAACAAGATCAGTCCGCGGCATGTGACTGACCTCAGCTCGCTGCGGGTCGTGACCAGCACGGGCATGGTTTTATCGGATCAGTTGTTTGAGTGGTTTTACGATGTTGGTTTTCCGAAGCACGTCCACCTGGCTAACTTGTCAGGCGGAACAGACATTGTAAGTTTTCTGTCGACGGCTTTTCCTCGCTAACATGACAGGCCGGCTGTTTTGGTATGGAAAACCCCCTCGACCCAGTCTATGTCGGCGGCACTCAGGGCCCCTCGCTTGGCGTGCCCATTGCCATTTACGATGCAGAGCTCCAGAACGGTAAAGGTAAGGCAGTGCCCCACGGAACACCCGGGGAGCTTGTTGCCACAGCCGCCTTTCCCAACATCCCGTGCTATCTCTGGGGTGATACCACTGTAATTTCGCCCTCCTCAACAAGCTTTGCCTCGGCGAAACCTGGGACAAAGTACCACTCGGCGTATTTTGCCCGCTTCGACCACGTCTGGGCTCATGGCGACTTCTGCTCCATACACCCAAAGACAGGCAACATCTCCTTCTTGGGACGTGCTGACGGCGTGCTGAACCCAAGTGGTATTCGATTCGGCAGCGCGGAGATCTATGCCGTCATTGAGCGGAACTATTCCAGCAAGATCGTCGATAGTCTGTGCGTCGGACAGCGAAGGCCCAGCGACGATGACGAGAGCGTTATGCTGTTCCTTATGATGCGAGAGGGCGAGACGTTCGACCGAAAGCTGGTGGCCGAAGTCAAGGATGCCATCAAGAGGGAGCTGACGAAGAGACACGTGCCGAAATACGTTTTCCAGACTCCCGAGATACCAGTGAGTGACGCTTGTTCGTGGGTATGATCAGCAGCTGACGAAGCAGACAACCGTGAACCTGAAGAAGGTGGAGCTGCCGGTGAAGCAGATCGTATCGGGCCACACCATCAAGCCGAGTGGCACGCTGCTCAACCCACAGAGCCTGGATTTCTACTACCAGTTTGCCAAGGTTGAGGAGATTACCCCCGGCAAGGAGAAACTATAAGGATATGTAGGTAGGTCAGGATTTGGACATTTGCACTAGAGTTACAAAACATGTAGGAAAGATAAGACTTTTGAATCGTCCTGGCGCACATCACAGATTTGACAGCGCAGCTTTCTCAACAACAGCATATTCGGAATGCTTCCCGTCATGAACGCCATACCTCCAAACGAGATACCCCACCGTACCTGCGACGCTTCCCAATCCCGCAGCTCCCGCAACAGCTCTCCACCCGCCAGCGGCCCTCATCTGTGGCGTCGCGGCGGCGGCGAAAAGTCCCGCAGCAGCACCACCGTACGTCCAGTCGTCCGTCTCCAGCTGCCCCTGGTTCTCCATCAGCCGCCACGCACGATCGCGCCACTCAATGTCGCTGCGCCCCCACATCCTCCCCAAGAGCGCGATGCCCATGAGCCCCAAGCCAACGGCGCTGGCCGTACCCGTCGAGCGGAGAAGACGGGCAGATCGCAGGGCTGTGGTGGCTGGGGCCGGAGCGGATGCCTTGGGGCCGCGGATCCGGGTGTAGAGCCCGCCGACTGAGGATACTCCAAGACCCACTACGGCATCGGCGGTGTAGCCCCGGGCCAGCACGTGGACGGTCAGGATCGTGCGGGCGAGGGACTGGTCCTCTGCATACGCCGCATGTGGGAAGTAGCGTGACATGGCGAGGTGCGTTTGAGCGGGATTCCAGCGCTGTGAGTATTGACGAGCTTATGGCGACTAAGACGGTGCGCTTTTGACCTGTGGTTTTCAGTGATGGTAAATACGATGGGGGATGCAATATGTACAGGCGAAGCTTTGTAGATTCAACTATACCCACAGCGAGTCTGGTGATGAGATGTACACCCTTTTATTGCCTGCCGTCAACCCGCAATCACAAATTTGCCGGTCGGCCTTCGAAGCCACCAATTCAGCAACTAAGATCCACCAACCAGCCGAATGCGAACGCTGACCCAGCGGGTCGGCATTCTTCACTGCCTACCTAATGTAAGCGGAACAGAACAGACTAACCACAAGGAGCATAGGATTGTTATTATCGCTCGCCCAACGCCACACACCGAGATCATACTTTTGATTACTATCCATGTCAATAGTTTGAACCGATAGCTGGGATGCCTCTCCCACCGTGACGCCGTGTCTAATGTTGTTTCCGCGGGCTAATCGTCGTCAGTCATCTCCATCATGCTCTCTCCCTTCTCGTCTTCATCCACAAGTATCCGCGGCCTGCTGACTTTGGCCTTGCCTTTGACGTCTCGCCGCAGCTTCGGCAGTTTGTTCGACAGTTGCTCTCTAGCGGCGGCCTTGCTCAACTCAAGCTCCTGCTCAAAGGCATCCAGCTCGTCGCCATCTGCAAAATCAATCGTCGATGTCTCCTCGAGTGCCTTATTTAACAGCTCTGTGGCAGTGCCGTCCTGAGGATTGATGGCGAGTGCCTCATGTAGCGGTACAATCGCCTTCTCAGGACGGCCCTCTTCCAGATAGATGAGCGCCTTGGCGCAAAAAATAGCAGCGTCCTTGCCGCCCTGGCGCAAGACCTCGTCAAACTCTACATGTGCATCCTTCCAGAGACGCAGGCGACGGTACGCGTGTGCGAGATTCGTCCTCGGGGACAGCCAAGCCTGGGGGTCTGAGTCGATCTCGGCGGCGGTTTTCAATGCCGCCCGAAAGAATTGAACAGCCTCCTGCGGCTTATCCTGGTGGTATTTGACAACGCCCATTTCGTTCAATAGCAGTGGGTCCGTCTTGCACAGACCGTACGCCGTCTTGAGAAACTCCTCGGCCAGCGTCATGTTGTTAAGTGCGTGGTTCTGCATGCCCAAAAACACCTGTGGCAAATGTGTCCCCATGAACAGTCTCGCCGCTGTTGAGTACGCCGATATGGCCTGGTCATGCTCGCCCTCCGCAGCAAATGTATGCGCGAAGCCGATCCACGCGGGGCCAAAGTGTGCATCCATCATACTGGCTTTACTGAAATATCGTCGCGCCTCTGCAATTTTGTCAATCGCAAAGTAATAAATGCCGACAGCCAACCATGAGCACGGCTCCTCCGGGTGATTGTCCGCCAAGTCATGGGACACCAGAAATAGTGCGTTCTTCATCTTTAATTGATACAGACAGGCTAGATGCAGCGGGTGAACACTAAAGTTGTACTTGTCGTTCTCGAGTATTGACTCTGTAATGGCCAAGGCGTCTCGATAACGACACTGCGTATACAACAGATCGGCTTTGGCGAGCAGCAGATCAGGGTTATCTGCCAGACGGTAGTGCGTCGACAACGAGTCGCACGCTGCGGTGAAGGCCGAAGGCTCCCTATACTTGGACAACCGTGTCGTATACAGCATTTTGGTGAACTCGGCTGCCTCCTGCGACGACGAAACGTCCCCAGATACCGTGATTGCATCAAAGTCGAGAGACTCAAGAAACGCCCACTCCTCGTCGGGCGACAGCAGGGAGTTCGTCATGAGCTGCTGGAACGCCTCGAAACACTGTACGTCGATCCGGACAGCGTCCTTGTAACACTCCTTGGCCCGGTCGAAGGCGTTCTGCTTGGCGTAGCATATACCCCGCAGGTAGCACATGGCGGCTTCGTATTTTCTGTTAGTAGCCTCCTCCTCGGCGGCATCGTCGCGAGCCATCCTCCCCCTGTGGCCCACCGCTCGTCCCAAGGGTGCCGTGTTCGCCTTCCGCTTGTTGCTCGCATTGTTGATGAGGTGGGTCGGGTTTCGCTCGCCGAGGACGGCCACTGCTTCATCGAATCTCGATTGCTTAATGAGGCAGTGCGCAGCAAGATATCGGCAGGAGACATTGCGGGCGACTAGGTCTTGTTTGGCAAGAAATGTCTGGGCGCGGGTGTAGTTTCCGGTGGCAAAGTGTACTTGGGCCAGCCAGAAGGCGTCCTTATCGTCGTCTACGGAGCACGTTAGAAACGTCTAATGTCTGTCGGTTGCCGTCAAGACTCACTCGTTAGGGCCAGCAGCTTGTCGCCGATAAAGATGGCGGAATCGTACTGGGCCTTGTTCAGGGCATCCTGCCTCCATTCCCGCAGGAACTTTTCCATGGCGAGGCAACGAACTAGTTTGGGGGCATGCCGAGGACGAAACTGGCGAGTTCGCAGTCGACGTTGGTGGGTTCTCGAGTTGACGTTGATGCAGATCTTGGGGTGAGAGGTAAGCGCGTCGCGTCGTGAATGGACTTTCTTTTCTTTGGATGACGGGCAGGAATTGGAGGGGACGTAGATGCACTGTGCTCCGGCGCTGTCAGGGGTGTGGGCCGAGTAAATGGCGGGGTAGGCCAACCAGTCGACGTCTCTCGAGCACGCCACGTGGTGCCTTCTTTACACAGGCGGTACTCGCAATGATGATGATGATATTAGGTCCAAGAAGGTGCTGCTGAACACTAAGGTAAGTAGGTGGCGTATTCGTGGTGGCGCGGCTTTGACGGACAGCGTTTCGACAGCTTCATCCAGCTCCATTGCTTCCAATACAAGGCAGCCGGCAATGGTTTCAGGCCATGCGCGCCCTGGACTTTCCCATCCAACGGCCAAGGCGTCTTTCGATAGGAAGACATCGTCTCAAGTCCTGGTGGACAGATTGACAAAGGCCACTGTTGGCTCTGGTGTATTTTATGCATCTACGCACCCACCAATCCCAAGGGGAAAAATGCAAGTGGTGAAAGCGTCGGGCTGTCCCCCTCGCGCCCAATGCTGTGGACGACGGGCCCCAGCCCCGAGGCGCTATTCGCTGTGACCTCACTGTGGTACACCGTTCCAGCGTGCCTGCCTCTTCACCACTGTATTTCATTGGCCAACGGCTCTTGGGTGGATTCGTCAGGGGTAAGGCTAACCTAGGCTAAGCGAGGCGCTATCGTTGTATCCGCCATCGATAACAAGTTGACGACTAAGGTCAAGAAGGATGGGGCGTCAATGGTATCCGTATTATTTTTTTTCTCTTCAAGCTGTTCATTGTTCTCCATCAGTCGATAATTCGCCTTTCGTCTCCCACCTCACCACAACACAACGCTCCCAACACCAACATCTGTAATACCCGTAACACCGCATTCCTCGAGATACCACCGACGCATCCCCCACGACGAACCCCAATCTCCTCGCACCGAAGCTCGCCCCGTCTTCTCCAACCGCCCATTCACGAAGCCCCTGCAGCAGGCCCTCATCGACTGCCTGCCCGCCCGCCTGCCCGCCCGCCCGCCGCCGCCGCCGCCGCCGCCATCCCGACTTCATCGCGTATCACTCACCCACCCGTCCCAGCCGCCACAACTGCGACCAGAACCCCAAATCAAGGTGCCGCCGCCCTTGCAGAATCGGGGGATTGAAGGAAAACACATTATTCAGCCCGGAAGCCGTCGAAAGCAGTCCCCATGGATAACAACCTGTGGACCCGCCGCACAAAGTGAGTCTTCTGCGTCTCCCCCACACACTCACCGCTGACCTTCTAGCTCTGGCAAGCTTTCACTCTCGACGAATGGCAGTCCCGCGCCGGGCGGTGACACTAGCCGTAACGGCTCCTTCGCCAAACGATTCGGCGGCGATACGTCCTCACACGGCGGCAAGTCAAATCCCTTCAACAACGTAACGACTCCCAGTGCTGGCGGCATGGCGTCGCCTACGGCGGGTGCGGCCAACGCCTTTGGTCTTGGCTCCGGCGCCTTCGCTTCCTTCGGCTCCGCCAAGACGCCCAAGTCTCCAGGTAACCCGTTCGACCTCGCCATGAGCAAGATCGGCGCGAAGCCCGGTGGCACGTCGTTGCACGACCCGGCCGCCAAAGCCCCGTCCGTTGCCTCCATCCCCGAGAAAAAGGCCCTGGGCTCCCAGCCCGTATCGGCCCGGACATCCTCCGAGACGCTGCGCGTCCACCCCCTCAAGTACGAGTGGGTGACGTGGTGTCGGCCGCCTCAACCCAAAGGCCAGCCGTACCAGGAGTACGCCAAGTCGCTGACGCCCATGATCCACTGCAACACCGTCGAGGAGTTCTGGGTCGGCTACCCCCATCTCAAGCGCCCGTCCGAGCTGTCGGTCGGCTGGGAATACCATTTCTTCAAACGGGGCATCCGCCCCATCTGGGAGGACGAGGAGAATAGGAGCGGCGGCAAGTGGGTGCTGCGGCTCAAGAAGGGCATCGTCGACCGCTACTGGGAAGACACCGTGTTTGCGCTTCTCGGCGAGGCCTTCATCGACGCCAGTGAGGAGGTGTGCGGTGGTGTCGTGAGCGTCCGAAACGGCGAGGACATCATCAGCATCTGGACGCGCTCGACCGGCGGCCGCGTGTTGAGGATTCGGTAGGTCGTCCCAATCTCTGCACAGAACGTAACTAACCGCCACAGTGAAACGTGGAAGTCGTACCTCAAGTGCCCCCCCAACACGCAGTTTGAGTTCAAGTCGCATGATGAGAGCATCCAGCACCGCGCCGCCATCGAGGAGTCCCGCCGCGAGAAGCAGCAGGACAAGCGCGGCAAGCAGGCCACGGACGAACAGAAGCCCGCCGCGTCCTGAGCACCATCTTCCACGGAACGCCACCCTCTTGCATTTTTTCCAAGCCATCTTTGATGTTTATTTGTACACTATCAGGTCCCCTACGGCGGACCTTCATAGCATTCGGGTTGAAACTCTGACAAAAACACACCTTGTTGGGTTGAGGAATATCGGGTTTGGGCATATCGAGTGCCGAAAGGCTCTCTTTTCTGGATTGTCGGTCTCGTAGACGGGATCGAAAGCGACGGGGGGCGGGATGGGCAGCGGTCAACGTTTAGCGGTCACGTTATTTTATGGATTGCGACAGGCGGTATTGGATTGGATTAACCCTCGAGGTGTACACTACTGCGATCTGGGCGCACGGCATATGTCAGCTGCGCGATCTGACCGTATGATAGTCACAATGACTATGAATGAGCCAGTGATGTCTGTCTCGCTATCATGGTGACTGCTCTATTCCTACATCATATCATGCCTTCTTCGGCGTCCTCCGCCTCTCCCAAACCTGTAGATATGTTTCGCCAAGGTAGAGCAGCTCGCTCTGCACCTTCTCCACGAACAAATCTTGACACGACACCCATTCATCACGTCCCTTATCCTTAAGTTGCACTTTCCATGTTTTGCGCTCCTCTCCGCTATCCGCGACATCCTCCTTGGCCCGGACTGCCTCATGCACGACGTTGGCGACTAAGTCATACCAGATAGGCTCACCCGGCGGCCATTCGCCTGGGTTCGGTTCTACATACGGGCTTACATCGAGTCCCCGCGGATCGAATGTAACGATCGTTGGGTTGCGCTCCGAGACGAATTTGTTCTGACTGAAGCGCTTGACGTGGAGGACGAGGTATGGAGGCAAAGGGTGGAGCAGGCGATACCGCTTGCGTTGCGCGAGGTGCTCCTGGGCATGAATGCCGTCGTATTTCGCCAGGATTGTCGTCAGGGGCACCTGTGGGATAATGTTTTTCTCGAGTTCGTCTTGGAAGAGGGGCGCTGCGGGGAGGTCGAGGGTCAGAAACATGAACCGCGACGTCGTCATTGAGACGGCGGCATCTTCAAACCGCAGACGATCGCCCGCATCGGCACGCGCTGTAATTGCCTGTGACTCGACCTTGAGCTTGCCTTGGAAGATGCGCTGAACAACAGAGCTCCCAGGCTTCGTCTTTGACCCACCCAGCCCCAGATGCAGGTTGTTGAGGAACCATGATAGGAATTCGACCGGATCGGACTGTGCCGTTAGGGTGTACCGCTTGTTCGACAGCAGCGAGATCTCCTGGAGCAGTTCGTGCGGGGACACATGCGCCTTGAAGGCGCGTGGATTCCAGATTTTGCGCACCAGGATGCCAAAACGCTTCGCCAATTCCGATCGCGATGACAGATCCTCCAGGAGGCAAAAGTTCCTCAGCGGCGCGACGTGCGCAAGAGCTTGTACCACAACATTCAGGTAGTCGTTTTCCTTGAGGTTGTTCATGCCCACAAACCCTGGCGCGTACTCCTTGCCGGCTAACGTAAACGAGGCACGCATTGGTGGCTTGTCAAGCACGGCAACCTCCTGTTTCGTGTACCGCGGATCCGACACAAACTTGATGTCGTCGAGCGACTTGGACTTGACCTCGTAGCCCTCGGGGAGCACATACACTTTCTGCGTCTGCATGTTGATGAACACGTGATGGTTCTCGTCGAGCGCGTGAAAGTAGGCGTGCGATTTCGGCCCGCGACCCTGGTAGTAGCGCCCGCATACCAGACACGCGTAAACGTTGATGTTGGACAGGCTGACGGAGCACAGTTTCTCGAAGTCGAAATCAAGTACGTTGCGGTCTATCGTGTCGAGGTAAAGGTCGTCATAGCCATCTGTCGGCGCCGATTGACGGGTCGGCACCTGCATGGGTGTCTCGTCGTCGACGTCGCTTTCTTCGGCAAGTTGTGGCTCGTTTGTGGGCGTTGCATCACCATCGTGACCATTTTCAAGGGACCCATTCGAGATGAGGGAGTCGACGGTTCTGGAGCGCTTGGAGGCGGGAGAGTCTACACCGGCGATCTCATCGAGCGTCTCTTCTGCGTGGCGTTTTCTGTACGCCATTCTGTGTGTACGGCGCAAGAGGATATCGACTGTCGAACTGTTTTCGCAGGCTGAAGGTTGAGGCGTAGATGGATCAATGTCTCCTGGCCGCTGGTTCGTTGTCAGGTTGGAAAAAGTCGCCAATCCGGGGTGATAGGTACACCCCCGCTCTCACACCCCAGCACTTTGTGCTGCCACGCCCATAGCTTGTTTACGGCAACTTCCTTCTGCTTCCGTTAAATACCTTACTTACCTACCTACCTATGTACGACTGCCTACCTCCGGTTACGTCCTACAAGATCCCGCCGCGAAAACAACATCGCAACCCAACGATGCGGTACAGAGACGACTCATACATCATGGCTTTTGTATGAGATCTCATGCTGTGATTGGACATGCACCGAGAAGCAGCGACCGACTTCATCCCAGAGTGGACATAAGATTGCGTGTGGGTGGCACAGTACCGTCGTCCGATGGTCTTTGACTCAAGGCGACGTCTGACCCGCGATGGCGACCTATCGTTCAAGTTGCCGTGATGCTTTCTACGTAGCAATGACCTGCGCTCTGTCCCTCGAATACGACGCTTCTGTGTTGGCCTTCGATGAGATTTGGGCTGACCTTGAGAACGATCTGGGAAAGGCTACTCAGGATCCAAATATCTACACACTGGGCCGCATCGGCAAATGCAACGTCATTCCGGTTCTCCTATTAGATATGGGACAGGTCAACACGGCGAGCGCCAGCCAGTCTTCACTCCAGTTCTCGCAAGCTCAGGCTGGTCCTTCTTTGTGGCGTATGTGGCAGCGTCCCCAACATTGATGACACCAACAAGGTCCTTCTTTGGGATATTACCGTCAGCAACAGTGCTGTCAAATATGATTTCGGACGTCAGTATCCCGGCCAGTTCACACCGAAAGACACCATCGACGACAGCCTTGGAAGGCCTACAAAGGAGATCCGACCACTCCTTATAAGGTTTGAAGCACAGAGGAAACGACACGGATTGCAGCGGAATATTTTTACAGAATTTGACGGAAGTCCAACGCAAGGCTATCGAAGATGGCTATGATGTTGATTGTACTCGACCCAGAGCTGAGGATGTACTATTTCAGCCGAACTATCTCCACAGACACCGAGGGCAGAAACAGTGCGGCTGTAGTGAGCCCTATATCTGTAACAAAGAAGCAAAAGCACCATCTAAGGGAGCCCAGGTGCGACTGAAGTCACCAGATGCATAGAAAGCGTCTGCAAAGCCGGGGAGAACAGCAGCCTCCTTCCAAATTGCAGCAGTCTTGGGTATTTATCGGCCAGGTCGGATCGGGAGACACAGTCATGAAGTCAGGGAACATCGCGACAGCATTGCAAGGGAGCAGTTCCCTCAACAAACCCAAGGAGTGCAACCATAAAACATCGATTTGGCATTTTCAATTATCTACCGCATCACGCCATGACGACATCCTCCTCGGCCCCGATATTATTTCCCATCGCCACATCCTCTATTGCCGGCGCGAGACTGTCCATTTCCCGCAGGGTATATTCCACCAGGTAACTCTCGTCCACGAGTTCATCCGTCCGCCGGTAGTGCCTCTCTGTGTACACCTTGAGCGCGTTGAGAACCTCTTTAAGGCTCCTCTGCCCACGCGCGCCCTTGACTGATAGGTTGGAAAATTTAGACGCAGGATAGCTGCGTACGAGGGTCCAGAGGATGCGTTGGGCCACCGCAGCCGTCCGCGCATTGGTGTTCCAGTCGCGCAAGCGCAGGAGGAGCGTGAAGATTTGCTCGTCAGAAAGCGTCGCCAGAACCTGGTCGACCGCCTTCAGACCGCATAGGCTGCCAGGTTCTGGAGCGGAAGTCACAACGGATGTGAATAGGCTCAGTAGACGCCCGGGGTGGTTGAGCTGGAGAGCAAGCACAATGGCGTCGCGGTAGGATCCGTGGTGGATGTGGTTCTCGAGCTCTTGCTCCTGCTCGATCAGCTTCTGCGCAGCCTGTGTGGCCGCAGCCTGCGACTCGGGCGTGGTGTCCTTCCAGAACGTGACGATGGAGTCACCGTCACCCGATACAATGGTGTTGTCTGCCGAGTTGACGGCAAGGGCCCAAATGCGGTCCTCGTGGTTGTCGAGTGTCGTTTCCGTCTCGCCCGAGTTGGCGTCCCAGACCTTGACGAGGCCATCGCTACCCGCGCTGGCGAACTGCACCTGCTTCTTTCCCTTGCCCTCGGGCTTAGGCATGTTGAGCCAGACGACCTTGAGGACACTGTTGGAGTGGCCCTCGAATGTGCGAATGCATGTGTAGTCGTTTAGGCTCCAGATTTTAACAGTCTTGTCGGCGCTGCCAGTGAGGACAACGCCCTTACCGGCGACCTGGCCCTCATCACCTTGGATTGCGGGGCAGCCTGAGGGGGCGAACTTGACCGACCACACACCTCTGCGGTGGCCGCGCAGAATACCCTGGACTTCACCCTCCGCCACCGACCAAATCTTGACCATCTTGTCCTGCGACGAGGACGCAAAGAGATGGCTAGTAGGGTGAACGTCCATTGCATTGATGTCCTTGTCGTGCGCTTTTCTGGTGAAGACGGCGCGAGATCCTCCCTTGCGGCTCTGCGCCTCTCGGGGGATCTCCCATTTCTTGACCGTCTGGTCCTGGGAGCCAGTCAAGAGAAACGGCGGGGGGTGGTTCAGGGGGTCTTTGAACTGTGCTGATGATTCTTGCGGGATTTGCTTCGGAAGTGTCACGGCACCAATGGATTCCGTATGGCCGGTAAACGTAGCATGACATGTGAAGGAATTGTTCGCGGGGTCGACACGCCATAAGCGGGCATTGTTGTCCTTTGCGCCGGTGGCAATCCAGTAGCCGGACCAGTCGACGTCCAAGGAGACGATGATATCATCGTGGCCCTTGAGCAAAGCCAAGTCCTGGCCGAAGTACGTAGACTCGGAATCCTTGACAGACACAATGCGGATATCCTCGGCGTTGGTTGCCAGGGCAAGAAGCGAGCGATCAGGCAGGAGGTAGTTGAGGTCAATGATCGAGTCGTGGGTTCCAGATATCCGCCTAAAAGGCTCCGGCATACACCCCTCGACGGACTCTTTCTGCGGCACGTTGTATAACGCCAAGGTGTGATCGACCTGCACGCACAGGATGAAAGGGAGCTCGGAGTGGGACACAGCACTGACAATGCTCTCAGCTTCCGCCTTTGCAGGCTGATCCTTCGTCAGCTCGCGGCCGGTATCGGTGTCCCAAATACGAAGGCAGCCCTTGGCACCAGCCGAGTAGGTCAACCGGCCACCGTCAGTGAACCCAACAGCTTCGACAAGCTCCAGACAGGGCACGACCTTGCGAATCTTCCACGATTTTGCATCCCACCAAATAATCGTTTTGTCTCTGCTTGCCGACACAATTGCGTGCTGTTCGGGGGAGTAGTCCAGACCTTGCACGTTCGAAACGTGCGAGTCGAGGTTTGCAATGACCGCGCGCTTGTGAAGATCCCACACCCGTACCTTGCCGTCCTGGCTACCAGATACGAGCCGCCAGTTGGTCGTCGCGGTGACGTTCTCCTCCGCCTCATTCGACTTCTTGCCCTTCTTTCCAGCCTTTTCAACCTCGACCTCGCTCGATCTTGCCGCAACTTCGAAGAAGTGCAGCGCTGATACCAAGACACTAGGTCCGCGGAAGGTATGTGTAACGTAACCACCAGCAATGTCCCAGACCTTGATTGCCCCGTCAGTTCCACCAGTCGCGAGGAGAGTGCTTGTTCGGTCGACGGCGAGAACGACCACAGGAGTGCCGTGGGGCTTCAGGGAGCGGGTCAGCTTGGCCTCTACCGTTCCGTCTTCGGTTATCTTGAGGGCGTAGATCTTCATCGAGAGGGATCGCGAGCAGATGATGAGGTGAGAGCCGGAAGGTGTCACTGTAGGTGTTAGAGCAAGTCTCAATCATACAGAGATTAGACATACGACTCAGAGTCGAAATTTGTTCGCCATCCTGCGATTGTCAGCATACGTCAATGGCGAGATCTCGGGGCGCATACTCCTTCAATCTTTGCCAGGTGCTTCCCGTTGGAGGGGTTCGTCAGGATAGCATCCTCGCCGAGCGGCGTGGCCAGGATTTTAGCACCATTGTCCAAGGCAACAGAGCCTCCTGTAAATATCGGTCGGATGACCCGTTCCGGCTCAAAAGTTGTCTTGAAAGGTTGCTTGCTTGCCATTTTGCGGTTGTAGAAGCAATACGCACGATCAAATCACAATGAGCGGCAAGCCGCCGGTTTCCATCCCGCCAAAGAAAATTTCTGGACATCTTTATCGATAGCGCCTTATCTAATCAGCTCCACTTGCATGCCCGACCTCCAACTCCACCTTAGCTTAAAGATCATCGCATTTGATTGCTGTTGAATCAATGGCATCTTTGACAATGGACTTGGTCTAGAGTCGACTTGCTTCTATGGTCTCGATCTCCCCCTTCAGCGCACCACCAAAATAATGAGAGGAGGCTCACGCGTTGCCTACATGCCGTCGACTCACACCAGCTCAAGATGACGAGACTCGGTCCTTTGACCGCGCAGGCACTGGTAGGCAGGCATCTTGTGCATGTGTATCGCACTCTGCTGACTGACTACAGGGCCGCTCACCATTCGACGATGTAGTGGATGGCGAAGGCGAGACCGACCCCCGCGCGCCCACACAGCAATACGACAACCGCGGACGCCCCATCAACCCCGAAACGAAACGAATGAATCGCGACATGGTGCGATCCCACAATGAGGTGATGCAGGTCATTGGCGTCGCCGAGCCAGACAATGCGCCGCCCTCTGCTGAAGTCGAATCCATACGGCGGTACTCTAATTATGAAGATGCTGTCGGCACGCGACTATTACGGTTTGGAAGAGCTCTGGAGATCGCCGGCGTCTGGGGCATCAACGGCATGCGACTGCGTATCCTCCTCTACAAGCGCTACGCAGACATCTCTTTCTTTGAGCTTCTCCAACATGAGAGGAAACAGCGTTCATTATCAAGCGCCCTTCTGACCGGTTTGCCCACATTCCTTGGCGGCCATGTCTTCAAGATGGCCACATACTGGGTTTACCCCTTCCCGCGGAAGAACCACTACATCAATACCGCCCTGTCATACATCCGCGTGCATCTGCAACTCTACGTCTTTCTCCAAAGGCTAGATATCATCCCCTCCAGTAAAATGTTTCCCTCGTTAAGCTTCTTCATTCCCGGCTCGCCCTCTTCTCCCATCGCAGCCCCGGCACCGCCCAAGGACTTTAGCGCATCATCGCTGGCACAGTACGCAGGTGCATGGTGCGTCAATGCCATTCCGTTCGTGTCGTATGTCATCTGGGGCCAGATCTGGACAGAGGTCACTGGTCATCTGTGGCAAGAGTTTTATGGACGACTGCCGAATACGGTGCACCACCGCAAGCCCCCGCCCCGGCTACCACCGCCGTCAGCACCGATCCTGGAGACTCCAGAGCCGGTGCCTGATATAGATCGATCGCATCCCGAGCCCCTTTCTGAGATTGGACACGCAGACCCCACTGAAGACATTCCTCCTGAAGTGGACTCACCCATCGAACCTCCAATCCAGGCGGTCCGCCGGCCCAGTGCGTTTTCCGCTCGCGGAGACGACTACGGCAGTGATGACGAAGAGGACGGAGGCGTTAGTGCCACTTTAATCAGCTTTGACGTTGAAGCCACAGACTCGACCGATGCTCCTCCGGGACTGTGGTCCGCTGAGCTGCGCCCAAGCACAGGCCCCGAAGGCTCCGGCCACGGTGCCTCGGTGCAGTACATGGACACTATGCTGACAAGGCTCCCAGCCTGTCTGGCTTCCGACATCTTTACCGTCATTTCGGGGTATGTCTTGGTCTCGCCCTACGAAGCTGTCGCGCTGCGGCTGGTCGCCAGGTCCTACCGTGAGCGGATGGGCCTTCCCACCTTTGATATCCATGATACCAACATCTTCAGTGGCATGACGTTGAGGGGTGTCACAAACTTCCTTGGGTTGGAATTTGTGCATTTGGTGATTGCTGGCGAGCTATGGGCGCTTATTACAGGGCTCGCTCAGTGGTTCCATCTGACGGAGGAGGAATGGAAGCTTTTTAATGAAATTGAGGAGGCTGAGGCGGCAGAGGAACGGAGACGACAGGAACAACAAGTCTGAAATTGTATGGGTAGGAGGCGTTGAGGCTCACAGATCATCATGAAGGGTTATGATGAGGTCGGCGTTAGGAGTTCACTATCCTGAGATACCTCAAAAGACAGCCGCATTGGTTGGTGGCGAAATAGATCCCCCTCTGGCACTTGACTTAAACAATTAATTGGCTTAATAACTCTTAGGGTATCAATAGTCTTATACATCACCATCCCCTATTTCGAGCAGATGTCACCGCTTTTCCTTGCTCTTGCCCTTCTTTTGCTTATCCGCCTTCTTCCGATCGATGAAATCGCGAACAATATCTAGCAAATCAGGGTTCTTCCGCGCCAGGAGGACCACATCGTCCGTGGTCACCGTGGATCTCCGTGCATGCCGGCTAAAGCTCTCCAGATCGACAGCAACAGATTCTGGGGCTCGTTAGCGTCTGGACTCATCGATGCGCAAGCAAAGCCATCTCACCAATCTGGGCCCACACCATCTCGGTGAGCGCGCCGATGAATTGCGGCGTGGCGTTGCAGCCTTGTTTGATGGACTCCTCGTCGACGATCTTGCCGACCGCGAACCAGAGAGCAGCCTTGAGACGCTGTGCATCATGTTAGAGAGGCTCAACAGTGTTTATTTGGGTGGTCTACCTCGCGCTCATCTTCATTGGCCATGTCTGCCATGATGTACGGGGTTGAGACAGAAGGTGCTGGGGTTGTTGTGCGTTTCCCACTTTACGCGACGGGCGCGTCGTGGGGAGTTTGCTGATGTTGAGTTGGATTGGAAGCGCCGCCACGCTGCAGAGGAACTTTTCTCCTCTGCAATCTTATCATTGAATGCAAATGTAACACGATGGAAGAGGCAAATCAGCTCTATATTCGGGATCACAAAGCACCATCTATTACTTTCGAGAATCTCGGTAAGTCATTAATGACTGGGTATCACATGATGTCGCGACAAGTTCGTGGAATAGGTGACTAAGCATTGTTTGCAGGTAGTGATCGCATCCTCGACGCAGCCTCGCTCTTGAGCATTTAACATTATGGTCAAAGTTACCAGATCTTGTACACAACTCCCTTTGGATCGACCACCTACATGTCTAATGGCCTCTGGGCCATTTCCCATGCGTATTCCGTGGCAATTTAAGAGTTGCACTTCCTATGGCGCCCGCGCGCCAACAGCAGCGCGTTGTGACATCACTGACCATACCCCTGGAAGACCCTTGAGCGACGCCGAGCCTCCAGCGTCTCTCCAATGCTGTGCCGCTAATTGGCCAAACCTACTTAGCGGGTTCCCCACGTGGGGCTTCTGAGCGCAATTTTGACGCCGTGCGGCCCGACCGACCTTCAACTTCGCGACATTTTCTTCGGCCGCGGCTTGCCATCCTGCATCTCCGGTTTTCTTTTGTCACCCCCCTAAACAGCCACATCTAAGTTGAATCTCACCTCCTGTTTACGGGCGCCTCGCAGTTGTATTTCTATAGACAGCCGCACGCAATTCTACATCACGACCAACCACCACGACCATCCCAATAGTAAAAATGGCCGCCGTCTTGGACCTCCTCAACATTGCGTGGACGCGCTTCTCCACCAACCTGCGCGGCACGCTTGATGGCATGAGCTATGAGAAGTGGATTCGCCTTGTTATCATTGTCGGCGCCTACTGCCTCCTCCGCCCGTACCTGATGAAGCTGGCCGGCAATGCACAAATGAAGCAGCACGAGACTAAGCCCGAGGATGAGTGGCTTGGCCCCAAACCGAAGGTCCAGCCCAACACCCTGCGTGGGCAGGTCGAGATTCCCGAGGACAGCGACGACGAGGGCGTCGAGGCCACCGGCTCGACAACGGCTACTGAGTGGGGCAAGAAGGCGCGCAAGAGGCAGCGCAATGTGCTCAAAAAGTTGATTGACGTCGAGGAGAAGCGCTTGGCGGAGCTGCAGGAGGATGACGAGGACAAGGATATTGAGGAGTTCTTAGTCAAGGAGTAAGGAAATAGGTTGGAGCGATGCTTGCTGGAGTTTGGGCTCCAACGATCATTTAGTATTACTAATATTAATACGGTGCTCTTTGATGGTTATGTTGTATGATTGAGCAGTAAAGTTGTGATGGTGATGGGGAGAGGTTATTGGGTTCTGAGAGACGACCACATCGTGCAGGGACAACGAGGCAGTACATACCGTCTGGCGCAAGAAAGGCGACTGCCATCGGTGGCCGTATATTGGTTAGCTTTGGTTTTTCACCCTCTGCAGTGTCTCAAAGAGGACCGGCATATTCGTTGCAGAAATCTTTTTGTCCGTGGCCCCTTGGGTTATCCAAAGTTTCGCTGCAGGTTCCATTCAAGCCCCCTCTACAAAATCGATCAAGGTCGACCCGACTCGCTTCAACGGATTCCGGTAGAATAAATCACACTCGGTTCGAAATACAAACTCAGAAAGATCCCAGGTCGTTTGCTTCGGCTCGCCAATCTTGCTCGGTGCCCGTCTCTGGCTGACTATGGTTCGGACACCAGCTCATAGCTGATGTTTCCTTGGGAAGAAGAAAGTGCTTCCATCAATGACACAAAGGAGCAATATAACCGAGACCAAAATTCAGTCCTAGTGCATACCTATGTTCATATCGGTTTGTCCAGGTCCGGGCTTGAAGGGTCCTTGGCCGTGCCAAGACCTCGGCCCTGTCCAGTTGCTATCTCTCCCTCAATTCCAAGCGACCCTGCCTTCCTGATGACTTTTTTTTCGGGTTACAAACCTGGTTAGATGGATGTGGTTTGTGACACCTCAAATGCCCATGGCAAATCGACGCTAAGACCACCAGCTGCTCAGGGATAGAATATCCACTAAACTTTCCATCCCCCTGCCGACTCCACTGAAGTGCGCCTGCCTTCGTAACGCGTCTCCCGAAGTACTGGAATCTTTTCATCCAGGTGCATCCATCTCACCAACGCAGGCTCGACTTTGAACAACTCATGTTCAACGCGCCCACAGTCGTCTGTGCTTGATTGCTGCCGCTCACCGCGCTGGCTCATCCGCAAACGCATGCGGCGACTGTTGTCTCAGCAAGATCCTGCCGATTGAAGCCTCCAAAGGATGGCGACTTCCACCCTTCCAGCCGCGATGGCGAGTGCCTCGTCTACCAACCCTGCGATGGCATCTACCGAATCGCCTCCTGCACCTAAAAAGTACAAAGCCTCCGACCTCCCCCTGCCATCCGCGACCCGAGCAGCAATCGAGTCGCTGGCACATAGCTTTAAGAAGAAGGGAGGCTACGATGCCATCCGCAAGGAGGTTTGGGACAGATTTGCAGCAAGCGTAGGTTAACGGATCTGCCCGAATGTTCGAAGCTAACAAATCTAGGACTATGAGGCTCAAGTCACAAAAGCAATCCTCGAAGTCGCCGAACAAGAAGTCGAACGCAACCCGGCGCAGCTTCTGACGCTTGAGCGAGGCAAAGCGGCCGCTCTTATCGATGGCGCGCTCGAGCGATCCGGCGTGTATCAAAAAGCAGAACAGGTTATTACACAACTCATCGATAGGGCCGCGATTGAAGAGCGCATGCGCCAGCTGCGGCGCAATGACATCGGGGAGGAGGAGGCGATCGCCGAGCAACAACGAGGAGCCAAGACGGATGAAGACTATCACGCAGAAACAATGGCCAAGCGAGCTGAACGTGAGAGGGTCCGCGAGGAACTGCGACAGAAGGAGCTCGCTATTGAGGAGGAGAAACGCAAAATTGCAAGGGAAGAGCGCAAGAAGATTGAAAAGGAGCGCGAGAAGGCCGAGACCCAACGCAAAGCAGAACGGGATGCTAGAAGAGCCGCTAGGGAGAAGCTTCAGGCTGAACGGGAAGCTGAGCGGGAAGAGCGCCGTCGGCAGAGAGACAAGGAGCGGAGCCGGGACAGAGATCGCGACAGGAGCAGGAGCCGCAGTCGCCGGAGAGACAGAGATCGGGATCGTGACCGCGAACGTGACCGTGATGAGCGGGACCGAGAGCGCCGTGAAGAACGCGATCGAAAGCGCAAGCAGCGGCATGAAGAGTCAGAAGAGGCCCAGCAGAAGCTTTCGAAGGAGCAGCTTGAAAGACTCGAACAAGAAGCTCTCGCAGACCTCCTCCGCGAGAGCAAACGTGTCACGGCGAAGCAGCCCGAGCTGGAGATTGATGAGGCGCTGGCGCCGCCGCCTAGAAAGCTGGCTCCCGCTTCTGCCATCACGCCCTTCAAGAAAGTTTCCTCGCGTGACTCACCAAAGGTCCCGGAGTTAAAGAAAGCCGAGGCCAAGACGGAGGCACGGGGCGCTACCGTCACCACGACACCCAAGGCCGATGCGCCGGCGGAGAAGGCTAGAAGTCGCAGCCGATCGCGTGCCACCGGCAAAGCAGAACGAGAAAGAGATGGCGATGATGATAGACGTCGCAGGGATGATGACGACCGCCGCAGACGTGATCGTCGGTCAAGGTCAGCCCGTCCGCGTGATGGATCCCGCGAACGGCGTGAAAGGTCGCGTTCAAGAAGACGCGAGCGTAGTCGATCCCGGACTCGACCTGAACGACGAGAGAGAACTCCATCTCGTACACGCTCTCGACGCGACCGCAGCAGGGCTCACACACGTCACGACCGACGTGAACGAAGCCGCTCCAAGTCTCGCGACCGCCGAGATCGCAGCCGAGATCGTGCCCGCGTTGAGAGGCGCGACAGAAGTCGCTCGCGGACTCGGACGGATCGTCGCGACAGGAGTCGGTCCCGTCATCGCACCGACAGGAGAGATCGCAGCCGCTCGCGTGTCCGAAGAGATAGGACTCGCTCCCGTTCTCGGACCCGTGCTGATAGGCGAGATCGTAGTAAGTCTCCACGGCTCGACCGCCGGGACGCGATCCGTCGCGACCGCAGCCGCTCCCGCACACGTCGGGAGCGGTCTCCTGAAAGGACACGAGATCGTGACCGCAGGAGCCGGTCCAGATCAAGGCCTACCTCATCAGCCTTGCGGTCGTCGTCCAGGCTCGACAAGGATAAAGATGAAAAGGAGGCTACCAAGATGGAGGAGGTCCGCAAGCGAGAAAAGGAGGCCAAGGCCTACCTCGCAGCGCAGCGGGAGGCCCGGGAAAAGGGTATGCCGGTCCCTGGAATAGACGATAAGAGAAGTGCAGGAGAGCGATCTCCTGAAGCCAAACGGAAACGCGATCTGGACGAAATCGACCGCTATGTGCCGCCTGGTAGAGACAGAGAGCGGCCCCACGACCTGGCCCGAGATGACAACGAGCGCCGCCGTAGTCGATCCCGCAGCCGGAGCCACGGCAAGGACCGAGAAAGGGATCGCGACAGGGATCGTGACAGGGATAGGGACCGCGATAGAGACAGGAGGGATCGCGACCGCGACCGTGACCGCTCCAGGGACCGCTCCAGGGATCGGCGGGATCGGGATAGAGATAGGGACCGGGACAGAGATAGAGACCGCGACAGAGATAGGGATCGCGACAGAGACCGAGACAGAGATCGTGACCGCCGCAGCCGCAGGGATGGAAGCGTCTCGTCAAGACGGGACAGGCGCGACCGGAGCCGCAGCCGTCGACGAAGCAGGAGCCGCTAGATGCAGCTTGGTCTTCTCTTTGACTCTCCGGTATTGTTGGCTTGATTTTTGGGGGATTGGTGTTCAATACCTTACGGAGCAGGCTTTGGGGGAACGGTGTCGCGCATTCTATAGACTCTGGTGGTTTCTATCTACATCGGCTTACACTGACTGGCATTAAGGCGGGTGTAGGTATTGGTGGATAAGGTAGCAACAGACCAAGTATGACGATTGATATTCCATGAGTTAAACCGTGACAACCAGAAGTCAGTAATCGAACTCGCCCGGTAGTAGTTAGTCGTTCCTGTATTGTCTGCAGCAGCATGTGCTGTCGAAGCTCGGCAAAAATGCCCGGTCAGGCTCACTTTTTTCGGCGGCGGCTGCGGATGCACCCGGTAGGCTCAGAACCCTGACGTACGGCGGACAAGCCAGCCAGATATCCGGGAGTTCGGATAGCAACGCCTGGCGCGAGTCATCGCTGTGGTCCCACGGCTGATCCGGACAGGTCTCATGTCCTCAAGCATCCGCCGATCGGACGGGGATGGCGAGGTGATTGGCAACCGTCCACTGTCCAGCAACACACGTTGACGCTTCCCTCTTTCCCCCACACTACAAACCCGAAATTGGGGGTCCAAGCAAGGTAGGGGGTGGGGCGGCTGTCTTCTGCCGACTGGGGGGCAGTCCGTGTCTCAGTGTCCCGGCGATCCCCTTTGAGGGAAATTTATTCCATATTTTCTGGAAGCAAAATGGCTACACACATTCAAATGTTGTGTTGGGCTGGTATGCCTCTGATCTTCTCTCTCATCTTCTTTTTACGATGTACGGATACAGCTGGACCTGCATTGAAGAGGAACGTTTTCTGAATGAGAAAAATGCCTACATATTCCCGCAAATACCAATTCCAAATATCTCCCGTTGCCTAACACAGCAAACGCCGCTATGCTGACTTTGACTTGGGTCTATAATCCCTAAAGTTCCCATCGGGCGGGTCGCGATCGAGCAGAAACTTGAACCTGCCCGCATTGTCCCTGACATACTCCGGTACGTCGCGGTTATTTTCCATGCGGTCGAAGTTGGAGCCGTCTCTGGCGAAGCTGTTTCATGTTAGTGAGATGCATATCGGTAGTCCTTTACACTCACATGTCTAGCCCACGCCGGGCGACATCAACCACCCAGTCCGGATCCTTAAACTCGGGTCTGTCCATCTCAGTGTGCGAGAACGAGGTGATCTTCTGCGCCATCTCCTCGACCGTACTGAAACAGTAGCTGCAGTGCCAGCCGCCGTGGGCAAAGTGATGGTCGTTGGCGCTAGAGCGGAGGTCGTTGGGCAGGACGGTATCAGAACCTCGGTAGACGGTGGCCTGTGGATGCGCCCAATCGATATTGCCGAGCCATTGGTACGAGTAGTAGTAGATCCTGGAGTGAATAGTGACGCGTGGCGGGATGTTGCAATTCCTCAATGCGCGGAGGATCTCAGGCTTAGGGATCTCATCAACGTCGGATACAATCAAGACGTCATCAGTAGCAGCAGCTTGCTCGTCTACTAGCGTAGGAAACACTTGCTCATACATGGCATTGCGGCTCTTGGCCTCGCGGTCCCACGTCCCGCCAGCCTTGAGCTCCTCGAGGTCTATGGTCCGCACAATCATCTTATCATGCCACGGCTTAAAAAGGTCCCAGTTCTCCTGAACGTAGAGCGGTTTGGGATGGTCGGTAAAGGTCGTATCGGACTCGAGGATAACGAAGTAATCGACGTAGGGAGCCATCTGTCCCATACGGACTTCGAGCATTTCGAGCTCGGTGTTGATAAGGAGCAGGTCGAACACCTTGCGATTGCGAACCAGGTCGTAATCGGCCGGCTTGAGGCGGTAGTGGTCGCAGTAATCGCTGGCCTTCTCGGGGGTTAGGACATTGCTGGAAGTGTGGCCATAGTAGGGCGTGCCGCTAGGGCGTCCAAACTGGCGGGTCTTCTCAATAACTTCTTGGTGAAGGTCAAGCTGCCACATCAGCCAGATGAAGACGACGGAGGCCAACACCGCCAGATACTTGATCTGATGGCTGGTTCTGGATTTGTTCATGGCTGATCTCGGTGAAGGGATCCAAATGAAAGGTTGTCGGTAGAACGGAAATCTGGTCGGGACAAGTGAAGCCGGTAACCTCATATATACAGTTAGTAATTGCTGGCAGGTGGCTTACAATGTCCTGTGACACTGAACGAAGTACCTAAATAAACACCACACAACGTATCATCCTAACTAAGAACACAAAAGTATAAGCAGCAGCAGATATAAAGTATTTCTTTAAATCACGTTTTAGTAGTGAGAAGATTGAAAAGGCCACGCACTCTCTTGTAGGAAGGCTTGTGGGAACACGGGATACTGAAAGTCTCCCTTGAAAGCCAAGAATGCGGCTGGATCTGTTGAGTAACTCCTATGTCTATGAATTTTCATCTCCTGCGTATCAATGAGTATATGTCTTTCTGTTGGGCAAGGGAGAGCATCTCCTTGGCAGAACTGGCATTCTTAAGACTCATAACAGATAAACGCAAATTGAATAGGGGTTCTTAAGATGACGAGTGAAGCGGAGGCACTAGTTGGGTTGAAACTAACGAACAAGTAAGTTAGAATCGAGAAGAGACTAATAATGAGGGATTGAAATACGCAAGACAGCAGCTAGAATGTGACAAGAAAATCACATGGATGATTTGCCCTCAGGACCGAGAACAGTCTGCTTTTAAAAAAAATCAAAAAAATCTTTACATCGATTTGGCTCTTATGTCTGGAGCCGAAGATAATTGAACAAAACACGACGACGGCTTATTGCGAAAACAATTATTCAATTGGATGCACCATTTCATTATCAGATCCAATACAACATGTCCGGGCCATTTATCATTGATGCCGACCGGGCCAGCAGTTCTTTACCCTATCCGTGGACCGTGCGAATACCTCGGCGAAGGCTCAGGCTGCGGCACAGATGCAGGCAGGCAGGGCCCCAGTTGCATGTTGTCAATCCGCTGCATCGTGGGGCCACCAACAAACCTTGTCGTCGCCTTGCCCCTTCTCTCATGTCCTCCGCAATGTACTATGTAGTGTACCGCCCTGAATCAACGCCACCTCCCCACCTTTTTCTGCTTCCTTTGTGTCTTGCCTCGTATCTCCCCGCAAACCCGGACTCTCTTTTCCATGGTTACTGGTATTACCATTAACGCATCGCAATCGACCCGATTGTGCCATTTCACCATGTCCTTCTCATCCGAACATCTGCCATTTGATTTTGCTTGGTCCTCCGGGAAGACAGGTTGGCAGTCGCAAGCCGTAGTCGCATAAAACGGTAATTACCAAAAAACTTGCTGCTACAAGGGACCACTCCCAAAACGAACAAATCGGTTTTCTTCGCATCTTCAGTAGTGACAGTACTTTTTGTCTTTCGCTGGGCCTCTTTCCTTACTACACGATGGGACAGGTAGGTACCTACCTAGGTACGGATACTGTATATAAATACACTCTCGGGGCAGGCAGCCATGTACGCCAACTCAAAGAAGTAAGGTGCAGGAACACACATCGCCTCAACAAGGGGGAGACATAGGTGCGCTCCTTTAGTTTGGGTAGGTACTTTGTAATATAAGGAAGCCCGCCCGGGGGAAAGGGGACTCGGTGTGGTTCCTGCCGTACCACCGCCAATCTCAGTTCACAGACGCCGCTGCGCCGCCACAACTGTTGCCTGCATACCTTTTCGTCTTACCTTTCTTTTCCTCTCCTCTCCTTCTTCCTCACTTTGGACGCGGCAGCTGTGAGCCTCTCGCACCCGCTCACTCACCACCGCGTCTCTGTCCTCTCCCCTTCGTTTCCCGTCTCTTCTCACAATAGCAGCCCATCTTTGCATCATCGCTCATGTCGCTCATTTGACACGAAAGTCGGCACCCTCCCCCCCATACTTTCTCGCCTGCCCGCCAACTCGCCCGGCCCACACAGAATCTTCAGCCGTTCATCGCCGTCCCTGTCGCCGTGACCTCCGCCCACGCCGACCACATTCATTTAATCTCAGTGAACTCGTCTGCACCCCTCCTGCAATACTCCGTTGTCGTAACTAGCCATGAGTACACTGCCGACGACGGAGAAGCCCGGCGGCTCCAAGGCTCTCCACCCAGCCTTCTTCATCGCGTGTGTGCCATCTCGTCGTAGACATTGGTGCTTCAGCTAAATGCTCGTAGGAGTTGGATCTTCTTCTCGAACCTGACCATCTTGTTCAACAAGTGGCTGCTCGATACAGCAGGCTTCAGTAAGATCTTACCTTTCTCAGCTTTTAGCTTGACTAACACATCATAGAATACCGTACGTTTCATTATCTGGCATCTTAGGCCTCTACTGACTTGACCAGCCGTCATCCTAACATGTTGGCATCTCGTCTTCTCCACCCTTGCAACCCAGATCCTCGCGCGAACCACCTCTCTCCTTGATGACCGCCACAAGGTGAAGATGACGGGCCGCGTCTACCTGCGCGCTGTTGTACCCATCGGTCTGCTGTACTCGGGCTCGCTCGTCTGCTCCAATCTGGTCTACCTCTACCTCTCTGTGTCCTTTATCCAGATGCTGAAGGCCGGCGCGCCTGTTGCCGTGCTCTTCACCAGCTGGGCTTGGGGTGTCGCTGACCCCTCCACGAAGACGCTCTACAATATTCTGCTTATCGTAGCCGGTGTGGCACTGGCCTCGTTTGGCGAGATTGAATTCTCGTGGATCGGCTTCATTTTCCAAATGGGTGGCATTGTCTTTGAGGCCATCCGCCTCGTCATGATTCAAGTGCTGCTCAAGGGTGATGAGAACGCACAGAGGATGAATCCGCTAGTTAGTTTGTACTACTACGCCCCCGTCTGCGCCGTCATGAACTTTTTCGTTGCGTGGGCCAGCGAGTTCAGCACCTTCAAGTTTGAGGATCTACAAAAGACGGGTGTCACCATGCTTCTGCTCAACGCTGCCGTGGCGTTCATGCTCAACGTGTCGAGCGTCTTCCTCGTAAGTCCGCCATCCACCCGACGAGACAGCACCGCTAACGATCCCAGATTGGTAAAACGTCCGGCCTCGTCATGACCCTCACCGGCATTCTCAAGAACATTCTCCTGATTGTTGCATCCGTCATCATCTGGAGAACCAGCATCACCGTCATGCAGTTCGTCGGCTACGCTATCGCCCTCTTCGGCCTTGTTATCTACTCCACTGGCTGGGAGCAGCTCAAGAGCTCGGGCGTCGCCGCCATCACATGGGCCCGGACCGCCTGGAACTCTCACAACTTCGACGAGGGCCGCCTTTCGCCGCTCGTGCGACGCGCCCTCGTCCTGGGCCTGATTACGCTCATCACCTTGATGCTTGTGCTGGGTATCGCCTACAAGGGCTCGTCGGCGCCAGAGGACTGGTTACCCACGGTGGCCGCGGTTAGCACCTGAACGGCACTCTCATGGCAGGGGCTTTGGGGTACGCATGCAAAAAGAAGAACTGTGAAGTTTGGTTGATGAGCCTTTAACGAAATTAGGGTCTCTTTGGACTACGGTGCCACTTTTGTAATACTGCATACTATGAGTACACACATAGATACTGCTTTGCAATGCATGAGATGAACGACCAACTTCTGTAACAGACTCATCGTGAGAGCCTCGGACCCAACGGGTCATCAAGGTTGGCCTATCATGGACTCAAGAAACATGCAGCCAAGGCTGAGTAAGAAGCACAGCAGACCGTCTCATCACAAATTAAACCACTCGTAAGTCTTCGGGGGCAGATTGGAACTTACTCCGGGGTTGGTTTTCTTTTTCTTCATATCTCGACTTGCCCGAACCAGCTCCGTTTTAGGTTCAAGTAAGATCAGACGTCGGGATAGAGACCAAACACCTCGTCGATTGCATACAGTGTCATTGGTACAACACCTCCTTGCATCGGACCCCGAGGCGACCCAGTCCCGCTTCCTCGGCGCCGCCGCAAATGGCGCAGTGCCCCATGATGTCCTTGCTCGCTGGCTTGCCCACGACCGGCTGGACATACATCAAGGGCGTCGGCCGCCTTCTCGACGCGCTGGACCTAGCCGACGTCGCCTCCGCCGCCGCGGAGCCGCCGGTGACTGACAACGTCCGCCGGGAGGAGAAGTTCTTCGTCGAGACGGCGGCGAGTTTCGGCATCGAGGTGAATCTGCCGGCCTCCCGCGCCGGCGTTGTTGAGCGAGACGAAAAGCTTGACGGCCTAAAGCGCTTCGAGAGGCTGTTCCGTCGGCTGAGCAAGGGCCCCCAGCCGCTCGGCTGGCTGGAGGGCGCGGTCTTGTTGAGGAGGGAGTTCATCACAAATTGGAGCAGCGATGAGTTCAGTCTTTGCAGACGAGCTAGGAGCCATCATCGACCGGGGATATGAGGAGGCAGTGAAGAAGGGAGAAGAGGGCGTTGAGAACTATTTACAAGGGCGCGCGCTGGGGGTTTGGAAGGAGGTCATGCTTGCTGAGGAAACGTCCTGGACGGGTCTGGACTGAATGAAGCATGGGCTGGAATTTGCGGACGTTTATTAATTACAGCGCCATGCCGGCCGCTGCACCCAGCAGTGTCGTTACGGCGCTGACTGTTGACTTGTATCATTACCAAACCCCGCGACCAAGATTACGGAGCACCTGAACCCTCACGCACATAGTATCCGCGCCGCGAGCGCATGGTATTACCGCGGACCCAACGCCGTCGCTATGCCAATAGAAACACTAAAACACCATGTATGTTGTCGTCAGACCGTAATCATCTGGGGGCCTCTTTCGCTCGTCCTCGTGTCCTTGTCTCCTGGTGGCGGGATAGCTTTTCCCTCGTTAACCACAGACACACAATGAGCGGACTCCTCGTCGTCGTCTTCGGAGACCTCTTTCACTGTGCAAGTGAACATAGACTCCCCCACTTTCGGCGTCTCGTCATCTTCCGCGCCTGCAGCGGCATCCGCGCTCCCCGTAATTGCTTCTACGCCTGCGTCTGCAGCTGCAACTTCGGACAACGATATGATGGCGGGGTCGACGCAATCGTAAAACAGCATAAAGACGTTACCCTGATCCAAGACCTCCTCCTCATCAACCTTTCTCACAGTCTCGTCGCTAAGACGCCACCAGTCCGTCTCTGAGTTGTCGTCTGAGGCTTCGGACTTAACCGATGCCTCATGAGCTTCCTCTGGTGGCGAATTGCGAGGGAATTTACGGTAGCAGACGTAATGCCCATTCTCGTGCCTACCATAATGGGCCACAACAGCCCGTAGTTCGTAAATAGGGCCGGTGATGTATGATTTGCGCTTGTCACCGGCAATCATGGACGATCTGGGATCCAGCAACCACTGCTCCTCTTCGGATTCACGACTGCTGATGGCACTGCCGAGACACCACGGGCCAAGGTCCAGAGTCAGGGGAAAGCGGATACCTGACGAGTTCTTGTACATCATGCCGGTGTTTTCGTCAAATACAGACCGGTTCATATGAACGGCGAGGCTCTGTGGAGGGCGAGCAATGACAGCCTGCTTCGTCTTGGTCGACGAGACCTTGAACTGAGACGGGAACTTGCACTTCTCGGTAAGCGTCTTGTCCTCAAAGTCGTCCTCGTCCAGTGCTTCATTGACAGCCGCAAGGCGCAATTTCGGCTCTTTAAGCTTCTCCTTGTCCATGTATGACGCCTCCGCCCTCTCAACGAGCGTCGTCAATAGTCTCTTCGCCTTCAGCAGCGTGCATTTGCCACACTCTACCCCTTCGATTGGCTCGATGTGCGCGTAAATATCCAATAGCTCGTACAGGTCGTGATCGTTGCCGCCTGGGTTCAAACTTAGGGTCAGGCAATTGAATGGAATCATCGACAGACCATCTGAGTGCCCACAATCCACGCAGGCGACCCGCTGCGCAATAAGTCCCTCGAGAGGGTTCCGCAACACTTTTGCTGAACCAATCTTGGAAACCGTCGACAGACTCTGGTACCCACTGTCGTCGCTGTGCTGGCTCGCTGCAGTGTCGTCATTGACGCATTCCGACTCAAATCCCGCCAGCTTCTGCGTCGCCTTCGCTGCCTTGGCAATCTCTCGGTCTACCTCGTCCAGCAACTTCGAAAAGTATTCCTGCGCGTCCTGCTGTTGCCACGTGCTCATATTCTTCAGCGAGCCGGGGGTCCACAACGTTTTGCCGTAGTTCCGAGTGCTATTGAGGTCCGCGATCAAGCTGCGCAGCGTATCAACGGCCTCGACCTTGCGGCGGTCGATCTCAGGGTCCTGAACAGGGTCGGCCAGGTACTTAGGGAATGGCTTCAGCGACGCGAGCCCCTGGAGAATGCTGTTTTGGTAGCAAGAGTTATCCAGATTCCCCAGGCCCGGCGGATAATCGCTAGACCCCTTGAGGCCCATGACGGCGCCGGAGACGGACGACAGCCCCCGAATGCCAGCCTGGGACACCGTTCCCATGATGCCTCCCTGCATATTCATGCCGAGTATGTTCTTGAGGAGTTCGCTCTTCACGGCGTGTGTTTTCGCTCGGTTCTGGAGCATCGGTCGAGGGAACAGTGGCGGATGAAGCCAGCCTTCGAGAACGGTCAGGGCGCCGAACGGGATAAGCCAGACAAGGACGTCCCAGAGGGTCCGACCGGCACGGGACAAGAGGGGTTTTGGAAGAGCCGAAGCGCCAAAGATCGAATAGACGGCTGTCGCGACAAGGGCAAAGAGAGACACTACGACGCTCGGCTCCGTCAGCCTCTTCCAGAAGGCCTCGTCGTGTATTTGTCGGTGATAGTCAGGCCCGTAGGTGTCCTTGAATGAGCCGGGAGAATTCATGCTGCTTAGATGTTTTATGTATTGACGGTTGTTTCGTGGTCAGCTTCAGGCGAGCTTCTGCAATGCAATGCGGGAGAGGTCGCGCGCTGCCATATCGAGGAGGGTGGTTAAGACTGGTCGTGGCAATGCCTGCTGATTACGTGTGGTAATGAGCAAAGTCATGAAGGCACATTGAAGTGTTCGCAATCCAAGCTAATTAGCAGGGTTTCCACAGGGGCAATGTTGGACTGGTCAGTGCGCGCATGCCCCAAGGCTTGTGATCGTTTCCCTCTCTTATCGAGATTAGATAAGACCGGCTGCAGATAAGGAACTTTTTCTCTATCCCACACAACCTGGAAGTGTTGGTTTGGCGACTTCTATAAACACCGACGACATATAGCAAAGATGGCAAAACCGAGCGTTTCCAAGAAGACTAAGCGTATGAATTTCATTCTTCTAGAAATATAGCCGCTAACCGGTAACAGAACTTTCCGTTCACTCGAGAGCTGCAAGGCGCGCGACAGATGTTGACATTGACACCGACAAGTCTCTCAAGAATGTCAAGGCCCCCTCGGACTCAACCGACTACCGGCCGTCGGTCTTGGCTGCGCAAACCAACGTCGGTATCTCCAAGAAGTCCAAGAACCGCAAGACACAGATGAGCACCAAGGCCAAGAAGAGAAACGAGAAGGCAATGGACCGCGCCGAGGCCATCATGGAGCGGACGTCCAACAAGATCGAGAAGAGCAAGAGCAAGTCTCGGAGGATCCAGACGCGGAGTAAGCAGTGGGACGACATCAACAACAGCCTGCCTGCAGTAAAGAAGTTCCCTGACGAGGAGGATCTCGAGGTGGAGGGGCGCAAGACTAGGGTTGCCGTATTGCCAGCGGAAAAGGAGTGGGAGACGGACGAGGAGATGGACGGTGTTGATGAGGATTCTGCGCCCGTTGCCGCCGATGCTGTGCAGGCCGCTCCCACGAACGATGACATCGATGAGGAGATTTTGTAGCAGTTTGGAAGTTTTGAGGTGCCCTAGAGGCGGTGTCTAGCGGGACTATGAGACTTATGATAGATACCCAATGATGTGCCAAGTTCATCCACGCAGCCTTCGTCATACCGGTATCCGATAGCAAGTTATGCCTGACGTCCAGAACCCATAAGTGAGCATGGAGGGGTCAGTGATCAGGTAGGTAGGTGGCGTATCCGTAGATACCCTGGAAGCTCCACTAAACACGCTAAAGCTACAGGGCGCTATCGGGGAATCTTGTGCAGTCCCGTCTCTAATCTCCAATATGAGGGCCCTGCACCTCTAATTTTCAACGTCATCCAACCCCTTCATCCATCACAACCACCATCATGCCGCCGAAGCGCATGACAGCAAATCCGGTCAAGCCAGCGCGATACCGCGCTGGCAAGCCCATTGCACCGGAAACATCGGACTCAGACTCAGATATTAGCGATAACGATACCAACGAAGCCGAGAACAAGGCAAGGGCGATTCCGCCGCCACCGAAAGCTTCGAGCGCCGCCAAGATTGCCCGTAGCCTCAGCAAGGTCAATCTCGATGAGCGCAGACGCGAGGCACAAGAAAAGGAGAACCTGAGAATAGCGCGCGAAAAGGCCGAACGAATCGCCGCCGAAGAAGGCTTCGTGACGGAGGAGGAGGAGGAGGAGGAAGAAGGTGACGATGGAGAAGAGGAGAGCTCCAGCGAGGAGGAAAGCAGCAGTGAAGAGGAAGCCCCCCGTCGCCTCATGATCCGTCCAAAATTTATCCCCAAAAACCAGCGCAACGCCGCAAAGGACCAGTCAGCTGCATCCAAGGACGAAGATGCACGCTTTGCTGAAGAAGAGGCCCGCCGCAAAGCTGCTGCAGACGCGCTGGTCGAGGAGCAGATAAAAAAGGACCTTGCAGCGCGTGCGGCGGGTAAGAAGCACTGGGATGACGACGAGGCGTCGGGGTCAGACGTTGACACGACGGATGACCTCGACCCGGAGGCGGAGCTGGCCGCATGGAAGCTGCGGGAGCTGAAGCGGGTTAAGCGCGAGCGTGACCGCATCGCCGAGCAGGAGGCCGAGTACGCGGAGCGCGAGCGGCGTCAGAACCTGACTCAGGAGGAACGCGATGCCGAGGACGCCGAGAAGCTTGCGCGCCAGCAGGAGGAGAAGGACGCCAAAGGTAAGATGTCTTACCTACAGAAGTACTACCACAAGGGCGCCTTCTATAGCGATGAGGCCAAGGCGTACGGACTGGACAAGCGTGATATCATGGGCATGCGCATTGCGGACGATGTCAAGGACCGGAGCGCTCTGCCGGAGTACCTGCAGAAGCGCGACATGACGAAACTGGGCAGGAAGGGTGCGACAAAGTACAAGGACCTCAAGAGCGAGGATACCGGCCGGTGGGGCGAGTTCGATGACCGTCGTGGGGGTGACCGGAGGGGCTTCAACAAGTACGACGTGGATGAGCGGTTCAGGCCGGACAACGACCGCGAAGTCAACGGTGCAAACGCAATTCCCCTGGGTGATCGCAAAGCACCAGACGGTCCAAAGCGTGGCTGGCCTGACAGATACCGGTCTCGCGATGACTTTCGTCGGGATCAGTCCGGATCGAGATCACCGCGTCACCGCTCACGAGACGACTACAGAGACAGGCGGAAGCGCAGTCCGTCGCTAGATAGAGACCACCGGGACAGCGACAAACGGCGGCGCGTAGACTCGTAGGATTGTTCAGATTGTATTAGATCGAATCCTAGGCTCACTGCAGGCAACACTCAATATACCCAGACTCCTAATGCAACCCTCTTCGTATGCGTCGTATTGACCCCTTAAATCTTCCTAATCTCTACTCGTGCGCGCTCGAAAACGCCGTGACTGACCATTGCTTCCGACTGGCCTACGTTGGCCTTGGGTGGGAAGAGTGTTAGTCGTGCGTACGTACCAGCACCGCGCCTCTTGGATAGATAGCCGGGGTTTATCATTAAGACACTCTCGACAACCTGCAGGCGTCAGTAAAAGCATAGCATAGCGAAGAGATGTTACTAACCTTGGCAAACGGAGGCAGGAAGCTAGGTACGACCAGCACGTCGGGCCGAACGTTGACCATCTCTCCAAGCTTCAAGTAGCTGAGATCCAGCATAGCACCAGGAGGGATGCCCTCCTCTGTTCCCGTCTTGGGCAGCTTTGGGCGATCCGTCGGGGGAAACAGCGGGAAGAAGTGCCTCTGCTCAAGCAAATACCTGCTGAGCCTCGACAGCAGTGCTGGATCCGAGGGACGCCCGCCAACCAGTTCCTCATGACGCAGCTGCCAGAGGACATCCTGTGATGATATACCCATGACCATCTCGTTCATCGATAATGTCATGGGGTTGGTGACGATTCTCGCGGTCTTGGGGAGGCCAAGCTCCTTCTTCAGGACGGAGTCCTGCGGCCATGAGACGTGCTTGTCGATGACGTCGCGGACAGAGGGCACGAGAAGGATGGTAATGCTAGGGTTGGCGGAGACGAGGCGATTTAAGGCAGGCGAAAACATGTACTTGAAGACGGTCGACATCGTAGTCGTGTCCTGATCAATGGCTGCTTCGTCAGGGAGATCAAAGTCGCCTGTAGCAATCAGAGGATGCTCGCTATCGATAAACGGTCCTGTCAAGACAAGAGCGTCCGCGTAGGTGTCGGCCGCTTGGTCGCACAAAGCATACAGCGGCTCAAAATCAAGGTTGTCATCCGCCGTATACGGGCCTGAAGCGTAGACTACATTCAGTGGAGGGGGGTCTGAGTCTGTGTCCATAGCATCTGGGTCTCCTCGTAGCCTGTCGCGGTGTGCAGCTAATACAGCTGGCGTTGAAGCGGCGTTTGGGAGTAAGGGTACTTCAAGCACCTCCTCGACGGCGAATTCGTTTCCTGACGTATTGATGCCCTTGAGGGCCACGACCTGACCCGGAAAGAAACTGTAACCCTTGTTACGCATGTTTAGGGCAACCCTCAACCCACCGCCCACCCGCCTCGACATCTCCAACACCAGCGACGCTGCATTGAGCTTACCCTCGGGTGCGTCTGAAGCGATACGTCCAACAGCAATTACCTCCGTTGTGCTCTGATTCGCTGCATTGCCAAACTCTGAAAAGTCTAGCTTGTGGTGCTCCTGAACGATGTGCATAAACTCGTCTATCCTATCGTCAAGGATCTCGGACGCTTCCGAAAGCTTCATTGCTAGCGGTTTGTAACCAAGCTTCTTCTGATCGGAGGCGGCAGTCAGCTTGATCCGAGGCTCCGAGTATGGGCAGATTGGTGGTTCGGGTGGGTCAAGGTGGTCGTTCAGCACTTCAACGATCTCGCCGGCATTCTGTCGGTCGTTGAAGGAGCTTGGGCTGGGGAAGTTAGTGACCGTACATTAGTATCGACATGTGTGCTGGCACTTACGGCTGCATAGAGTTCAACTGTTCGTCCATTTTGGACGGCCCCTTATAATCCGGCGAGCTGGAAGGGATCTCCGCCTTCACCCGTGTCATGGTCGGTGTCTCGTTGGCCTTCTTTCGTACGCTGGTCGGCTTGTTCAGCTTCCCTGGTCCGGGCGTGCTCGGCACCAACCCATCCAGCATGCCAAAGACATCGCCGCCTCTACCGGCGCGGGGAGTACCGTGACTGCGCTTCTCGGTTTTGATGTGTGTCTGCTGTCTATTGCTCTTTTCCAGTGCGTCCTGAATATCCTTTTTGAAGTTGCGCACATGTACAATGTCGGGATTCATGGCGTCCATATCCATTTTGATGCAGAACGACTCCCATTTATAAAAAAGGTCTTCGACTGACAGCTCGTGCAGGCGCATGATGGACTGCAATTCGGAGAGCACATCGGGCTCGAGACCCTTATCACCGGTGGTGAAGTACTCCTTGAGCTCTACTTCCGCCATGGTTTCGTTGCTTGTTGTGCTTCGTGGTGTTTGGCGGTGATTGAGCGCTAGGAAGTTTGACGATGAACCTTGGTAGACGCGTCGAGCGCGTTTGGTGGGATAGCGCGTAAAGTGCGGACGGGGGTAATCACAGTGCGAGGTCCTTTCAGTTGGCGAAATCAAGGTGGGCCGCGTACTGCCCAGTTGGGAGCCGAATGTTATGTGGTTCGCACATGGCCGAACCACATGGCGAATCGGTCGCTAAGGCGACACACCTGCCTAGGCACCTAGAATTCGACTACCTACCTACCAAAGTACCTATTATATCGATTACCGGCAGCGGCTAACCTCTCTCCGGCAACCACAACCAGATGCACCTTAGTTAGGCACCCAGTTCACATGCGCCCGCCTCCTGTATCTTTCGCCACTTGGACTGAGCAGGTTCCCAGATCCAGCCTCCGTCTTCCTCCAATTATTGGAAACACCCATTTTGCTCTTGGTCAAGTGCTCTGTCTGTGTCTTGGTACAGGCTTTGCGTGAGTCATATGCAGGCTTCACTCGGCCCAACGGCCATCCACAAAGACTAGATGGCGTACCCGATTTGAAGTACCACTTCACTTGCATATCGTTCTCTAGCAGGTTAGATGCGTCTCGGCAGGCTCTACATCGCCCCGTTCAGCCTAAACCAATCGCTTCCACCCCCATATGTGCACCAACACTAGCCCCAGCACTACTGGTGACGTTGATGCATCCACGTACTCCTCCTCCACCCTCACATGCATGCACCTGGCCAGAGCCATCCCAATTATTGACCAACGATACGCAGGACTGCCTCGGTTCCGTGGTTGCATTCACTGCAGAGTATGACTGCAACCAGTGTACAGTCGCCACCCAGGCAGCCTTTCTTGCTTACCCAATCCGCCTCGCCCATTCCGATTCGGCCATATTGCTGACTTCCCAGCAAGCCTATAGTATAGTAGCGCTTCCACTTGATTGTCTTCTGATGTGTGATACCTTGTCCGATTTTCGACTTATCCCAGGCAGGGAAGAGCCTGGGTTGAACGCATCTCTTGGTTGCCTCTTGTACTTCACCTCTACTTGAACACCCTTGTTGCAACAAGTTCCTGGGCCAACGTATATAAGCCGGTAAAGAGTCTTTTTTATCAACCACTCTCCCAGACGCGATATCGCGTCTCAGTTGGAATAATAGATCTGAACAAGATGGACTTCACAACCCTATTCAAGGGTAACCTCTCGGCCATGGCCGAAAACATGACTGGCGGGAGATCTTACCCTGGCAACAACAAGATGATGGAAAGTTTGCTGCCTATGCTCGGGGGGCAGTTCAACCCGGTCCTACGGTCACTGATGCTCCTGTACCAGATGATCGGTTCCAACTTAGGACTCGATCCGACCATAGTCCTGACACTGGTTGGGTTCTTCTGGGCTGCCAACCGAGTTGTCCGTCAAGTATACGGCGCCGTCTTTCGACTGATTCAGGAAAACTTCATGAGCAACATTCACATTACAAGCACGGACGAGATTTACACGCATATGATGAAGTGGTTGGCACTGCAACCGCTGATGGCGAGCTCCCGCTCTTTGACGGCCGAAACCGTGAGTAAGACTGCTTGGGAAGAGGAAGAAGAGCTCGAGGCCCTGCAAACGAGGACCGTTGCTGGCAGTGGTGGTGGCGACGCCGAGTACCTTAACTTCTCCAACCAAGAAGCCAAAGCTGTAAGTTGATCCATTGACACCACAACAATCTGGGTATTGACCTTCGCAGCCCCCGAGATATGTTCCTGCAGTGGGCGTCCACGGTTTCTGGTACAAAGGCCGCTACTTTAGGCTTCATCGAAAGCAACAGAGCGTTTTCGACGGAGAGGCGAACTATGGGACGTTCAGAAAAGAGGAGGATCTTATTGTATCGTGCTTTGGTCGGAGCCCAGAGCCTATCAAGGAGCTCCTCCAGTTCGTCAAGGAGTTCTATTACCAAGATCACTACGCTCGCACGACGATCAAACGCCCAAGCCCGGCGCCGATGCGTCGGTACGGAGGGCGTTACAACTGGAGTCAGGTCGCCAACCGCCCTGTCCGGCCCATGCGGACTGTTGTTCTCGACCCAAAGCAGAAGGCCCAAGTCCTTGCGGATATGAACGAATACCTTCATCCGGCCACTCCTCGCTGGTATGCCAACAGGGGCATACCCCTGAGACGCGGGTATCTCTTCTACGGTCCACCGGGAACTGGAAAGACCTCACTATCGTTTGCTTTAGCTGGCGTGTTTGGCCTCGACATCTTTGTCATCTCTCTGCTGGAGCCAACTCTAACAGAAGAAGATCTCGGAACACTGTTTAATTCATTGCCCCGTCGATGCGTGGTGCTGCTCGAGGATATCGACACGGCAGGTTTGAGCCGTTTGGACGAAGAAGTTGATGCCGCCATCTCCGATGGCAAAAATAACAAAGACTCTGAAGGCAACACAGGAGAAACCGGCAAGAAGTCCAACAAGGATGAATGGAAGGTATCTGATCTTGCACGCGCTCTGAAGAAAGAATCCAAGGACGACAAAAAGGGAATTTCGTTATCTGGACTCCTGAACGCCATTGATGGTGTCGCATCACAGGAGGGTCGCATTCTGGTCATGACGACAAACAAGCCCGAGTCTCTAGATGAGGCTCTGATTAGACCTGGCCGCGTCGATCTCCAGGTCAGTTTCACCAACGCGACTCCTTCGCAAGCAACACAGCTCTTCCATCGCATGTACGAGGCGGATGGTGCTTCTCCGGCCAAGCGCGCCGACGGGCATCTCTCTCCACCCACGAACCCCGCGCCACCAGTTACAGCTGAAAGCGGCACGTATTCAACATCGTCTTCATCGACTATATCCCCCACTTATTCGTCCTTTTCTGATACTCCCCTGCCGTCGGAGGCTGCTGCAGAGGCCGAGAAGGAGCACCAGTTCGACGTCGAAGAGCTGAGGCGGATCGCAGCCGAGTTTGGCGCGCTAATCCCCGATGGACTGTTCAGTCCTGCCGAGATCCAGGGTTTCTTGCTCAAACGCAAGAAGGATCCCAGGCGGGCGCTGAAGGAGACTTCCGAGTGGGTCGAGGGAATGAGGCTACAAAAGGAGAACAAGTCCAAGGTGCTCAAGGTGCAGTGAGGTGGTGCCTTTTCCGTAACACTCATCCTTCCACCACGCCAATCTTGAGGGTATAGGTCAGACTATATATTAGAATGCAAATAAGACTATTCATCATACTGTAGATCAAAACACATATCAACATAAACTTCGGAATAGAGATGAAATCAAAGCTCAAAATGCAAATTGAAACGGATCGGAATACAAATTAAGATAAAGATCGAATTATAGACAGAAGTTTGCCTTACAAGTTTAGAAGTAAGTAAATTGGATTGCAATGCCGTAATACATAGGACATCGCCGACAGCGGCAGGACTGCTCTAGAGTTAACAACGGTCGTGCTGAGTTAGGGAGAGCAAAGGTTACGGTGGTGTATGGGATGACGTCGGACTCGGAGGACGGCGTCGGCAGGGTCCGAATCCGGAGTGTCTTGGTGACGTGCCCGGGCTGAAATAAAACTAGGTAGGTCTGATCAGAGAGGAGAAGAATTGGCACCTGTAGTGCAGCAATCGGACGTTGTCCGAAAACCTGCTGAGAGTCATAGCTGAAGTGCTCTTGTCTAAGGTTGTGTAACGGAGATACTGTTCGCTCAGAAAGCGTCAAGCCAACGTGAAAGCTGTTGTCCATAGAAGCTCTACAGACGCGATATGAGACCATAGGCACCGTATTGGTTTAGTGACAAATGATGGCACATGGAATAGAAAGACGTCAAAGGAAAATGTCGGGCTTGGGCTGGAGAAACACATAACACGAAATAACATTGTGTTTATGCCTAGTGTGTCAAGTGACAGAACCATGTCTACAATATAGTATTTCTATGACTATGCTTGACTAGTGTCTTATAAGCGATGAAGCCCCCAATATCCGCTTACATGGCAAGAGAATCTATTATGGCAATGCTTCCGAGGGATAGGCTGACTCCATGTCCACGTCCGCTTGACCAGGCTGTTCTGTCGCATATGCAACGCTGGAATGTGTCTCGCCCGCGTTATCATAGACACGCGTCTCATTGTACCCCTCGGCATCCTCGCCATAGCCATAGCCCACCCCGTCCTCGTCTTCATCGCCATACTCTTCCCCAATCTCATCCATGTCCTCGTCGAGACCAGGAACAGGTGCAAACACACGCCCCTCGCCGGGAAGCACGCCATCTTCGTCGTCATCGTCACCTTCACTGTCATCCTCGAGACTGTCCTCGCCGGCAGATATGAGCTCCTCCTGTGCGCCCGTCTCCGTGTTTGGCGTGCCCACGCCACTGCCTGCTGCCGCCGCAGCGGCCACACCTCGCGGTCCGTTGGACTTGGTGACACGGTAGGCAGTGCCCTTGCGCTTCTTCTTGGGTTCCTTGAAGCGGCGACCGTATAGCACCCGCTTCTCTGCGTCGGTGAGCTCGAGGTCTGGTAGCGGTACGTGGACGCTCGAGGCGCCCGGCGGTGGCGTCGTGTCGCGCACGTCAAAGATGCCAGAAAAGTCTTCGTCTCTGAGCTTGCGGCCGAACTGAATCGCAATCATCTTGGTTTTCATGATGCCCTTGGCCTTGGCCCACGTGCCCTGGTGGTACCAGCCGCTGTTGTAAATATCGACCTCGGGCCGTAGCGGCGCCTCAGCGAAGAGCCTTGCGATGAGTGGATCCGTGATGTCGCAAATTTGCCAGACTTTGCCGTCGGTCCAGTATGACTTGCCGTCAAAGACATGAGATTCGTGGTTGTCACCCTGCGGCTGGCGCTGCTCGGTACGCAAGCTACGGATAGCGTGCCAAGTCTCGCCGATGTGGCCGGCCTGCAGCTTTCTCATATTGAAAATCATGGTCTGGTACGTCCGGTAAGCCGGGTCGGTGCGCGGGTCGATGCCGTACTTGATGATGGCGTCGCGCCATGGCCCGCCGCGGAACTGGTAGCCGACGTAGCCGACGCAGCGCTTCATGACGTTGGCATTGCGGACGATGGATCCAAGCTTGTTCATGAGGGACCGGCGTGTCCAAATAGGACGCTCCTGCATCGCCTCCTGCATGCGCGCGATGCAGTGCGTTACCTCCTCGTCGGTGCCGTCGTAGGGCGTCTGCGGCCCATCCGGGATGGGGTATTGGTCTGCCTTGAGAAAGTAACCGATGAGGGTCGGGAGCTGGGTGTTGATGAGCTTAGTCTGACCGGCGTGGTCGAGCTCAGAGCGCACGTAAGGGTTCTGGGAGTAGTTGTAAATGAAGGGCAGTGTCATTGGCGTCCACACAGGCGGCGGGATGATGTCTACGTTAGGCCCTTTATCCACGCCCTCGACGAACTTGAAGTCTCTCATCTGTGTAACTGCGCGGGTCAGCTGAGTCGGAAAACCGATATAAAGTAACTTACTGTCGCCAGGCATGACCTGGTTCATAAACCTGGATATGAAAGGTGAGTGCTCGAGGCCCCAGTGGAAGTCCGCCATGCCTGTCGTTGGTTAGTTGGGTTCGAAGCACGAGAAAGGGCATCCCTACCTCTGAAGCGATGCGTGTGTTTGATAACGCCGACAGCCTCAACGTCGTAGTTGTCGACGTTGTCCTGCATTTTCCGCCGTAACACCTTCGGATTGTCCAACCGAGACCTCGAGCAGATCTGCTCCCCTGACGAACCCAGCCTGGAGACGTCGGCCACCTCGACTTTGCCCTCCCACGGCCCGTCAGTCCCCCTCTTCCGCTTTCTACCGGTCCGCTTCGGCACTATGATCTTCAACACAACGTTGTGACTCGTAGCGCTGTGAGACATGATGGGCCTGCGGAAGGGGCTCTCGGGATTGAGATAGAAAGGGATCGTGTTGCGCTCCGTGTCCAGGATCTAGCATGATTAGCCTCTGCTGAGCGGAGTGAACGGCTGTGCACACATTTTGAAAAGACGAGATGTTACCGAATGCCTTTTCTGTTCGACCCAGGTTCATGACGATCATGGGGATCTCGACGGCGCCCATAGCTCTCTTGGGGATAGGGTACCGGGGTGCCGAATTGTTGTCCTGCCAGTCCGTCAACGGTTGACTGGCTCTCCCTTTGAACCGGGCGTCTTCATGAACGCCCTCCTCCGCCATCTCATCGTCGACATGTCCGTACATGGTGTCCACGGTGATGGCTTGCATGTTTTGTGTCTTTCGCCAGCGAGTTGACGTCACAGTCCGCTGCTGTTTAGGGCCTGTTGTCTGGCTGTTCCCGACTTAAAGATCCTGTGAGACCTTGTCTTAATGGACGTCCAATACGGATCCCCCCAGTCGACTATTTGGCCGTTTCAGGTGATGTTGAGCTCAGCGCCGTATCGCAGCCCTGGAATGTTAGATGCTGTTGTGAGCAACTGAAGTTGCTGATGAGCGAAGCACTGTGCGAAACACAATCCCACTTCACAACCCATACCACAGTTCGGCAGGTGCCATGAGCGACAGATAGTTCATGTACTCCGTACTGTGTGTGGGAATTGCTCAAATACAATACCTACTGCGTATATTATCGAGTAAAATAGGTACTGTTATGCAGAAAATTCAATTTACCAGTACCGCCCATTAAATCCCATACACCTCTCCGGGTCAACCAACTCGCCGTGGTCAAACGAGACTTGATATCACAATCAGAAAGTCTTGATGCGCGGCCTTTGCCTCTCAATATCACCTGCCACCTGTGCCCATCCACCAGGTACTCCATGTACATGCAATAAACCAAAGTCTTGAATGAACGGAGAGGGTCGGTCATATAGGCGTTTCAGATCATTTAACCGGCCAAATCGTCCAATGTTCGACTTCTCGTTCTCCCAAGAACAGGGCAAACTGTTGTTTCCAAAGCACCTATGGTACACTGTAGGTAGCTTTGACCCCATTCATAGTGATGTGATGATGCATGCCCAGGATCAGCCCACGGGCAAGGTCCCTGCAAGGGCTGGCAGGTGACTTGCAGCCAGGGAAAACAATAACAGTACAGTGCCGGTTCGATTGGCACGGAACCAGCCAGCGAGACCCCTTCTTGGGGCTGAGCTTGTGGAGCCCGAGGGGGTTGTTATAATCCTCCGGAACAACACTACTACCGAAGAGGGAGATTGAGCTCCAAGGGTCCAGCTTCCGCCGAACCACTCACAAGCGTTCTAGGGCATCAGCCAACCAGAAGCTGGCGCGTTATCTTACCTAATGCGAATCAATCCGTGCACATGTACACAGCAACCCTCTTGCTCGACTCTCCCAGCTTGTGCTACTGTTCTACCAGCGCGTGTATCCGTATTCTGTGCCAACACCTAGAAAACCCCACCACAGTTTCCACCCAAATCTTGCACAGTGGGAGGTACCTCTTGCAGTCGGTTGTGTCCGCCGTCCAAGGTGTAGGTGCAGAAAGTGCATTCGTGTAGCGGCGTCGACCTCCACTCCCTCAACCTCGTCCTCTCTTACAGCACAAGCTGATTGCGTCCTTTCTCTGAGTCCGACGCGTACCTTTGACCTCACACTTTCCAATTTCATCCTGTCTTCATCGGATTGCCAACATTACCTTATCTAGCCTCTGACGCTGACTCCCAATCTTGTACCGCACCGCCCAACGATTTGCCCGCCTGCCACCCCAGTGTCGAGGCCTGTTCTAGCTGGCCGCCGCACGCCACTGGACCGTCTCCAGCTGTCGAGCACCAGACAACTGTGTGCCCGTACCTCTTTTCACCTTAATATTTCACCGCCGCTAGCACGTTAGGGGAGGCCGGCTTCTGGTCCCGCGTCGTCGTCTCACACTTCACCTAGGCCCCGCAAACAACTTCAGCTTTACCGACGATCCAGACTAACCCCCATCCTCTTCGAACCTCGAGAATCTGGCCCCCTTCTTTCGCTGCCCGATCGCTCTTTTCATCTGCCAATTTTGATGGGTCGTCAGTCTGTCGCATCTTACCCGCCAATCCTCTCCCCCAGCTTCCCCCTGCTCCTCGCATCACGAAGCGACGCCATCCTGACACCCAAACCCCAGTCCTCGCCGAGTGACGCCCTCCTTTCATCATCACGTCGACATCCATCCGCCGACGCGCTCTCTACAACCTAGATCGCCGCCTCGCACTGCCGCCCACCGCGCATTTGCAAACCAGCCACGATCTCCCAATTCCAGAACAGAACGCCATCGTTGGCCGACCCCGCCCCCCCTGTACCATTGCCCATACCCCGACCCGTCGGACCTGCGTCCATTGCGGATTACTGTCTCTTGTTGCTGCTGTTGAGTCGGGCGAGTCTGTCGCCCCACGGAGAGGGACATCACCGTGACGTCCAAAATGAAGCGCTTCAGTCAGAGGGTGGTGAGTACTCCGCCAATGGCCTGGGCCCCTGAGCCCAATCCCACCTCTGAACACGATATTGACAGCCCAGCATGCTCAGCTCTCGCGCGGCAAAGACCCAAACAAGCCTAAGAAGAACAAAGACTCGAAGGATGGCACCGCGTCCCCGTCGTCCGTAGGCTCAGGCCGCGACGCCAATCAGTCCCCCAACCCGACGCCATCGTCCTCGACGACCAACCTGAACGATTCCCGCAACAAGCCTCTGCCTCCTAATAATACCGGCGCTCATCCCGGAGATCATGGCAGTGCAAACCAGCCGTCCCCACTGGGCAACCAGCAAGGTGCCGTTCCGGACCGCTTCAACTCTGCAGGTGCCGCCCAGGGTGCTAACGGTGGAGGCTCTCCAGCTCGCCACGGGACGTTGCCTCCCACGGTGATCATCAGCCCCAGTGCTCCGGTAAGACCCCGGCGTCATACCACCGTCGAATATGCTAACTAGGCCAGCATGTCCCACCTCCCGGTGCCGCCGAGACCATGCCGCACGATCTCGCGCCTCCGAAGGCGGGCACCAAGTCGCTTATGTTCGACCGCCTTCACCAAACGCCCAAAGATGTGCCCGAGGGCCTCAGAACGCCCAAGCGACAGCACTCGTCGAGATTCGACATTTCGGCCCATCGCGAGCTTGAGAAACTCCCCGGCTTCCATGAAGTGCCCCCCAACCGCCGCCAGGAACTGTTCATGCAGAAGATTGATCAGTGCAATGTCATCTTTGACTTTAACGATGCCAGCGGCGACATGAAGTCCAAGGAAATCAAGCGGCTGGCACTTCACGAGCTGCTTGACTACGTTGCCAACAATCGCCAAGTCATTACGGAACCCATGTATCCCAGAGTAGTTGAGATGTTTGCCAAGAACCTCTTCCGTCCCATCCCCCCTCCGATGAATCCCCAAGGAGAGGCGTTCGATCCCGAGGAGGACGAACCCGTCTTGGAGGTGGCGTGGCCGCACATTCAGGTTGTCTACGAGTTCTTTCTTCGCTTTATCGAGAGCCAGGACTTCAACACCAACATTGCCAAGGCATACATTGACCACAGCTTCGTTCTGCAATTGCTGGAGCTCTTCGACTCCGAGGACCCGCGCGAGAGGGACTTCCTCAAGACGACGCTCCACCGCATCTATGGCAAGTTCCTCAACTTGAGATCATTCATCCGTCGCTCCATCAACAACGTCTTCTTCCAGTTCACATACGAGACGGAACGGTTCAACGGCATTGCAGAGCTCTTGGAGATCTTGGGCTCCATTATCAACGGTTTTGCCCTGCCCTTAAAGGAGGAGCACAAAACCTTTTTGACCCGCGTGTTGATACCATTGCACAAAGTCAAGAGCCTGAGCATGTACCATCCTCAGCTGGCATACTGCATTGTCCAGTTCCTGGAGAAGGACGCTTCGCTGACTGAGGAGGTAAGTTTAATAACGTTGCATGCGAGTCAACCCAGGCTAACAATCACAGGTCGTACTTGGCTTACTCCGATACTGGCCCAAGGTCAACAGCACAAAAGAGGTTATGTTCCTTAACGAGGTCGAAGACATCTTCGAAGTCATGGACCCGGCCGAATTCGCCAAAGTTCAGGAGCCGTTGTTCCACCAACTGGCCAAATCCGTCGCTAGCCCTCATTTTCAGGTTGCAGAGCGCGCGCTGTATTTCTGGAACAACGAGTATTTCTGTAATTTGGTTAGCGACAATGTGGAGATCATTCTTCCCATCATGTTTGCACCACTTTACGAGAACTCCAAGGGGCACTGGAACCGGTGAGTTTGCAGCTATCGGTGGTCGAATCACACTAACTCCTTACAGCACTATCCACGGCATGGTTTACAATGCAATGAAGCTGTTTATGGAAATTAACCCTCAACTGTTTGACGACTGCTCCCATGACTACACCGAGCAGCAAAACAGCGCCGCGGCCAGAGAAGCCCTGCGCGAGAGAAAATGGGCCTCAATCGCGGACCAGGCCGCGCAGAGGCGGTCAGCGAACGGCGTTGCCGGCAGTGGTAGGGCACATGCTGGGTCGCTGTCCCGCGTCGACGAAGTTGACGGCACCGAGGATAACCAGAAGCGACTAGACTCTCTCAAGCTGCAGGATGGCGACCGCAGGGATCGTAGGCATGAGCAACAAGACTCGGTAGGATCAGCCCATAGCCAAACATGATTGCTCCTTGTTGATTTGCGGATTATTGCCGTTGCCTTTTTCACTTTTTGGATCACCAGTTAACCAGGCCAATTCTAGAGCTCGGAACAAAATGGTGAAGGGAAGGGCGAGGCAGGCGAGGAGTCATGACCACCAAATGCTGCGCTTTCAACCTGTTGAAGGGTTCAAAAGGAGAATTTATGCATGTGTGTGCTCGAGGGGCGATTCAGAGAGTCACCCGAGAAATGACATTGGGCAGAGGAAAAGCAGGTTCCGTGCTCGAGGGATGGGGCCTCGCCGCCCCCGGAACATACTTAATTTTCACGATGTCACTTTTTTGTTTCTCTACTTTTTCTTATCTTTTCCTTCGAGGACGCAAACTCGAGTGTGGTTCTCCCTAACTCTGAGTTGGTCCTTGGCCGTCGTTTGTGAAACCAAACGGGGATTTCGGTGCGTTTGGAGGAACCAGAAAATGTATTGTGATGGCGAGAGGAAGGGAAGGGAGGGGAGAGGAGGGGCAAGAAGTGGGCAAGCAAGATAGGACTGGCGTACAAAGGCGAAATTTGGGAGACGGGCTCTTTTTCTTTTTCTGCGGCTCTCGAAGCGCGTGAGGAATCGAGGGTTCCTCCATGGTTTCTGCCTCGGACAATGAACGGGCACAGACGTCGTAACACGCCACAAATTAGACTTGGGTAACAAAACAGCTTCGCGAGAGCATGTGAGCGTCGCGGGCCTATGACGAACTGGCGTCGTATGCTATCATCGGTGCTTACGATTATTATTCTACGTATACACATCTACCATCCATTCCTGCCTCGATCGTAGCCTCCCCTCTCCCCACGGCCCCGGTATCCACCGTTGCCGCGTCCGAACTGTTGAGACTGGTGCTGCTGCTGCTGCGGCGGCGGCGGCGGCGGTGGAGGAGCCCATCCACTCGTGTGTGATGGAGGTACGCCCGACCCCGGCGGGGAAGACCAGCTGTGTGGAAGTAGAGAATTGCCCATATGCGGAGGTAGCGGCGGCGGCGGCGGCGGCGGCGGAGGCGGCGGAGGCCATTGTCCCTGGTAACCTTGAGGAGGAGGCGGTGGAAAGGGACTAAGGCCGCTGGCCAACGGGAGTGGCGGAGGGTACGGCGGGAAGGCCGGCGAATTGTGATAGGTGGGAGGAGGCGGTTGTTGGTTGTGCGATGAACCCCGGTCATAATATCCTGGTCTGAACTCTGGATTGTGTCGGTTGTGGTTTGGCGGAGGTGACTTGCTTGTGCGGCTCTCGTCTCTTCTCGGACGTCGATCGCGGGACCTTGATCTCGATTTGTAGCGTCTACGAGAGCTTGACCTGGACCTGGACCGAGATGGAGTGTATCGAGAGTCGTACCGATCGTGTTGCACACTCCGTCGCCGAGAACGGCTGCGGCTGGGACTCTGCAAATCTGGTGAAAGCTTGCGCCGCTTAAAGGCAGGCACAGAGTCGCTTCCGCTGGACCGCCCAGGAGAGTAGCTGTATGAGCGGCTCCGCGAATATGATCGGCCCCGCCCGCGGCCATCGTCGCCTTTTGTGGCCTTCTTCCTTCGCTGCTTCATCTGTTCGCAGAACCTACGCGACCAGCCATAGTACGTCTCTCCGTCCACGATCTCACCTGTAATCTCATCGAGCACGATGCGCTCTCCCATTTCGCTGACGTCCATGTGCTGCTGCGAGTCTGCAGCCTGCGGCGGGACATGTTTGCTGTAAAGCCTTTCAACGTCAACGAGCAGATTCTTGACAGCGTTTGCGAGAACCTTGTCGGCTGGCCCCGGAGCGAGCTGCAGTGGCTTAATCATATCGGGATTCATGGGTTTGGTCGAATTCGGCGTGAGGTGCGGCAGCCAGTTGGCAGCGGGCAGGTCGAACCAGGGTGTATTGGGGTCGCCATGAATTGAGGGGATCATATAAGGCGCATCTTTGGGGAGCTTGGAACCGAGATTCGAGCCCGCTTGATCTTGTGTCATAGCCTTGGACACCTTCTCGCCGTTGGGAGCCTCTTTCACGGCTTCGCGGAGGCCGTCGATAGTGGCTGCTGAGAAGTAGTTGTGTTTTTCCCAGAGCGCGAGCAGGTCTTCCACCTTCCGCGTTTGCTTCGGGCAGTTTCGGAATTTTGCAGCGCCATGGAGGAGAGTCGTTAGGCTGGCTTCCAAATCGGTTGCGATACGTGCAACTTGGTGGCGGACGACGGCATGGTAGAGCACGTCATTAAGGATGTAGAGAATGTGTAGGCGTCGTCGGCGGGTGGAGGGTTTCGTCTTGGCCTCGTCGGGGAGAGAGTTGGAGAGGGCGGACAGGTATTTACCGAGGGCGGCGACGCGCGGAGGCGAGGGGACCAAGTTTTTCAGAATCCAACGTTTGCATTTCTAGATTGAGGCAGCAGGAGCTTAGTCGACCTGTAATATAAGATTTGTGACACGGAAAAGGCAGAATGGTGCGGCTAGAGAGGCCGCTGGAGAGCGTCAAACCTGAACGTTGGCGGGCGAGCATTGGTTTATCGCGTCGTGGAGGAGAGCATGAAAGGTGTCGATCTCAGAGCGAATGAGCGAGACGGGTTCTTTGCGGAAGAGTATGGCGCTAAAGGAGGCCTTCGCTATTGCTAGCTCTGGGTTCGCCATTGCGTGAAGGGTGGTAGGCAGAGAATGAGTGACTCGCGTGAAGGAGAGGTGGGATGTAGAGCTGGAGGTGTCGAGCTCCCCCGTACGACAGACAGGCAGCCGTAGCTAGCTGCTCAAAGTGTGGCTGAGAGCTTGAGGCTGGAGGGAGATCCAAGGAACAGACAGGCACCGCAGCTTCTTCCGTGCGGACCCATGTGCAGAGTGTGATAGGCTGGCACTTCAACGGCGGACGCCATTAGCCACCCTGTTGCTTGAAGGAGCCAAGGTTGGATGCTCTGATGGCGTACAGCTTTCGACACAAACCATTTGCAGCCACCGAACACGCTGACAGACCAAACACAAACACCACTCGCGATTTCATTGATTATTTTGCAACTAGGTGGAAAGCACCTCATGCTGGTTATAGGGACTTGCTTCCGTAGGCTCACATGCAACGAATCATTGGCCAATTGTGACCCACATTATGCATCTGCTCCTTCCAAATGAACATCTATTGCCGTCAAATGCAAATACGAAAAGGCGTCGTTCCTTCATTTAATCCTCAATGATAGTGTACAATATACAGCCGCAATGTGCCGATCAATTATGGTACACAACCTCGGTGTCTGAGACCCTCCTCCACTTCCGCCCGACTACGAAAACCGATCCCCCTTTGGACTCTTGAACGGTGTACTGCTTTCGTACTTGCTCTTCTCGAACACTCTCTCGGATTCGGTAGCTGGCGCGTGGCGGGTCGGGGCAGGATCGGAGTTGGATTCCTGGCTGGGAGAGCCGGCGGTATCGGTGCGCGCCTCGCCACCCATGGTAGAAGCGGAACCAGGCTGGGCGGGAACATTGTCTCCATACTCAAGGGACTGGGCCAGCATCTTCTTCTTACGCTGCTCCTCAAAGCGAGCGGCGCGATCGGCGTTGATGCTCTGCTTGGCGAAGTAGTAGGCGGTTCCTCCGGCTGCGATGCGACATGGTTAATTGCAAACCGAACCACGAATCTTACTGAACGACGTACCAACACAGAGGGAGCCCCATCCAAGCCTGCAATGCGAAGAGTGTCAGTAACGGATCGTCGACGAGATGACTTACGACGGGTCAAGCTTACCAGAACGATTTGACCTGGGATCAGGCATGATGTTAGTCAACGATTTGAAACCAGATGCGACGGTTGGGGAGCAACTTACAGTATTCATGCTTAGAGATTGGACTAGACGATCGACAGAGTTGTTGCAGAAGCGAAGATATTCGTTCGTCGGGTTGCGCAAGAAAGGAAGGGAAAAAACCCAAACCTAGGCGTGTTGGGACTTGGTTCGATAATCGAGCAAGCCTGCCACTGAGGACTAAGGATGCACTGTAGAAAGTGGGATGGTCTGATGATGGAGCTTTACTATCCCCGATTGCTTAGTCTTATGAACCGTGCACGCGACTGGTGGGACCCCCAAGCCAGTTGAAGGCTGAAGCTGAGGTAAGGCAGGTTGGGATACGGATACGTACCTTCTCGGACCCCAGGGACGGGACGACTGCGCCGGACTCAACGATGTGCAGGGGGGGAGGAGGCTTTCCAGCGGCAGACGGGGCTGTGGGCTCGCTAATTACGGAACAGTGTTCCTCAGGAACCAAGGCCAACGGCCTCTGTACGTTGTACGTAGTTTACCACCTACCTGCCTAGGTATGTAGTGTACCTAGGCATGCCTGCGTGCCCTCACACCCTACCTTTGCCTACTGCCATCTCTTCGGCGCGTGAAAGAGCCCGCAACGACCCTCAACCCTTGCCTAACTGCTGAGGCTGGCAGAAATGGAGACACGTCTTGGCACTGTCATATGTCATTATGGATATTGCTAACCTATGTGGGGCTCAATGCTGCGGCAGGACAGGTACACGGCAGCGCAAGTCGTAATAGACGGTAGTGTTTCGATGGTGAGTCCCCTCAAACTTTACGTACATACCACCACGTACCACTACCCCCCTCTTCCTCTGTTAGTGGTGGCCACCCACCATTTCCTGTGTGGCACCAAAGCACTGCTGCGGCCTGCGTGCCTAACACACGTTCCCCTCCCTGCCCTGCTTCATCTTAGAGAGAGAACGGTACTTCCCTCCATCCCCAGAGTGGTACAGCCTCCAAGGTACTGGCGAATCAGGTACGCCATCCACGCTGCCGTCCCAGCAAAACGGCTACATAGCACGCACGACTGGGGATCTTATTACTCCAAGGGGTCGTTGCAATGCTACTTGGTCGACAATCACAACCACGCAGACTGCCGCCACAACAAAACACATCCGTCGCTCTCTTCACGCGCGCCTTTCTCCTGGTCATGCTCTCCCGCGCGTCCCAGTAGCTTCGAAAAGTCCGTTCAGCATCATTATGCTCTTCACCCCTCTTGCACAGCCGTCCATCCCACTTCTCAGAATCTCTCCGAGTATCCACGCGCGACAAAGTCTCCTGCCCGCTTACGCACCTTGCAACACCCGGCTTTGAGCAGCTTCGTCCCTGGTTGAGCAGGCGTCAGACCTCAAACATACGCCCGCCGTTGATGGGCTCATGAGGACAGGTACCTGAAGACGTGGGTGTGATGGGTATCGGCACCCTGGGCCCCCGCTATCGTCTTCCGCTACAACAATGGCTCCTCCTGCTCAGAATGGGCCTGATGGCTCATCAATTGTTTGTCTCCCCTTCTCATGCCGTGCTGCCGCCGTGTTGACGTATCGTTAGAAACCTGTCTCTTCCTTGAGGGCGAAGTTCGAGAACATGAATAAAAACGGCGAATCCGCCGCCACAGCGCCTGGCCCCTCTCCACCCCGAACCATCTCGCCGGGCCCGAAGCCAGAATTCCATCCAGATGCGAAAGCGTCCTCCGAAAGCCTGCCAGTCCCCCCGAGACCGCGAGAGCGTGCGAACATACCGGCGCCGTCACTCCCCCCTCCCTTGCACGAGCCCGTCCCTCGTTCGCCCGGTCGATCCCTGGGCATTCCTCCTACTTTGAAACCCGAGCCGGTGAAGGCCCCCTCCGTCATGGTTGAGCCTCCACAATCACCTCCCAAGAATACCGTCTCGAGGTTCGCGCACGCCGAGGCGCCGGCGTTCCTGAATGCTGACCCCGGCTCCTCTACCCCCACCACTCCAACAACTTCGCGGAACTTCAAGATGCAAAGCCGGCCACACACCCCGTCTCTCGAGCCGCGGCGCTCACCCAGACTTTCGGCCTCCCAGCCACCTTCACCACCGCCACCGAGAAGGTCAGGGGAGATTCGTAGAGAAAACAGGCCTGCTGTGCCCCCACCAATCAACCGGGCGGAGAAACCATCGGTGCGATCACAGGCGAAGCCTCATTTTTATACCGAACAACAGTTAGCCGCTGATGGTAGGGGTAAGCTCCGTCAGGAGACTTCGCCGTTTAGCAGCCCGCCCGGAAGTCCCGACAGCCTACATGAACCAACGCCCCCCACGCTGCCCACCAGGCCGAAAGCGCATTTCACACAGACGGAGCCGCCTCCGCCCCAGCGCGGCAGACCGTTAGATGTGGGATTCGCTCCGCCACCCGTTCACCACTCCATTGTTACGAAACGGAATCAGCGGGAACAGGAAACGAACGGTTTTGTCAAGGGGCAGATTACACCGCAGATCACTGGCGACCGGCCGAGCGTGCCCGCACTTCCCGCGAGACCGCAGACGGTTGCAGAGCCTCCACCGCGGCCGCCAGTGACCATGAAGCCACCCCCACGGCCTCCGAGGCCGGGAACCAATACACCTGCTGCTGCACACTCGGTTTCCGAGCTCCAGCCTCCACCGAAACGTATTGTTTCGACCCCTGCGACACATCCGCCGCCCCCGACGAGGTTGCCGGGGCGCGCGAACACGGTAACGGACCGGACGTCAGAGAGGGTCGCACCTCGACCGCCACCTCCACAGCCGCCTCAGCCCGAGCCAACAATGTCTTTGATTCCTTCTAGTAGTAACTCCAAAGTTGAGATTAATGGCTCCACGCCAAACTTTCCGGACCCAGCAAACGTCAACCGGAGACCGCCGTATATCAAGCAGGGTATGCACGAGATCCAAACCAAGTATGACCCGCGCACATTTGACGTTTGTGGAGACCTCATCTGCACGACTGGCCACCTCACGCGTGTGTGGAGCCTCCGCGACGGCGAGCTGTTGATGAGTTTCGCCCATGGTGAGGGCATCAAGGCAACAACGGTGGCTTTCAAACCGGGTACGAACGTAGACGAAGAAGGTAAGCGATTGTGGATCGGCAACAACTTTGGCGAGCTCATGGAGGCCGATATCGCCACGCAAAGTGTGATTGCGAACAAGCCAGGGGCTCACGGACGACATGAGGTTGTCAAGATCTACCGTCACTTCAACGAGCTGTGGACATTGGACGAAACAGGTGGCCTACTCGTCTGGGGTCCGGATGAAACGAGCACACCGAACCTGACGAACAACCCGCACCAGGCCTTCCGACTGCCCAAGGGCCATTCGTTCTCAATGGTCGTAGGAGACGAGCTGTGGCACGCGACCGGCAAGGAGATTCGCGTGTTCGCTCCAACGTTGGACGGACAATCTCAGTTCCAAGTTCTGGTCCGCGCTCTCATGCAGGACACTGCAGGCGAAATAACTTCGGGGACCCAAGTGCGGTCGCAACCAAGCAAAGTGTTCTTTGGCCACGCCGATGGCAAAGTGTCTATTTACAGCACACATGACTTTTCCTGCCTCGGCCTTGTAAATTTGAGTTCCTGGAAGATCAACACTCTGGCAGGTGTTGGCGATCATTTATGGGCAGGGTTTAACACCGGCAGGGTCGGTGTCTATGACATGCAGTCAACGCCTTGGGCTGTCAAGAAAGACTGGCAAGCTCACGACAAGAACCCGGTCGTCAAGCTCGTCTCAGATGTGTCGAGCTGCTACCGACTAGACCGCCACCAGGTCGTCTCACTCGGTGCCGACAACATGGTCCGTGTCTGGGACGGTCTACTGCAGGATGACTGGCACGAGACGGAGATGAAGGCAATGGACACGCAGTACTGCGAGTTCCAGGACCTCAAGGTCTTGTGTATGACCTGGAACGCGGGCGCTTCAACGCCTCACAGTCTGCGATACGCGCAGGAGGACGCCGAGTTCATCAAGAGTCTGCTTACGGCCAACAGCTCTCCTGACATTCTTGTGTTTGGATTTCAAGAGCTCGTGGACTTGGAAGACAAGACGGCAACAGCTAGTATGTCAAACTCGTATAACATGGTGACCACTGCTAACATAAATAGAACGCTTCCTAAAGGTCAAGAAGAAGGAGGGTTCCGATCAGGAGCGTATGAGCCACCAATACCGTGACTGGAGAGACTTTTTGCTCAAGAGTCTCGACGATTACATGCCGCCGGACTGTCTGTACCATTTACTGCACACGGCCACACTTGTTGGGCTGTTCACGTGCATCTTTGTTAAGTCAACACTTAGAGATCGTATACAGAACCTCAGCGCGGCAGAGGTCAAGCGTGGCATGGGCGGCTTGCATGGAAACAAGGGCGCCATCGTGGTGCGGTTCATGGTGGACGACTCATCCCTCTGCTTCATCAACTGCCATTTGGCGGCAGGTCAGTCACAAGCCAACAGTCGCCACAACGATGTGGCCGCTATCCTCGAGGCCCAAATACTGCCACCAGAGCGGGACCTCAACGCTCGTATTGATAGCTTTGTTGGGGGCGGAGACGGCACCATGATCTTGGATCACGAGCTGTGTCTGCTCAACGGTGATCTCAACTACCGTATCGATACGATGTCTCGCGATACGGTTGTCATTGCTGTCAAGCAAAACAATCTGGCTAAACTTCTTGAGCGGGACCAGCTCCTCGTGGCGAAGCGGCGCAACCCAGCCTTCAAATTGAGAGCATTCGAAGAGATGCCGATTACATTCGCGCCAACCTACAAGTACGATGTTGGTACTGATAACTATGACACGAGCGAGAAAAAGCGCGCGCCGGCATGGTGCGACCGCCTAGTGTATCGCGGGGGTGGCAGGATCAAGCAGATAGACTACAAGCGACACGAAGTGCGAGTATCCGATCATCGGCCGGTCACTGGCCGATTCAAGTTCACAGTGAAGAAGATCCAGCCAAAAGCGCGAGCGATGGCATGGATGGATTGCCAGCAGAGGTTCGAGGACCTCAAACGGCACGAGATCAACGATGACAAGTGAGTAACGTTTGCTGGATGGAGAAAGGCTGTACTGATCACATATAGGATGTTGTACTTGACAAGTGTCATTGGCTATGATGAAGCCACAGCTCGAGTCATTCTCCAGCCCTCAAACGACCGCAGAGACGCATGAATCCAACACACAGAACGCGACCCGAAGTGAATGGCAGGACACGGTGAACCGTGAGTGGATGAAGGTCGAACACTTCTTTTTACGAATGGTGGGGATTTTCACTTTTAACGATGGGGGCCGGAAAAGGAACTTCACGAAAGGTGGATGGCATGAAAAATGAAAAAAAAACTCTTAAGCGTTCCACGACTTTTGGCATTTCACAGCGCAGCTTAGACAGAGAGAGGAGGGGTGTGAGAACAAGAGACGTCATGATTCATTCGCCCACGGCGACGAATGTTAGTGTTTTGGGGGTTGGCATCTGGGGTTGACGATTAGTATCTAGTGTGTGCTAGGCCCCGAGTAGAGGGGTGACAGCATGGACAAGCAGTATTGAAGAGAGTACTACGAAATGCGTTGCTGAGATGGGATAACCGTCCTCTATATGGTGGCCGGGAAGTCTGCTTCAAGGTACTTATTGTGTTGTTGCATTATACTTCTGACCACGCGCCCGCAGCGATGGCCGACATGGCCTAAGGAGAGCCTCACGTCGAGACTGAAGTCGATGTCGCTTGCCTGTACGGCGGGCCGTTGCTGCCGCCACCGGTGGTTGTCAACGTCGTCAAGCAGGCAACAGTTAGACGTCACAGGTGCCGCCGCTGATGAAGCGGCTCGTCGGCGATTTTCGTCCCACTAGACAATAACAACTTGGTGACGTGGCCCAATCGAAGTGTATAATTCCTATTGTCCAAGGTACAAATATTCTATCAATAACTAGATGACCTTGAAGTGGATGCCTGCATTCCTACAATATATGCTGTTGGGCCAGACTATGCTTTCTGTTTGGGTCTTCGGTCCGCGTACGAATGGTTTTTTTATTTTTTATATTCTCTCTGCCTATCTTTTCTTTTCTTTTTTCACTTATCTAAAAATATAGAAAAAAAATGAATTGAAACGACAACTTAAAAGACAAACCCACAGCCTCTTAATTAGATGCTAAGCAGGGCCTTGGCACCAGGCTCACTGCAGACGTAGATGACGTCGTGCTCATTGGAGAAGCCGTTGAACTTGGTAGCAGAACACTTGGTGTAAGCGCCCATGTCCTCAAAGTAGAGCCAGTCACCGACGTCAAGCTCTTGCTCGAAGGAAATGGTCTCGGTGATACGGTCGATGCCGTCGCAGGTGGGACCCCAGACGGAGTAGCGGGTGCCCTCGCCGTCGGGACAAGCGTTGGCCGCGGGGGTGTCGTAGACAGTCGAGGTGCCCGCGCGGAGAACCTTGGCGACGGGGTGCTGGTGGTCGAACATGATGCTCGAAAAGTTGCCGTAGAGGCCGTCGTTGACGTAAACCATGTAGCGCTTCTCGTTGAGGGCGGGGTCGTCAACAGTGCGACGCGCAATGATGTTGCACGCAATTGTGAAGGCCGCGGAGACGTAGTAGCGGCCGGGCTCTGCGATGATGTTTACGTTGCTGCTGGCGGGGAAGTACTCGTCGAGGGCACCACGCAGGACGGCGGCCATATCTTCGAAGGTGTCGCCACAGAAGCCGCCGCCAATGTCGAGCGTCTTCATCTCGAAACCGTAGGCGCGGCCCTGCTCGAAGACTTCGTAGGCATCGTAGACGGCTTTGTAGAAGGCCATTGGGTCTGAGGCGCCGGAGCCAACGTGGAAGCTGACGCCGACGACGTTGAGGCCGAGGTCCTTGGCCACGCCAAGCAGCTCGTTGGTGGCCTCCTTGGCAGCACCGAACTTCATGCTCAGACGGCACAGGCTCGACTCGTCGTCCGTCATGATACGCAGATAGAGCTCGGCTTCGGGGAAGAGCTTGGAGATCTTGCGGAGCTCGTCAGCATTGTCAAACGTCATCTGCTTAACACCCATGGCCTTGACGTAGCGCAGGTACGAGGTGGTCTTGCAGGGCTGGGCGTAGATAATACGCTCGGGGGCGGTGCCCATGTTCAGGACCTGGTCAATCTCCGTCTTGGAGGCGCAGTCAAAGCCGGTGCCGAGGGCAGCGAGGAGCTGCAAGACCTTGGGGTCAGGGTTGCACTTGACGGCTATTATTTGGTCAGCGGCAAGGAGCAAAAATGGTTGAAAGTGGGGGGCTCACCATAGAAGGGCTTGACGCGCGGCAGGTTGAGCTTCCAGCGCATATGCTGGCGGTAGACCTCGCCAAGATCACCGACGAAGAAGGTATCCTCGTCGCCTGGCTCACAAATCTCATGGTCAATGCTCTCGACGCGCTGGCGAAGAGCATCGCCGATCAGCTGCTTGGGGTTGACCACACCATGCTTGGAATGGTGATGGGCGTGATCGACAAAGTGCGATGGTTTCAAGACTGGTTGATAAGTACTAGCATAATTGATGGTAGCTGGTGCAAAGTGCTCAATCGCGGCTGTTGCCATAACCATATCCCAAGCGGTTGACGGGTTGGCGGTTGGAGAGTTGTGGTGTTTGGAGGGTCGGACTGTTTCGACTCTTGCGTGATAGCAAGTTTGTTTCCCTATGATGGGGTTGAAAGTTGAAAACCTAGAACGGCAAGATGGTTCTAGGGTGGTCGAAAGCGGTAGCAGACTGAACCCTCAGTGATCTGACGAGGTCTCCTCGACTCCCCCTCGGCGAGAGGAAGCGACTCTAGGCCCGTCCTATGCGGCAGCTGGTTGGGGGTGGGAGAAGACGGGGGCGTCTGGTGAAGCAAAGCGTCGAAGAGAAAGGACTCGAGCTCTTGCTTAGACTTCAGCAGGCGGAGGGGGGATGGCGTTGACGATGTGCAGAGTCTTTCGTAGGCTGAAATCTTGGTCACTGACGAAGCTCACGGCCAGGAGAGCCGTGTTGAGCTGTTGTGCCTTTGAATTGACCAAAGGCTAAGTCTGGCGGTGGGAGAGACTGATCTTATGGATCTGGACTGGTCAGCGAAGGTTCTATGAGGGTTTTCTTGGTTGTGTTGTCGGCGAGAGTTGTGAGAGTGATTTTTTGTTGCTCGCTCGGTAATGACGATGCCCATGTGACAGACAAGGTCAAGGCGGGCTTGCGCGACGGTAGAGTTGGGCGACAGCGGCGGGGTGGGTGCTTGATCGGTAATAGTGAGCGAGACGGGACCTACCAGAAAATAGTCCGGGTAGCAGGATAACAGTTGCGGTTGCGAAATGCTTGAGTTGCTGCGTGTTGCGGGTTGACGATGAACCTTTGAGTAGGTAGTGTCGAAGGGCTGGACTGAGCGTGTGGCGGGGGGAGTCTGTCAGAGGCTTTTTATTGCGACTGACGCGAGGGTTCAGGTTTCGTCTGACTTCGGTGCAAGTCCTTTTGGGTCCCTTGTCAGTGGAGTGGGATCGAGGCTGGCCACCCCCTCGGCGCACGCACACACACACACGCGCTCAGTATTGTAAACAGTCAGCGTAGGTATCCACAATTATTTCAAAATTTTCCCCCTCGGCGGCCCAACGAGCAACAGTAGCTAGCTCTTGCCTTGCAAACCTCCCAGCACTGAAGCTTCCCGGCCAAGGTTCAGCCCGTCTCCATCCAAAATGATGCTCGCCTGCTGCGTCTCGGCCAAGCCCCAGGCGTACCCAGTTTCAATATCCGTTTTATTCAGACGAAGAACAGATTCAGGTTGGCAAGCCCAACCATGAACGGGGATCCAGACTCAGGCTCTTCAGGTTCCCGATTGTAAACGCGGTCCGTCCGGATCCAGAACTTTTGGGTACCTCGTCCAAGTTTGACTACCTCAGCCGTTTGCCCATTCTTCAGCACGAGGTCATGTATGCAGTACATCCGATCGCCCCTGCAGCTGGAACACGAGAACTGCATAACAACCTAAACTACCAGGTACCTACCTACCTACCCACCTAGGTAGGTAGGTAGGTAGACAGACTAGGTACCTGCTTAGGTACAGTAGGTGCCACAGTGACAGTGGATGTTTCCACTCGCTAAACAAAGAAAGCAAGGTTACATAGGTACCTGCCTAGGTAGGTAGAGATCTTGTATTTGTACGTGTACAGCTGGCCATCGCCCTGCCATCGGGATCGCCATCCACCGGTTGGACGTGGAGGGCCTCAACTTGGAGGGTCGGCCGTGGTTGCCATTCATCGACCATGTGGTTTTAGCAATAATGCGGTGTACATCGTACAGGTACATTACCGCTGCACCGTTGAAAATGAACATGGACCACGCCCTTAATCACGATGTGCCATAATCTGTCAGCAAATGACTCTTGTACCCTCGCTACAGCACACCAGCCACATCTCCCTCGATCATCGATCGCACTTATACACTGGCCCTTTGCAGACCGCAACTTCGCCTCCTGCCTACAAGTCGACCTGGTGCTGTTTTCTCGTTGTCATTCCCCGTGCCCTTGTCCCGGGACCCGCTAGCTTTCGTTCCTACCCACTGTCAATATCGCGGCTGGTCTACCTAGTGTCTCTTGTGAGCCATAACTGGCGTCTTTGTGGGTGACGAACCGTAGACACCTGGGCTGCCCAACCCTAATTCGCCGTTACAAACGCCGACCCTCCCTACCATCACGCCGTGGTTCAATATAGCAGCCGGAAGGGCTATCCGTAATGGCAAAACAAAACAAAATAAAAATAAAAATAGAAATGTTCTCCAGACCGCTGTCGCCCTTGTCTCTCGCTTGCTGGCCAGCATCCCGATAAATTCCCTCACGCATGTCCACTCGGATAGCTACCATAATTAGCCTGATTCCATGCGCTCCAAGCACCCGACTCAAATGGGAAACTCTTGCTCCGCCAACTTCTGTCACAAATCGCCAGCACGGCAGGACATCGCCTGGACTAGCGACCGCTGGCATAAGAAACAAGCCGGCACATGGCCTAGAATCATGTATCATCTCGCCAATACTTTGCCGCGCGTATTTGCGGCATCGCTCTGACTGTCTTTTCCAAGCACTGGACCGTGGGCTGCCTCCCGTCTCGGGCCTCCTTGACTCATCCTTCGTGAGCCGCGTGCCGAAGTGCCGACTTCGACTTCCATGTAAACCTTCAGTAAGCCCGCTTTGATCAGGAGCCTACTGGCAACTGCGTACAGCACACGTTTGAGGCGCCGTGACGTATGCGGGGCTGACTCGGTTTTTTCGTATGCAATTGTCCGATGTGTCACTCGACGGGCCTCTGACCTTCTTTCATTGGACAAAGCTTATCAACTGGGCATGTACTCTGCGCTTTAGTCCGACGATCCAATGCTGAGGATGTCGGTTCTGATAGAACGAGCTGGCCGGTTATTCGTACAAGTACAGAATCCCCTGGCTCCCTGTCTTGATCTTGCGTTGTCTAGTGGTCTCCAAGCCATTGGACGTGGCAGGAAGACGTATCGTATCTGAACGCGTATACATCCAAAGGCTCAAACAAAGGACCTCGGATCATCGTGAGGTGGGTATAATTACAGATATATACTGTACAGATATGGTACATGGACCGGAGAAACTTCGAGCGGCCCTGCTGACTACTCGGCACCTTTGATGTCCAGCTCGTGGATCTTCCAGGTGTCATCCACCCACGGGCGCTTCTCGCCCAAGAAGGCCACGCGCTCCTGCTCCTTCTCCAAGGCGTCAACGATGTACCTATGCGCGACATCGCGCACCTGGTCCTTGGACACGTCAAGAAGCTGCTCGCGGCGCTTCTGCTTCATCTCCTCGGTGATGCCGGACACAAACCGACCCATGCCTTCAGCGTTCACCGACTGCGGCGCGTCGACGCCCTGGAACACCGAGATCTTGGCCTCCTCAAGGTCACGGTCAGTCCAGGCCTTGTCCCTGGCCCACTGGCCGGCGTTGCGCATAATAGAGAGTGTATTCTGAGGATTGGGGTCGCGGTAAGAGTAGAAGCCAAACAGGCCGTCGAGGCCCCGCGAGTAGGCTCCGCCACCATAGGCGCCGCCCTTCTCGCGGATCTCATGGTGCAGATGCTTGTGAGTGAGAAGCTGCGCTAGAATCTGGAGCGGAGCTCCATCTGCAGACGTGTATGAAACGGTGGGAACGGCCAGCGAACCGTAATAGACCTGATACGGCAACGGGAAAAATGACTTGATATTCCTCTGTAGCACTGCAGGCTTGGATGCCGGCAACGACGGCTTGTCCTTGGGAAGCGTCGACATGAAGCTGGCCAGGGCGCTGAGGTTGGCGCCCGTGCTCTCGGCTCCGCAGGTGAGTGCTGTGCGGAAATTGCCACCAGAGAGCGCTATTTTCTGGATCTGCTTAAGCTTTTCAATGACATCCACCAGTCCATCCGTTTCGGGACGGTTGGCGAGCGATGTGACGAGCTTAACCTGCGAGAGGCCGCCGATCTGTTGTCTAAACCAGGCGTTCTGGGTGAGGCCGGCCTCGGCGAAACCGCGGGCGTACTGGTGGCCAGATGAGGCAATATCATTGACCACGCCGTCGGCAGACGCCTGAAGGAGCTGCCTGATGCGGAGGGCGGCCTCCGGGCTGTCAAAGTCGGTGTCCTGCACAAGCTTGCGGAGAATGTCGAACATGACCGGAACGTGTCTGTCCAGAGCCATGCCCGTGAAAATGAGGCCCTCGTTCGCTTTGTGGAAGTCAGTAGGAGAAGGTGTCGAGTGGTATCCCACAGACACGCCTCCCGTTTTGAGTTTGATCAGGTCCTCGAGTTGCTCCATAGACATATCCCTGGTGCCGAGACGCATGATGCTGTCAGAGAAGAGAGGAATCAGCTCTCTGAGTTCGTCAGGGAGGTTGTCCAGGGTGTTGATGGCTCTGAAGTAGGTCAGGCCGTTCGTTGGGGCCTCGCGCCACTGGATTTGCACACCGTTGGAGGTCTCGTCGCGAACAACGACCGGCTCCTTGCTTCGAGGAATATCCTTGACATGAACGGTGGGCAGGCAGCTCAAATCTTCCGTGTTCGACTTGCCTTGCTCAATTAGGAGGTCCAGCTCGCGCTGCTCAAACTTTTTACGTGCCGCCTCGTCGCTACCGGCTTCCTGGGACGCCTGCCGGATCTTGGAGGCCAGTCTTTCCTTCTCCTCACGGGCGAGATCCTCGCTAAAGGTAGTCGACGGCGACATTGTAAAGGAAAGAGTATAGTCGTTCAACAGGTACTTGTCGATGAGGCTTTCCAGATAGCCGCCCTTGGAGAGCTGTGTCTCAAATGCCGAGATGGTGTCATTCCACGCCAACGAGTCAAAAGGGTCGACGCCTGTGAACCACTTGGGCTTGAGCCTGTGCAGCATGTTCATGCCAAAGTTGGCCGTCTTGTGCTTCAGCGCCAGCTCCAACTGGTGGAGAGAACCATCGATCTTCGTCCTGTCGAAACCTTTCTGGCGTACCTCCTGAAGGATGCGCTGAATCTCGGCCTTGAGCTTGCTCACATCGGCCTTCTGGACGCCTGTCAGCCCAATGGAGAAGATGCCTAACTTCGCGGAGCTGTCGTAACCCGCATTGGGACTGAAGTCTGTTCCGAGGCCAGCTTCTATCAGACCGCGGTACAACGGCGATCCGTAACCGTCCATTAAAAGAGTGGACAGAAGCGCCAAGGAAAAGGACTCGACGACGTCTGAGGTGTCGCCCATGATCCACGAGACCGACGTTTTGTATTGCCTGTCGGGGTCTACCAAGGGGTCCAGAGGACCCTGAACGGTGACTTCCTTGGGACCAGAAGTCAGGTCGATGGGCTTGTGAATCGTTTTATCCTCCTGTATCCTTTCAAAGGCATTAAGCTGGGCGTTGACCTCCTGGAGGTGGTCTAATAGGGGCATATCGCCGTATGTGAAAAGCTTGGCGTTGCTCGGGTGATAGTGCTCGGCGTGGAACTTACGCAGCTGCTCGTAGGTCAGGTCGGTAATCTTTTGAGGGTCACCGCCTGAGTTGTTGATATCGGGGAAGATGTGGTCCTGAAAACGAATGTAGAACAGGTACCCGGCATCGGACATCTGACCCTTCATCTCGTTGTAAACGACTCCTTTGAAGACGAGATCGCTCTCCTCGCCGTTGGCGGCTTGAGGATTCTCCGGTCCAATACGCCATCCTTCCTGTGTATAGTCCGATTCCTTGAGGAGAGGATGCAGCGTCGCATCCATGTAGACCGACATGAGATTCTTGAAGTCCTGAGAATTCGTCGTCGCAAAGGGGTAAAACGTGTGGTCGGACGCGGTGAAGGCGTTCATGAAGTTGGACAGCGTCCGCGGCAACATTTTGAAGAAGGGGTCACGGATGGGAAACCTGAGATGTCAATACAAGAGGAGGGTCTCAAGGCTGCAAACCACATACCTCTGGCTGCCGCACAGGGTGGTGTGCTCCAGGATATGGGGCACACCAGTATCATCCGGCGGGTTCGTCTTAAAGCCAATGGAAAAAACATTGTTGCTGTCTTCGCGCGCAATGTGCAGGTAGTCAGCGCCGGTCTTGTCATGCTGAAGGTGCAGAGCCGTCAGCTCTAGTTCCGGAACGTGCTTCGTCCGCAGCAACGTGAAGCCGTGGAGCTTGTCGCCAGGCTTGGGGTACTGAGAGAGCTCAGTGACAGCCTTCTTGGCCGTGTTAACGGCGTGCCGCAGCATATTGACGGGTGTGAAGCTGTATCAAGTTGGCCTCATGGTCCGAAAGAAAGGTGCAATCCGAAGAATGATTATGGGAAGGGCCGACAAGTGTAAGGTCCTAGACGAAAGTCGGTAGCTAGCCACTGTGGATCGCAGCAGGCAAGTGAATTCGATAGGTAGGTTGCTTGGAAATTTTTTAGCCGTGGCCAGCACTGCTCGGGACGCTACTCCACTGGTGGCCGCTATTCGTCATCAGAGTGGGTGTGGGGACCGTATTCATCAAAACGCTCTGAGGCACTACCGAGTCGGCCGGCCTGCGTAACGCATTAACGGGCAGCTAACAAGGTGTAATCTGCAACTGCGACGCTGCTCAGTAGACCGGGACGTTCCATGTTCGCTAGGCAAGTACCTCGTCGCACTTCTCCATGGGCACTCTGTTCTCCTCCCTTCCACGCTGAACAGGAATCGCGAAACCAAATAGGCAGTGAAATCGCAGGGCAATTTTTTTCTGACCCCCCCAGTATCGGCAACCCGTACATATCGATAAATATAACCCTTACGCAATAATCGGGGCGACTCCAGTCAAGAGTTACTGGCTTTGCCGGTCGAGACCCAGAGAGGTACTCGAACATCCGTTTGGGTACGAGGCCCTGCAGCACATCCTCCACTTATTTTCTCGAGTACAGTGGCATTTCTAATGCGCACGCCTAAACACCAGACTACGCTACCTCACGCTAGCTCGTCGTTCCGTCCAACGTCAAAATTCTACCCAGGGTGTCAATGAAGGGGAGGAAGACGATTGCCAACACGCCGCCGACTGCTGCTACGAATACCGCCAGACCGCCGCGGGGAACCGCTCATTTTTGCGACATCGACTCCCTCCATCGATCGAACACAAATGCGAAAAGGCCTTGGTGACGATAAGGCCGCAAGAAATACACACCACTACCCCTCCTCCCGTCTCCGAGTAGATGCCCATCAGCCAGGCCGACGCCGCGATGTCGAACGGCCAGGATGGTCACGCCCACCCGCCGGCGGCGTCCCTGAAGAAGGGCAAGCAGAAGAAGGCTGTTGACTCGAACGAGTCGGCGAAGCTGCTCGCGCAGCGTATCACGCAGCTGGAACAGGAGTCGGCCGGAGAGAAGGACCAGGAAGCTGAGATTGGTGCGTACCGCCTCCCATCGTGCCGTTTCCCTTCCCGGGCGGGCCGAATCAAGTATGTCGCGTGAGCGTCGGTTTCAAGACATATGTATGGAGTGAGGGGTCGTTTGTCAGCCCCGTTGCAAAACCCATACTCGCAATCTTTAAGCAGCCCAATCATGAACTGGCACTGACCACATGCAGAACGTGAGGTCAAGCGTGCGAACCGGGATCTGGCCCAGCAGGTCGCTAAAATGAGCGATCTACAAAAGATCGAACACCTAACCCGACGTTCCAGCGAGCTGCTGGCCGACATGCGTCGTGTTGAGCGAGAGAATCAGAAAAACAAGAAGCGTGGTGACGCCCTGCAGAAGGAGAAGGACGCGAATCGCACTGAGCTTAGCAAGACGGTCGGCTTGAAGGAGAAGCTCGAGAAGCTCTGCCGGGAGTTACAGCGGGACAACAACAAGTACAAGGTTCGTACACCCCTCATATGTCATAAAGGACCATGCTGACCTTGCCAGAACGAAAACAAGACCCTGCAAGACAATCTCAAGCACAACAACTCGGCCTACGACGAGAAGCACGCGGCTCTTCTGGCGAAGCTTGAGGGAATTCAAGAAGAGAAGGACCATCCGCGGAAACAGGTGGTTGACATGAGCGTCGATACCCTGTGCGCCCCCATCGTCCGAGTCGTGCCAACATGGTGACTGACTGTTGTAGATTCCGCAACCGTTTCAAATCCTTCATCGAGCAGTACGAGTTGCGAGAATTGCACTTCCACTCCCTGATGCGCACCAAGGAGCTGGAAGTGCAATACAACATGGCGCGCTATGAACGCGAGAAGAAACTGGCCGAGGCCGAAGCGACCAGAGCTCGGAATCTCCAAAATCAGGTGCAGACTTTCACAAAGACTGAGACTGAGCTTAGGAATCAACTCAATGTCTACGTTGATAAGTTCAAGCAGGTAGGACCGCCGGGTATTGAGGGAGACGTTAGGCTGAGCTTCGCTGACAGTTCAAGGTTGAGGACACGCTCAATAACAGTAATGATCTCTTTCTGACGTTTCGGAAGGAAATGGAGGATATGTCCAAGAAGACGAAGCGTTTGGAGAAGGAGAACGAAACGATGAAGCGTAAGCATGAAGCCACGAATGCAAACATCATTCGAATGGCCGAGGAGCGTGAGGACTGGCGTAAAAAGGCCGCAGAGGCGACAAAGCGGGCCGAGAAACTGCGTAGCATTATCGAGCAGATGCAGCAGCAGGGTCGCAAGGTCCCGCCTGGAATGGCGGCGACCCTGGAGAGTTGCTACTCGGACAGCAACGGTCACATGGACGGCGACGGCAGCGACTACTCGGATGACGACGAGGTCGAGGACGACCCAAGCGAGTTCGACGAGGACACTGAGGAGGAGCCTCAACCCGCAGACGCAGAGCCGCCCCGGCCGTACGGTCCTGAGCGGCCGCCGGCACCCCAAGCTACAACGAATGGCCACTAGGAATCCGGACGGAGGAAGTCAGGGGTCAGCATCACGGGCGTTTCTTCGTCCACGAGTGAAAAGGCCTCTGTGCCGCAGGGCCAGCCGAAGCCACAAATGACCCTTCGACAGAGATCCGCGCGTGTTCTTTCACGCGTTTCGCACTTCTGCCGAAGCAAGTTGAGTGTGCTTGTGTCAACATTCACTTAGGGAATTTTTGTGCGACTGCACGCATTCTTTGGTTTACCTCCTGGTCGATGTGGCTCTGGGTACAGTCCAGGGTCTGGAATGAGGTGGTGGCCAACAGTACTGGCTAAGAAAGCGACTCGACTCAAACGAGGGAGGGATGCCACGCCACGGCCCTCAGCGTCTCCTGTCTGGTTAGCAGTGTTTCAGTCTGTAGCAGTGGTTCTGAATATAAGCCATGTATGTCTGTCCATTTCTGGCTGTGCTTGATTATAGATGTGTTTTTGAACGTTTTCAAAACTTAGTCAAGGTACAGACGGACATTCCAGCCCATCTCGGCAGGGCGACAGAGTGACGTCGGCCTCCAGGGGTCGCAACCGTGCTGAGCCACGCAAATGGACAGCAGAAGGTTTGCAATTTCCCCGGATCCACAACGCCAATTCCACCCAAGTGTTCACCAGCCACTCCAAACAGTGCCGATAAGCAGACCCAGTGCACGCACGTGCCATATCATCAATAACCCAGAGGCCACTCGCCCCAGTACCCTACCCGCAGCCTGCAGCGAACCCAAGTGAGAGCGCCGCTGCAGCCAGTGGAATACTGAGCCCAACTTTTGACAGCTGGGGTGCGGCTGGCTGCCTTCCGTTTCCAGCGCACTTGAAACCATCTGCTACTCACCCAAACCACATCCCATGGCTCCTTTCAACTCCCAACCATCTGCTTGATCCATCTGATTCTTGCAACCGATACCACCTACGAGGCCTCGACAATACACGGCCTGGTCGGGGCCGCCCGATTGTAATCTTGGTTGATCTTCTATGCCCGCGACGTCCGTCTACATCACCCTGCAGCCATCACCATGGCATTTCTCGAGGACCCGCGTCTGCGCCAGCGCTGGAACCAAATCTCCCACAACGCCGGGGAAGTTACAGAGAATGCGGCCGCTGGTATCTGGAGCTTTCAGCATCACTATATCAACCCGTGTCTGGCCTCCATCGCCAGCTCTTTGGAGCAATGCGCTAATCCCTGCCTGGGTGACCACGAAGAACGAGCAAGGAAACGACGAGAACGAGACCGCGCAGGTGGCCGGGCCGAATACAGTTTCGACTTTTACGACGACTGGTACGCAGAGGATCAGGACGGCGGTTTTCTGGGGGGCTGGGGGAACGACGACTGGGATCGTCTGCTCGCGGGCACTGGATCACAACGAAAGCATGTGGGCGAGGTACACGACCAGCCCAAGAGAAAACGAGGAATGAGCTACGGCACCCGGGGTAGAGGGAGCAAAGTGTTGGAGTCCGACCCGACCGTCATCCCCAGCACGCAACCCATCGGGTTTCTAGGCAAGCTGCCGTGGAAGCTGGGCAAGACACTCCGCTACAAGCCCAGCGCGGCGGATCTGCAAGACCACCCGCGGCAACACGGCGAGATGGGAATAGGCGAGACGGAGCCTCTTCTTGGGGTTGATTCTGATGACGACGTGTTCCACAGCCAGACCGCCAAGACTAGAAATCGAAGTGGGACGACGGGGTCCGGCGTATCGTCGGACTCTTATCGATCGCGGGGTGATCTGTTCCCAAGTGATGGGGAGGGCGAGGAAGACGCAGTGCCGCTGGATGACGAGTTTATGGTCCTGGACAAGGTTCGGGATGACCGCAGCAGCAGCCGGACGAAAGCTAGCAAGGGCAAGCGGCGCGCAGACAGTCGGCCAATGTCAAGGACGGTGTCACGAGCCACCATCGATTCAACCCATTCGATGCTTAGTCCAGGGGCGCCGAGAGGTTCGATAAGCATACCAACAATGCCCGACACTCCGATGGCACTGTCAATGGAAGCTTCGATGGAGGAGCTACAGATGGAGGAGGAGCGCATCCGGAGAGAGGAAGACGAAGAGGTAGAACGCAAGCGACAGGCCGCATTGCAGCTTGCATCCGAACGGGGGCTTCACGATGGCTCTGAGGGCGGCACAGCCGAGGAGTCGCAACTCAAGGTCGCCCTGCAAGTGACGACGACGAAGTCTATAGAAGAAATGACGCGTATATCCGAAACAGAGGGTATACAGGGCGAAGCGCCGGTGATCCGGTCAACGCAGGAATCGACTATACCGACCGCGGAGTTTGTACCCGCGCGGTTACCAAGTTTTCGGTAGCTCAGTAGAGCACGGTCTTAAGGATGCAGTCCTTGTTCCAGTATTGTATAATAGTCGGCAAACCCGACGAACTCATATCATTATGATACCAACGCGAGCATGAGGGGCAACGATTCAATAGAGCAGCGCAGCATCAAGGCGTGCAATTTGACTTCGCCTCTATATTGTTTTCTGTATCTCATGCAACGTTTCGAGTGCCATGTGTTGCTCAAGACAGTCGCACCGCCATGCTTTCCATCAGGATTGCGCTGTGGCGGCCGGTTTCAACCGCCCGGAGCCGGGGCCTGGGTGGGCGAGCTGCTGTCCCAAGAAGGCAATTGCCTCGGTGTGTTTCCCCGCAGCACAACTCCCTAACCCCACACTCTCCCCGGATTGCCTAGGTAAACTAGTTACGACACGCTTTCCACCGTCATGGCGTGTGGAATATTAATAGTTGGATGGGGATCGCATTTATTCTCTTAACGTTTGTTCGATTCTCTTATCCCTGCGCCACAACAGTTCAACACTTTGTGTATTGCCGCCCCCTTACATTTGTGGATTCAGCCTCACCGTGGTGATCAGACACATTTTACACACAACAAGACCACAATGGCTCCCACCGGCCCCATCACTACACCGATAACCCAGCTGTTGGGCATCCAGCACCCAATCCTCCTCGCCGGGATGGCACGCACGTCCGGTGGGCCTCTCGCGGCAGCAGTCTCCAATGCCGGCGGCCTCGGCGTTATAGGCGGTTTCATGTACACGCCCGACCAGCTGCGCGAGATCATTGCTGAGATGAAGAAGAACTTCAAGTCCCCGGACCTGCCATTCGGTGTTGACCTCGCCCTGCCACAAGTTGGAGGCAACGCTCGCAAGACGAATCACGACTACACGGGCGGCAAGCTCGACGAGCTCATCAACATCACCATCGAGTCTGGCGCCCGACTGTTCGTCAGTGCGGTTGGCGTGCCGCCCAAGAGCGTCATTGACAGGCTGCACGCAGCAGGAATCTACGTCATGAACATGGTTGGTCACCCGAAACACGCCGTCAAGGCGCTTGATCTCGGCGTCGACATTGTTTGCGCCCAGGGCGGCGAGGGTGGCGGCCACACGGGCGACGTGGCGAACTCGGTTCTCATCCCGGCCGTTGTCGACGTCGCGCGGCGGTACCGGCCCGAGATGCTCAAGGGAGGGCCCGCGCTCGTCATTGCTGCTGGCGGGATCTACAACGGCCGCTCGCTGGCGAGCTCGCTGATGCAAGGCGCCGTTGGCGTGTGGGTCGGCACACGCTTCGTAGCGTCCGTCGAGGCTGGGTGCAGCGAGGAACACAAGCAAGAGGTTGTGTCATGCGGGTTTGATGGTACAGAGCGCACGCTTGTATTGTCTGGACGGCCGTTGCGGATGAAAACAAATGACTATATCCGCAAGTGGCATTCGCAGCCAGCCAAGATCAAGCAGCTTTGCGACGAGGGGGTGGTCCCGATCGAACTAGATCTTGAGCGAGGCAACGACATTGACCCGCCGCATCTGATGGGTCAAGTTGCGGGTGCGATAGACAAGATCCAACCTGCTGGTGAGATTGTGGACGAGATGGTCAAGGAGGCAGTCGATCAACTGAAGCTCGGACAGGTGTATTTGGGTCAGCGGAGCAAGCTATAAGGAAGGTTTGTAAACATGATGTACTGTATGATGTGCTCGAGTAACGGGGTAAGTGTGACTATATGCAAATGGGTATTGTCGCTCCAGATGTGCGCCGCATTAGTTCGTGTCTGCTGCTTAGACGAACTCCCCCACGCGGACGTCAGTGCCTCCCCACCCCTGAGCCAAGCCTCTGACCTCGATCCCTATCCTTTCGGACTCCTGTTTGGAATAGCCCAGATTCTGCTGCAGATCCTCTGGTGTCTGTAGCTCCCGGATGCTGGGGAGGGGGGTTGGGCACGATGTCTTAGCTCCGAGAACTAATGTCAAGGAATCTAGGCCGGCGCGATATCGGCACTTCAGATACGATCCTGGGTTCCGGAACGGCTCCTCGCAGACGACGATGACATGCCGGGCCCCACGCACGGGGAACCCGCCGCCGCCCTTCCCCTCGATGATGGCGATGCTGTCCCTCCGAAAATCTATGTATATGCGCCGGTCTCCCCACGTGTTGAGCCTAACCAGAGTATACCGCCGCAGCGCTTCGCATCTGGCTTCGTGGTTCACCGATAATAAGGCCGGATTGGGCGCGTGAGTGGCGAGCAGCGTCCGCGGCGGCAAAGCGTGATTCCAGATCTTGAGACGGAGTTCGGCGGGCAGCCTCGAGAAGGGTGCGAAGGAGTGCTCGGGGCCGCGTACCTGTAGGCGGAGCGAGTCGAGGTTCTTGGAGAGGTGTGCTGTCGTGCGCCGGGTCTCAGTTGTGAGGACGTCAGTCACGGTCTGCGCGAAGTGGGCGAGGAAGACGAAGGGGAGCAGTGGGAGGGGCATCCTAGCGGTTGGGAAGCCTGTTGCCTCCCGTTTTGACTTGTGGGAGAGAGACATGGTGGGATAGAAAAGTGACTGGTTGGGGTTTTGTATGGTGTTGCAATAGGGGGTCACAATTATTCCTGCCTCCCCTTTTCCCCCTACTGATGAGCCCTAGTATTGACGAAGGACCCAATGCCCTTTAAGAGGTCTGTAACACTCAAATACCCGAGTGTAATAGGGGCGAGAATTTGAGCCTAAAATTGAAAAAGAAAAAAAAAAAGGGCGGAAAGATCTTGGCTTTGTCGGTATCGTGCTAGGTAACTAGGCCAAGCCCGAAGATTCGGTGCAGCCGGTGTGACGCCGGTCGAGACGCCACAGCGGACAACGGTGATATTCTGTTGTTGGACCAAGTATTAGCAGCTCGGGGTCTTCGTCAAAGAGTAAGAGCGATTGTCCGTGATTGGGAAGGTGGTCTTTGTTAGTACGGGGCTGGTGTTTGTGGGTTTCTTTGTTCAGTGGTGGCGAGGTGTCGGTTGTCGGGGTCATGAATTTAAAGCATGAAAGCTATGGAGGCTTAGAGAATTCAAGCTGGCAGTTATATTTGACTGCTTCTCTCCTTAGTTTGTGTGTGTTATAAGGGGAATAGAACTTGTCGACGTTTGATTAGAACCCACCACGAGACTTTTATTCTGCATGTCCCAACCACCTGGCTTCGGTCAGCTGCAGCATCGAAGCGGTGATGTCTTAGACACTCTGACGTTTCTGCCAGAGATTATTATACCTCAGTGTTGTCAAACAATCGCTACGAGCAGGCACTAGTCACCTCCCGAAAATCTCCTGCGGGAGGGAGCGCCCTCTCCGTGATGACCTTTCTGATGCAACTCACATGCCAGCCACAGACAACGGCGGCAACCCCACTCTATTCAAAACAAGCAAGGTCATGATTGGGGCAAAAGTCTTGTTTGAGGTATAATATCTGGAGCTTCAGCGCCTTGCCATAAAGTTATCGAATCATCATCTTGACTTTCGCGGATGAGAGTGACTATTTCTCTTACGTCAGCCTTAACGGCCGACCTTGAGACAAGACTCGCATCATCACATTCCAGAATAATGGCACAGGGTAGAAGCCACCTTATGTAATATAGGCAGTTGAGACCGATGACAAAACACCAACCATATCGACAGGGTACATGAGACAGTGAAGAGTCGAGCAGGAAGAAAAGACGAAAAAGATCAGCCCGACTGCGGATGTTAGGACCTCATTTGGGTATCTACTATTGAAGCAACCTGTCCTCCCGAGAACCCAGAATTTGAAAGCACGAGGAAAATTGTTAAGACCTATGCACCAGGCGTATAACCTTCAGCACGAACACCATCAACTTTGTCAAGTAATTTTGTTTGCAGCGGTGGTCCTGGAGTTCATTGAGCCTCGGCTCGAGAGAAAAAGAGGGAACATGGCATACAGCTTTCTCAAATACCCAGTTTAGAAGTCTTTATCAAACATTCCCTACTCAAGCGCCCGCCTAGCCCTACGAACATCTGGGACGAACCACCTCGATCTGTGCTTTATGACCACGCTGGAGGAAAGTACATCCCACGAAGCTTCCGTCGTCACTTCTAGAAGGAGCAATCGGAGCACCTTCCTTTTTGTTTCTGATGGGTTTGGCTGTTTTCTCGGATCCACTTCTGCTTTACCTTGTCTTTTCTGAACTTTGATCTTCCTTCTTCAATCCTCCTACCCAACCATCCAACCACTCAACCCACGTGGTGGCTTTATACCCCAGATTTCAACCTGGCCAAATTCTTTGGTATCGTCGACCATCAAGACAAATCTCGTACAGGGGATTCACATCGCCAGTTTTCCAGCGTCGGTTCTCGCCCCAGCTATCTGCGTTCTTCTCGGCCTAAAACATATACATTGGCTGTCAGCATGTCCACCAGCGAGCACTCTATGAAGTCCGCCGGCCAAACGGGCGCCCTCAAGAAGCCTAACAACCTCACCGAAGGCAAGAAGCCGGCCCCTCATGAGGCAATTCGCTGCAACGTCTGTGGTGACATGTTCGCCAGCTTTGACAAACTGATGGCACACAAGCGAATGGCTATGAAAGCCGAGTATACCCACATTCACTGTCCTATCTGCACGCTGGATTTCAAAACAAGCGATGCCAAGGACAAACACATTCTCCAGGTGAGCTATCATACTTGTAGATTACCCCGGGCCGGCGGCTGTACCCTTGGGCAAAACTGACTGTAGCAGGAGCACCCGCAAGAGCAGAACTTAGTCTGCCCAGGCTGCAAGAAGACTTTCGTCCGGCTTGCTGCTTGGATGAGTCATCTAGAGCACGATGAGTGCAATTCGATCAGACGACAGGACGTCGACAGAAACCGCGCCCAGAAACTTACATTCGCCCATGAGCTTGAGAAACGTAGCGGCTCCCAATTTGGTGACTACTTCCCCACGTCACACCCAAGTGTTGAGTCTGCCTTTGACAAGCCGTATATGGCCCACCCGTCCTACTTCAAGCCAGATGACTTTCCGGATTTGAAGGAAGAAGAGGGTCCAAATGTTGTAGTCAAACGGAATACCGGCCTCATAGCCAATAAGACAGCGACGTCGGATGACATCAATAACCCATCTCACCCAAAATTTGACCCTCGGAAGTACTGCAACGCTTTCACCGGCAAGTTCAAGTGCCCACAGTCATCTTGCAGGTCAGTGCCTATTTATACCATTGTGAAGATAGTGTTGACAAAAGAATAGGAAGATTTTCGACACAAGCGGTGCTCTCATCATCCATATGAAGGCAGCCACCTCCCACTACAACGCAAAGCTGCAGTGCCCTGGATGCCTCCGCTACTTCAGAGACGCGTCCTCTTTGACGGCGCACTCCGAGTCGGAGACTGATCGTTGCTCCATTCGACATTCCGAGAACTACCGCAACTACCTTGACCAGCTGACTGGAGGCATGGCGGATGTAAATGACAAACATCGGGACGGTACAGTCAAGTACGAGGTTAGCACGGAGGCTATCATCAAGTTCGGCACCCAGCAGGCTAAGAAGGCCACGGAGGACTATATTGAGAAAACGCAGGCTGATCAACAGGAATATTGGGCTCGTAATAACCCTGTTTGGTGAGAACGTGTATTAGGGAGTGACCATGGACGTCGGAGGTCGCCTTCGGCATACAGAGAAGACATGAAGCTAGCTTGACTAAAGCGATATCAACTCAAGGCTACAGGGAATTATTCAAACCGTTGCCGGCAAAGGGACTCCTCAGCATACTTCCAAGACGACCGGGTTCAATGTGGTGCGACTAGGACGCTGACCGAATTGGTAGTAAACTTAATTCTTTAGAGTCATGGCTATGGCGTGGTCGATATGCAGAAATGGCTCGCTGCACGACCTTCTTAGATCGCCCGAGGTCTCGTTCTCCAAAGGCGATTGCGCACAATGCGTGCTGCCATTCTCTTGAACAGAAAATTACCGCAACGATTTCTTACTGTCAGAATTCGCGGAAAGGTGAACAGCAACTATTTGGAAGTCCAAGACCTAGTGCGAGACTGTTCCCTGGATGTGGAGCGCAGCCTCATGACCGTTTATAGATAACAATTAGCCTGAATATGCAAGAGCTGTCACGGAGGCAGATCGAACGAATTCTCCGCCGTGAAGCTCATTCATCAATGTGTAAGCCTGATCACTTCTAGTGTCACACAGCGTGTCCGTCATCTCTTGTGTGGAATGCCTCCTTGGCCTCACCCTCTTTTCTATGAAGCAAAGGGGCTAGCTCTACCATATTCCATCCTCTAAGTCTTCGTGCACGTCAGTCAGAGTCTTCGTCACTGTAGTCGTCACCCTCGCTGCCATCGTCATCGTCGTCCTCCTCCTCATCCTCGTCGTCTTCAAGCTCCTCCTCGTCCTCGTCGTCGCCCTTCAGACCATAATCATCGTGGAAGTAAGCAAGCTGCTGCACATCCGTCTTGTAGCCCATTTCCTTGAACGCCTTTTCAATGTTCTGTACGACCATTAGCTAATCACCTTGTCAAGAGGTACGTGCGGATTCACCTCTTGCAAAATCGGAGCGCACGTCACGACAACGTTGTTCTTGCCCGGCTCAAATAGCGGCATGATGAGCTCCTTTAGAACCGTCTTGATCTGGTCATTGGTCACATCACGAACGTCTCGCATGATCTTCTTATGCCAGTCGAGCGGTAGACTGCGAACGACACCGAGCATGAAGTTCTGCGCCGCCGCTGACGCCATTGTCGATTGCTCATCGGCGAACTGGACAACGACCTGGCTGATGGCCCCCTCCTTTAGGTGGCGGTCAATCTCGACCTCGCCCTCAGCAATTTTGCGAATCGTCTCACGCGACGCCGCAAAGGCCTTGCTGACGTCTGGTGAGCGGTACACCTTGTATTGGATCGTGCCGGTGTCGAGCTCACGACCAAAGTAGGAGCCATAGGCCAGACCCTGACCGCGGACGGAGTTCCACAGTGGACCTTCGGTCGTCTCAAGGTAGCCAATTGCCACCATGATGGCGGGTAATCGTGGATCTTCAAAGGATGTGATGCCCTTGGCTGTGCTGATGCCGTAGGAGCTGTCAGCTGTGGTCATGGGGACGATGACGGCACCAACAGCACCGGGCTTCTGGCCCTCATCAGTGAGGAGGGTGTGCGGCTTGATGATGGGGATCAGCTCGTCTGACCCCTTGAGATTGTTGCTAAGTATGTCCCAGGCGGCGACGGGCTCGGGCAGGCGCGCAACGTCGGCCGTGACAAGAATGCGCACGTTGTTCGAGGTGAAGAGCGACTCGCGCAGCTTCTCAAACCACGACAAAACCTTTTCGGGATCAGAAACGATCAGTTTCTTGAGGCGACGCAAGTAGATGGCCCTAACTAGTGCCCGCTTTGCGACAGAGTATGACTCTTTCTTCATGTGAATGGACATGTCGACCTCCGCCGCCATCGATCGACCGTCGCGCTTCAGCTCGGGAATATCAGCCAGGTGCTTCTGAACGCCCGCCTTAAGGCGCTGGATATCAAAGACACTGTCAAACATCATTGTTCGAACCCAGTTGATGGCGGTGGAATACTTCGAGGGCTCGATCTGGAACTGGATCATGACGCCGTCGGGGTCACCGTAGTCTCTCGTAGAACGGAGGCCGTAGCTGATGGTGTCCTGCTCCAACTCCATGACGACCTGCTCGAAATCGACCTTCTGTCCATCGCGCATGATCGGGGTGTTGAAGAAGTTGTCGTTGAAGATGGGTAACAGAGGCTTCAGCTCGATCGGCACCTGCGACGTACCGAGGTAGACAGTCAGGTGCACAAAGTTGGTCGGCACGCTCTCGAACTGTATGAAAAGGGGGTCTTGTCCCTGCTTGGAGCCGTCGATGATCTTTTGCGCTGCGTTGTTGCGAAGACCGAGAGCCTTGGCTTTTCCGGACCGCGCCGTGTCGGACTCGATGAAGTGAATCGATTCGGTGCCAGGAACGGGCCACTGGTCGATCACCGATGCGGGAATTGGTTCGTCGTTCTTGGCCTTGGCGCTATCGAGGCGCTTCTTGAGGTCGGCCAGGCCTTCAGGGCCGAGTTCTTCCTTTCTCTTCGCCAGCCTCGCTTCCTCATCTTCCTTCTGCTTCTTAGCAAGCTTCTGGGACGGCTTGCCGAGGATGGAAACGTGAGGGGCGTCCGAAAGCCACTTGCGGAGAAAGTCTCTCCATTGAGCATCCGTCCACTTCTCGAGCTCCTCATACTCTGATAGAGACTCCAAGTCCCTGAGAGTGGAGCCATCACGCTTACCAAACAGATAGTCCGTGATGATGTTGTTAGAGTAGAAGCCCTCTGACTCTTCGGCCTGAAACTTAACTTGCAGACGTTCACGGTGGATGCAGGAGGTCAGGTACTCCATGTCTAACGGCTTCGAAGCCACCTCCTTCAGTAGGTCGACCAGTCTCTTCTCGACAAACTCCAGCTTCTCCGTCTCAACACCGGTTGGCTGGAACCAAATGACCGAGTTAGGCCTCGCGTCCCACCAGTAGGAGACCGAGCTGGCGAGCTCTTCCTTCTCCACGATGACGTTTTCGAGGATCGAGACGGACGAGCCGCAGAGATACGTTAGCAGCACGTTGAGCGCAGACGTCTCGATGATGTCGGTGCAGCTAGGCCCGAAGAAGGCCACAGTGATCTCGCCGACGGACTCATCCTCCTCGGGGAATTCGGCGGTCGTGACGATGGTTTCACTGAGCGCAGGAGGCTGTGCTGAGTCGATCCATGGTCTGCACCTCACGTCAGCTTCACTACCATTTCGTGAGCTAAGCAGCTACCCACCTCTTGAAAGGGGAGTCCAGAGGTGGAAGGTCGTCCTTGATGCTCTCCTCAAACTCGTCGAGAATTTGCAGCAGATTGTTGTGGTCTGCCTCACCGATGATGACCACAGCAAGGTTGCGGGGTTGGTACATGTCCCTGTGAAATTGTCGAATCCGGTCGGGTGTCAGGATACGTAACGCCTCGGTCATGCCGCCAGTCTCGTAGCGGAAACCCACGTTTTCAGGATACAGTAGGCGACGAGCTCGAAGGTCCATGATCTCGGCACTCTTGAACTGAACGGCCTGCATCTCCGAGTACACCACTCCGGCATCGTTGCCCTCGCCGTCAATGTGGTGCACCTCGGTCACGCACGCTTCATCGGTGAGAACCGGCAAGATGACGTGTTCAAGATACACGGGAAGAATCTGAGAGAAACCCTCCCATCCCGCGCTTTCCAGCGTGTAGGCTGTGTGGTCTACAGCCGTCCAGGCGTTCGTGCCAGAGTAGGCTCGAGAGGCCAGTTTGTCGAGGAGGCCTTTGTAACGATAGTTCTTGGAGCCCATGAAGACCAGATGCTCGAGAGTGTGAGGGGCGCCAGAGTCATCAAAGATCTCGGTTGCGAGGGTAAAATAGCCGTTGGTCTTGGGGCCCTTGCGATCGGCCACGATGACCTGCATGCCGCTCCGCTCGGAAACATACTGGGTGATTTGACACGGGGCGTAGTCTGTCTTGAAGCTCTGTACCTTGCGAAACCGCGGCTGCGACGTGCGGTTCTCTCCGGGCGACATACTGTTCAACTCCGTGTGTAGACTACGGAAGGTTCTGCGTGAAAACTCAGTTTGGTGCGGTGCTTGGCTGCATGGTACAAAAGCAACGAGGAAATATAGGAAATCGGATGAAGGACAGAGTCAGAGGGTTTATAAGCAGCCAGATCAAGAACCCGGGAGCTCAGGGAGCCGCCGCAAATCTCTGGACCGTTGTACGAGTCTCGTGATAACGGGATGCTACATCTCTTATCCAGAGTTGGTTGGGCCATCAGTGCCAAGCAATAGAAAGGGGCGGCGAGAGCGAGAGGGTTGGTAGATGCAGACAATCATAAAGCTGCCATCCACCGTTCGGGCAATTATCGGTAAGATAACCAGAGCTATGAAACGATACATACCCTGTTCCGCCGGATAAGTTCCCTCCATAGTACTGGAGACAACATCCGCTCAGGAGTGCGACTGCAACGGTGAGCGCCACTTGGCTAGCTCTTAGACTGAGCATGTCTCTTTATCAGACAGAACAAATCCGCGGTGTCTAATCTGAGCTGGCGAGTTGTCGTGCTGCAAGCTCGCAGCCAGAGTAAAGTGATAGATGCGCCATCATGACGAAGCATACGGCAGGCAGCGAAGCAGTGAGAGGGGACACGTGAACCAATCGGGAAATTTGTGTGGATGGTTGGGGCAGAGCAGTGAGACGGATGAAAGGAAGGCACAGCAGCTTACCGTAAAGAATGGCGGTCTTCCAGCCTGATGATCAGAGGTAAAGAAGACCAATAAGGCTTCTTAAGCCAGCCGACTCGTGATAGGAAAAGAGGTAGCGGCTGACTAACCGCCTGTAAAATGATCCTGGCTCAGAGATGGAGGAGGGGTAGCGACCACAAACACAAACAGTCTGTCTGCTGGTGCTTCTGGCGATTCCTAAGAACTAGACTGAAATCGGGAAATATTTGCGCTGCGTTTGTGAATTGCCGCAACTGTTGAGTCGTCGCGGGGCACAAGAACAAGATAGGTGTCGCCGGACTAGACGATGATCGCATTGGTCCATCTGCCCCTCCATCATCCAGGGCAAGGGACTGGTGGGGTTTGTCCTTATTTTCTGCTCCTCGCAAAGCCATCGGTGGAACAACGACCACCGATTGGTCAGCTGCCGCGCTCGGGATGGTGAAGCGCTAGCCGCCCGGGATAAGCTCGGTCGGAAAGGGAAGATACGTACTGCCAACAGCATCGACTGTGACGTGGGTTGTGCTTTGTGACAGCTATGCAATCGGTGTCATAATTGCCTGCAGTTTGTCAACCGGTTTAATGTGGCAATACCACGACGAGGCAAGCTCCTCCATAGCTGTCGCTCACCACAAACACTGTGAAAATCTGAGAGAATTACAATACCCTACGTCAGTCAGCCACGCGAAGTGGTAGCAAGTGCCACCCAGCCGTCGCATCCCGATCCCGACCACGATTCCACCGGCCACAATATCGAGAGCTTCGCAAAGCTATACGTAGCTGCAAAACACACGTTGGACACTGAAGAATGGCTGCCGATACAGATCCGCATGGCTCTGCGCGACTTGGAAAGGCCATAATATCATTCGCGCTCGACGGCCACTTCCCCGACGAGCAAGCGTCTTCGCTGTCGCTGTCTTCTTCCGACCTGTCACCTGCGATCGAGGCATTGGAGAGGGTGAAGGGGGATTTGGAGGTATGCGAGATTTTATCATGGGTCACAACCTCTTGGCATTGACGCATACATAGTCCGAAGTCCACAAGATCAACGAGGAAACCAAAGGGGACGTTAGCTCCTGGGTAAATAACGCGAAGACGCTGCAAGAAGACATCCTGCGATCCAAAAGGCTGGCCGACGATATTATCCGACAATCAGAGGCACCGCTAGTTTCGGGAAAAGCCATACAGGATGCCGAAGAACATGCTCGGTTTCTCGAGAAGGAGGTGATGTATACGCAACAGCTCCACGAGGTGCTGCGAGGCATACATCATGTGAATGAACTTCTGGGCGAGGTTGAGCAGGCAATGAAAGAGCGGCGGATCATTGACTTACTTCGGTGGTTGGAGAGTATGACCCATCTATGCCTATACATATGACGGAGGAGCTAACATTCACAGAATCGTGGGCAGAGCTTGACACAGTTCCCATCAACAAGAAGGCTTGTCGAGTCATGAGGCTGCTTGATATGCGAGCATTTGAGCTCAAGTCACGCGTTCACGATGTTTTTGACCACGTATGGGCGTCACTCGTTCACACAGATCTAGAAGTTGGGTCTCTTGCTATCTACAACAGACTAGACGGTACTCCCCATATCCCTTTCTATCAGATTTTCGGGCGACTGATAGGCCGTAGGCGAGCAAATGACCCTTTCAGAAGCAATCATTGGCCTCCAAGCCTATAAAGAGGTCGAAGATCGAATGTCGCGACTTTGGCATGATGTCGACAAGGCTATTGTGTCTCCGAGAATGGATGCCAAAGCTTCATCACTGCCTTCCATCCGTGCTGATGAGGTAAGTCTCAAGCATCATATAATATTATCGCCACTAACATAAGACAGAATGTTGTCGAGCTGCATGGAGAGGCCGGAAGGTCAATTGATGAGCTCTTGACAGACCTCCACAAACTGGTCGGTTTCCTGGCCAAGAGATTGACGCCTGAGCTCCTAATGTTCTTCAGCCCCATCATGATGAGTGACATGGTACCAAGGCTCATTCACGTGTGGTTGGACGCAGCAGTGCCATCAACGTTGAAAGACCTCAATCAGTTTCAGGCTGCCATTCAATCTGCTCAGGGCTTCTGCGAAGTTCTTGAGGCCAATGGCTTCACAGGGTTTACGGAACTCAAGGAATGGGTCGGCAGTGCTCCGTCAATATGGCTTGCCAAGTGCAAAGAGACGGCGCTCGACTCTGTAAGAGTCAAGATGTCAAACGGTTGGTTCCCTTTTCTTTATTATATGTTTCGTGTGAGGGGAGGGGTGTGGATTTTCTTGACTTTTCTTTTACATTATCTCAATGCCAAATATCTCAAAGCCAGGCTAATTCCTCTAGGCCTTGGTGCGCCAAAACAAGTGGAGAAGGTCGAAAAGCAGATGGTGTCACGTTCCGAAGGCAAGGAGTTGACTGCCAACGGCGTAGCTGGTACTGCAACAGATGACGACTGGGGTGCTGCATGGGGGGTCGACGATGATGTAGAGCAGCCGGCCGAGGCAACAGACAACGCCCAAACCACTCAGGAGGAGGACGATGGTGCTGACGCCTGGGGTTGGGACGATGAAGATCAGGCCACGGGAGATAAAGAAGAATCCACAAAGCCGGAGCCTCAGTCAGCAGACGACGAGGACGACACCGTTGATGCTTGGGGGTGGGGAGACGAGACGACAGAACCGCAGCTCGAGCCCAAGCCTCAACCGACAAAGACTCTGACTAAGGAGCATAAAACAGCGCCCGCTGAGCCAGATGAGAGCAGAGAGATGGTTCTCAGAGAAATATACCATATATCATCCATGCCAGAGCCAGTGCTAGAGCTCATTCTAGCCATTCTGGAGGATGGCGCGGCCCTGACACAGCCAGAGTATGTCATGGCCCATTACTAAACGAAGCGTAGCTAACGATTAACAGATACGAGAGCAGCCCCGTGGCAGCCGCGGCCCCGGGTCTCTTCAGTTTGCCGACGTTCGCGCTGGCCATGTTCCGAGCAGTATCGCCACACTACTACTCGCTAGACATTGGTGGGAATATGTAAGTGGTCTCCTGAAAATCCATACTCCAACTGACAAAAATAGGTTTCTCTACAACGACGCCATGTATTTGGCTGAAAAGCTGGCCGACTTGGCGTTAACATGGAAGGTCCGCGAGGACCTGACGACCCGCGCTCAGAACATGTTGCGCATAGATAACGACATCAAGAGTCTGCGGAATTTTGCAACACGTGCGTACACTAACGAACTCGGGATACAAAAGACGGTCCTTCGAGACCTTCTAGGCGGTGAGCAATGGTCTGGTCCAAGCTGAAAATTACAGTACTAACGCCGATGCACAGGTGATCAGAGTCTCATGCAACAGGAGGAACTGGACAGCTGCGTGGACTCGGCAGTGGCACGGGTCCGATCTTTGGCTGTGACATGGGAATCGATTCTGGCGCGTTCGGTATGGTGCCAGGCAGTGGGGTCGCTTGTCGATGGCATCTCGTCCAAAATCATCAGTGATGTAATGGATGCGTCGTCCATCGGCCAGGACGATGCGTACAGGATTGCGCAGCTCATTGCAAAGATCACTGAGCTAGACGACCTCTTCCTCCCGTCGCGATTGACGGGCCAGGGTCAACAGCACGAGGCAGACGAGATTCCGACGACGGCGCAGTACGCAACTACATGGCTCAGGCTCAAGTACCTGAGCGAGGTCCTCCAATCCAATCTTAACGAGGTCAGGTACCTTTGGAACGACAGCGAGCTCAGCCTATACTTTTCGGTTGACGAGGTGGTTGATCTCATCGAGGCTAGTTTCGATGCCAACCCGCGAATGAGGGAGACCATCAAGTCGATTCGGGAGAACCCAAGCCCCCTGCACGACTAAGGAGGGCCGATTGATTCAGGAGCACGAGAAAGACAACAGAGGGTGGCTTGAGGGGCAGGGAATCTGGAGTAGAGGAGAAAGAGGCATTTGGCGTTGCTTGCACATTACAAAACCTCGTGGACTGGCTGCATCCGAGTGGTGTCCTTCGATATCGATCAGCCATTGTTACCCCTTCTGGTCTAAGCTCACACCTGCCCCTGAGATGGAGCACACACCCCTCCCCTGTTCGCTTCTACGTCTTCTCCACAAGCACACCCACCTTCCACCTGTTTCTCTCCACATTCTCCAACGCCACACGCTGAGCCCTGTCAATCTCGGCACCTTCTACCCCAAATCTCCACCTTACCCCAACTCGTTGAGGAGCTGTTCTTCTGCCTCGGTACGCAGTGGGCGGTGGTTTTTTTATTCGTCCTCTTTATGTATGATTCCCTCTTTTGAGGTGTTGAAGTAACAGTGACTGCATCAGTCAGCCGATCTCACACAAAAACAAAACATAACCTTCATACCCCCTTTTCCTTTTCATATTCCTCTAAGGATGCAGTACTTGAAGTATTTCACCGGCGTGTAAGTAAAGGAATACCTACCACCTGGGGCCTCTTGTGTCATCAATCAAGCGCAGCCATCTGCCTAGCCCCAAACTCTACGAACAAGTTTTCCCCCTCCCACACTAGACTTTCCCTCCCATCCGACGGGAAGAAGCCGAGAAAACCCCCGACGTGGCACATGGCGGAAAGTTCTTTGCATCCTTGACCATTTCACTTTTGCCCGGCGAGCTACATTACGTGACAAGGCGCTACTTCCGTCAACGAAATGTTACAACAGTCCGAACCGTACCGCACGCCTCGCTGATCTTCGCTGCCCGTCAACATCCCTATCCTGTCAAGCGCCCAACTCAGATTATCTTTGGGTAGCTCGTCGTGTGTGTGAGTGTGTGTGTGAGTGTGTGTGTGTGAGTGTGTGAGTGTGTGTGTGTGAGTGTGTGAGTGTGTGTGTGTGTGAGAGAGAGAGAGAGTATCCGAATGAACGAGTGGCTCCAGGACCTTTCTCTCCGACAATTCATCGAATCACCTGGCCGTAGAGATACCCCACGATACTTCCACCTGCCTTGAAGCTCTGTCTTGGTCATGTTCAATCCCTTTCTCCGCACTCGAAGCACGTCCACATCACATCCTCCGCCCCCGCCCCGCGTCCATCTTCCCAATCCGTTCGTGTAATCATTTCATCCAGTCATGCCAAGCAGTGCCATGTGCGTTTGACTGCCCCTTGCTGCTCGTGTCCTCCCCAGGCATGTGCAACTCGGGCGTGAGTCTTCTTCTCCCCGGAACCTCCTCCAGGTGGCATGGCACCAGCCGAAGGTACCTATCTTGGCGGGGTAGAAAAGTTGAAGCATCTTTTGAGGGGGGGAAGTTGTCGTTCCATTGACCAATCGCCATGCGTGCACCCTCTTGGCAAAGAACACCGGTCTAGCTCGCTTTCTCAGTCTCTGTCCGCGGCTGATTCATGTCATCCCTCGGGATTCCGAGAAAGCGTAGGTGTACGTTCGCCAACAGTCCAAACATTCGCCTTCGCCCCCTTTTTCGTCGTCCTGCAGCTTGGTAGAATGGATGGGGAATTAGAATGCCCATGGCGCCGTATGGGTGACATGCCCGCCGTCTCCTGCCATGTGGAAACCCAGACCAACATCATCACACGCCCGTCCCCCGGGCTGGGCCGCTCCAGCGCGGAAATTGCCAATGTTGCACCATTTCTACGCGATTTCCACCTCATTCCATGCCCAGAAGTCACCGCGTTCCGACCCCACAGACCAAGGTATGTCGGCGTCCACGGTGCCCATAGGGAAATGGGGACGTTTGTCTGACACCCTGTACCGCAAAGCATGAAAAGCCTGCACCACTATCGAACAACTGACTGACTCTCTCCGACGAAGGGGGTAGGAGGGAAGCTTGAGCACGGAGCACGGAGCACACACCTACCAACCCACCCACACGTCCACCACCATTCCGGCTCGGCCGTGACCGTCCACCCACCGGACTTGGCCTACGTGGTTTCTTGTCCAAATTTTTTCATCTACCGGTATATCATTGCAACGACATCACATGAACAGCACCTCAAACTTTAATCTCCCCTAACGCACACACTCACACACTCACACACAGTCTACAATGAGAAACTAATGTAAACTGTCTCATCTCGAACGAGCTAATTTGTCTGGCCTGTCCATGTCTTTGCATCCGCCCCGAACGCGTATTCGCAAGCGGCCCCTGAAGTACATACCGCCCTTGCCCACACCTCTCTCAATCGGTGCAGTTCGCTTCGCCGCCACCATGGTCTCTCACTCCAGGACTGATCCTCCCCTCACGGAAACTCAAACACACTCACACACGCGCGCGCTCCCCCTCCCCCATTCAGCCAAACCTCGACAATACTTTCCCAATTCCCCTTCTATGCTGAGCCATACCTCCAAGTTCAAAACAATGTTGATTCAGGTCAACACCCCCGGGGAGCGGGGGGCAGAATACAATCCCGAGCACGACCGACTCAGAAAGTAATCACCTTCCTTCCGAACATCCACAAACAAACAAAAGCATTCCATCATGACCCGTGTCGGCCTCGTGACCATGAACAGGCAAACAGGAAGACACAAAACGGCCCGACGGGATCCTCCTCCTCGTCGCTGAAATGGTGGCGCATGCCACACTGTAGTCCAGGCTCGGCGACCTCCCGACGCCGTGAAACAGACTGCCGTCCCACCGCATCTCCTCACATCACCTCACATCAGCGTCTACCTCCCCGATCGATTATAAAGCATACGCACCGTGATTCCCATCATTTCAGAGTTGGAAGGTCATATGTTATGAAACTAATGGTATTTGTTCCGCGCCAGTTGAGTAGCGTAGAACCGCGGGTGGCGTCAAATTTCTCTCTTCATCCCATTCCCAAGTTTCGTGGGAGAAAAGCAACATGGTCCCATAAACTCAAAAATCCCAATTCGCTTCCGTCAAAAGAAAGTAACCAGGGGACACCGGTGCAGGACTCAATCCTCTAGGTTCGTCTGTCTGGCTACACCCTTAAACATTCGAAAACCACCGCCCGGTCCATACATTCCAGACAATTATGCTTCATGTCAATGCTTAATCCTGCTATGCTAACCCCAGCATGCGGACCGTCCAGGACCTCCGTTGTCCTTACTCCTTGTTCGTCCCCCTAACCAACCAAGTCCTGTTCTTACTCAACCCCCCCGTGTGATGCATTCCAGGTCTCGCCATCTCACATAGACGCAAGTGGTTCCCGTTGTGAGTTGTAAAAGTCCAGTTATGAGAAACAAAAAAAAAAAACTTTTTTTCCTATGGTCTTTTCTCGACTCTTGCTTTGATCATGTCGGATTGATCCCAATTCTATAATGTTCCTGTCCATTCCTGACATGTGGTATATGCTGACCGTTCCCTTCCAAAGTCGGCGCCCGGCCTTCCGGCTCTCGGGGTGACTGTATGCCTGTGAATTCGCCCGCCTTCCCAATGATAAGCCCCTAGAGATACAAAAGAAAAGGAGAGAGAGAGAAGAAAAGAAAAAAGTAACCTGGGTGGTATTCCTAAAAGCCACGCGTCCTTCAAGGAAAGCGGGTGAAACGAAAGAAAATAGTCGTAGACTACTCCAGGAAGTTCTCATCCATGCCAATAGTACGCCGCAGTCGAATGCCAAAGGGGGTATTGATAGTTGATAGCACTAGATCCAAGAAATGGCGCGCTGAGAATTCTGTCTTTTGGGTTCGGCCGTGTCGTGTCGCCCTAGGGATGCAGTGCAGGGCCCGGGCATTTGTCGTTAATCTCTGTCGATACTGATACAAAACTTGGGAATAAAATGAAACAAATTTATGCCAAGAAGCGAAGGGTTCCGAAGACTAGCCTTCGTAACCCGATTTGTCCATGCTGGACTTCGGGCTAATATTGTTGGAGCGCGTGCCGAATGTGTTGAAGACGCGCCCGACCCCACGGGGCTTGGCAGCGCTGATTGTGTCCGACTCTTCAGAGTGCTTGATCAAGACGGTCTGAACAGAGTCGATGTTGACACGGCAGAAGAGGGTCGAGAAGAGGTATTGCTCGCCGTTGTGGTCGAAAAGGGGGAGGGTGCGATAGCCGCGCTTGAGGCCGTTGAGCTTGGCGGTATGCGTAGCAACGGGTGGGCGGTCATTATAGCTCTCGCCGTTGTGGGAAAGCTTGACCGACCAGCGAACGAAGATGAGCTCGGGGAACTTGGTGGTCACTTTGAAGGTGAATTTGCCATCGAAAATCGGGTTGAAGCCGTTTTCCGGGATGACGCGGGTCCGGAATTTGAGGGGCGAATCTGTGGAGGGTGCCTCGGTGGGGTCCACGTCCCGCTTATCCCTCTTGTCACTGGAGTGAAAAACCTCGACCTCGACGTAGGGGTCGACCGTCTTGTTGTTGGGCATGCCGTTGGGTCGCATCAGCTGCTGAGCCGAGATGACGTCGATGCTAAAGGTGACCTCCTGGCGTTCCCTGAAACCTGACCATTCCTGGGGCATCACCTTGATCTCGCGGAGTTCGCTGGGCTTGAGAACATACCCCGACCGGTCAGAGCCGCTCTCGTACATGGCTTGGTTGAGTTGCATGCCGAGATCGAACGTCTGCCAGTTAAGAGCGGCCATCTGTACACCCTTGCGCCAGTATGTGACGGGGTTGAAGTTGTTCGAGGTGATCCGAGTGCGGTCGGGGTAGACACGCATGAGGTAACGCATGTTGTGGCGTTCGATGGCCCTCCGCTCCTCCTTGGACTTGCTGTTCCTCGTAAAGCTCGACTCCATGAATGAAAAGATGTGGTTGTAAGCCTTGGCGTCGGGGGCGTCGAACCCGCCAAATTTGACCCCGGCGCAATACACACCCAAGTCTCCCAGAACTTTGACCGTCTTGTTCGACGAGCGTCGGGGGGGAACCCGCTCGCCTGCGCTGTCGTTGTCGCTCGTGCTGCTGCTCAGGGCGTCCTGCACCTCGCCCTCGGTGATGGTGTTGACACGGCTCTTGCTCACGAGTCTGCGTGACGAGAGGCTGGGGCTGAGAATGGGGCTCTGTGGCAGTGACTGAGGGGGTATGATGCTGTTGTCGAGCTGGACGGGCTTTGGATACGGCGAGGTTAGGCTGTTGCCTCGGCGGCGACCGGCCGTCTCCGCTGGCTTGGGCTCCGGGGCGGGCTGGGGGCGCTTGACCTTGATGAGGACCCGTTCCTTGAGCTGCTCAGGGGAGGGGAGCCTGTCGGATGAGTCGAGCGGCTCGGTGACGAGACGGGCGCCAAAAGTCTCCTTGATGATGCGAGCCATCTCGCCCTGCTGCTGGGGGTTGCAGTGAACCTCGAGCGAGATCCAAAGGGGGTACTTGGTCTTGACGAAGGCGTATTTGTTTATCGTCGTCATGGTCTCCTGGAAGCTGATGGAGGTGGTGAGAGTCCGGCCATGGTTGACGGTGGGCTGGCCATCAGGGCCATCCCAGCAATCAACCTCGACACAGCGACAACCACGCGCGAGCGCCGAGATGTAGCCCTCAACGCTAGAGAGACCAGCGACCTGCCGGCCCATTAGATACGTGTTATGGGAGCTGGAAACAAAGTACTCGTTCAACGGCCGGTCGAGGGTATACTCCTTGGGCTCCTTATGCACGGGCAGGTTGTAAGTCGAGGTCAGGAACGCCGCAAAAGCCGCGTCGCCCATCTTCGGACCGTCGAACTGAGCCGCGTCCACATCTCTGGATTTGAACTTGCGGGCGAACTTGGTGTAGAGGGCCTCCCAAGCGGCCAAATCGGCATCGACGTTCTCCCCTTGGACATCGCGCAAGAAGTCCAGAAACTCCTTGATGGTGAGGCCCGTCTCTGGGTTCGCTGCAATCCGGTGGTAGATCTGGCGGATGTCGTCACGCCGTTTCATGTAACCGACAAACGTCTGGAACTCGTAGAAGTTCAGACGACCCGTGTTGGTGACATCGGCCGCATGGAATTTGGCGCGCAACTGACTGGGAGACGCATGGATGTGGAGATTCCGGCAGACACGTTGTACACCTTCAAAGTCAATGTCACCGTCGTCGAGAGAGAGCGGCTTCTCACCACCCTGCTTGGTCATCTCATTAAGCCAGTAGTCGCGGATTGCCCTGTCGTTAAACGCCATCAAGGACGCCATCAGGTCTTGTCGGTGTTTGGAAATGGCCTCGAGCGTTGTGACCCAGTTGTAGAAAGTGCTGGAGTCGTCGGCCACGAGGTGCATCATCTTGGTCTTGGACTTGTCGGGCACCGAGTACATGATGGAAAACCACCGAGACTCTTCGGTCTCGGGTACGCCGTAGTCGATGCGGTACTGTCGGATGTCGGAGCCCGTCCTGATCTCCTTGATGTCATCGATGTATAGACACTTGTGGGGCCTGCTCTTGTCCCACGAGATCTTGGCAGCGTCCGGTTCAAGAACCAGAATGAAGCGCTTTTTCCCGTTCTTCTTCGAGACCTTCCTGATCCAGGTGCCCTTGAGCAGCTGAAAGGGTATGACGGGACCGGCGGTTGTGTTGGAAGGGGAGGTGGAGCCGGCGACGGAAGCCGTCGTGCTATTCGAGGATGATTCTCGGAGAGCCCCGTCAAGACCGCCAATCAACGACCGGAGATCATCGGTCTCATCAACGAATTCGTCGTCCGAGTCGCTATAGGCGGCAAAGTCGGGCGGGGCCGTGGTGTTGCTGTCACTCCTCCTGCGAAGAATACCGGGGCCCACGCTGCCATCACGACTATTGGGGGCAGCGGAGGATGTCCTGCGGCGGTTCTTCCAGGCCTTTGTCTTATTAGACAAACGCCTCATGAGGTTGCCGCTTTTGCTCACGGCCTCTGACATGGCGCTGGGACTGCCCACAAGGGTCTGACCTAGCGAGTTGTTGCTCGTTTTCCGTGAGATGACTGGCTCTGGCAGCTGGAAGGAGCCTGTCGGGAACTGTTCGTCGATGAGCCCACGTCCCCGGTGCTCGGGAGACGCCTGGACCGAGCTGTTTGTCGTCATTATGACGGCCTCGGGAGACATGATGGGGGAGCCCTGTTGTGAGCTCGAGGCTACCGAGGAGGCGCTGATGGCCGAAGCTGGTATGGTAGGCTGTTGTTGTTGGTGTTGTGAGTTGGAGGGAAGGTTGGTCTGGACATGGCTCGGGCGTATGCGCCTGATATGAGCCGTCTGGGGGGTCATGGTAGGAGTGAAAAGGGGCGAGGGTGATTGTATGTTTTGAGTCGAAGTAGGGGACATGATAGTCATGAGGGCAGCCTTCACTACAGGCGAGTTGGAGAGGTCCCAGGCAAAATCCAAGGTGGATGATCTGGCAGTTTATAGAGAAAGCGTAGCTGTTGGAGACGGCATCCTTGGAGAGGTGGTCGTGTGGAACGGCCCGTAGAGGGATAGACAATGCGGGGAATGCGTGGGAGAGGTCGATCCTGAGATACCGAGGTGGGTGTTCCACACACGCACGGCGCTATCTGGCAGGCAAGGGTTCCTCCAAAAGGGCAACAGCAGGCGTGGGGAGACTGATGATCTCTTGCTGCGTGTGTTGCTGCGCGGCGCGATGCGATGCGGCGTACCAAAGAACCTGATAAACCACGCAGGTGGCTCGTAGCGGGTACACTGCAGGCGTGGCAGCGCAGGGCGGACGGCGAGTGTCGAATTGGGCCAATCGAGGGCGCAGGCGTCCGTGGTTTTGTCTTTCGAGTTCCTGCCTCTGGCCTTTGGGGGTTGAATTTGGCGGGCCCAGGCAGCTGTTGTGATGGCTTGCGGCGTGAGGGCGAGAGTGATGTGGCAGGTGGTATGCAGGTCGCTGATTCGGGTTTATTTCCAAGTTGGGGGAAACGGAATGAACAGCATTAACAGACCGGAACGCAATGCTCCCGCAGCAGATGCTCGTTTGTTCTTCTGTGTCCTTGGCTTCCTTGCCGGCTGGTTCAAGTACCAGTTCCAGGTCGCGCAGGCTCGTGCTCGGCAGAGAATCGAACGTGGATCGGGTGGGAGGTGGTTCGGCGCAACGAGACCTTGGAGATGCTCGGAAGGGTGCGCACGGCGCAAGACGCAAAGTAGCAGTCAGATGACTCAATGAGCAAGTCTCTTGGATCTGGACCCGAGAATGTTGAACGGAATGTGAAGATTGACTTCGTAGTATTGTTTCCGAGCGTGTGTGTAAAAGGGAAAGAGGTTGTGGTCAGCTGTTATGTAGTTGAAGAGACAAAAGGCCAGTCGCCGGTGATGGTGTCGGTGGTGGTGGTGGTGGTGGTGGTGGTGGTACTCGTTGTAGGTGGGCAAATACGGTGCGTGTGAGACTGGCTGCTAGCAGACGGATGGAAGGTACGTGGTGGCAGTCAAGTCTTATGTGGGCGGGAGTGGCAGCTGGGGCCCGGGAAATTATGAGTAGACGGGGCGGGAAGGAGGCATAGCCAAGAGCTTTATTTTGGAGTAAGGGCAAAGACCAGCACAAAAAAATGTCAGGGTCAGGAGAGAGAGGGTGGAAACGAAGGGAAACGAGCAAGAGTACGGGTCCCAAAGAGGTGTGCTGGGTGTAGCCGTAAGGTGTAAGGCAGAGCAGAGGATCAGGGGGGCGTACGCGGTAGAATGACGGCCAGGGCTGATCAGAGAGCGAGGGTGGGTGGTGGGTAGAGACAGTCTTGGGAGAGGAGTGAGTTGGGTTGGTGTGTTTGCAGGGAAGGTGTGGAGGTAAAACGGGAGCGAGCCAAGATGGGCGCCCCAGATGGATGGGTAAGAAGGAGCGAGGTAGGTAGGTAGCGTACCTAGTACAGAAACCACACATGGCGTGGGAAGGTACCATTCAGTCGCGCCAGGTACACTACGGTGAGGTACGGGGGTACAAAGCGCACACCAAGGGGGGGGGGGGGGGGGAGAAAAAGGGGAACGGAAAGGAACAGAGAGGGCATGTGTGCGCGCCAAACTCTGGGTGGGCAAGGGCAAGATACTGGGGGGTTTACGGATACACCAGGATGGGGTTGTAAGCCTAAAGGTTCGCGGGTAATGAGGGTGGACCGGACGAGGAATGCGAAAGGAAGATACGCGCACCCACGGGCCACAGGGGACATTCTGACGAGATACCCCGCCAGGTACCCTACCTACACTACACCACTCCGTACTTGTACACTTCAAAGACACTGATACCTTTCCCAGCTTACAGTACCTAGCTACAGGTCGCAAGGGGAGAAGCTGCCACGGCAGAAAAGCAGCAGGAGCGCCGAGGGGAGCCGCTAAGGAGACATGAGAATAAAAAGCGGACACCAAGGACGAAGGCAAAATTGGGCAGAGGAATTAGGAGGGTGACAGGACGTGCGCTAGGAGAGGGCGCTAAGCTCTCCAGAGCAAGATACAAAAGTAAGTAGGTAGGTACGTGTTGTGTACGTAGCTCACAAGGCTTGTCCCATGTCGGTCCGCCGTCGCTAGCTAGCAGTCAGTCAGGTCCCCTCACCTCACTCACCTTGACCTCTTGATTTGTCGGTCTTCCGTATCTGTCCGTGTCGCTCTGGTGTTTCCTCCGTTTTCCATTCATTCATTCCAAACGAACGGATCCACGAAGCGGAGACGCTGGGCTGATACGGCTATTACTGGGCTGAAAACGGGGAGGGGCAATTGAAGTTACAGTCACACGCAGTCCTCTCTCTCTCTCTCTCTCTCTCCCTACAATGTACGTACCATTTCTAAGACCGTTATAGCGTGCAGGGTTGAGATGGAGACGCTGGGCTACGACGGCAACTGCGACTGCAACTTTGAATGGGACGTCAAAATGCAAAATGCCTTTAAGAAGCGCATGTATGAGCATGGAGCCTGGGCTTGCTGGGCGGCCCTGGCCCTGGGACGACCTGGGGGAGAGAAGAACCGACAGGGGGAGCAGGGAAGGAAACGGCACGAATTTTGCACACAAGGGTTGCACCTGCGCCGCGCGCTGCAGGGCGGACAGACGAGAAAGGTCGACACCGGTGATGCTGATGCGCAGAAGTCAGAAGACGGGGAACTGGGCAGAAACAAGCTGGGGGGGGGGGAGGAAGAGATGGAATGTGGAAGGAGGGTGTGTCGTCATTGGAGCAGAGAGAGGTGTGTCGTTAGAATAGTTGACGAAAGGACAAGGGGTTCCAGAAGACTGAGTGGGAGGGTACGTACTGAATTACAGTGCTACGCAAGGTAGGTGGTGGACTGTACGAGTGGGAAGGAGCTTGGTCCTTGGGCTCGAGGGGGTAAAAGAGCAGAAAAAGAGGCAAGGTGGAAAAGAAGGAAATAAAAATAAAACAATAACAACACGACAGAAAATAAAACAAACCCCTTTAAAGACTTCAAGGCTCACGACAGGGAATGTATTCGTTCTTCTGGCTTTGGTACTTGAGTAAAATACCTACCTAGGTTGGGTAGTTTACCTGCTTGTACGATGAGTACGTACCCTGTTGCACCGCTCGTGGTGGGCAAACAGGCTCCTGGAGGAAGGAACTCTCCCAAGGGAGGCCTGAAGTCGAAGTCAAAAAGAACAATTCTATTCCTAGGAACGCCCCCCCCCCAAAAAAAAAATGTCGGCCGAGAGAGATGGACGACAGAGGGACGCGCTCCAGGTACTACCGTGCCAGCCAGGTACAACGCCATGTGCCTTCTCGCTCATGGAACAGACAGTGGTCCCGCTGGCATGGAAAAGGAGAGAGGGTGGGTGTGAGATGACTCCGTCCGTTTGTGCGGCTTTTGCTGGAAGGGCACTCACTCAACAGAGTTGGAGAGAGAGACGTGGCCGACAAGCAACACAACAATTGCGAGTGGCTCTCTTGTGGTACACCACGTACTGTCGCCGCGCACCTCGCCATGTTTCCACCTTATTTGCCTCCTTCTCAGGGGATGAGCTACCTACGTACGTATTGTTGCCGCTTCTGCTGCCTCGCGACCGGTTTCTGCTCATACCACTTCCGTAGGACAAATGGTTAGTATTACAGGATGGCAAAGGGTAGTCAGTACGTACTTGCATACACGAAGGCAAGAATAGCCTTGGCGTTGCCTTGCCTTGTCGACATCCATACTATCGCACACTATCCGTACACGTACACGGTAAACTAGGCAGGCTACTGTCCGCCTTATGTTGCCTTGTCGGCTCCTGCCATCCTCTGGCCTCCCTGTCCTGTCCCGTACAACGCGAGTATGAGGCATATGCCGTTGCGGGACGTCTGTGTACGTGCCGTTGCACGTATTGCAGGTCCAAGCACATGGGAAACGAGCCCTCCAAGGCAGATGATTAACGGCAATAACGAACGGTGAAGGACCTTGCAAGGCGCCTCCCCCTTCCGTATGGGCGTAGTGGGTACGTAGCCTTCCCCGTGCGGTGAGCTCGGTGGCACAGCATACCTCAGCGGTCCTCGTTGAAAGGGAATCTGGTGCCAGCCAAGACGGCGGCCACGTACCTGCGTCGAGACTGGATAAGATAATGGAGGCCATTTGCTGAAATGCGTTACCTTGCGCCGGGAGATGAAGGCCAATGCTCAGACACCTTGACGAGACTGGCTCGAGGGGAGAGACCACAATGCTAGACGAAGGAATATTCAGTAGTGTGTTGTTGGTGCGAGTTCGGCAGATAGGTAGGTACTTGGGTACACTGCCAAATGCGTGTCGTGCGCGCGACCCGGCGGTAACTCGATACCTTGCTTGTTCCTAGCATCCTCGATACCTTTACATCTACCTAGGTAGGTGAGTAGGTAGGTAGTGGGCATGTATGAACGAACTCATTCCACAGGTTCGCCTCTCAATTATGCGATAGGTACTACTACTATGTGTACACAGACGGATAGACGTACAGATGTAACAGGCAGTGATTCAGGCACACATCAAAGGTTAGCTCCCAAGTTGGACTTTTTCTCTACTTTTTTGCTTTTCTTGCCTTTCCTTTTTTTATTTTTGAATTTTTTTCTTTTCTTCTGCTGGGGTCTATAACGAAAGTCGCTGTGAGGCCAGACTGACATGATGATCCCATTTCCCCCACCAAAACAAGTTGCCGAAGTACCGTAATCAGTGTCTTGTTTCCCCCCATATACTCTCCCCCCTCCCCAATTACGTTTACGCCCATTTCCGGGCCCCCTTCTCACAGGCGCAAGAGCGATGGTGTATGGCTTCCGTGCTTTGGCGCTTCGTGCTTTCCCCCCTCCAATCGTTCCCCGCGTGTCTACCTAACTATCTGCATCGTGAGTGCACTGTGTCTGTTTGATGAATGATGACGAGATAGAGGAATACGTACCGCACAAAGCCCGTCAAGGCATTTGTCGTCTCATTCGCCTCGCTTGCCAAACGTGGCCCCTTTCTGTCATCGACGTCATATCCTCGTCCTCCGGTAACTCACACGCCATTGAACCTCGAGCGCTCTTGTGTCTCGGAAATTCTTCTCCTTCGTCGGTGTCCAGCTGACCTTAGCCTTTCCTCAGCTGCGACAAAGTCAAAATACACCACATTGTCCTTTGATTCGCCTGCCCGCGGGAATTCGCTTGTTTCGTCACAGAGGATCGGCGATAAATTACTGCCCATCACTTGACCGTGTACCTGGTATATCCAAGTTGCGTTTCGTCGCTGATGTCGCCGATTGCTGATGGCTATTATTGTCTCTGCCTGCCTGCCTGCCTGCCTGCCTGCTTGCTTGCTTGCCTGCCTACCTATGTGCTGGCTCAGCTTGTTCGCGAATTCACTTGCACGGACGCGGGTAATTATCACTCGCTTCTCTATCTGTACGCATGCTTCCCACGCTGCAAATCATTATCAGCTCGCGCGCGCACGCCCTGTACCACCCGCACTCGGACAGCCTGGTCAGCCGGTTGTTGCATGCGGCCGTGGGGGGCATGAGCGACATGCCCAAGGCATACCTGGCCGGGTCTGAATACGTGCGATACAGCCCAGCGCTGATGCTGTCAGCTAGCGGCCAATGGAATGCATCCAGGTCAGCGATGTCGCCATGCATTGCTAAATCACATCCCATCCCGTCTGGCAACCTGTTCTCGGGTAATTGATTGCACAGCTCAATCCTGGCTGAGTGAGCCACGCAATCGCAAACGCTTTCATCAGTCCTTCTCCACTGTGACGGTAGCGCCGTTGTGCCCTCACCACCGGGTACACGTCCACTCGGGGGACAAAAAAGACCGCCGGTTTCCCCCTACACAACAGCCACCCTCACCACCAGTACTACAGCTCCTGCAATAGGCAATGCAGCTTTTTACATGCTAAAAATATACATTTGTGAGGACTCCTAAGACGAGAAAGTCTATAAAGTGTATGAAAGTATACATCTTACCTACATCGTACTTTCTGGTATCTAAAAGCAATAGGGCCATAAGATAAGGTTCTTCAAAACCAGCGGTCTTTTTTGTCCCCCGAGTGCCGTCTCGTCTCCACCCTCCCTTGTCTGGCCCATTGCGATGCTACCGCCGCCGCCAGCACCGCTCGACAAGGGTTCACCTCGGAAAGCGCCGCATCCAATCCTGAACTCTCACGCAGTGGTGCCCCACGCCCCATCTTCTCGGTGTGCCGGGAATGGCTCCTCTTCCTCTCATTACATCAGCACACATTCGCCTCCGCCCACAAGGTGCATAGTCTACTAAACTAAGATGCTGCTCGGTCAGGGAACCCCAAGGCGTTGACCGGTGGTTGCATACCATATTACTGAGCCTGCCACTAAGCCTGCCACAGAATCCCTCAACGTTGATAATTTCGTGTTGATCGGTGGAGTCTCGTAAGGGTGGCACCTGTTGTCCTTGGAAAGCACGTCTGAACTGGACAAGCCCCCCTGAGGCGGCTCGGCGGCTCTGTCGAACGGGGGGTCTCACCGTCTCGTTAGGGTCTTGATTCACGACGACGACGACGTTCATTGCCCTCTTGGTCGAGAGTGATCAAGGCTGAGCTTGGTTTCCACGCCAGATGGATACTAATCCAATGGCTTAAACGCTCACTCGGACTTGCGGATGATCAGGGCCCTTTCATTTCTCGCGCGGTGTCTGGCATTGTGCCACGGCCTGCAGTAATCGTAATCGGCCATACGCTACTGCCACAGATCCAACAAGCACAGTGGGTCATTTAGAGTTCTGCTGGGTCGTCTCAAGGGTCCGAAAATGCATGTACTGCGTAGTGTACACTCGGCTGATTACTTCATCCTCTTGGTCACGACCTGCTGGCTGCAACCACCCAAGAGACGGGTAAACAAGTCTGAGCGTCAGCCATGGATGTAACGACCTTGCATCAAGCTAGAGAGAGAGAGAGCCGCAGGGGTGTGTTGTTTTTGCTTCATCCCCCATACCAGCTCCCCATTCCTATTGTGAGTCACTGCTGTTTATTATTTCTGAGAGACGAGCAGGATCTCCCGGAGCGCCAACGGCCTGACGGCCGATCCCCTGTGTCTTCATGCTGCAGGGCGGGCAAAAAACAGGGGGTAAAATTAGATGCATCTACTCATCCGCCCCGTTGGGATTCCCTGCCGTACCCTCTCTCCCCATATGGGATCCATAAATGTGTGATCCATCGACACGGATAGCGGTCGCCCGACCGACGTGCGAGCAAGGTGTGCGTGCGTGGGAGTTGTGAGGGAAAGGGGGGAGAGAGAGAAAGGAAGACGCAGGCTAGTAACCACACGCATGCGTGCAGGAAAAGGACGCTAGGGCTCTCCAAGGCCACCATAGTACCACACTGCCCTCCTCGCTAAGCAACGACATGCCTATACGTGACGTGGACGCCGTAAGAGGTAAACACAACGGCTGGCTGACGTGAAGCTGAAAACAGAAAACAAATACAAAACAAGATGAAAAATAATAATAGAAAAGCACGAAAGCATACGAAACAAGGAAGCAGCAACCCGCATTACACGCAGGCTGTTCACCTACAAGCCCAAGCTCGGCCAGCCGAGACAGGAAATCGTGTACATTGCAATCAATTCCTGCGGACATGGACGACAGGTCACTGCCACTCCCGCGCCACGCAGACGGCGTTTGTCTGTGGCTAAGATTCATAATAGGTCCTGCATTCCACTCTGATTTGCATCGAAGTGGCAGATCCTTCGTCGCAGAATAGATAAACACTCGCCTTGTAAACGGACTCGGTTAGGAGGGTTTTCCCCTCTCTCTCTCTCTCTCTCCCCCCAAAACGGAGCGAGGTGTAGATGAGTACGTCGTCGATATTACGACATGCCCCAAAAGAAATGAAAATAAAACCGCATTTGAAAAGGTACTCTACGGAGTAGTGTACGAAGAACACCCCCCCCAAAGGGCCGAGCTGTGAAGCGAACCTGGTAGGGAACCCAGGAACGCAAAGTGTGGGGTAAACAATTAGGGTGGGTGGTGACATCGTTACAGGTGCTCGCGGGAAATGGGAGCCACTCTCTCGGCTGGAATGGCAGAGAGAGATACAAACCTGAGATATGACCACATTCTGACCAAGGTTGGAGGCGGGCCCTGGGAATCTCCCTCACCCTCAATATCTAGTTTGTATCTTTCCACCGAATCACTGCGCTTATTGCATCCGTACGAAACCAAGTTTGACCGACAAGAGGCAACACACACACACACACACACACACAACACACACACTACTTACTACTCTCCCGCACGAGTGTGCCGGACCGTCTCTACCAAGGTCGATCAGCACGGGTCGCTGGTCCTTTCCGGTCGCCCGCGGGGACGGCGCCGACGCCACACCCTTGATTAGTAGGTAGGGGAATGGGTCGGTAGGCGAGAAAGAAGGATACCCAGGTAAGGACGGAGTACTCCGTACAGAGTAGGCAGTGGCGGCAATGGCAATGGTCATCATCATCAGCAGCATCATCATGCGTTTCCGTGCTCCGACTAGCGTGTCTGTGTCTTGGTTCGTCGCAGCATACGCGTAACCTTGGCTTGGGGGAGGAAGGGGAAGAAGAAAAAAAAAAGAATGATCCATTGGGATGTATCACGGCTGTTCGGACCTCAAGCAAAAAGCCGGGCAATCCAAAGCAGGCTCGCCCGTCTGGGCATATGTGTGTGTGCGTGTGTGTGCCTCTAGCAGGAAGCAGATTTTCGGGCGACGTGGGAAAGGCGATTAGGGGGTGGGGCTATCCACCCCACCGTCGTGCTCCTGTTTCAACAAGCAAGACGTAGCAGTGTGTCTAAATTATGGTACGAGTACTCCGTACGAATACCACGTATATTATTACATACATGCCTAGGTAGGTAGGTCAATTGGTGATAGCGTAGAAGGGCGCTTAAGAAACGATGATGTACCCGCTGGGTACAGTACTTTAACCGCACTGGAACCCCTCTGCCCAGCGAAACCAGCCCGGCTCAAGACGCCTGGTTTGAGTGAGGTTCAGAGGTATGCACCAAAGAATCAACCACGGCCAATGTGGGACGCGATGGATCCCGTCAGACGGCTGGCCGTGTGCCATCTTTGTTGTCTCTGGTCGTCACTCAGCGACATTGCGTGCGTCGCGCGGCGTGACTGGAGCGAGAGGTTTTCCGTGGCTGAGAGACCCTTCACCAACCTCCGCAAAACTCTCCATCCCCGCGAGGACCGAGAATGCAACAGTGCAGTTGTAGTTTGGGAACAGATGTTAGCGTAGCTTCCACGGTGCCGAGACAAGACATTGGGGGGGTGGAGGGGACTCGTGCGTGGGTAGCACCAGTGAAGCAACAGAGCTGCAGCTTCGCACACTGGGGACCACCAGATGCAGCCTTGTCGGCCTCCCCCCTCCCCCCGGTCTAACACGCAACTCCGCATCATCGGCGCTGTCGAGGTGTCACCTGAGCAAACGGGATTGGTCGACTGGCGCTTGATGACTCCTGGGAGGGCGGGTACACAAATCTTGCAGTAAGTTGCCGTGATGGCGAGCCTGCCCTGATGCATGCGATGCGATGCGACGATCAAGACACGTTGGACGCACTGCGACGAGGCCGCCGGCCAACAAGATGCCCAGATGCCCAACCCCTTTGGTCGCACTGGCTGATGTGTCATGGCAGGTGACTGACTGCCTTGCGACAACAGCGCCGTCTTCGTCCTTCCTTCTTGGCCGTGCTTGCTCTCACCGCGCTCTCGTCCAACCGTGACAGGAAGTCAGCGACAGGCCCGCCCGTAACCACTCACGGGCGGAATCCAAGGGGTGCTCGTTCGGAAGCTGCGGCGCTAGCACCGCTCATGCACGGCGTCCCTCGGGCTCCCCTCCTGTGCGGTCGATTCCTGCTCGCTTGCCCGGAGGGGTCCATACACGTGTAAAACCATGGGCGACCAGGGCCGTAGTCGAGAGCTTCTTCAATGCTGCGTTTTGGCTGGTTGTCGGCAATAAGGTGCATCACACCGACATTTGACATCGTAGAGCAGCAGCAGCATGTCATGTGGTCCTCTGGTATCACGTTGAGCCAACCAATTGTGCGATACTGCAATTTCTTGCTTGCCAGTCGCCCTCAAGGACCGGACGGACCGCCATGGTCCATTTAGCGGACTTCGCGCGCTGAAGCTGTCGTGAGAACCGACGTGCCGTCCAACGGGTGAGCGGCGGCGATATGCATCCAACAGCAACGTCATGTAGGTCATTGGCAAACTCCTTGGCATGGCCTGTCATGTCAGATGCGCATGCCGCCCACAACGATGAGATGAACGCTGGGAGGGTCATGCGTCAGCCCAGTTGCGGCGCGAAGCCTTTGTTCTGCAACCGAAATTAACCTGCTGAGCCAACAGTCGTTTCCTCCGTCGAACCGCCAAGATGATAGCAGCCGGAGGAGGAGGGTGGGGCCTTAATTGCGGCTGATATTGCATACGATGACAGCCATAAGTCCACGTCAGGCTGGCATTCTCACAGGCCTGTCGACCTTTCCTCTGTTATGTTGTGGCCCTCTCCTAGGATGTGAACCATGTTTGATGAGCAACAAAACGTTGCGACTTTGGCCCGCCCAAGAGTGGCAATCGGCCGAGAGAATCCTTGACGCCCTTCCCCCCTCCCCCCGTCGGCCCGGACCCCCAACCCAACATGCTCGAGCGCGTTCAACTCGCCTCGGTCGGTTGGCGTTGAGCCTCATACAACGTACTCACGGAATAAGGGTCCACGCCATGTGCTGGCTAGGGTCGACACCGATTGCAGCAGTACCGTATACAGAAGCAGGATATTGGCCTAACCGCTGTCTCTAGAACGAAACCCTTTTCCGGATGTAGACGGGGTCGGGATGTCATATCCAAGTGTGCGGATCGGGAGCGGTCAAGGGGTTTGTTCGTCCCTGTTTTGTTGTTTTTCCCCCTCCCCCTCCGCCCCGAGACAAAGTGTTACCTCAATCAGGTACGCGACGCTGAAGCATGGGGACGACAGAAGGATTGGCACGGCTGAGATCCGGGAGGGTTTTGAGCGCCGATCTTATCTTTGGCTAGGTATTGTCGTTGTTGAAGAAAGGGCACACTGTCACCGGATTCCAAGTATGCGGTTGGACGAACCGACCCCTGCACGCTGGGCGCTGGGCGCTGCTCACCGCCGCCATGTTTCGGAAAGAGGCTGCTGGATGTGGATGCTATCCCGTCGATCTGTAACCTATACTCCGTAGTCAGTGATGGGCAAATGTCTCTCGATAATGCCTTGGTACAAGGCCACAGGGGACGGGTCGCGTTGGCCGACCGCATATTAACCACCTACCTACCTAAGTTAAGGGTCGAGAGCCCAGCTCAGCTAGGTAGGTGATGGAGGTATTGTCAGGTTACAACCCAGGGGCGCAAATATTAGGGGGGGGGGTCAGGGATACCAAGCATGATTGGGCTCCCATTGGGCAAGCGGCGCTGGAGTGACGTAGTTTTGTCGCTTTCTCGAAGCTGGTTCGAACAAAATGCGGCCCATCAGGACAAGGGCGGTGACAGGGACGTCTCCGTCTCCGCAAACTGGGCACTGGTTTCTGGGTATCCGGTGCTGGAGATAATCCCGGACCTCCGAGCAGGCAGCGCAGCGCGGCCCTGCACGTACTATGTAGGTACCTAGTGCACTGCGCTGCGCTGCACCGAACCGCTGCCGAAGCCCCTCCTTCCCCAGCCAGGCCGCCAGGTTGGGCTTGGTCGAGGGTCCCTGTTCGTTGGGTTGGTGGTTTTCTCGTCTTCTCGGGCTGCCGTCATCAGCGCGCACAGCACGTACGATGTACTCCGTACAGGGTATGTATGTATGTACTTGCTTGTACGCCCCTAGCACGGAAGAGTGGCGCCCCATGCTTGATTAGCTAAGGCACCGAGGGGCGCATTACCTAAGCTTTGCAGGTGCCCAGGTACGCTATTATGCACCTACCTAGGTAGGTAGGTGCACCCAGGTATTATGTAGATTGTCATTCGTCCGCCTATTGTCTACCTATTGTCCCCGTCTCGAGGGAGGAAGGAGGCATTGAATGACACCGGAAGGTGCGACCCCTGCTCTTTTCCGTCGACAAATACACTACCTAATCAATCGTTGATGCAAGAAATCACACTCGCTGAACGGTGTTTGGAAGCTGGCATTCAGATGGCTATTTCCCCTTCCCGCCAATGTGGTGCAGTCCAATGCTGTGTGACGCGAGCGGTGTGTGTGGTTGGTGTGCTCGCTGTCCATTGTACGAATAAGGAAGCTGTTGAGAACCGCGAACCCCAAATGTGACCGACGGCACCCCCGAGCTTGCACATCTCAGCAGGCGCGACAGGGGTCTGCTGCTGGCCATTGACAAGGGGTCAATAGTGCTCTTACTCGGCTTCCCAGCTGGGATCGAATGGGAAGGGAATGCCGAATCCTCGTCGACTGTGAGGTGGTCATTTGCTCCCGTACCGTAGCACCGTAGGGTAGGTAGGTACCTATCAACAATTCGAAATGGGGTCACGAGGGGCAATCCCAAACAACCACGTCCTCCTCCCCGTCACGAACGAATTGGACGTCGACAAGCCAGCAAACATCTCTCTCCCTTTCTCCGCATGTCCGCTGCCTGCACACGCAAAGCAACGACTGTCTTCTTCCTCTACTCCGTACATACCTACACTATAGTACATACATCCGTACCATGTCGCAGCCCCCATCGGTCGTCGTCGCTCATCACACGTTTTCCTTTGGACCGCTCTGAATTCTACCCACTGGCATTCAGGCGCCGGGTATGCCAGTCGCTGCACAATCAAATGAGTGAAGATGGCAATTGGGACGACCACAACCCGACGCTCGCGATCCCAGAGGAATGCTCAGGTGAGAAACATCACCACCACCAGTGGCTCTGTTCTGTATGCTTTTCCGACACATGCCCCCCTGCCAGAGAGAGACAATTTGCCTCGAGCTGAGTCGAACTTGGCCCTAGCTCAGGCACCCCCCCCCCCCCCAAATACCACCATGCACACCTCAACACCAAGATGCGCCCATCTTCATTTCCTCTGTCGCCATCTCACATTACGAGCATCCGCTCGGCGGCTCGGCGCATGCTCTGTGCTGTTGAAGCTACCATGAGTGGAGTCTTCTTTCTCATTTCGACTTGGTTTGTCGGTTTGTTTTCCGCCTTTAGTTCCAATCCATTGTGAGACCTCCAATTCCCCCCCCCTCATCCCGCCGCAACTCGGGTGTGGGGATCCAAGGACACGTGCTTGTCTTGTCCCTAGGTCCAACGCAGGAGGGTGAGGCACATGTCCTCGGAAGTTAGCAATCTTCCAACCGTATCGCTGGAAATCCTGGAGCCTAGAGAGAGATGGAGTTGCGCCAAAGCCCACGGATGAACAGACTCGGCCTCGTCGGTTACCGGCCAACAAAAGGCAAATGCCATGGTTCCCTACCTTGGTGGGCGTACGCCTCCAGGGATGCATGAACAAGTCAGCATGTCTGCTGCCCAGTCGCGGTCCGTCCGGGTGAGTTGCTTACATGATTTCCTACCATCAGGCAATTTTCTCAACTCTATGCCCCGTTGCACGTTGCCAAGCACAACGGCAGGAGAATTCCGCAAGCAAGAAGAAGCTGCTTGAGCAGTTACCTAATTATCATGACCGGTCAACGGCCGCAGTAGAGCGGAGTCACACGGCTTGCCAAGTGCAGTTGAGCGCCGAGTGTCTCATTTCGTCCGCCCTATTCACACAGTTCTCTCTTTCATGGTTACGAATGGTCAACCGAGTTATCTTGGCAAGGCCTGTGTCTGTCTGTATGTGTGTGTGTATGTGTGTACGTACATGTCTGTGGCTCGTCATTGACCTCGTACCATTCAAGACACCGCCAGTCTTGAAGTCGACTTGCGGCCATGGTGTCAGCTTGCTGGCTGCATCGGGAGAGGGTTCCATTTCTCATGATGCCGACTTGCCGTACCAAGCCTTGTGGTTCTCGCAAAGGCGGCGTTGCAGCCCGCTTGTCCGCCACCTCGCTTCCGCTGCCCGTCGGAACTCGTGCGTCAGGACTGCGCGTAGTACATGGTAATTAGTGTGTACACACGCTATCGCCAGCGTTGATACGAGGGATTTCACCACTTGTTGTCTATCGCTGTCCACCACCCTGTCTGCCCTGCCCTGCCCTAGGTAGGTGCCTTGCGCCATATCCTGAGCTAGGTAGGTGCATACCTAGGTAGCGAGAGCAGAAACCTATAGCTGTCAACCATCTACACCCCCTCCTGGTCTCGTATCGTCAACCGCATAGGCACCACATGCGCAATTGCGCACAACTCGATTTTGTTTACGAGAAACAAAAATCATGGCAATCAATGCCAGACAAATTCGAGAGCTATTTTCAGCGTACGCCCACCCAGAAGAGCAAGCCCCGTACGGCCGGCTCCTCATGGTGCCGGTCATTGATATCCCTGCCCATATCACACACATTTGAGCGCATGCTCCAATGGGCACTTTTGGCATGCACCGTTGCGAAAGCCAAGCTTTTTCTTGCACGGCCAACCCTGACGCAATTTTCGCAGTGTCTCTTTCCTCTTTGCCTCTGATTCTCGGGCTTTTGAGTCCCCATGCGGGATAGCCCTCTGTTGGGGGAATCAAGGAACCGATGAGGGCGCTTCAGCTCATGATGTTGCCTATCCCTCAAGATATCCGGGTGGCATGGCATATCGACACCTCGCCGGCTTGGAAGTGATATTGTGACAATCAGCATGGCTAGGTGTAGGCGGTGCCTCGGAGACAATCCCCATCTCCTCCAGCCAAGCCAAGTCTGAACCCGTTTGATATTGCCGCCAGTCAAAGATGGTCTGGGCGTTTCGTCAAGGCCGGATGGATAAGAGACAAGACTAGGGGCTAAGAGACTGGGGAGTGTCGTCTGTCTCGGAAGCAGCCATGCTGTTGAGAGATCGGCACACGTAGGCATGCTTACCGACTGTCTGCTCATCTTGCGCGTGGTTTGGCCAGG